CTGCGACTACGTCAAGGAGTACGAGTTCGTCGCCATTTTCGACGCTGACTTCCAGCCCAACAGAGACTTCCTCACGCAGACGATCCCGCATTTTCAGGTCATCGTCCTCCCCATTGACGAGACATACCCAGTGACCTTCCTGCCTGAAAATGGCGTCTTTTTGCTCGGAGCAGGGCGACCCCGAGCTTGGCCTGGTTCAGGCCCGCTGGAGCTTCGTGAACAAGGACGAGAACCTGCTCACCCGTCTCCAGAACGTCAACCTGTGCTTCCACTTCGAGGTGGAGCAGCAGGTCAACGGCGTCTTCTTGAACTTCTTCGGGTTCAACGGGACGGCGGGCGTGTGGAGGAGAAAGGCCCTGGAGGAGTCTGGCGGATGGCTCGAGAGGACCACCGTCGAGGACATGGACATCGCCGTCCGAGCCCATCTCTGCGGGTGGAAGTTCATCTTCCTCAACGACGTCAAGGTGCTCTTCTTCTGGTCTATTAACGGCCGTCATACATTCTCTCCCGCGTTTGGCGTTGACCCTTCTCTTCGCAGGTCCTGTGCGAGCTTCCCGAGTGCTACGAGGCCTACCGGAAGCAGCAGCACCGCTGGCATTCGGGCCCGATGCAGCTCTTCCGCCTATGTCTCCCGACGATCATAAAGTCAAAGGTGAGTGCTCCTCCCTTCTCGGCGGCGGCGGCGCCGCCTCCAAACTTTCCATTATAATGGATTTCTGAGGAACCAGTCTTGGGGTTTGAATGGCAGGTCCCGACATGGAAGAAGGCGAATCTGATCCTTCTCTTCTTCCTGCTGAGGAAGCTCATCCTCCCGTTCTACTCGTTCACGCTGTTCTGCGTAATCCTGCCGTTGACCATGTTCGTTCCCGAGGCCGAGCTGCCCCCGTGGGTCATCTGCTACATCCCCTTCTTCATGTCCTTCCTGAACATCCTCCCGGCGCCAAGATCTTTCCCTTTCATCGTCCCCTATCTCCTCTTCGAGAACACCATGTCCGTCACCAAGTTCCACGCCATGGTATCGGGGCTCTTCCAGCTGGGCAGCTCGTACGAGTGGATCGTCACCAAGAAGGCCGGGAGGTCTTCGGAGCCCGACTTGCTGGCGGCGGCCGAGAGAGAGTCAAAGCTGTTGACCCAGCAGCAGCTGCACAGAGGCGCCTCTGAGAGTGAGCTCGCCAAGCTGAACGAACAGCGAGTGGAAGCTCCCCCCGTCAAGAAGAAGGCGAACAAGATATACAGGAAGGAGCTCTTCCTCGCCCTGCTCCTCCTCACCGCCGCCGTCCGGAGCCTCCTGTCCGCCCAAGGGATCCATTTCTATTTCCTCCTCTTCCAGGGGATTTCTTTTCTCCTCGTCGGCCTCGATCTTGTGGGCGAGCAGATTACGTAACCGGCGCAGAAGAACACCGCAGGAATCAAGAAGAACCACCCGAAGAACAATTCATACCGCTTCAATACTTCTATACTACCTACAGCCAGCCGCCCAACAGTTTTCTTTTCCGAACAGACCCATCAATTATTTTGTAATAGGCACAGAGTCTCTCTCTCTCTCTCTCTCCCCCCCCCCCTGTTCGTCCTAGCTCCGGGTGGTGTTGCTCTCTGTGAAGACAAGCCCCCTCTGTGTTCTCAGAGCCCCTAGGGTTTCTTCTCCTTCTCCTTCTTCTTCTTGTTCAATCCTGCGATACTGAGCTCATGTAACAGGTACCTGTAAATCTTGATAAGCTCTGTCTATTCCAAGTTAAATGTGATGTCAAAATCTCTTCGTTCTTTTGCGTCAGGTGGCCACCTGCCGTGCGGTTTCTGGCCGGGCTGGGGGTCCCCGACCGTCGTTTTCTTCTTCCAGATGGTAGAACGCCATTGCCCAGATGAGGAGCTGAGGTTTATGGAGCCTGGTTTCTCCTCTCTCCACCTGCAGAAGCCGATGGCCATGCTCTGCCGCAGCCCGCTTTGGCCCTTGCGCCGCCCTGCACATGCTCCGGCTGCCCTCCGGCGGCGACTCCGCCGCCACCCATGGTGGACGACGAGAAGCTGGCCCCACCTGGGAGGCCTTCTCTTGGGGGGCCTCTGAGGCGTGGCTTCACGCCGGCGAGGTGCCGTCCCGAACCTCGCTTCTCTGGTTTGGGAAGAGGGCGGCGACAAAACGACCGCTAGCGGGGCCCCCTCTCCGTTGGCCCACTACAACCTGCCGTGGCCCGACATTCTAGGGGCCAGAGTGTGAGATGGGACCGCTTACTCCGTTATCCACGTCTCCGGAAGAGGAAGTCAGACGGAGACAGGGCGCACTGCTGTAACGGAAATTTAACCGCCTCAGGTTAACGGCCTAGTCTAGCCCAATGTGTGTCTGCGTGTGAGGAGAGAGAGAGAAGGAGATATATATATATATAGAGAGAGAGAGAGAGAGAGAGTAGAGAGAGAGAAAGAGAAAGATAGATATGAGGCCTACTAGTGGACCTGCTGTAATCAAGCCATTATTAAGCCCATTAGTAACTTGAAAATTATGAAGAATTCGTTAAAAAATTACCTCTGCTTCTTCTAATTTTTCAATATGGAAATATATATATATATGTTTTCTCATCTATTATAGTAGATCAGAATCAAGTAAAAGTCTTTTTGATTTAATAAAATGTAGTAAATGGTTTAAGATCTCATGAAAATAAGTTTATTATGATGTTCTCATTCAAAATGTCAAACACAATATTCTTGACTACCATCAATCATCTCGCAATTTTTTTGCAATGTTTTATTTGGCTTCAAGCTAAGTAACAAATAATGTAACTTATTCTCGTACAAACAATCATCTGTCTACATTTTCTAGAACACAAAATCACTCATATTCAACTTATTGATCTTGACCTTATTCTTATCTTGAGTCCACTACTCCCTCTCTTTCTCTCAAATCAAGTTCCACCACAAACAAGTGATCTCAGGCCTAACAACCTCAAACCAGATGCCATAATATCTGTTGTTGGAGATGGCGAGCATCTTCATTCTCTCATCACACAATGAAGATTGAGGTAAGAACATAAAATACACTAAATTTACATGGTTTGCAAAAACCTTGTATAGTCACAAACAAACACAGTGCTAACATAACACACCCCCCACATGGCTTAGAACAAAGATGGTAGCTCATATGTCTTTTACCAAAAGATTAGGGAAAATATAAGAAATTATTGGAGACTGTTAAGGCCCAATGGGAGATTATTCTCCATGACTCCAACATAATTATGTTGTTATTTAGATTACATTAACTGAAAAAAAATAAAATTTACAATGATTTTATGCTTTCACTTATTTTATACCCTTAACGTGATGTAGTATTAAGAGTGGAAATAGAGAATGATACTACTACTCAGGTTGTAGAAATTGAGAGAGAGAGAGAGAGAGAGAGAGTCGACATTGATCATCCTTGCCTATTTCTGAGTGTGAGCTTTGTAGAAGGAGGTCCCCTCGCAAACGTTGCATTAGAAGAAGACTCATGTGAAGTAAGGCCTACTATTCAGTGTCTGACATCTAAGGAAGATATTACTAAGATGAAGTAAATTTCTTATGTTAATGCGGTTGGTTCTCTCATGTATGCTATGGTCTATACCAAACTAGATATTGCTCATGTAGTTGGGCTTGTGAGTAGGTTTATGAGTAATCTAGGAAAGGAACATTAGAGTGTAGTGAAGTGGATTCTCTGATATCTAAAAGGTTATTTAGATTTTATGATCCATTTTGATCGGTAAAATTATCTTTCTACTATTCATTTTGTTGGTGTAGATTTTGTCGAGGATTTAGATCATCAAGAATTTACGATGGGATATGTTTTTACTGTGGCTAGTGGACCTGGTAGCTAGAAATCTACACTTCAGACTACTATTACATTATCTACAATTGAGGTAGAGTACATGGTAGTTACTGAAGTGGCTAAGGAGGCCTTATGATTGAAAAGATTATTGAACGAACTTAGGATTCAACATGGTGAAATATTATAACAATTAGAGTGTTATTTACTTAGTAAAGAATCAGGTCTATCATGCACGATCAAAGTATATTGATGTGTAATATCACAAGATCTGTGAGTTGATGAATTATGAAGATATCTCTCTAAGGTTCACATGGAGAAGAATGTTGCAGATATGTTGACGAAGGATGTCATATTGGAGAAGTTTAAACATTGTTTGATTTTGATGTATGTTGTAGGTACCTTACAGAAGGTGAAGAGTTTGTAATAAGGATAGATGTTGACTTTGGATGCAGGGATGATGGTTGCCAATGTAGAGTTTGTTGGTGGTGTTAATCCATCACAGTTGACCCATTCAGGAGACGTGTGAGAGAAGTTCTTCCATCTCAACTGTTAGAGAGCTCTCCCGTTTGACTCACTCGGGAGGCATACGAGTAAGGGGGCGGTGACATGATAGTCACGTTGACCCTTATAACCCATTCTAGGGGTTGTGTAGAGGGAGAAAAAAGGTAGATGTAGCCGTCACATCCGATATGTCTGAATGTAGTTATACGTAGATCGCGATAGTTTTTTTTAAGGAGCGGTTATCTTTTTTTATTTTTTATAAATAAGACATGTATTTCTCTCTTTTTTTAATATGACGGATGACTATTTCTCTCTTGATTCTATTCATTGTCTCCATCAACTCTATTCATTTTCTTGGTATCTTCTCTCTCTTTTGTTGTAGGTAAAGTCTTTATAGAAGGAGATAAAAGTCAATTGTTGACTTTTTAGTGTGTGACTCATCTTGAGGGCATCGAGACGTAAATTAGAGGTACTTGTGGAAAGTCTTATTCTCATCAAGATTTCTGATAACTTGGTGATATTTCTTCTATTTGTTCTCATTGATATCTAGAAATTGAGTTTCTACTATTATTCTGATTTCGTATTTGTATATTTTCTCCTACAAGTATGTTATTATGATACTTCAGTTCTTCGGATAATCTTTTCGCAAATGTCTTTTCTCATAACACTTGTGACAAGTTTGGTTTTTCAACTAGTTTGTCCATGACCTAGACTAACTCTTCTTATCTTCTAAAGATCCTTTCTCCTTCCACCTTCCATGTTCTCTTTCATCCTTCACATATAAACCTTCACCATGAGCCTCACCAAAAATTTTCTTTTGATGACAATACTCCATCAATGAGTCAATAACATATTCAAGAACGAGTATTGCACTGTCATACAATAAGTTTATAATAAGATAATCATATGAATTAGGGAGAGAAATAAGTACAATAATAACTTTATTTTCATCAGAAAAATTCGATTTCATACAAAGCAAGTCATTCAATAATTGATTAAAATAATCAATATGAGATGTCAAATAATCTTCATCTGACATGCGTAACACAAATAACTTTCTCTTCAATGTCAATTTATTAATCATCGACTTTGGTATACATTGTTTCTTCAACTTCTTCTATTGTTTATTTAGATTGTATTCATTCATGACCTACTAAGAGCCTAATTAGACAGACATATACAAATAAAACCTCTAGCCTTCTTTTTCATTATCTCTCAATTATCAGCACTGATCTTGTCTAGCTTTGGACCATCCAAAATCATATATAAGTCAGTTTGCAACAACGCATCATACACACGATGTTTCTAGATATTAAAGTTAGAAGACTTGTCTAATTTCTAGATGTCAATATACATCTTAAAAGCTATAGTAAATTCAGAAATAATCAAACTTATGCTCTAATACCTTCAAGATGACTCACACTAGAGAGTCAATAATAGACTCTTATCTCCTTCTATAAGGACTTCACCTGTAATATAAGGGTAAGAATATATCAAGAAAAAGAATAGAGTTGATAAAGAGGGAGAATAAAATCAAGAGAGAAATAGTCGTCAATTGTACTAAAAAAAGAGGAATACATGTCTTATTTATAGAAAATAGGAAAAGATAATCACTCTCTTAAAAGAAGCATCTTGATCTACGTGCAGCCACACTCACCACATCTCAGATGTGACGGCTACAACTACCCTCATTCTCTCTCTCTTTGCACGACCCTTGGAACGAGTCATAAGGGTCGACATAACCATCGTGTCACCATTCTCTTACTCCTTGCACGCCTCTCGAGTGAGTCAGATGGGAGAGCTCTCCCTCACGTCTCCTGAACAATTGAGACAAGAGAGCTTTTCTCGCATGTCTCTTGAATGGGTCAGTCATGATTGATTGACACCGCCAATAGATTTTGACATAACTATGTTTATGACTGGTTGAAAAGCTGACAAAGATGTTAGTCAACTTAAAGAACATTGAAACTTGGAATTCGTGCTAATATCTAATTTCATAAGATGAAGCTTCCCATGATGTCAATGATCAAATTATCATTTAAAAATGTTGAGAAATTTTCCTCATTTTTGTATTTATTTGATCGGATGATGTGCATAAACCAAGTCTGATTAAATTTGTTAGTTAATAATGAAAGAGATGATAATGGGCTAAAAATAGCTTGTATCAAGTAAAAGCCTTTTTGATTTAATAAAATGTAGTAAATGACCTAAGATCTCATGAAAATAAGTTTATCTTGACTGCATGGTCTTCTTAAAATATTTAAGTTATAAACTATAATTATGTCAAATATACATGACCTATCATGTAATAATGAGGTTTTATCAATATCCATGGAGCTCAACTTTTTTATGTGACTCTCAAAAAATAAGCATTCGATCATTTTTAAATTGAACACATATTACTCAAATGCATATTATTTGATGTTAATGGCTCCTCATATATTTAAAAAGAGTCATCATAAGATTTATTTGATTTTCCCATTCAAAATGTTGAACACAATATTCTTGACTAGCATCAGACTAACAATACATATAATTTACAGATGCATCATCTCCCAATTTTTTTGCAACATCTTATCTGGCTTCAAACCAAGCAACAAATAATGTAACTTATTCTCGTACAAGCAATCATCTATCTAAATTTTCTAGAACACAAAATCACTCATATTCAACTTATTGATCTTGACCTTATTCTTATCTTGAGTCCACTACTCCCTCTCTTTCTCTCAAATCAAGTTCCACCACAAACAAGTGATCTCAAGCCCAAAACAACCTCAAATCAGATACCATAATATCCGTTGTTGGAGATGGCGAGCATCTTCATTCTCTCGTCACACAATGAAGATTGAGGTAAGAACATAAAATACACTAAATTTACATGGTTTGCAAAAACCTTGTACAATCACACACAAATACTTTTCTTTTAGAAGAATTGTGTTACAAAGCTCCACTTGACAACACACCGTGCTAACATAGCACACCCCCCCCCACATGGCTTCGAACAAAGATGGCAGCTCATATGCCTTTTACCAAAAGATTAGGGAAAACATATGAGATGATTGGAGACCACTAAGGCTCAATGGGGGATCATTCTCCACGACTCCAATATAGTTATGTCGCTATTTAGATTGCATTAACCGAAAAAAATGAAATTTCTAATGATTGTATGCTTTCACTTATTTTATACCCTCAACGTGATGTAGTATTGAGAGCGAAAATAGAGAAGGATACTACTAAGGTTGCAGAAACTATGAGAGAGAGAGAGAGAGAGAGAGAGAGACGACATTGATCATCCTCGCCCATTTCTGAGTGTGAGCTCCGTAGAGGGAGGTCCCCTCGCAGGCGTCGCGCTGGAAGAAGGCTCGTCAGTTGACGAGGAGCGGATATCCTCCCTTCCGACTGCGCAGCCTCCATTAGTAGAGGACCCGGAAGCTCCCGGGTGAACCCTGGTGGCTGAAGCGGCCGGCGCGGGGTAGGCAGCTTCCTCCGCCGGCGCCACGGCAGCGCCACTGCGACCCAGCGCCGCGGGCTCGTCCACCCCGGAGACGGCGGTGGGCTCCATCCGGACGTAGTGCCTCGCCCACGCGACGACTCTCTTCGGAAAGGGCCTCCCGGAGGACAGGGTCCTCAGCTCGTCCCAGTTCCTGCAGACGTACCTGCCGAGAAAGACGAGGACGGCCGCCGCCGAAACGGCGCCGCTCACGATGAAGAGGCCCGAAAAGCTCTTGAAGCTCAGCCTGTGGAACTCGGCGACACTGTTCTTGAGCCTGCAGGAGATTTCATCCCCGAACCACTTCTTCTCCAGCTGCGCCATCAACCCACTCTCCGTGGCCTCCAGAATGGCCCTCGACGCGTCAGCCGCGAGACCAGAGCCCTTGGAAAACACCTGCGGTTTTCCGACAGGATAGGAGGTCAGAACGGCGCAAGAACCCCGGGAGTCAGACGGCTGCGAGATGATGAGGTGGATCGGGGCTCACAAATCCGAAGCCTTTGGTGTTGACTACAGGCCCGAAGACGCTGTACTCGCTGCATCGATTGCCGAGGAAGATCCTGAGGTACGGCATCTCGTCGAAGATGGCCGACACTCCGCCATTGCGGCTTCCTTTCGAGAGGGCATCCTCGTATTCCTCTGGAGACCCGTACGCCCTCAGCTTAGATGGGTCGAAGTTCAGTTGCCCAAAGAGGCCCTCCACAAAAGAGCCTGTTTGGTAACCAACAAACTCGCCATTTATGCGGAGGCCCTCCAACGTGGAGGGCTGAAGCCGTTGCGCCGTGAGCATCGACGCCAAGCTCGCAGTGTAGGTCGACACGAAGATGAGCACGACGAACACCCACACCATCACCACGAGCCGAGATAAGTTACTCCTCAGCCTCTCCCCTGGAAGATGAACAGACGGGGAAGGCGGCGCTTAGTCGAGTCACCATCCCGAAAGTTACAGAAGGGATAGGTTCAGGAGGGTGGGTATCCTCCGACTTAACTGTGAGAGAAGACGAGGGTTGAGAAGACGAAGTAGACGGCGGTGCCGAACTGTTGTTGGGGAGGGCCCCTGAACTCCGAGTTGATCCGCTGCTCGATCGCCCACACTGCGAAGCCGGTGAAGAAGAAGAAGGCCAAGCTGCCCACCCAGAGATCCGTCTCCAGCGGATCCAGGAATATCCACCCGTTGACGCTCTCATTCGGCCTGGTTCGGACAAGCATCCATATCCCCGTCTCGGTGTAGGGTAGTGTGAAGTTTACTCTGTCGGACCGATTGGCCATTATGGTCGTGTCCCCCACGACGGCATCAAATTCCTGTTCAACACAAAATATGTTGACCTTGTTGAGTATTTTTGTATCGTAAGAAAACAGTACCGATAAATATTCATAATTAACCGATGATAGAAGAAGGAAGAAAAAGAAAAGAAGCAGCCTTCCTCGATGAGCTTTACCTTGGTGAAAACCGAGTTTACGAGGTCGTCGTAGCCCCGTGAACTCCAGTTTTCGACCGTACTCAATGGACCCCGGTCGTCGTCGATGATATATACTCATAATCTACTTTGTAATGGACCCTCCTCATCACAGCGTTAAATACGTCGATGCAGAATCCGGAGATTCTCGGGCTTGAGCCCCCAGTAGGATCGTATTCCACGTTGAGCAGTCCCTTGAAGCTGACCTTGTCGGGGACTAGGATTCTCAGCTTCCTCCCACCGGCCAGCATCGCCCAACCCCTGGAAGCGGATCTCGAATCCCCTGGCCACGAAATCTCCTCTTCGCCGGCCACCGGCGAGTAGATAGACGTCCGGTTGCTGTTCGGCCACCAGACGCCTACGACCCTCGGTTTCTCCCCGACCACGTTGAGTACCTGGAACGACGAGGGTCTCAGCTCCCTGCCCGACATGCGGAACTCCCCCGACTTCCCATGGAAGCTGTCGGTGGAGATCGCCCTGGCAAGCTTCCTTCTGAAGGCCCCGCTCCAATTGCCGGAGATTTCCTCCCCGGAAACCGCCATCTCTGCCGCCCTCGCCAGCGCCCAGGCCGCATCGTAAGCCCACAGCCCGAAGATGTTCACGCTTCCGAGCTCAACCTCCGGATTCTCCTCGCGAAGCTTCAGTTCAAGACGAGTCGTCAGATTGCGGAGCTCATTCACGTCGGGGATGGAAGGCCTCACGCCCAGGACGCCCCGCATGGCGTGGACCACCGGAGGGTCGAGCAGGTGCAGGAAATTCGCGAGCGCGTCCGTCACAATCCAGACGTGCCCCTCTCCCATGAGCCCCAGATCTCTCGCCTGAAGGAACAGACGGGACCCGAGCAACGCCGTCAGGTGCACGACGAACACGTGGGCTCTCTCGCGGATCAGCCGGCGGAGCTCCTCCGCAATCTGTTCGTCGGTGTGGCGAGGGGAGATCGAGCTCTGGAACGGAACCCGAATTCCTTCTCCACGAAGCGCGTCGACGAGATGGGCCACCCACGAGTCCCCCGGACTTGTGCCATCGCATATCGGAACCACCTCTCTGAATCTAAAGTGGCCGAGGACGGAGGAGATAGCAGCCACCTGGGCTTTGTCATCGAATGCCGCCCGGATGAAGTAGGGCTTTTCAGCGGGCGTGACGGAGGGGCTCGTGGCTGAGAAAGAGATGATGGGTACCTCGGCCTTCTGTCCGAAGTCAGCCACGAGCTCGGCTTGAGCCGACGTCTGGGGCCCCAGAATGGCCTGCACCCGAGCATCTCTCAGCAAATCCTGAGCTGCGGTAATCCGGGGAGCAAGGAAATACTGATGAGTACTCCTACTATTCGCCCAGCTCACAGGTAACAAGAAATAAAACCCATATATGATCATTAACCGGGCTCCGTCATCCGCAAGCCCTGGTCTGCAGTAGAATCTCCGAAATGAGAGAAGAGCGGAGATGGATGTGAGTACGCACCTACCCACGCCGCACCAGCCACATCTCCTCCGGAATCCCTGACGTGGATCACCAGTCTGGTGGTGTAGTTGCCGTGCACGGCGTAGAAATCCTCCACGGCCACGAAGATGCTGGCCCGGCACATCTTCCCCAGATAGGTTCCCTCATCGAGGACAGCTCCCACATGAACTAATAACCTCGCGGGGCTCTGAGCTGCCCCGAGTTCCAGGGACGTAGAAATGAGACAGATGCACACGAGGAGAGGGTGGTAGCGAACCATGACGAATTTAGGAAGGATTCAGGAGAACTGCTGATGATGAGAATCCGGAGTTGCAGAGAGGCATCGAGGTACAGATGGGTCACGGATTTGCGAGATCGTTGGGAGGAGGAACAAGAAAAACGTACAAATTGGAGCCGGTTCAATTCCCGTCGTTCGCCCATTACATTATTTCAAATTAAAAAAATGCTATTTTCAATATGCCTATTTACGGCAACGAAGAAGAAGACTATCACTATATCTTTGATTTTTCCTACTTCTTTTTCCAAGCGCAGTTGGATGTTATGTGTAAGCAGTTTAGTTTTATTTGGCATATGGCTGAAGTCGCCTTCAAGCTAGAGGAGGTGTCCAGTGGTTTAGTCTGGGTCTAGTGAGCCAATTGGTGCGAGGTTGTTCCCTGATAGTTGACTTTCTAACCCAGTTGATATAAGAAATCCTGGTCGACTGTGTCCTCCATTTTATTTTTGTCCAGATTCAGTTGGCAACCTTCGGTGAAGGTGCATCGTGATGAAATGAAGAGATTCGAGTAGACCATGCATCGGATATACAGTTCTTGATGAGCCTATTCCTCTCCTAGTTGACATCCTACGCGTAAATCTACGGCAAGTGGCGTGTTGGCCTCCCCGATTGACGATGGAATGAACGCAACATTACGAACGAAACGCGGTGGCGTGGCTTGCAGGAGAAAGCTTGTTGACGGCAACAACCCTCTTGTCCTCTAAACCTAGTCCGGAGGAGGTGGTCTACAGGAGGTGGGATGGAGGATGTGGCTGCCAGCGTTGGGAGACGATGCGTCCCCACTAGGAATGAGGAGAAGATGGTTGCCCTAACCAGGAGGGAACTGAAGATAGAGTGGGAAAGAGGGGTCTAAGAGAGACAGAGAGAGAGAGAGCGGGAACCATCGCCGCTCTTTCTCTCTCTCTCTCTCTCTCTCTCTCTCTCTCTCTCTCTCTCTCTCTCTCTCTCGGGGATATGGGGATTTCTCGCCCCTGGTTCGCGTTTCCTCATATGTTACTATCATTCACAATTAGGGCCGTAGATTTACAGCTGTAATGGGGAAGAATACAGAGAGCTCCCCAGCACTCAGGCGGGTTCATTACCCCTGGGAGTCGACAGCCCAGAGAACGAGAAGGTTTCGGTATCTCTGTCGCCGATTTCCCTGCCGGGGGTCTCATTCCCCTCCGGCGGGGTCCCCGCGCCGTCGTCATCATCGTCGACATTTCCGTAGGTGTGATTGGACATGCTCGAAGGACTCTGCAGCTGGCTGCAGATATGATTAGGGTTCTCCGCAGCGCCGTTGCCCCCGCCGCCGCCGCCGTTGATGTCCGTTGTCTCCTCCCCGCCCCTGGTTTCGGCCTCCTCGTTGCGGGCGTCCTTCTCGTCGAAGAGTTTCAGGAGCAGGAGAAACTTTCCCTGGGGGGAGTTATCCGACCTGAGAATAGAATCCGCCTGCGGGTTGTTGTAGAAGAAGAAGACCAGAAAGAGGAGGAGGGCGCCCCCCGAGGCGGTGCCGGTGATGAGGAAGAGCCCCCGGAAGTTGCTCAACTTGAGGCTGCTCGACGCCACGTTGAAGCTCTTGTCCAGGGGGATCCCAACGCCATATAACTCCTCCTCGAGCATCGCGAACATCTTCCCCTCGGTCACATTCAGCACGGCCCTCGAAATATCCGGAAGGAACGGCGAGCCCTTCGGGAACACCTGAAAGTCAACAACCGTAAAGTCAGACCCACCTCACATTCCAGGGTTGGTGGGGTCGGATTCCATCGTTGACTTACGAAGCCGAATCCGTTGGTCTTGTAGGTCGGCCCCACCATGGCGTACTTGCCGCAGCAGTACTTGGACAGGAAGACCTTGAGGTAGGGGATCTCGTCGACGATGGCCCCCGCGCCGCCGTTGGCGGTTCCCTTGTCCAGGGCGGCGGCGTACTCATCCGGCGAGCTGTAGGCGATGATCCTGTTATTGTTGACCTTGAGCTGCTTCAGAAGCTCCGGCATGAAGGAGTCGTTCAGGTACCCAACGCGTTCGTTCCTCTTTATAAGGTCGCTTAGGTCGGAGACGGTGGGCTGGAGCTGCTGCACCGTGAGCATGGAGGTCAAACTGGCGGTGTAGCTCGAGGTCAGGATCAGCACCACGAAGACCCAGATGATCACCACGAACCTCGAGAAGTTGCTCACCACCTTCTCCCCTGCAATTTCCACGAAAGTCAACGTTGAGAAATGAAGGAAGCCACGAGATTTGTTCAAAGTCAAAGTTGGCGTTGGATGCAGAACTGTGGGCGAAGACGAGGGTGGAGAAGGCGAAGTAGAAGACTGTGCCGACTTGGTTGGAGGGCACTCCTCTGAACTCCTCGTTGACCCGATGCTCCAGGAACCAGACGACGAGGCCGGTGAAGACCACGAAGCAGCCGCTGGCCAGCCAAAGGTCCCCGCTCAGCGGCTTGATGAAGACCCACGCGCTCTTGCTCTGGCCATCGGTGATGGGGACCACCATGGTCACCCCCGAGTCGGTGAACGGCAGCGTAAAGTCAACGAACCGGGACCGGTTGGCCAGGATCGTCACGTCCCCCACGACCGCATCGAATTCCTGCGCATCAAGAGAGCCACAAACCTCAGCGAGCAGACCGTTGTCCACTGAGAGCCACAAACACTCGACCGTCTACTGACCTGGAGGAAGACCTTGTAGACGAGGTCGTCGTAGGTGCCGTTGTTGTCTCCGGTGCCGTCATCGAAAGCCACGTAGTCAAAGGGTACTTTATAGGGCAAAGAATCCATCACGGCGTTGAAGACTTTTATGCAGAAGCCGTCGAAATGGTAACGGCCCGTCTCAGGATCCCTCCTCACGTCGACGAAATGCCCGAATCCCGGCCTCACGGGGACGCCGATGGTCAACGACTTCCCTTGCATCGGCCACTCCCAACCTTTCGGGGTCTCCCTCTGATCCCCCGGCCAGATGATCCGCCGGAGGCCGGTCCCGTTGGTCAGATGCCTCGTGACTCCTTTCGCCGCCGTCCAGAATCCGACCCTCGTCGGCCCTTCTCTAAGCAAGTTGACTATTTCCGAGGTCGACGAATCCAGCTGGCCCTCGACCAGACGGAACCTCCCCGTCAACCCCTCAAAGTCAACGTTCATGATCGAGTGGAGCAGCTTGGACCCTATCGGAGACTGCCTGAGCCCTCCAAAGTCCTCGGATGAGCTGTTCCTGCGGGATCGGGCGAGATCGGCCGGCCCGATCTTCTCCGCTGCCATGGCCAGGGCCCAAACCGCGTCGTACGCCCAAAGGCCGAACACCAGCGGCTCGGTCAACGCCGTGCCCGGATTCTCCTCCTTGAATCTCCTTGCCCACCTCCGCTTGAAGTTCGTCAGCTTAGGCGTCTGCCGCAAGTAGGGCTTCACGCCGACGACCCCCTGCATCACGTCGACGGCGGTGGCGCCGACGATGTCGGAGGCGGCCGTGAGGCTGTAGGTGGTCAACCACACGTAGTCTCTCCCCATCATTCCTACTTCCTTGGCTTGCGTGAAGACGGTGACTCCCAGAGCGTAGGAGGCGTGGAGGACGAAGACCCTGGTTCGCATCCCCTTCAACCTGAGGAGCTCCGAGGAGATCTGGTCGGGAGTGGCGGCGAGGGGGATCATGCTCCGGTAGGGCACGGCGGCGCCTTTCTCTTGGAGCTCCTCGACGAGGGAGCGGGTCATCCCGTTGCCGTACTCGCTGTCTTCGAAGATGGGGACGACCTCCCTCCAGTGGAAGTTGTTGACGATGGCGGCGATGGCCTTCGCTTGGGAGGAGTCGTCCATGGCCGCCCTGATGAAGTATGGGGACAAGGTGGGGGAGAGAGAGGGGCTCTTCGCAGAGAAGGCGACGATGGGCACCTGGGTCCTCCTCCCCAGCTCTATCACGAATTTGGCCTGGATAGATCTCTGCGGCCCCAATATTGCCTGGACCTCTACCTGGTTCAGCAGATCCAGCGCTGCATCAATGGAAAGATGGGATCATGAAAACCTAAAAGATGGACAGATTCTGTCAGAAAAAAACTCTCAGACGTTGGTACATCTGGGCAAGAAGAGTCTTGGTTTCTTGGGCAATACGTCGAGGGGGTTGGGGGCGTGAAAGCGGAGGAGAAGACCGAACCTGCGGATGCCGCTCCCACGGCTTCGCCGCCGGAGTTTCTGAAGTGAAGGTCAACCCTCGTCTTATAGCCAGGATGGGCGGCGTAGAAATCCTCGACGGCCATGGCGATGCAGGTCCTGCTGACGTTCCCGATCAGGGTCTCCGTGTCCAAAATCACGCCCACCCGGAAGGGGGTCTCCTCTGCGCCGGCGGCCCATGGGGGATGTGCAGAGGAGAGGAGGAGCAGGAAGACGAGCAGGAGGAGAGCTCGGTAGCGCGTCATCGTCCACCGGTGGAAGGCGGTCCCAACGCATCGTTTCTCAAGCTCAAGAGGCTTATATTCGCTGAAGGATGGGGGAAGAGCACACGGTAGCCAGGCACTCAGGTCAACGTCCCCCGCGTAGACCCTTGGAACGTCAGAGAACGACTATTGACTAACAGGAACGTCTTCTAGTCGCTTCCAGTAGCGTGCAAACGGAATTGACCTAGGAAAAATATCTCTGACTTTCTTATTATTTCCCATCGTTGACTGAGTCAGCCAGCCAATCCGGTTGCGGTAAACATATTAAAAAATGAAAAACAAATTCTAGCTCAATAACGACCGGTCCTCGCGTGAATCAGACGGGGAAAGCTATGTACAGAGGGGAGGCGCTGCCGTGGAGAAGACCGCCGGCGGCGAGGCGGAGGGATCGAGGGTGGCGGAAACCTCGGCGGCGGGAATCACGCCTCCGAGGCTCTTCCAAATGTCGTCGGCTCCGCAGGTCTGCTGCGTGAGACGCTAGATTTCATATCTTGCAGGAGCTTCACCACTTCCCGCATGGAGGGTCTTCGATTGGGGTCTCTGTCGATGCATCGCAGTGCCAGCAGCAGCGCTTCCCTCACCTCCTCGGCTTCTCCGGAGGCGGAGACCTCTTGTGCAAGGTCTGGATCGACGATCCTCTCGAGTTCGTGGGATCCGTCCAGAGTGGAGGTCACCCATCTCACCAGATCTGTGTCCTCGGGGAAGGAGGGGTCGAGAGACATCTTCCTGGTGATCAGTTCCAGCAGCACGACGCCGTAGCTGTAGACGTCCGATTCTCTGCTCCTCCTGGTTGAGAATCCCGACTCTGGAGGAATGGACGCGGTCAATGGGTGAGGTCTGAAATTAGGGTTTGAGGTTTGAGAGCCGGTGGGATCTTACCTGGGGAGATGTACCCGAAGGTGCCCATGAGGCCAGACGTATCGCCCGGAGAAGAGCACTGATCCAAGAGCCCGGCTATGCCGAAATCCGAGATGTGGGCCTCCATCTCCGAGTCCAGGAGTATGTTCTTCGGCTTGATATCTCGATGAATGATGCAGGGATTACAGTCATGGTGGAGATAAGCCAATCCGTGGGCGGTCCCCAAGGCGATCCTGTGCCGCAGATTCCATCCCAAGGCCAGCGGTGGCTTGCCCAGATGAAGAACGTCGTGAAGGCTTCCGTTCTGCATATAATCATAGAGAATCAGCCCATATTCGTCTGTCATCCAGAAGTCAACGAGCTTCACCAGGCTCCTGTGCCTGATCTTCCCCATGGTCTCAATCTCTCTCATCATGCTCGCGTTTGAGCCCTTCTGGTTCTTGAACACGAGCTTCTTCACCGCGTAAACCTTTCCCTGGCTGAGCTGCGCCCTGTAGACTGTTCCATGGGCGCCTCTGCCTAGGACATGCCTGTCATTCAGATTCTCTGTTGCTTCCATCACCTTTCTCAGCAGGAGCGAAGAACCCTCTCCCAGAGCAGGCTCTGTTCCTCGATCTGGTTTCTTTCGGCGAAGCAAGGCGTGTACCGAGAGGAGGACCACCACGAGGCAGGCGATGGATGAGCAAAGAGCTATGGCTATGACGTGGATCCTGCGAAGTCCTCGTCCGCTGGCCGATCCGCTGGTGCAGGGGCTGAGAACAACACTCCTGTCGCTGCAGATCGAATCACCACTCTGGCAAGGAATGCAGAGCTCGGGATTGCCCAGAAAGGAGCTCGGAGAGGCGATCACAAGTGCCCAAAATTTCTTGGGCACGGGGCCGGACAGATGATTATGGGATACATTCAAGAAGGTCAGCGGGATGTCCTCCAGGTGCGAGAGATCTCCTGTAAGATTGTTCTTGGATAGATCCAGCCTTAGGAGCGTCTTCAGAGACGCCAGAGAGGAAAGATCTCCAACCAGTCCATTGCCACTGAGATTCAGACCGGCGTTCAGGTTCTCCAAGGATCCCAGTGACGAAGGTATCCTCCCACCGAAATCATTTCCACCGAGCTGCAGCTCGAAGAGTCCCCTGAATCTTGACAAGAAATCAGGGATCCCCCCGGTGAGCTGGTTGTCTTGCATCATTAACCGAGTTAATCGAGTCAGATTCGCCATGCTTTCTGGTAACGAGCCATTTAGAGAATTGAATCCCACATCTAGCTGGTTGATTTGGCTACAGGACGAAATCTCTCCGGGGATCTCACCGCTCAAGCTATTGGAGGAGAGCTTCAAGACAGTGAGCCTCTTCAAGTTGCCGATCTCTGGGGGAAGGGTTCCTGTGAGCTTGTTCAGGGAGAGGATTATGGAGCTGATGTTCTTGCAGCTTCCCAAGCTCTTCGGAATGGGGCCGCTGAGATGATTCCCACTCAGATCCAAGAAGGCGAGGCTGGAATTGGATGCAAAATCTGGGATGGGCCCAGTCAAGTTGTTGTTCTGGAGAATCAACCTTCTGAGAGTTGAGCAGCTCCCCACCCCTGGAGGTATGCTGCCGTGGAGAAGATTGGAGCCCAGGTCCAGGGCCCAGAGCTGCTTCCCGGAGCAGATGTGCGGGGGAATCTCTCCGACGAAGCTGTTGTTGGTGAAGTCCACAATCTCCAGGCTGCTGTTGAGCCCCAGCCCTGGAGGGATCTGCCCGGAGAACCGGTTGTTGAAGAGGGTGACGTTCTTCAGGTCCCTGAGCTCGGCCATCTCCGGCGGCAGCTCCCCTGAGAGATTGTTGTCGTAGATGAGCACCTCCTGCAGTGTGGGGATGCTCCAGATCGCTCTGGGGAGCTCCCCGCTCAGATTGTTCCCGAACAAGATCAGGCTCTTCAGACTGCTCAGGTTGGCCAGCTCTCCAGGAACAGCGCCTTCCAACTGGTTCTCCTGCAGGTGCAGCAAGGTCAAGGATCTGCACCTTCCGATCTCGGGGGGGATCGGCCCTGAGAGACGGTTCTCAGGGAGTAGCAGATCAGAGAGCGCCGTCAGGGAACCGAAGGAAGGAGGAATGGGGCCGGAGAGGTTGTTCCTCGTGACTGAAAAGATAACCAGACGAGTCCAGTTCCCGATCCCGCCGGGGATCTCGCCGGTGAAGCTGTTGGAAGAGAGCTCCAGTTCTTTCAGGTTGGGGAACGGCGCGGAGCCCAGAGGAATTCTTCCGGCGAGCTTGTTCCTGCTCAGGTAGAGGTAGACGAGCTTCCGGAGGTTGGCGAAGGAATCAGGGATAGCTCCGGTGAACTGGTTGTCCTGCAGGTAGATCTCCTGGAGCTTGCTGCAGTTGCCGAGGGAGCTGGGGATCTGGCCGGAGAGGGAGTTCCTGTTCAGCCATAGGACGGTGCCGCCTGTCATGTTGCCGACGCTCTCGGGGATCGCGCCGGAGAAGTTGTTACGGTTGAGGTAGACGGTGTCGAGGGCAGGAAGATGGAAGAGCCAGTTAGGGATCTCCCCCGAGAGGGAGTTCTGATAGAGGGAGAGGTGCGAGAGCCTGCGCAAGTTCCAGAGGCCGCCGGGGATCTCGCCGGAGATGCCGGAGGAGGAGAGATCGATGTTTTCCAGCAGGGAGCAGTTGCCGAGTTCCGGCGGGATCTGGCCGGAGAGGGAGTTACCGGAGAGGATCAGCTGTCGGAGACGACTCAGGCGGCCGATCTCCGGCCCCAGCGCGCCGGAGACTCCCCTGTCGGAGAGGTCGAGGGAGACGACGCGGCGGCCGGCGGCGCCGCAGCGGACGCCGGTCCAGCGACAGGGGGAGGAGTGGGAGGAGTTCCAGGTGGAGAGGACCGAATCCGGCAGCAGCAAGCTCTTGGAGAGGGCGAGGAGCGCGACGCCATCGGTGTTCAGGCTCCACACGAGCGGCGTTAAGACGAACCAGACCAGGAGCAGCGGCGAGGAATGACGAGGAATTCTCATTGCAAAACAGAGGACGAGAGGAGCGGCGGCGTCCTATCGACTAACCCTAAATCAGACCAACCAACGCACAGCGGCCATGTACCTTTCGTCTACCACCTGTCCACAGGTTGACGACCGGCGATCAGAAAGAGAGAGAAAGAGGCAGATGAGCAGAGAGAGAGAGAGAGAATTTGCCCTCTGAGGTGGCCGATGAGCTCGAAATCAAGCCTTGAGAAGTTTTACGATTACGATCAAAGATATAGATTGGTAGAGAGAGAGAGAGGACGACATGACGGTCTCTCGTTGGGGAGGTACGGCACCGGCGGCACTGCCGCCCACGGAAAGCGGCGCTTTTCTCTGGAAACACCCCGGTCGGCGGCAAACTGTCAGAAACGGTAGATCATTTCATACCCTTGTCAACGTCGACTACTCAGGCGGAGGTGGGACCACCCAGTCATTGCCCACAATCATTAAATCCGTGGGTCCTTAGCGGTCTTGGCCCCCAATTTGGACCCGTTGACCTTGACAGAGACACGTGCTCAGCGCCGGAAGCTCATAAACATCTATTTAAAGAAATATATATGTGTGAATATTAAACAGGGGTCAGCGCGCCGGATAAACCCAGGCCCAGGGTGGCCTTTTGTGGGCCGTCTATAGTTCCAGCCCAAAATCAAGTCCTCAAAGCCCATGTGCCCCCCCTGTCTCTCTACACGGAGCGTTGAGTCAATCCGGTCTTTTCCACCGGTTTTAAGCAGTTGACTTGAGGGTCGTATTTTGACTTTTGGCCCTTTTTTAAGAAAAGTCTACGCACAGCTGAAGCTGTTGAACGGCCGGCGGCGGCAGACCAAAAACGGGAAGAAGCCTTAAAGAGGTGGGGATCATCGTCGGTCCGCCGTCTGTGGGAATCGAACCCACGACCACATGGTTAAAAGCCATGCGCTCTACCGGCTGAGCTAAGACGGCATTTTTAATAAAATCATATACCATCTTTCACAAAACGGCCCTTGACTCGGTGCCGCGACTCAGCGTACGCCTTCCGGGAGGCGTAGCGGATGATCTTCTCGAACCTCCGGTTCCTCCTCTTCTCCCGGTACCTCATCACCCGCGCCTCCCGGTCCACCGCCCCGGCGACCAACGGCGCCGCCCACCCGCCACCGTCCTCCGACGTCTCCACCGCCTCGATTTCCTCTGCAGATGGTGTTGCTGCATCACCGCCGTACAACGGTTTCGGTCCGCCGGAATCCATATCTATGAAGCCATCGTCGGCCGCGAAGACGAGGGGCTGCGCCGCCGCGACGACTTTCCTCCCGTCGCTCTGAACGGGGACAACGCCGTCCACTGCGGGGGCCTCCTCCAAGGCGAAGTAAGGATCCCCTTCCGAGACGTGGTGGTAGTAGTAGTAGCTGTCTGCCGCTTTCAGCTCCGGCGTAGTCCTCAGCATCTCCTGGGAATGGTTGTAGCTATTCTTGGAGGCGGTGCCGTGCGAGGACCAGTCTCCAGGGAGGGGCTCGGAGAAGGGGGTCACGGGGAAGCGCTGGTGGCGGCGGGAGAGGGTGCTGGCGGAGTGGACGTCGGAGTCGCAGGCGGCGCAGAGCGCCGCCGCGTCTGCCTTACAGGTGACGACGGCGGGGGCCCGCTCGCAGATCTCGCACACCCACACCCGCTCGTGGCGGGCGGCGCCCCCGTGGAGGTGGCCGTCGCAGGCGGCGCAGAGGAAGGCGGCGTGGACCCGGCAGAAGAGCAGCCCCGGCGAGCCCCTGCAGGCGTCGCAGTAGCTCTTCACTTTCACTTCCCCGCCCATCCCCCTCTTTCCTCCTGCTTTTCCTCCTCTTCGGGGAAGACGGAGGGGGAAATGGTGGGGAGTATATCGTGGTGGCGGCGTCCGGCAAGAAGGGACACGTGGTCCGAAGACGGCCATTTACAATCTGCACGAGCCAATATAAAAAAGGCAAGCGCCAGCTGTAGGACGGCCAGAGGCTAGACGGCGGCGCCGCCGCCGTCCATTGAGGGCGCCACGCACTTGGGAGCTGTCAAAAACCCCTAGGCTCAAGCTGATTCATCGTAGCGTTGACTTATCTTTGACTTTAGAAGTGGCCAACCCACCGAGCCTGCTGATCTTACTTTCGATGAGAAATGAAAGAAAGAAATTCAGCAGAGCTCAAGGCTGCTGCTCCCACCGTCAAGCGAGTCAACGGTGGCCGGTTCGTCAAGCGACGAGAGGTGGCAAGCAATATTTTTCCATCGAGATTTTTTGGTAAAAAATATATAATATGTACAGATAGCTAATTAGAAGTTACCAACTAGTCTGCCAATAAATTAGCCGGAAATTATTTAAGCTAAAAACAGAAATAATTATTATTTTATGGGCACTTCTATTTTCAACAAATATTATCATATGAATACCGCGCGGCACGCATAATAAAATCAAATTCCGACTTTTTGTCTGACCTTCAAGCTGGGCCCCACTGACACGTGCCATTTCTCATCCTCTGCAATAAGACATCCCTGCCGACACCCTCCGTCAACTGCCGCCGTCGACAGATATTAATGCCAAGATACGGCACCGGATCTTCCGGCCTTTTCTGAGCCACATTCTCTCTCTCTGTCCCTCTCTCTCTCTCTCTCTCTCTCTCTCTCTCTCTCTCTCTAGACCTGGAGGAGAACCAGGGGATCTCCTTGTTCTTCGAGTACTCGCAAACAGGAGCCTTTTCACGAGTCAATCACGCAGAGTCAAAAAAGTGATGCCCATGCTGGCTGATAGAGAGAGAGAGAGTTCAGGGGGCTACGCCGTTGTGTCTCCCCTCAGATTTCGCAGATCTCTTCTGCTGCTCGTTATCAAAGTGAGCAAAGGCAGCATCTAGAGCCTGCGAGAAGGGGCGCCAGGGATCAAGAACACTTTAGAAAGCACTATCCCAGGGTGGGTGATCCGCCCACTACTCCTTCCCATGTCCTCAATTTTTTTATAAAAAAATGGATAATTTTCTAAAATATCCGCTTTGATTGAGCTGAAGAACACTCGAATATGATTGAAAGAGGAAAGAATACAAATAAATAAATTAAGAATGAATAACGTTACCTGCAGCATAGGTTTAATGAGAAGGGACACCTGGTGCCTGACGTCTGATTGGACCGATTCCTTGATCTCCTGAAATATTCATCAAATAATATTATTCAGAATATAAATCATATGGTCCGGACATCCATCACACCCATGGGTTAAATTAATAAACGTGCATGTCTTTACTAATTTTCACTAATTAATATTTTTTTCAAATATAGGAGGTGAAACACACGTTGACATTTTATAAGAGGTTGACTTCCGGAAGCTCACCTCCAATCTGCGATAGATCTGAGTCATGGCATCCTTTATTCTAGTAACCTGCAGGGAGAGAGGTGAGGATTGGTGAGCAATTCATGGCACATCTCCCGTTCATCCTTTCTGTGGCATGGTTGGTGGAAGCTGATGACTAGAAATTTTATCAACATCTAAAGCAAAAGAAAAAGCTTTTAACCACTTCATGATCAAGCTGCAGCAAAACAAATATCTTTTTGAACCGAACAAAGCTGATTTTGATCATGAGAGAATCGTTCTGATGAGTTTTACGATTGAAAATTAATCGATTAAGTGTGCAGAAAAAAAAGAAGCAATATTGTATATACAGAAATTAAAGTCAAAACATACATATCAATCCGCACAGAGACTCCAGAACAAAATCTATAAGTCAACCCATACAGAATAGAGGTTTAAATTTGACTGAACCCCTAAAAACTTCTTTCATGAGGTAGATTATGGGATCATAGGGTTTCCTTTTTTCTAACTATATGCAATTCTTGTATACACGATCTCCCCACCTTCAGTCTACTGCTATTAGCAACCTATATCCACCTTTGACTTTGATGATTGGCAAACATCACACAACCACCCTGCCATTTTGCAAGCAAAACACGTGATAGTCAACAGGAGAGAAAAAATGATTGTCAGTCAAACCCGGATAAACATCAGCGGAATTCGCATGTATGGAATGACGAGGTTCCCCTTGCTACTAAAAATCTCCCTAGCCTAATGCTTTACATATCCATATCCAAAGTACTATAAAAGAGAGAATTAAATACCTTACTGTAGAGATATGAAGTGGTAATTGGGTAAGATGACCAGAAATGCTGCAATAACTCCTGGATTGAAGCCCAATTCTGGAAAAAATTATATACGCGATCACATTAGTAAGAAAAGATACATCAGCCATGACATTAACGGACATATGTGGGCATTTCAAATATAGGGAGAAATAGACAGAAATTCATATGAGAATGAATATTCTACAAGTGAAAGTAGAAACTCACATCCAGGATTTCGTCTTTTGTTTTGTTTGGAAGCCGACCAAGCACACTCTCTTGAGGACTCTTTCCGAGATTGTACTTGGTACTCGACACGTGTTGATTCAACCCACTAAGGATCTAAAAAAAAAACCCATAAATACTAAGACTATGTAGCCAGAAAACATGTGCGCATCCTGCACAGGGGGGAGGGGGAGAAAGAGAGAGAGAGAGAGAGAGAGAGAGAGAGAGAGAGAAATAAACAGAAAAATGAGCCATCGTATAGTAACGTTGCTACCTTAATGGCTGCTTCAGATTGAATGACTGGGCCGTTCATTCCTCCTTTAACCTCGGAAATCTGATCGACTAGGTATTCATAGGCTTCCTTGGCACTCAGGATCAAATTATCAAATTTTGTACCACCGCCTGTTTCACGTAAAGTCTTAAGTGCAATTGCATGTTGTGAATCGAAGTACTCTCTGGGATCCTGATATGGCAAAATGCCAAGAAGTATTCAGAATGATATCAGGGATGTTGTAGTTAAACAGAAATATTCAATAATCGCACACCTTAATGCAGAGGGCAGCAAAAGGAAGGTTTTGGGATCCCTGAAGATCCTCAATTTCTGTCATACGCCGCAACCTCTGTAATCGATCCGGATTTGCATCCTCGTCTTCGGCTTGATTAGACAATTCAACTGAAAGTTGACGGAAGATCACCACATTGGCACCGAAAAAGAAAAATAAAAAATAAAAAAAAGGCAAAATAGAAATGGAATACCGACCCTGCTTGGACTTGGCCAGTGCTTCTGCTACAGCTCTGGTGTCCCCCAGCTCTACCTCTGCGTCAAGGCAAACATCACATATAAGTTGTCCAAACGTTTTATTTGGTACATTTCCACTCAGTCAATGAAAATGAAGTTCGAGCATGCCTACGAAGATGTCATACAGAAAAACACGTCAAGATGCCATAGTCCTGCCATATTGATTAATGTTTTTCTCCAGCATGAACAAAGGTTGTTTATTATAAAATGACTCCTAGAATACCCATTCTGCAGATTTATTTATTTATTCGTGTGTGGATATTTTATGATATTTTTGGGGCGGGTTTGTAGAGGTAGAAATAGAAAACTACTCAGGACATTGACTTTGTAGCCTTCGCATTGCCATCTTTAATGGTTTTGTGCAAAAACGCAAAAATGATTCTGATTTTGAACTCAACTTAAATCAACCATCAATTAAAACGTCAATGAAAGGCGTTGTCTATGTTATCTACTCCGCTGAGCCACATCCAGATGAAAAGGAGCATATCTCTCCAAAGAATTGTGTAACTTATTTAACAGGTCATAAAAGATTTTTGAACTATCAAAAAAACCTATATTTTCACTCAAGCAATTGAAACAATATAGAGAAATCCTCGGCCACGGACAAGAAGGTACCATCAATAGAAATGACTCACTCTAAAATGCTAGCAAGAGACAAATACAAAATCCTCTAGAAACAGGGAGTGAAAATGAAAATACCATGATACAAAGCCACGCCATGCTTCACATGATTATGTATTGAAAACTGAAGGTCAAATAAATCTGCGGTAGAATATTGAAAGTACAGCTAGAAATGTTTTCGGTTCAAGTTGACAACCTGAAGAAGAAGAAAAAAAAAAAGTCTTACAATAAGAATAACATGTAATCCTGACACATGTTGTGATCTAGCCACTGGGATCACTAGCCATGGAGAGATCAGAAAAACTGCGGTCGTATACTAGCCGGTACATGTGTAGTGTAACTGAAAAACCCAAATTCTACTACAAGTTTTGTATCAAAACTGAGATAGACGGCCAACCAATCCAAAGACAACTTTCAGTTAGAACAGAATCATAGCTTAATTCTATTAAATGGGGTTTCAGAAAAATAAACGGATAGCTTCTTCCTTCACTTTACAATTTCAACCAGAAGTCCTGAGTTAAGTTGCACCCTGATCTCTCAGGCCCAATTATTGGTAGAATTGCACCACAAAACAGTGTAAAAATGTTGACAAGTTAACCAGCAAACACCCAGTTATCTTTAATGCTCAAAAGAAAACCGAACAAATATTTAATCATATAAGTTTGCTTGGCATTTACCAGAGGTCGAGATACAAGCAAAAAACGTAATTACCCCTATGTCAAAGATATACTTTTGTTTGAAAACACGAGAGACAGACAGACAGTTCCAAAGCAAGGAAAGACAACAGAAGCATGCCACAGAATCTCAAAGCCTCAAAATAATAGGAAGCAACCATAAAAGATGCAACACGCCCCATTCTGATCTGTACAAGCCAGAACACACTATGATTGCAAATGACTCATGGAATAGCAAATATCAAAACCTGCTCTACAAAGATATTGTCAAAAATATCAAGGCGTGAAAGGTGAAACAATGGATCAACAAGGAAGATGTAAACACAAAAAAGAAATGTGACACGCAATTATTGTGGCGGGAATGCAGTAGATCGTAACTGTATAGATACAAGACCAAAGACATTCAGTAAACAACTGTACCAAAGGAAACGCACGGTATGGCAGGACATTGTCTTCATTTAGATCCACATTGGAGGAACCTATAATAGGATTGCCGACGAGTGACAGTGTAAATTTACTGGTCATTTCTGTTGGTGTAATTAGTTGGCGGCAATTCATCAAGGGCACATGCACGAGAAAATAATAATAATAATAATAATAATAATAATAATAATTAGCTAAAAGAACTCTTGATATGATCCTTGACTAATATTACAAGTGGAAATTGATTTTACATCCCGATGTTACCATTTGATCTTCCTTCAAGGACAACCGCCGCATGTCTATTGAGGTCTTGTAGGAGAGTCCTCTGTGGTAGCCCATTATCTGTATCAGCAGTCTCCTTGCTTCCATCACGAAGAATCCCATGATCCTGAAGTGATAAAAAAAAATAAAATGCATCTTTCATCTAATAAACTAGCATCCAAACTCCGTCAAAAAAAAATTATGTTTCCAAAAGCAGGTTTAAGCTTTTCGTGCAGTAATAAACCAGGATATTAGCCAACTTTGGAGGACGCAGGAAAAACCCATAGCCCGCCAGATCAGTGCTACCTCGTTCGAGGTGCTGCTCGATCATTACTTCGATTTCCGGCTGCCGCAGATTTTCGATCCACAGATTTAGCTTGGAGACAACTGAATCCCTCTGTGGAGGGGAATAGCATAAGGTTTACCTTTCTGTGGTCAAAGAAATATCCGGCTCCTGCTGTCCTTTTTGTTTGAAGCCGACCCCCTTCAAAATGCTCTTGAGCCCTAGCACCACCCTTCTTATGCCAAAATGTCCCTAGAATCCTTAGGTTCTATCCTACACTCACCCCCTATCCTACTCGACCCTCACAAAAAATCCACCAAAGTCAGATGGGAAATTCCCCGACAAAGCTGCTAGTACCCGGTGAACTCATACTGGCCAAAGTGGAAGAGAAGGAAATAGAAGAGAGATTCGGCAGAAAAACAAAGAAGTTTCCCTACTGTCTCCTTTCCTTGGTATGGTCCACTCGCATTGTCGCAATAGATGAAGCGCCTTTCATTTACATTCCAAATTGTAAACAGAAGGTCTTACTCCCTACTGTTGAATGCATGCGGTCAACAGTGATATTTTAAGTATTAGTTCGCACAACTACGGCATTGTGTCAAGTGAAAATCCAGCACTCTGGCCCCAAATCATGTTTCTAGTTGTCTAACAAGTAACAAAGGCTGGCAATATAATCCATTCTGGCGCATTGCCCATCAAAAGCAACCTTGAGGTGGAGTAACTCGCATGATAACAAGCGCACTAGGCCAAATGGTCCATGAAGTTTGTCACTGAGAATGTCAAACTAACAAGCTCACTTTTTAAAGCATATTCACACCCCAACCATATCATCGGAGATGGGGCTTGGGTAGGTAAACAGAAACCTATCCTAAAACTGAAATACCTAGCATTGGAAGAGAATATATTGTGTAAAGCAAGAAGCAGATATATGTCTATTACACAAGCTCAAAAAAGCAGAAATTCCATGGACCACTTACCATAACATGCATGTAGTCATCACCTGCATCTGCAGCCATGTCTAAGGTTGGATCAACTCGTCTGATCTGCAGATGAGACTCGGATCAGAAACACAAGATCTAAAATCAAATCACCTGTACATCCATTTGTTAATTATCCATAAGATTAAGGAATGACTATAGCAGAGTTAAGCTATGTGAAACACAAAAACATATACAAAGCTAAACAAGGAAATTTCAAGATAGAATCTTTATGGAAAAGTTATTCAGCGATAATGGAATAGAACAACCTTACGACGAGACTCCTCAGCTACAATGTCATCCTTCTTTAGAAAGACAGCAAGTTCCTCATCCTCTGCAGCCTCTGCAGCAGCAGCTAGAGTGTTTTTCGCCCTATAAAGGAAGTCTGCTTTGAAGTATTTTTTCCAGAAATCATTTTCTGTCATCTACATTCAATAAGAAAGTTATTGAATACGTGTTAGATCCAGTCACCGCGTGTGTGCTCCTCAGCTAAATCAAAGGCACAGAAATGTCTTCTTTGGACAGAAAATACAAAGAAAAGACAGCATTACTTTGCTTGGAACAAAGTTCAGAAATGCCTGCCGAACAGCTGGCTTCTCGGCAAATATCTGAAAAAAGAATGTAAATGTCAACAATAAGCTGAAATTCGAAATGAGAATATTAGCAACTTGACAGATGTAAAAATGCATATCCAAGCTCACGTTTGTGTCCTTAGAAAACCACAAGCATTTGAGAACATAGGAGATCAAAATGTTTTTGTTGAGAAGCATAAATAAGCCACGCCATGCAATCAAAATCTTCAGAAAGTTTAAACCCAAATCTTTAGCGGGGGGTTATCTGGGAATTATGCAAATTTCTCCACGTCACAAACTTATTGGAATTATGGTACCTGATGAATGATCTCCCGAGTCAAGCTAAATGTGACTTTATTGGACTGCAAAGGGAATGCCACCACTGAAATTCTTAGAACTTTTTACAATTAGCATATGTGAAAACAAAAGCATCAGATAAACACAAAAGGGAAAAAAGATTACATAAGTAGATAATAACTGCGACAAAATGGCTCCAAGAAATTTTCTCTTGAAAATTGGGGTTAAAAGTTCTAGACTCCACCTGCCCGTCAGTCAATGGCCTGACGTCCGCCAGGATTGCACTTTTAAATCCTGCTCTCTGCTTTGAAGTTCTATACGTGTCACTGTCAAGCATGTTCTGGATAAAGAGTAATACTTTTTCAGGGAACTGTGTATAAATGATTATAAGGATTTCTGCTGGAGAGGAAATTATAAAAAAAATCCGGTAGCTGGATATGAACAACAAAGAGTATAATACAAATTTTAAGAAAGACATAATAATCACAACAGAGGAAGAATTTTACGAGACAAATATCTGAATAGAGATACAGAAATAACCTTTCGTGCAGCCCAAAATTCAGCTTCTGTCAGCACACCACTCATTACAAATTGCTTGTGCAGTTTCTGTAGCTCACTGATAAACGCACATTCCAATGACCCAATTATAAAATATCAAGAAAACCTCTCAAAGACGAGCAAAAGATTACACGAGTGATTGAGAATCCTAAAAAGACTAGAACAATACAAAATATAAACTGTCTGAACTGCAAATAGACACCATTGCACTCAAAAGTAAAGATACGAAATTAAAATGCCACGTGAAAAGAAGAAACATTGAGCAGAGTTACAAAGTGAAGATTGGACACCAAGAGAATAGTACAACGCTACTTCTGCAAACACAACATTTTTTTGTTTCATCCTGAACAGTTATTTTTAACATCTTATGCATTTATTCTGGAAGCACCCCAGTTCACCCTCATCTTACTGGTTCCCAAAAGATATGCATAATTTTCATTCTTGAACATGAAGTTTGTTTTAGGCAGCCAAGTGAGTTCTATTCTACCTAATCAGATCACAGCTTATCACTTCAAATGAAATCTCGTCAGTTAATTTGAAAAATCCTCCTGGGATATCCAAAGTTGAAGAAGGTAGATAGATAACAATTTTACGAAAAACATTAACAAGGTTATAACTAGAAACCACTAAAATAATGAGAAGGACCAAGTACCACACACAATACTGCAACTAACAGCTCAGGAAGCTCCAACAAAAAAGAAAAATCCGAACAGGTAACTCGTGACTAGCTTTATCAGTAAAACTGAAACAATGTATAAAGCTGGTTATATCAAAGAATACACGTGAGAGTTAGCAAGTTACCTATCCTCTCTCAATAGCTTCATTCGACGTTCCAACTCTGCTGCACTGATTTGTTCGCCATGAACCAGAGTGGAAAGTTCTGGAGCATTTTGTACTGGTGATGGTACAGTCTGAAACTTGCCCAGTACTTTGCCTGTGAAAAGGAAACAAAGGGACTGAGAAAACCGCTACTAGTGGTCACAAAGGATAAATTATTTTGAAGAACCACGATATTATTATCAAAAGAAAAGCGCCTGAAATTATTTCAACGTTTTGACAACCTCAAAGGTGGCCTTTAATATTTAGATAGTTGTCATCTGGGAAACTTAGTCCTATGGTATAGCATCATTCAAGTCTCTGATCTTTATCTTTCATTACTATTTCAAATTTTTCAAGGATAATTATTCATTCAATTATTTCAACTTTTCAATCTCACCATTTCACATGAATTCTTAGCTTCAATAACAGATTCTGAATCCTTTCCCTCTCTGTTGATAGCGAAAGTCCATAAACAATGCAAAGTAATAATCTTTATCACACAAGTTTTCATGCATAAACCGTGAGACCCCAAGGAACGAGAAAGAATTTATCAACATCTATAGAAAAAGTATACTGATTTCTGAAGAATAATTATTAAGATGGAAACTTACCCACAAAATCTCTGCAAACATTGCGGTCAGAAAAGTTGTCGAATTCAAAAATATAGCCTCCTCCCTGGAGTAACAAGAAATCCACGGAAGAAATATCCATCCAACTTACAATTGTCAGCCCCAGGAATGCAAAATGAGCATGGCCTAAACACTATCCAAAGATGCGGATTTAAGGTTTTTAAATTCAAAAGGAGAAAATCACAACGTTTAATGAAACGTTGTAATTACCTTTTCAGTATCATGAAGAATGTTCAATAGCGCTTGTTTAGTGCCCTCCTTCGTGAACCTATGAGCTGAAAATACACAGTAAGGATACAGACATTAATTTGACAAGAGACGACATAAGATATTGCCTATGCACCAAAGCTCTTTCAATTTTGTCCAAATTAATCATGACATATTGAAATTGTTAAAAGTAAAGAAGGACAAAAAAACACAGAATGTGATGAAGTGAGATAGAACACAATGAAATGAAGAAGCATCTGATAAAGTAGTCTGGGGAACATTGCAGAGAGGTTATGGAGAATAGGAAATGAAGATTTATGGTGGGCAACCCTAGTCAAGGGTAAACATCATAACAGCACATTTTGCCTACCCAAATACTCTCCTAAAATCTGGAGAGCGATTCACAAAGTATCTGGTTCTATGAATGTCTCCTCAGCATATCAGCTGGAAAATGGAAGCAACTTCTAAAATGTTAGAAGATAAATGGAGTAGTAAGCTATCTCTGACATCACGATTTAAGGTGCTATACCAAAATATGTAGAGATACAGTTCAAAAGTTCCTTAGAGCAGGGCAGAATGTCAATTCAAATGGCCCACAGAAGTAGAAACTGAAGAATGTGTTAAGCTTATGCTGTTATTAAAGAAGGCCGGGATATGAAATAATAGAATCACCACCAGAACTACGGTGAATGTCGAATGAGGGATAGGGGAAGGTTGAATGGGACGGAAGGATAATAAAAATAAAAAAAAGTTTCCCACTAAAGTAGGAAATTTTCTTGGGAAACGTTGCAAACAAACTCTGCTGACTGGCTGTACAACCGTGTATTAGGCATATCTCCAACAGGATTTAAAAGGAATGATTGATCATTTCTCTGTGTATGGAACCATTATTCATGTTTTTGTAAGACTTTATTCAGAATCAATGACATGAGGACGTTGGGCAATATTCTTGATTTCTTATGATGAAATCAAACATTCTGTGTTGTATAGCTTAAGAGAAAGGGAGGTGAGTGATATTACAAACTACTATTCTTCGGATATCTATTAGATATCAAAAGCAGAGCCAAGTTTAACTTTAAACTAGACAAAAGAAGCATACATCGGAGGTAATCAACCTTCAACCAGAGTATGTTTTCCTTTTATTGATGAAGATCTTCATCATACTACTTTTGTAGAAAATATTTAAGATCATTAGTCAATTTTCACAACCTAATAGCAAATAGAATAAGGAACCCAAAACATGAAAAGAACTAAATGCAGCGTATATGTTGGCATAAGTACTTACAACCCCAAGTTTCTTAAACACCAGGAAGTACATGGTCTGCATAAACTTCACAATCATTATTTCCACTTGGAATCGGAACTAATCATACTCCCACTGAGAATAAATTCCTGATTATAGTGACGAGTTCAACAAAACCACAAGAAATGCACCAAAAGCAGAATGGCATGTTTGGTCCCATTGATCTTACTCAAAATCTAGGCTAGTGTAACTGATTCTGATAAGAACAGTCTAACGGATGAAAGAACGATTTGCTATCATGTTCAAAAAATAAAAAAATCTAAATAATTGGCTAGTGTCGGAACAATGGTACCAGTGCGTCAGTTTGGCAAGGTTCTATAAACTCATGTTCCCCCAAAATAGCCCCTTACCTTTTATTTTACTAAAACTAACATCCAGCTTGACAGTTGATCTCTGATCAGTAGGTGTGAAAGTGAACCTTTCTTCCGTCTGCAAGAAAAAAGAAAAATGAATATAAACAAAGTAATGAAAGTTTTCAGGAAAAATAAGATCTTAGCTAGCAGCTCTGTATTTCTCCTTTTTCTCCTGATAGTCCGGGTCATGTTTCATTCAATAATTGTTTTCATTAAAACAGAGAAAAAGAAATACCGGCTTGTTATTCCCATGTTTAACTCTGTTCTTCACATGGACCATAGACCAAATAAATAATCAGTATCCTACAGATAAATTTGTCACAGGAATGGAACATCCGAAATTAATATGTCAAGAACGACGGAGAATTTGTCGACGTATGATCCACAAAGTATCAGTTCTTTTGTCGCCCTGGAGAAAACATGATGAAATCAGAAAGAAGGGTGAAGACGATGTCACATACATGACTAATGGAAAACGGTCCGAAAGAAGTAAACGCGGCATAAAGGAACATTGTGCCAACGAGCAGAGGGGATTCTTTCTAGCCAACAGCAAAATTCGCATTTGACAGACCTCTTATTTCGGGAATTGTTTACTTCCGAGGAAATGCGCCGATCTTGAAAACATAATTTCTATCTCAGTTTTACTGAGTTCTGCGGTTTTTACGCTACTTAAAGGAAGAGTGCCATAAAATTCCTCTTGAGCCGAAACCGTGCCCATCCAAACCACGGTGGCAAACACCATGAACAGGTAGTAGTAGTGCGATTGTCGTATCATCACGCTACAATCTGTACCATTCTTAGCATGCCTGGAATGCCAGGCTCCTTCACGGCGGGCTTGAACTTGGCAGTGACTGTAACCACCCCCATTCTCCGGAATCCGAGAGCGGACGCGGCAGGCGATCGCGCGATCCACCGCAACGAGCAGGAATGTGCCGCTTCTCTAACCTCTTTGAAGCAACCCCCTGAGTGACGAGGGAATTCTAGGGCTTCGATCGAGCAGGTTCATCGGGAGCCCGAGGAGGAATCAGCCCTCCGCCCTTCCATGTCTCCCACTGCAGTATATATAGCGCTGCCCTCCCCCTTCCTCCAGATGGCACGGAAGCGACGTGCTTCCTTAATGGGCCATACCGGACCCAGAAAACGGATTCAGGCGAGGCCCACAAGCCCTCGGCCTACCCACTCTCCAACAATATTCCATTAATTAATTAATTAATTAATAACACATCATTTTCAAAAAAATCCATTTGATATCTCAAAAAACAAAGAATAGCTCGGATTTATACTATTTATTCTTATTAATTAATTAAATTAAAAAATAATTATAGATAATATCATGCAAGTTTATTGAACGTTATCGAACATATCACATTTTATTGACACTCGATTTATTTTATCGATATTTAATAAATTATATTATTAACTATCAATATGAATTTTAACCGGATGCTAATTATCTTGGTAATTACACGAATAATAAGGAGACCCCAATAAAAATAAAAATACAATACAATACAATATATATTTTAATTTTTTATGCTTACAATGGTTATAAGCCACAACTAACGATGGTAGTTGGGGCGTCACTGTCCACCGTGGCGACCACCACAAGATGGATGAGAGAAAAAAGGAGAGTTTTTGAGAAATGTCTATTTTAATTTCCTAGAAAATATTTAATAAATATTTACGGGCCATTAATACTTGTTATTAAATTATAAATTAATATTTTTATTTAATTAAATTAAGATAGCATTCAATTGGGGTTGTGTCAATTGGTTTTCGGGCCGATACAGGGGGCCCGGCCCGTTGAGCCCGTGGAAACAAGCGGAGAATATCGACGGATGGGGCGTGGAGGCGCAAATCACAGCCGTAGAACCGGTGAAGCCTTGTGGGAACGCACGGCTCGGCGAAAACCACAAGTCCTCGCGCCACCGGGATTTTATTCTTCGAAGCCGCCGAAACCACTACTGTTGGCCCAACTACCTGAGGCGGGGCCCGCGAATGACGTCAGCACCGGACGAGCGCTCGAAAAGCGAGAGGGGAGATAAATGGATGCGGCCGTCATTGCCGCAAGCTGCCGCCACGTGCCTTCCACGTGGCAGCAATGGGGCCCACCCCGGAGGAGGGGACGAAGGGGGGGGTGGGGAGCTGGGAGGCGGAGGAATGGCCTCCTCTCCCCTTCCATCCCCTTCCGACGAATCCGTGCGCAATCTCTTCTCCGTCCCTCTCCACTGCTTCCGATCTTCCAGGTTGGGATCGAATTGAGACGGCTGATCGGGTTCCTGAGATCGGAGGGAAGGAGAGCAGAAGAGCCAGGCGGAGAACGGGAGATTACTTTTTTTGGTTTTTTTTTCTTTTTATCTTCGTAGTTTCTTGAATATTACGTTAGGTTTGAATCAGGTTGATCGACCTGGTGGAAGCTGTATAGATCTGTATGATTCTATTCGCGGAGTGTTCTTCTTGAACGGAAGCGGGTATATGGAGGCTCTTGGTTTACCTGGATTTCTCGGAGGTAGCGGCGGCCATGCGCGGTGACGCCCCCCGGCTGGAAGGTTTCCCTTACGGAATCTCTCCTCCCCAACCGTTGCAGGAGCAGAGTTTGCGGGCAGTGGCTCTTTTATGTTCCATGCTCTCCTCCAGTTCCCGACGCGAGCGCATGCGACTTTGGTAGGAGTGGAGACCGCGCTGGTTCTTCTCCACCAGCAGGACGAGTGTCTCCAATCGTGTGCTCAGAGGCCATGGAGTTTATGGAATCTCCTGATTCTGCGGCTGCCGCCGCCGCCGCCGCTTATTCCTCGTTCTCTGCTTCTCTCCCGGCACTGGTGACGGCGCCAGATGAACTGCGGCGTGTGAAGTTCCTGTGCAGCTTCGGCGGCAGCATCCTGCCTCGGCCGCTGGACGGAAAGCTTCGGTACGTCGGTGGGGAGACGAGGATCGTCAGCGTGCCGCGGGACGTGACGTACGAGGAACTGATGGCTCGGATGAGGGAGCTGTTCGAGGGAGCGTGGTCTCTCAAGTACCAGCAGCCAGAAGAGGACCTCGACGCACTGATATCGGTCGTGAATGACGACGACATCACAAATATGATGGAGGAGTACGACAAGCTGGGCGCCGGCGGCGACGGGTTCACGCGCTTGAGGATTTTTCTGTTCTCTCACCCGGACCATGACAGCGGGGGATCCTCCACTTCGGCTGCAGGCGCTCAATTTGATTCCTCCGACGAGCGGGAGACGGAGAGGAGACGATATGTGGATGCCCTAAACAGCTCGATCGACGGGAAACACCAGTTCAGCGTTGATGCCCTCGGTGGGGTACCAGGGACGGATAGCAGGAATCAGGTGGCCAGTGATCAGTTTCTTAGCCACAGGGGGATGGAAGCAGGAATCCATGCTCAGTTCAGCATGCACCACCTTAATATCCCTCACCAAGCTTCTGTTGGGCAGAGGTACAGTGACACTGAGGGGCCACGGAGCCCTGTGTACTGCACTCCAGGGCACCACGTTCTCCATGATCCACGGGAATTCCCTCCTTCGCCATCATCCAGACCGCACCATCCCGCGTTTGGAGAGTCAAATGACAGGATTCCAGAGGAGTATATGAGGCAAGCTCCTTCTCAGCAGCCTCCTCACCATCCCTCACTTGTGGAGAGTGTGGTCTGGCTGCCTCCTGGGGGTACTGTGGGAGAGATGGCTGGATTTCCCGGTAACCTGGGACATATTCATAATGTTTGTGAACCTAGTAGTGTATGTGAGCACTGCCTAATGGCTCTTCGGAGGAACCACCTAACAGCTCCTGAAGCTCGGTTTCATGACAGTCGTTGGAAGCAGTGGCAGACTCATCTAGAGCATTTGAATGCAGAAGGTGATTTCGCCGGCCAGTTCTCTAGCAGTACATGCGCCGAGTGCATCCATATCAGGGAGGCTTACTTGTTAAACCAGGACAACATTAAATTGGATCATCATGTCTATGCCAAGGAGCACAACGATCATCACCACTTTTACAGTGACGTTCATGGTCAGGAGAGGGGAAGGGTTCTGCAGCAGCACCAGGTGAACCATCTTCTTGATGATCCAAGAGTGCATTACAGTGAACGGTTCCCAGTTGATAGAAACGGAATGAATTTCCCTGTTGCACATGGAAATTTCTATGAATTGCATTCGGTGCAACCCAACTGCATTCGTGAAAATCCTCATTACGTTCATTCTGCTGCTGAACCGGGGAATGAAGTATATCATGACCAACATGCAACTAGTGTTGGGAACCATATGCAGGCACCAAGGGTTGAAGAGAATGGGCTCCAGTATGGAAGCAATCCTCTATATGGTGCTGATGGTATCTTTCAAAGGCCACATGTTTCACCTCCTATTGTTAATTTTAGTAGGAAAGCACAGGGCGCTGGTCCACCGTATGAAGCATCAGGGTCAATGCTACAGCCACAACATGGCACAGGTCACATAAGAAGCCCACAAGACGGCAGCATAGGATTTCCTGGTGTTGGTATGGATGATAAGGTACCTGGTAGTTGGAGTGTTCATGTTAGCAATCGTTTGAACAAAGTATTTCCAATCAGTGGACCCGTAACCCACGAGTATTATGATGACCAAGCTGTGAAACCCAATTTTCACCTTATCAATAAGGAGAATCAACATCCCTTCGGTCCTGAAGGTGTTCAGTATAAGCCTGGCCGAGCTGACTATGCCATCCTAAGTGAGCCTGGCCAGGCTGAGGTAGCCCCATCTTTGTCTTATGTGGGAGATAATGTGGCTGCATATCCAAATCGCCAATCCAATCCGATATTTCATTCTGATTTATCCAGAGATGTTGTGATCGGTAGCAAATTACCTGGAAGGTCTTATGAAACAAGCCACGCCAAGGTATCTATGGAGCCTGATGCAAGCAATATTCCTTCAAAGGATGAGGAAGATGGTAATTTTGAGCCAAAGGAGTCTTTGCCTGTTGTGAAGAAAGGAAGCTCTCTCAACGTCAAAGACTCAAATGAACGGGAAGAACCGTCCATTCAATGCTCAAATTTATTGCCTGAAATTATTTCTTCAGTCAAGATGATCAAGCTGGAAGATCTAGATGAGACGAAAGCTACGGTTCATGCAGATGAAGATACTAGTCCTCTAAATGATCTCAGCAAGAAGGAATTATCTTTGCACATCTCAGTACCTGCGGTGAGCTCATACCTAAACATTCATTCACATTAATTATTTTTAACGATATGGGCATGGAATGTTGTGGCAGAAAACTTAATTAGTTTCAGCATGCCATATTCTTATGTAATCTTGATCTACAGACTGCCCAAGAAGACATGGGCGCGGACTCGGACGCTGAGCAGCCTGCCTTATCAGAGATTGAGCCAACAGTGGCAGAGGCAGAGGCTCGAGCTAAAGGGTTGCAGGTATACAATGATGCGATCACCAGTTGGCGCTTATACTCATTCCATCCAGCTTCGTTTATACGTCTCTTATTATCTGCAGACAATTAAAAACACTGATTTGGAGGAAATCCGAGAGCTGGGCTCTGGAACTTATGGGTCTGTCTATCACGGGAAATGGAAGGGTTCAGATGTTGCTATAAAAAGAATAAAGGCGAGCTGTTTTACTGGGAAGCCATCGGAGAGGAAACGCCTGGTTAGTTTCCATTGTTTTTGTGCCATTAGTTTCTACTGGATATTGTAGGAGATATTTAAGATTCCTTAGTTGCATCTTCAAAGATTCTGTCTTTCCATGGAAGGCTCATTTCCTACGCAGGGAAATGATGGAGGCATTGTCTGGGAAACCTATGGATTCCTCCGCGTGTTTCCTAACATTTAGTGGATTTATGTAACACGTAACAGAGTCCTTTCCCCCATGTCATTATGGATTTTGATCTCTTTAGCAATCTGAAAGTTTTTGATTTTGTTCCTCATTGCACCGTGTAGAGGTGATAATTTGATTCCTGCGAGATTGATCCTGGTATGACATGAGGTACTTCCCAATTGCGAATTCTGACAGGAAATGACCTATGCCAGGAACTTGAATCGTTGTCTCCTCTAGTGGTAAGATCATCCCAGGAGAAACATGGAATTAATTCGCTTGTCCGACGATCGTCACTCCTGGCCTAAAATCGTTAAAATTAGAAGGTTTTGATGGCCCTATATATTTTACAATTATCGGATATAACCACTGTCAACAATTTCTTTTCTGACATTCATTGCATTGAAGTCTCTCTTCCTGTGATGGCCTCCGAGTTATGCCTACAGAAGAGTGCATGTAATTTTTTTTTGGAAAACATCCCTTTTTTTTGGGAAACTTGTATACAGAAAAATTCAGCTAACCAATTGATTTATCACGTGGTAAACGTACCGCTTCTTAATTTTACAAGGCCGATGGTGTTGTAGAACATCATTCAAGGTAATATCAAAGGGAACCTTGCAAGGATACATGTTTAAGAACTTGCTGATTGCTGCGATTGTCTTTGGTGATTAGGTACAACATCAAATTGCCATCAAAATTGATTAGTTATATCCTTGCAAGCATCTAACTAATGAAACAGAGATGCTGGGAAACGCATGGCCTTGTGTAGTGGGCAATATTCTTGATGAAATGCATACCATGTGTATTGCCACTTTCTACTCGATTTATAGAGTGGGGGGCTTGGCATCTGATTGACCGACCACAAGAATTTCGTCATTCTAATATTTAGGGTATTCAACTGATCCTTTCTGTCCCAAGATTAGAGCGGATAAATTCTGTGAAGTATCCTGAATTCTATTGCATGGGTCCTGTGATCAATCCACCGATTATTTTAATTGGTTTTTATTTATTTTATTAATTCATGGGAAGTCATTTATTTCGTTGCTTTCCAATTTTTTAATTAGAAGGATGTCTGAAATATGAAGTGCTCTCACAGATCGCAGATTTTTGGAAAGAAGCTTTGATCCTGAGTTCGTTGCATCATCCCAATGTTGTTTCTTTCTATGGTATTGTTCGGGATGGGCCTGATGGTAGCCTAGCAACGGTGACAGAGTTCATGGTAAATGGATCTCTGAAACAAGTTTTACAGAAGAAAGACAGGTATTATTTGATATGTATGATGAAACCATTCCTATCATGAGAAAAAAAAAAAGCTTTCTTTTCTCCTCTCCTCTCTCCATCAGTTTATCTTTCTGCCCATCACTGATGGCAGCTAGCTATTCACAATGCTTACAACATTGTGATGCTTTGCGATGATCCTAAGCAGAACAATCGACCGTCGTAAGAGAATCATCATAGCCATGGATGCAGCATTTGGCATGGAGTATCTGCACGGGAAGAATATTGTTCACTTTGATCTCAAGTGTGAGAATCTATTAGTGAACATGAGAGATCATCATCGACCTGTCTGTAAGGTATCATAACATCCATCCACATTGCATATTTGTCTGTCCAAAGTAGTTGTCCTATTTCTTTTATACATATATATATATATATATATGTGTGTTTTTTAATATTAGTATACTCATCTCCTTTCAACAGCCATCTTCTCTTTCTGTTCTCGGAAGCATGCCTTGTATTCTAGATTGTAACATCTTTCCAAAAACACGTGCACAGATTGGTGATTTGGGTCTGTCAAAGGTGAAGCAGAAGACCTTGGTGTCCGGCGGCGTTCGCGGAACCTTGCCATGGATGGCGCCTGAGCTGCTCTCCGGGAAAACTAACATGGTTTCCGACAAGGTCAGATATCAGACCCAGATGGCAAGCTTCTCTCTTCTCCGACGTACTCTGCCTTCTTTTTTCTGATCCTTTGCCTTCTCAGGTTGATGTATATTCATTCGGCATTTCCATGTGGGAGCTTCTCACTGGGGAAGAGCCCTATGCAGATATGCACTGTGCTTCTATAATCGGTGAGAAAAACCATGTAATTATATATTTTAAGAGAAAAATCAAACCCATTTTCTGAAAAATCAAACCCATGTAACTATAATCTGTGTTTTTCTTCTCAGGAGGGATTGTGAACAATACCCTGCGACCCACCATCCCAACGTGGTGCGACCCGGAGTGGAAGTCGCTGATGGAGACCTGCTGGTCTTCCGACCCGGCTGACCGCCCGTCTTTCTCCGACATCTCCCAGAGGCTGAGGAAGATGGCGGCCGGCGTCAATGTGAAGTGAGCCCCCCCCCCTCCCCCCCCGGGGGCCATGAGCTCTCCCCTCCTCCTGCTCCTCGCTCTGCGCTGTTCCCACTTGCTATTGATAAGAAACGTTGTAGAGAGCATCAGCCGGTGCCCAGAGAGAGAGCCCGCAGCTACCCTTTACCTCCAAGGTGGTGGGGGGGGGGGGTAATTTATTTATTCCCTTAATATTATTATTTTTTCCGTATAAATGCTTCTACCAGCCGCTGCTGCTCCGTGGAAGGTGGTTTATCTCCAGGTTGGTCCCTCCGGATGGCTCTTGTGGTCCCACTTTGTTTGATTTCTCCTCGGGGAGGGTTGACTTCTGATCTTGGGATCCTCCTCTTGCTGCAGGAGCTTGGCGTCGCTTTCTCTCCCTTCCAGATGATGTACATATGCTTCCCCGTTCATCACAGAGAGAGAGAGAGAGAGAGAGGGAGAGAGAGAGAGAAAGTAATGCCCGGCGAGCCAGCATTTGACACAAGATGTGGTTTATATATATATATATATATATATATATATATATATATAGAGAGAGAGAGAGAGAGAGAGAGAGAGAGAGAGAGAGAGAGAGAGAGAGAGAGAGAGAGATTTATATATATATAAATAGATAGGATTTTTATATATAATTTTTTTATCGGGGAGGTGAGAATTTCTATGTGAGCTTGTATGGCTTCTTGTTTGCTGTGTATGTCTTCCTATTTGAGGAAAATTATGTCGCCCCTCTGAAACCCAACAAATTTTACTCCATCTTATTTGCCTTTAAATAAATAAATATACACGTCGGTAGAGAGAGACAGAGAGAGACAGAGAGAGACAGAGAGATATTAGGATGTCAGGGCAGAGAGAGAGAGAGATAGTTGGACGTATTTTTCATATTGGATTTGGGTCAACCTAACAGATCCGGGTTTTTATCGGGTTTCGGATATATGAAAAGCGGGTTCGGTTTGGAGCGCGAGGTGTCGAGTCGTCCTGCTGATTTGGAGGTGTTTTCTCGCCGGCTGGTTCGGTTTCGAAGGTGGAGGGCGGAGATTGAGGAAGAGAGACGGGGGCGGAGAAGAGTGAATCCCTGGAGCGGAGCGGGAAACCGGGGAGCTCCGATGGCGGTGTCGATCCCGACTACTCTGATCCGGGAAATTCAGAGTCGGCTCCGTGCGGGAGCCGGAGTGCCGAGCTACGATCCCGCCGATCCTGCGCTTCGCCGTCTCCCTGCGGCTGAAGAGGCGATCTCAGGGCTCGATACTTCCGGGCCTCCGCGCCCGCATTGCATCTCCTTCAACACCACTGTAGGATACCGGAGGCTCCTGCAATCTCTCGGTCTTGATGGCTCAGTGAGTTATCTCGTCTATCCTACGGTGGCCGTGTTGTTCGTTATTTGCATCGGGGTTTAAATGTCTTCAATGCTTGCTTTAGGAGGGATCTTGTGATTACAGGAAAAGAGATTTCGATGTGATGGGAAAATGGGAATCGTCATCTTTTCCGCTGTTGAATAACTCGAGTGAAGACAAATGTTGGCTTCAATTTAGATGTTAGCAAGGGGAAGGGAACCTAGATTTTTTCGTCAAGGAATGTGCAGCGATGATTGTGGCTTAATAATCTTGTTCTTTGTGCTTATGTCTCCCAACTAATTCAGTTCAAGAACAATGAATGACGATGGGGCTTAAGTATGTATCGCATTTATTCTCTATTCCGACTCGGATTAGATAGTTACTGGAGTAATAAATTCTAAGGCATAGTTAGAAATATTTTAATGCGGTGCACCGGATGTTTACTAGTGGACTATGTACCTGGTATATGCTAAAGCCAGACGGAGGGGATGGGGTTTGACAAATTGTTTTTTCTTTTTCGCAGGAGGTTGTCTTGACAAACACAAAATCAAAAGACTCGATAAAAGACCAGGGTATGGAGGGTGACTTGGCTTTATCTGATTATCTAAACATAGAGTTAAGGTGTCATTTTGAAGGAGTGGAAAACCAAGGGAGCAATTCAAACAATGAACGACCACAGAGTGCTTATGCTTTGAACTTGTCAGGGATTGATCTTGATAACTATTTTTCTGATGCCAAAAAGGAGACGGCTTCCGATGTTCATATTGGGGCTAATGAAATGTCATTCTCAGAGAAAGAGGCGGATTTGGAAAATGTTGACTTGTTTGAAAACCTTCGTTCATTTGAGAAATCTGTGTATCCTGTGGAAACTAAACAAAGTGAATTTGTCGACTCTTTCGCTGCTTGGGACGTCGAATTCCCATCCGCCAGCGCTCATGTTTCTGCTGCAGATCCCAGTTCAAGGGACTTTTTCCAAGAATATTTTCCCCAGAAATTCACTGGTCCTACAGCAGGAGAACAGCTGAGTATAGAATCTGGATCAAATTTAGAAGGAAACACTTCTGAAGTCTCAAAGAGTTCCAGTCAGCTTCATTACGCAAGTGACGCTTGGCCTCTGGATGATCTGTGGCATTCTACTGGTTCAGTGGCGGCATCTAACGCGGCTGAGCAATTCAGAAGTTCAGACATCCTTGACGAGGGTGATTTGAAGCCTCCCATGGCTCAGGACCCTGCTCAAGATGATCTATGGCCCACAAGCAGTTCAAGCATATCAGACCCCGCAAAGTTGCAAACAAATGATGATCCATATGATGATTGGCAAGATTTTACTGGCTCCAGAAATGCCGCGGATTCTTCTTCCAGTCAGTGGCCACAAGCTGGTTCTGAAGTGACATTTTCAAAAGAGGATAAGTCAGGAGTTTCATTAGTGAGCACTACCGATAAGTTGGAAGACATGGACTTTGGTAGCTTTTTCCAGTCAGACGTGATACCTGGGTTAGGAAAGTTCGGTGAAGATTCAAGTCAACTGAGTGCAATTCAGTCACAAGCATTAGTCTCTGGCAGGTACGGGCAAATGGATGGTTTTATTTCTTAGAAAAAAAATTATCAGCATTTATTGAGTATTTATGATGTGCTTTCTTTAATCACTTGGTAATATCAGCTTCTTTAATCTAGAGGATGGTAGCCAGTGGATCGACGGTTCCCGTATTATATGCATCAATTAAGCTATCCACGTATCTTTTTTCTCTTTTCTGAGAAAAGAAGAAGAAGTAAGATTTACCAAGGTTTAAGGATTTTAGCAGCGTCTTCTGACCCATTTTGGGGAAGATAAATGCAACATCCTACTTTATTCTCGGACTTAATTCTATGCTTGTTGCTGCTAACGATAAGATATTCATCAGTTCTGACACGTCTATCTTGATCCCATGTTCTCTGTGGGGATTTCCCCTGTCCCTCTGATGATCTTCGCTCTACCTGTAGGACGAATGGCTGGGAGGAGACGAAGATGGTGGCATCATCTCCCATGGTACCTCCAGGGGATACCAAGGCCATTGTCGAGGCGCTGTTGTCTCAGATGCCCGATCTCTCCTTCATGCTGGAGGACGGCCTCTCCATTCCTGGCAAGCCTCGGCCTTCTGATCCAGCTCCATGACGGCAGATCAGACCATTCGCCGTCCAATCATTTCGTTGTAATATCGCCCGTGAGTCTCTGTTTTTCAATTTTTCTGAGACGGAATTCTCGGACTTGAGAAAACTTTGTGGCTCAATAACCTTCAATCGGCGTCTTCTTTTGTTCATCATCGTTACCATCTCATGAATGAATCATTGGAGAAGGATTGTTCATTTCTGGGTACATTTCTTCGGTGGGTTTCTACAGTTTCTCACAATGTGTGAATGTATTATTCCTACAAGTCGTATGGTTTCAGCAGAGGTGCCGCCATGTCTACAGAGACGGAGCTCGGTTCGGAGGGGGAGGAGGGGTGGCCATCCACACTGCCTCTTATTCTGCGTCTTCCAGTGACTGATACAAAACTTTCAGTGCAGGACGGCGGCCGTAAACTCTTTCGCAGGCTCTTCAATCTCTTCGCCTTCTTCAAGGCGGCGCTTCTACCTGGCCAGGTGGCGGCTTCCGGCGGACGTCTCCAGCTTCTCCGACAAGCTCTTGCAGAACTGCCGGCGGGGGTCAACTCTCTGAAAAATATCAAAAGGTGGGTGTGGGGCATCGTGATTACCTCTTTGTAGACTCGGATCTCCCCCGCTGACCTGGAGATCTCGATCATGCAGTGCGTCGGCGTCACCTCTATCACCTGCAACGCCATCCAACCTGAGACCGCCGCAAACAATGGAGCTCCGGCGAAGAAGACGACGAAAGAACGGGTGGCGCTCACCTCCGCGGAGACCATGATGTGGGAGATGGATCTGGTCAGCTTCTTGGGCGAGTGGAGTTTCACCTGCCCACGACGGTCAGTTTCTCTCTCCATCTCCACGGAGAGGAAGAAGGAAGAAGGAAGTGTTGGGGGGTCTGACCTTGGAGCCATTCATCCTCTCCACGGAGAGGCTGGCGTCCATGGCGGCGACCTGGATCTTCTCTATCGTCTCGCTCACTGGGTGCTTGGAGCAGAGCTTCGTCTTCTGTTGCTCGTCGTCCTCGCAGATGCATGCGACTGGCCCACGTCAGGTGGGAACTGATGGAGCGAGGAGGAGAGAGAAAGGAGGGGGAGAGGAGGCGGTTCCGGCACCTGCTCTTCGAAGAGGCCGGAGAGGTCGAGATCGTTGGACATGGCGATCAGCTGGAACGCGTTGATGAAGCTCGGCGACCTGGTTTTCGTCGCCTCTGCGGGTTTCCCCTGCCGAGTCAAGTTGTTGAGGAGGCTCATTTTTTTTTGCGAAACCCTAATCATGATATTTATTGTTTATGGAGAAAACCCAAAAGCATAATGGTGAACTTGCCCCTACGCCGTCCAGTGGCTCGTAGATGTTCTCCAGGCCCGCCGTCGTCTCGCTCAGGATCCCCGCCGCCGGCTCGTACCCCACCCGAAACCACTCGTCCTCCAGAATCTCCGCCACCTTCGCCCGCTGCACCACCACCAAGGTTCTCATCTCATAGAGAGAGAGAGAGAGAGAGAGAGAGAGAGAACGGGAGAGATAGAGATGAGGACTAACCCTTCGCGGCATGGGCTCCAGTATCCTCGACAGCAGCTTTCTGTGGGTAGCGGCGAACCATTCTGGGCATTTATACTCTGCTTTTGCTATCTACCAACAACAGACGCGCCGTTCAACACTCTCTCTCTCTCTCTCTCTCTCTACCCTCTCTCTCTTGCAGAAAAGAACCCACCTTGCGGTACAGGTTCATGGTGTTACGGTCCTCAAAGGGGAGGAAGCCGGCGAGAAGCTCGAAGAGGATCACCCCACAGGACCAGATGTCCGCCGCCGCCCCCTCGTACTTCTTGTGGATGATAACCTGTTGAAAGCCCCAAGACAGCACCCCGATTAGCTCCGTTTCTCTCTCCTCGGTCGCCATGGAAGGAAGCGAAAGGGCGAGCTCGGATGGTTACCTCCGGTGCTACGTAGCTGGGCGATCCGCAGGCCGTGGAGAGCATGTCTCCGGGCTGGTTCCCATTTAGAGCATAGTTTGAAGCATAGAAAAGGTTTAATTTTTATTGAGTAATGCGACGGATAATACCTTCCGCAGAGCGCTGAGGCCGAAGTCGGAGACTTTGAGGTTTCCCTTGCTGTCGATGAGCAGGTTCTCTGGCTGTTCTTGGGAGGGATGAGGAGGATCGAAGTCAGCGAGGAAGAGGGAGGTTGTTGCAGGTTTGGAAGGCGGGGGAGATCAGACCTTGAGGTCCCTGTGATAAATGCCCCTGGCGTGGCAGTAGTCCACCGCGTCGATTAGCTGCTGGAAGTATCTCCTGGCCTCCTTCTCGCTCATACTGAGATAAGACTGTAGAGAGAGAGAGAGAGAGAGAGTGAGATGGTAGAGAGAGAATGGGAGAAACTGCGGTTGATCTCTCAGTTCTGATCAGAGCTCACCATCTTCTCCGAGAGCTGCCCCCCCGAAACGTATTCCATGACGATATATATCTTAGTCTTTGTGGCAATTACCTGCAACAAAATTAGGATTCAAGGAGAGAGAGAGAGAGAGAGAGAGAGAGAATCGGCGAACCCATTGGATCGACCTCGTGTATCCGGACGATATTGGGATGGTGCAGGAGCTTCATGGCGCTGATCTCTCTCTTGACCTAAGGAGCATAAAGCATATCAAAGAAGCTCTCTCACTCTGTCTCTCTCTGGAATCTGTCGGGAAAACCGACGAGAGCGGAGATGTATTGGCTACCACCTGTTGCATTAGCCTGTTCTCCACGACCATCTTCTTGTCCAGAACCTTGATGGCCACGCTCTTCCCGTTCTCTGTGTCCACCGCCATCTTCACCTTCGCGAAGGTCCCCTCTCCGATGGTTTTCCCCACCTGGTATCTCCCCACGCGAACTCCGTAGCCCATCTCCGCTGTTCTTCCTCTTCCCCTACCTCAGAGCCTCATCGCCTCCCGAGTAACGGAGATCTCTATAATGCCGCGGAACAGGAGAGGGAAGAGAAGTAGGAGAGAGAAGCTCGAGGCGCCTCCTCCTCCGCGAAAGGGACGCGGGTAGGATGATTCCAGACTCGAGACTTCTCATGTCGGCATCATGATAGGCGCAGCTGGGTCGAGGAAGGAAGGTGAGAGGAGCGGATGATTGAGGATTCAGCCCACTTTGCCTGTTGATGGATCGGTAGTTCAGGAAGTCGGTGCCAGCGTGATTTGGAATGGAAGGTGACCCATCCTCTCTCTCTTCTTTCTCTCCACATCTCTTCCACAGTCGCTCTCACATATGCTGGAAAGGAGATGGAAGGATCAAGTCGAACGTGGGTACGGTGGCGAGGGGGCTCAGCTGGCTTCCCAAAGACCCACCGCTGCTTCCTTTCGCTAGTACATATTAAATGCCAATAAACGTGCGGGAGTGGGCCTTCCGACGGGCCCCGGGTGCAGATATCTCTCTCCTCGGGGCACTCCCAGGGAAGCTCCGCATGTGTGTGTGTGTGTGTGAGAGAGAGAGAGAGAGAGAGAGTAAGAGCATCCGCCCCTTCGAATTCCTCCATTAACGCGCCTGGTTGATGCTGTTATAAGAGAAATGGTCGCGAGTACAAGTTCAGAAGACTCTCCGGATCATTCGACTGAGCTCTTTTGATGAAGAGAAGAAAGAACACAAGATGAAACTGATCGATGTGTTCATCTCTCTCTCTCTATCTCTCTCTCTTGAAAAGCTTCGGATATTGACGGTTTATCTGTTCTTTAGGGGCTTTCTTAGGGGAGAATCTATCGAGTCTCATTGAAACATCAACGTAGAATCTCTCCTCTTCTATCTTGATGTGTTATTACCGCAACTGGTTGGAGGGTAGCCACTCAAAGGAGTCCCATCAATCGTCCCTAACTCGAGAGTTAGCGAGCCCTTTCTCTTCGCTTTCAGTGAGTGAAGGAGAAACAGCAAAGAGCCGAGAGATCCATGTGCCATGGTTTTAAGGTTTTGGCAGGTTCTCCGATGGAGAAGACCAGGCCTTGATTTCTTCTGTGATTCGTCTGTAAACCCTAGAAAGTTTCTAGGGATTGATGCCTAAAGGAGGAGGGAGCTTATCCGGGAATGTTCATGCCCACAGGTAAGTTCAGAGCCCCACCCAGCTCATTCTGATCCAAACTTCATTAAATTCCGAACCGAACGTCCGAAGTCTGTTCCTCATGGCATCTCTCTCTCTCCCTCCCTCTCTCTCTCTCTCCCCTCTCTCTCCCTCCCTCTCTCCTCCTCTCTCTCTCCCTCTCTCTCCCCCTCCCTCTCTCTCTCTTTCATCCACAGACGCACATTAGGATGAGGGCAAGGGTTGACCAAGGTTATAATACATTTTCTGGAATTTTCTCTTAGTCTAGGTCTTATCATTGATGCATGATCTAAGCCTGGACTCCTCAAGGTCCCAACCTAATGGAGACGCCACTGACCACTTGCAATAGATCATGAATTACTTTAATAATTAAAAAACTGAAAACCAATCACTTTAATATTATTAATATTAATATTATTATTCTATAATCTATTTCTAGTCATTAATATTGAAACAAAGTTAATATTGGTGCGTTTTTTCTCTCTTATTTCTTTTATATCGTATGGTCCTCTCTGTCTCTCTCTCTAAGATTGAAGATGTCTCTCTCTCTCTCTGTCAACGGGAAAACCTATGGAGAAGAAGCCTCAAAGGGAGAACGGCTCCAATCGGTTCCACGTCACCATGCCAGGCAAGGGGCCCACATCTCTCTTGTGTCACCGTTGACTTCCACCACGTGCATAGTAGATGTCATCAACTATTTTTAAACAAGAATTAATCCAAACGGCAAAACCCATCATCGATTGACTACGCGCCGTCAGCCATGTTTTTGCTTCCATCGGAAGCTGGCGTGTCGCTTGGGAATAAGGTTAGTTGTGAACCCGCTGACGTGTCTTTGTCAACAAGGCTTTGTACCATTAAGCCAGTCAACGCGGTGGGACTAGCAGTTGGGATCCACCCGCGGCGTAGACCTTTATGTCCCACGTGGATTGAGGAGATGACGGCCCATAGAGACCACGTTTTCCAATATTGAATGGCCTGCTTGTCAAGTTGGGACTGACAGCCTCCATGTGGGCCCTAATGCTCCATATGGTGTGCATCTTCACACGGGTCCAATGGGTCATTTATCTATTCCCCGGCCCATTATGTGGTAGCCATGCACAATATGAGCCCACTGAGCGTCCCACCAGGGCAACATAATATGGGGCTCTGCATATACGCACTCTCCACCCCACCCCCCCACTCTGTCTCTGTCCCTCTCTGTCTCTGTGTCTGTCTCTCTCTCTCCCTCCCTCCCTCTCTCCCTCCCTCCCTCTCTCATCTCTCTCTCTCTCTCTCTCTCTCTCTCTCTCTCTCTCCTCCCTCCCTCTCTCACCTCTCTCTCTCTCTCTCTCCCCTGCCTCCCTTCCTCACTCTCTCTCTCTCCCTCCTCCCTCTCTCACCTCTCTCTCTCCTCCCCCCCTCTCCCTCCCTCCCTCTCTCTTCTCTCTCTCTCCCCTTCTCTCCCTCTCTCTCTCTCTCTCTTCCCTCTCTCCCCCTCTCTCTCCCGCTCGCTCTCTCTCCCCCCCCCGTCTCTCTCTCGTAATAATACCTGAGTGGGAGCTGATTAACTGTAGTTAGTTGCATAATATTTTAAAAATTCTCCCTTTACACATGAAATATAAACGAGAATACGAAAAATGGTGTCAATGGGCAATTTTTTCTCAAAAAAACTCGACAATTATAACCGTAAAAACTATATTATATATATTTTAATTATAATAGTAATAAATTCGAATCATTTTATGTATTCGTAAAAAATTTTAAATATCTATTTTATGTTTAATTTTAAATATTTTGTGATTATTTTAATTTAAAATAAAAATGAACCATATAGGAAACTTTAATTAACATCCGATGATACCAGGATAGATTAAATATTAACGGAAAATATAAGAATCAAATAACGGATATAAAATTATCATGGTGCGATCTTCTAGTTTAAATATGATGATCAAGGTAATTTCTTTCTCGGAGCTGCTGTAAAAATGGGTATTTAGGGAAACAAATTTCCATATAATATGGATATTTTATGGAAATTTCTGCCGAGGAAGATTTTCGAGTTTTTCAGCTTCTTTCAGTCGTTAATGGCGCTCCGAAGATATGGCGGATGACTGAGCCTCGACCGCACAGAAACCCAGATGAGGAAAGCCTCTGCACATCCCCACGGAGGTGGAAGAAGGTTGCCCGGATCGAGATGCCACCCGGACAGGATAAGATGGAAGACGTCACAGGTGTTGAACACATCAATGCTTCACCTCCCTATAAACCCTCGTCTCCGCCTTCTCGAAGAGCTCTCTCCCTCTCTCTCTCTCTCTCTCTCCCTGAGCAACTCGATCGGGTCGCTGTCGACTGGACCGGTGAGCCGCAGATCGTTTTCGTCCGATATCTCTATCGTGGATGCTCTTTTCTTTGTTCTGCGGATTCATTGGTTGGGGTTCATCTTCTCATCATCTCTGCAGAGCCTCACGTGAATCAGTCCCCTGTCTTTACTCCGGTTCGCTGGTGTTGTTTCCCCTTCTCGTCGTCGGTTGGTGCGGTCCACCTCAGCTCTCTCATCATCTTCTTTGTTGCGGAGGCGCCCGAGCTAGTCGGAGGATGAGGGCGGCGAGGGTTTTGCCGTGGTTTCTCTGTCTGTGCGTTGTATCGAGATATCCTGTGAGTTGTAGTTCTCTTCTGTTCCTTCCTCCTCGTCCATCCTGCTCGTGGATTATAACTTTCGTTTCTGCGTTCTTTGAGATCGGGAAGATTGAGCTCGCTTCTCACAGTCAGTCGTATTTGATTTTCAGATCCACTGCGGCGCTCAAACGTGCCCAGCAGACTTGCAGACAGAATGCGGTGATCCTTCAAGTATGAGTGAGAATTTCAACGTGGATCATGCTTCACTCGATCCCCTTTGAGAGTCCCATGATCACCTGATCCCGAATCGCAAATCTCTGACGGATTCCCTGCGTCAGGGCCCAAAGAGCAAAAACCCGATGTCATACAGATGGTACAACGCGGAAGAAGAGATCCTCGGGAAGAAGATGAAGGTCTGCCGACGGATCATAATATATTGTCATGTCTGATCATAATATATGTATAAATATATGTAGATTCTTAGTGTTCTTTGGTTTAGGATTGGATGAGGTTCAGTGTCGCATTTTGGCACACCTTCCGTGGGACAGGAGCTGATCCCTTTGGTGCCCCGACCAAGTTGTGGCCATGGGAGGACGGAACCAATTCATTAGCCATGGCCAAACGGAGAAGTAAGGAGGGAGAAACCTATCTTCTATCGCTTACTAAACTGAGTCCAGGATAATGATTTTTATTCCTGTTGTATCTCGAATCAGTGAGGGCCAACTTTGAGTTCATCAACAAGTTGGGGGTTGACCGGTGGTGCTTCCATGACAGGGACATTGCCCCAGATGCCAAAACCCTAGCTGTAAGTTCCTCGACTCTCCCTACACGTTTCCCAAGTGATCTGCTTGTGCTTGTTGTGATACTATACTGTCCTTTGAATCATTAGAACCGAGGGAGGGCTAATTCTCTTTGCTATCTTATGTTCTTATGTGCCATTAACTTATTAGAAACCTTGAGCGATGCCAAATAACGTAATTCAGTGAGGTCTATTATTTTCGGCGCTGATTGAATCATCAATGTGATGGGTATATCAGGAAACGAATGCGAACTTGGATGAACTCGCTGCTCTTGCAAAAGAGCTCCAGGTTAGATTAATCAATCAGAAATTATCCCTGTCTTGGTAAAAAAAAAAAAAAAAAAAACAGCAAGAACTTCACACATGTGTGTTTTTTATGGTTCTTCAGGGATCGAAGATCCGACCTCTGTGGGGGACAGCCCAGCTCTTTATGCACCCCCGCTATATGCACGGAGCTGCAACGAGGTGTTTTATCTTTTCTTTCCAATTCCTTGAGATAATTTAAATTTTTTCCGTGGTTTGACCTTTTTCTAAATTTCTTTTCTTGATCCTCTTTCCTTGACTTTGCAGTCCTGAGGTGGGGGTCTATGCGTATGCTGCAGCTCAGGTCAAGAAAGCTATGGAGGTTGGTGTTCAACGAATGATATGTCTTCTCTTGGTTCTGTATGTCATCATACATTCTGTGTGGTGACGACGCCCAGGTGACCCACTTTCTTGGAGGGGAAAATTTTGTCTTCTGGGGTGGTCGAGAAGGGTATCAGACTCTATTGAACACCGACATGAAGAGAGAGTTGGATCACATGGTTAGATCAGACCTCGGCATCTGATAGTTCTTCTATTTTTCTTAAAAATAACAATTAACAATATCAATCTGACTTGTACAACCCTGCAGGCTGCATTCCTTAGAGGGGCTGCAGACTGGAAGAAGAAGATTGGATTCAATGGTATGAATTTACTCCAATCCATGAGGGTACTATGAAGACTAGGCCATCAATGAATCAGCAATCATGCGTACAACCGATCTCGATCTCTTCATGTCATGGAGAATGATCGAATTAACTTTATTTATTTTTCAGGGACGCTTCTTATAGAACCCAAGCCACAAGAACCAACAAAGCATCAGTAGGTTTCGCCTGTTACATTGGGTAGGAAGATATCCGATCTCATTTCTTCTTGTTCTCTCATCTCTTCCGATCGCCATGGCAGGTATGACTGGGATGCTGCAACAACAATGTCTTTTCTCCAGAAATATGGCCTCATAGGTGAAGTTATTTTTCGGTTCTATATCTATGTTTTGCATGTATACCATGTTTCATGTTTATGAAAATTTTGTGGGTCAGTTTTTTTTCCCTTGATCTCAGCGAAAGGGGTTTTTTTTTTCTTCTTACAGATTGTGCAACCACATGGGGTTTGACTTAATTCGCTGAGTTATTGTGCACTAAATAATTTCATAATGAATTTTTCATTAGCATCAATAGGATACTTTCTATAAGCTGATCCACAACATCACGTCTTCAGAGAAGTTTCAAATCAGATGTCATGGAACGTCATCAATGCATCAGCTGGATCAATTTGACACCTTTTCTTCAGAGAATGTCATAAGAGCTTCCATAATGGAATAGAGCAGATTTCATAAAAAGTCAACTAGCTCGGTGCTCCTTCCGAGGACATGATCCTTCTCTCAAAACTGACTCAAGTTTTCAAGGGCATCCCCATGAACTCTCCCATGGTCCATTCTTCTCACTGCATGGACGCGTATCCAACATATGCTCCACGTTGGATTTCTCCCAAGGAAAAATTATCTAAATCAGGACTGATGGAGGCTAGCTTCATCCGTGATCTTATGCTATGAATCCTTGAATGTGATCCCTCACTAAGATGCAGCACTCCCATTCTGATGGATATCGTGATTGCCCAGTCTGGCAGATAATAGTGTATATGCACATACATACATGCATACATGCATACATGCATACATGCATATCTATATATATATATATATATATATATATGTATATAGTGGTTTGGGTATGGTTTTTTTTCCATTTCTCTGCCTCCGGATCAATCTTTCATTATATTGATCGTGAGGCGTCCAATTTCCCCTCTATTCAGACGAATTCAAGCTCAACATCGAGTGCAACCATGCTACCCTGTCTGGTCACAGGTGTGTATTATTTATTTATTTATTTATTGTCCTGATTTAGGATAGTTGGGGGTCTACTAAACGAGCATGAACCTAGAATGTCGGTACATACCTGATTTATTTTTCTATCATCGAAGCTGCCACCATGAGCTCGAGACCGCCCGAATCAATGGCTTATTAGGTAATATCGATGCAAATACCGGGGACCCTCAGATAGGTATGCTGGGTTATTTTTCTTCATGTCATTCTGAGGGATCTGGGTCCTTGTCCACGTCATTCTGAAGCTGAGCGTTGACCCAGGCTGGGACACCGACCAGTTCCTCACCGACATTGGAGAAGCAACCCTGGTTATGCTGAGCGTGGTCAGAAATGTAAGAAGAAGATGACCTTGGAGCTAATTACTCTGCGTATTATTCTATAGAGCCCTGTATTATACATGGGCTGAGGCTTCTCTGGGGCTTCTCATTTGTGCAGGGAGGGCTCGCACCTGGCGGCTTCAACTTTGACGCCAAGCTGTCAGTATTCTCATATATATATATTTTCAAGATCTCTTTAGATTTTTCTTGGAAAAGTCAACGGGGCAGTGACTCCGGTTGGGCCCGGAGTCACTGCCTGGGTTGGTTCCTGGTTTTGAAGTGGTCGGGGGCGCCGGCCACGTTGCCAGGGATGGGTCCCACCTGAAGCCCGTTTTATGGGCTTTTGTGAGGCCCCAATGCGACCCATTAACACTCCGTGGGCAATGCTGCAGGAGGAGAGAGAGCACCGACGTGGAGGACCTGTTCCTGGCCCACATCTCCGGGATGGACACCCTGGCCCGTGGACTTCGGAATGTCGCCAAGCTGATCGAGGTATTTCTTATCTGGGAAAAAAAAAAAAAAGATTGCTCCATTTTTTCCAGGTTCTTCCTCCCCTGATTTTATGGAAAATCCTCAGGATGGCTCTCTGGGTGAGCTCGTCAAGAGACGCTACCATAGTTTTGACACAGAGTTCGGAGCCCAGATCGAGGTACCACTCCCCCCACGCTAGGGCTCCTCTTCCCTCGTTGACTTCTAGGATTTGACCTCCTGTTGATGGGATTACCAGGGCGGGAAGGTTGACTTTGAGACTCTCGAGAAGAAGGCCATGGAGTGGGGCGAGCCGGTTGTCCCCTCGGGCAAGCAGGTACGGAGAAGATGAGCTGATTCCTCCTGGTTCTCCTCCTCTCCCTTGCATCCGTTCTCAAAGGATGTGTAATTCTACTCGTTTTATGCCTCGCAGGAACTGGCGGAGATCATATTTCAATCTGCTCTGTAGGTAGGAGAGGAGCGCTGATCCCTCTCTCTGTCTGTCTCTCTGTCTCTGTCTCTGTCTCTGTCTCTGTCTCTGTCTCCGTCTCTGTCTCCGTCTCTGTCTCCGTCTGTCTGTCTGTCTGTCTGTCTGTCTCTCTCTCTCTCTCTCTCTCTCTCTCTCTCTCTCTCTCTCTCTCTCTCTCTCTCTCTCTCTCTCTCTCTCTGTCTTTGTCTGTCTCTGTCTCTCACTTTTCTGAGAGCCGAGCTCCATGGCCGTCTCCTAGGCTTTAGCAAGCTACTTTGGGCAACAGTATTTGGCGTGATAAGAGATGGCTCCTCTAATTTGTCTGGCTTGTGCAGCTACAGGCCACTGGGGGAGGGGTGGAAATGGGCTGACGAGGCCTGAAAAGTTTCTATTCCGGGCCATTGTTTGAGTTTGAGCTTTCAATAATAAAGCCCGGAAATGTGAATGCACCCTATCCTGGGCACTTCATTCTACGTGGCCCCGCTCCCTCATGGGCCCAGACGACGTCACGGGGTCTGCATTTCATTTTTGATGGATAATAATATAAAATAATAATAACAATAATAGTAGTTTGTTCTTTGTTTTTAGGTCAATAAGAACATGCTAATTAAGGAAAATTATCTTATCTGGGCAGGGTTGAAAATATCTTCAAATCTTTCCAGATATGATGAAGATGGTTTTTTTTATCCATATACTTTTTGATCTCCAAAAGTCAGATAATCACTAATAAAAAGGCAATGGGGCACGTTTTTTTATTGGTTTGATGGAAATCTTAGTGAGTCAACCCGTAGTTTAGGATGTCTCTGTGGAATTAGACGCCGCCACCTGTCAGTCAGCAGGTTGACATTGCGGCGCGGTGTTAGTGAGGCAGGAGGAGGAGAAGATGTCCAGAGCAGGAGCGCAGCTTTCGATCCTCGCCGCTGGATTCGCTAGGAGAAGAGGGGAGGCGGCCGCTGCGGCGGAGCGGCGGCGGCTTTTGCTCTGGTGAGGAAGGGATGCCGGAGCAGCTGCTCCGCCGTGAGCCGCCTGGTCGGGTCCTTCTGCAGGCAGCAGGAGATGAATCCTCTGAGCTCCGGCGAGGCCGTCGGAGGCGCCGCCGGCGGGTCGGAGTAGCAGATGGCGCACATCAAGGTGATCAAGTCCCCCCGCCGTCCGGCTTCCTCTCCGAAGGGGTACCTCCCTAGGTAGAACTCCAGGACGGTCAACCCGAAACTCCAAATGTCAGCGGCGTAGCCGTCGTAGACACCGCGATTGGGGTCCGTGTTGATCCTCTCGGGGCTCATGTAGGCGATCGTCCCGACGGAAGAATTGCATGGGTCCAAGCTCTTGGGGAGGATGCGGGAGACCCCGAAGTCAGCGATCTTGACCTGGCGGGAGGAGTTGACCAGGAGATTCGCCGGCTTGATGTCGCGGTGGACGATCCGGCGGCGGTGGAGGTAGCGGAGACCTTGGAGGACCTGGCAGGATATGTCGGCGAGGGAGGGCTCGGAGGAGATGCGGCGGCCGCCGAGGGAGCCGCCGTCCATGTACTCGAGGAGGAGCTGGATCTCCCCGGCCTGGTCAACGTACATGTGGTGGTAGCGCACGACGGAGGGGTCATCGGCTGCGCGGAGGATCTCTATCTCGCGAGAGATGTGGCGGCGGAGGTGGTCGTCGTGGAGGCCATGGATGACCTTGAGGGCGAAGTGGCAGCCCGTCGTGCGGTGGCGGACCAACCAGACGGTGCCGCCGCTGCCGCTGCCGAGTCGCCGGACGCGCTCGAGGTCGGAGAGCGGCGGCGTCACCACCTGGGAGGAGGAGGATGGTGGCAGCGCGGCGGAGGAGGATGACGAGGAGGAGGAGGGCGGCGGGGCGTGAGGAGGAGGAAGGGGAAGAGGGACGGCGATCGCCGCCGGGTCGCGAGGGGGCATAGAGAGGGTCAGCTCCGGGCGCCGCGGGGGAGCCGTACGGCGGTTCTGCGACTGCGAGGCAGTGGGCTTCGTCGGAGGGGTGGGGGGTCTCATGGTGTTGCAGGCAGCGGCGGATCAGGGGGAAAAGAGGAGTTCCCCTTACTCATAGAGCGAGGGAGAGTTTGTGACCAGCAGACCTACGGCGGGGATCAGGAGTTCTTGACTTCCAGGATTGACTTTGACAGTATGACTTGGTCGTGGCCGCGTCGAGGGGGGAGTGTCACGCGGTGAGCTCCCGACCCGGAGTGTCAAGTAAGGATGATCGAAGAAAAGAAAGTCAGCAACCTGCATAAAAGTCGTTGCACCGTTTTTCTCCCGGCAACATAAAGGGAAAGTAAACTCGTGGGAGTCTGGTGAGGAGGCTTCCTTAAATATCTAACGAAATTATCAAGCTGCGAGTAAATTTCAGAAATATTTTTGAACTAATTGAAGGCAAGTTCCAAAGTCTTGGTCAACTTGCCAGCAAATGTCGCCACTAACCCAACAGTTTTGACGGGTTCATCCGCAAGACCTTTGAAGTTTTTTTCTTGTAATGATATTAAATAACTTGTTGAAAATAGTTGAAACCATGATTTAAAATTAAATAAAATACCGATAAATTCTGATCTCAGGTTAGTTATCAGTGTACGACAGAATTAATGAGGCATTTAAAAATTATAGAGACATTTACGTGAGCACACCTGATATTTAATCAATTAAATTATTCCTTATAAACATTTTTAGTATAAAAATGGTAAAGATAGGATCACACACACACAACCTGTAAAGTGTAACTTGTGTTATATGGGCGTTGACCTTCTATTTCCATTATGGGAATCTAGTTCTAAATGGGGGAAACTAATATTTGATGAAAATAATAATAATCCCAAGCAACTAAATAATTCCTCATTGTCATATACATTCCTAGTTACATCTAAATGATTCGTTTTTTTTTATAAACCTACTATTAATAAAATAATATTTATTTTATAATATATTTTTAAAAAATGCAATTGAAAAAAATAGTTTTATGACTCAACTGAGGGGTTGTGATCTCTATAGAGAGAACTCTCCTTCTGCCTTCCCCTAGTCGACACAAATGGGGAGGATGATAACTCCTATTTAATTATGTAAGCTCCATTTATCTAAGAGCTCTATTTACATTCACCTAACAACCCAAGAGAAAGATATAGTTAGATTCAACATATAAATGGGTGATTTACCAGAATCTAAGGTTATTGCTATTGAGAACCTGAATCTATCATGAACTCACCAAGGAAATTAGGGCTATTTCTAGTGATTGGGTTGATTTCAAAGCCCACATCTGGAAAATAAATACAAATTCAATGTCAATTGTGTTCTTGGCCCATTGACATATGGGAGTAGATAGTTGTTGGAGATTAGAGACATGCTAGATACCTTTCATACAAGTGGCCAGTTAGAATCATATGAGAAGTCAGCACACCATTGAATCATTCACATGAACCTACCAAAGCCCTCACTCTATAATGTTAATATTCTACAAAAAAAAAAGGAGCTCTAGACATAGGAGAAGAGAGGAGGATGGTAAAAGAACTAAGAAGAGTGTCTATAGGAGAGTGAGAGGCATTAGGTTAAAATCTTCTTTGTTTTTGATATTCTAATAAATTGACATGTTCCAAGCCTTTCATATATATATATATATACATATAATATGTGTATATATGTTGGATTTCTTAGCCCTAGCTATTTTTGCTAATAATGTCACATAACAAAGAGCTTTGAGAGTATGGGAAGAAAAATAACTCGTTTGATTAGAATAAAGGTTCTAGAACCTATACGTTCATGACCTTAAACAAAGGTCAGTTACAATATATAAATGAACCTTACTTGATAGTTATAACTAAAGACATGGCTCATGTATAAAAACAAATATACTACATTGACAAAATATCTCATATTCTAACTCCTTAAGCTAGTGAAAGGATATTTTTCATTCTCAACTTGCTCATGAGTTTCTATATTGTAGGATTGTAAAGTCCCTTGGTGAATAGATTTACATATTGAGTCTATGATTTAACATGATGAGTGAAAATAATACACATACTCTATCTTCTCTTTGATAAAGTGACGATCAACCTCTATGTGCTTTGTTCTATCGTGATGTACAAGGTTGTGAGTTATAACTATGGTTAATTTGATTGTCACATAGAAGCTTGATAGATGTCTCATATTAGATTTTTAGATCATTCAAGATTCATTTGATCTATAATGCTTTGTATACTCTTTGGGCCATAGCTTTAAGCTCAAATTTTATGCTTGACCTTGAAACAATTGATTATTTATTACTGCACCAAGTGATTAAATTTTCTTTGAAGAATGAATAGTATCATGAGGTAGACTGTTTATAATTGAACATATGTAATCATCATCAATAAAGATTTTTACATTAATATTTTCATTTGATTGAAATAAATATCTATATTTGAATGTTCTCTTTAGATATAAAAGAACAAACCTTGCTATCTTGTTGTATATCTTTCTACGATCATACATAAATTGGCTAAGTAGTCTTTTTGTATAAGTAATATCTTGAATATCTTCTTTGATTTGTTGGTGGGTTGTCTTTTTCTTGGCTCAATTTTTGACTTGGATTAATATAATTTATATTTCAATTGAGATAAAAATTTCCACATCTGAAACATATAACTTTTATTCTTAGAAAATACTTCAAATCTCTTAATGATTTTATTTCAATGTAAGTAGAAAATTTATCATTCAAGAATTCAATTGCTAATAGATCATCTTTAGTAAGAATCTTGTCACTAACATAATGGAATGAAATAGAAATTCCCTTATCAGTGTATTTAAAGAAGAGAGTATGATCGACATTACTTTGAAAGTAATTAATTTCATGCATAGTGGACGAGAGCTTGTCAAACCAAGTCCTTGGTAATTATTTTAATTCATACAATGACTTTAATTTACATATAAATCTCCTCATTGAGCGAACTACATAGGAAGACATTTTTCACATATAACTAATGAAGTTGTCATATTTTCATTGATTTAATGAATATTAAAATTCTTATGGTGTTCATTTTTGCAACTGGTGTAAATGTTTCATCATAATTGATTCCAAGTTTTTGAGCATATATGTGGTAATTAATCACATGTTATACCGTTTTGCTAATTCATCATGGTTATATTTAACAGTGAATACCCACTTACATCTCTTGGGAGATAAAATATTTCATGTATCTCAATTTTAATTAATATCCTCATTTTTACATTCATAGCCTTTTTCCACTATAAATTATTTAAGGCATTAGATAATTTAGTTAGTGTTGGAATGGATTCTATTCTCATCAAAAATGATAAATGCATTTAAATAATCAATAGAGGGAAAGATAATTTATTTGATTATTGATATTATGATGAATGAGTAAGTCTACTTGATTCTCTTGTTATTCAAATTGGAAGGTGTAACTCTTTTGAATGAATTAGAACTCTCATAGATTTGTGAGTGAGTTTTGTTCCTTTTTCTTGTAGTATATTTTTTCTCAAATTTTCTTTTTAGATATTGATTATGTGATTCACCTTCATCACTAGGAAGTAAATAACTTCTTTGAGGTGTGATTTGATTACTTTGTTTGCCTTTAGTTGTGTTTTTTAATTTTTTTTAATGATTGTCACCTTCATTGAAGGTGACATCTCATGTAATGTTAAATTTCATATTTTGAGGGTCATAACATTTATAACCCTTTTGTGTAAGTGAATATTTTAAGAATATACACTTAAATTCTCTTGGGTTTAGTTTCTTTATGTGGTATAAGTGTATATATATCACACACTCAAACACTTTGGCTGGGAGTCTATTTTTCAATTTTAATCATGTACATAGTCTCTCATGAAATGGTTCTTATACAATATTTTAGATGGCATCTATTGATTTGGTAGGTGATGGTGAGTAAAACCTCCCCTCGTAAATATTTTGGAACATTCCCTTGGATAAGGAGAGCCTTAGTCACTTCTCTACTGTTCCATTTCATTGTAGGGTATTCAAGGAAAAGGTCTCATGAACCACTCCATTTATTTCAAAGAATTAGACTAAACCTTTATTGATATATGTTAACATTGTTAGATCTAAGATGTGTAATGGCATTATTAAATTATTGTTTCACCATTTGAAAGACACATTTCAATTTATCAGTCACTTTTAATTTATGATTCATCAAGTATACAATTATTTTTTGAGTACAATAATTTATTAAAGTGATCAATTAGCAACAAACATGAGTAGTAAATACTTGTGTTGGTCCCCACATATCACTATAAATTAAATCAAAAGGTTTAAGACATTTAGAATCATAAGAGGGGTATATTGGTATTCTATGCTTGGCTAATTGACATGCCTCACATTTAAGAAAATTATCATAAAGTCTATTACATAAATTTATAAATACTTTTTTAAGAGTCATCAAAAGTTTGTCATTTGATGATTAATTGCCCCTTGACTCTACTCTCTAAGTCATATCACTACTTGTGCTACTCATTGGTACTCTCCTTTCAATCCTCCAAACCCTCCTATATAGTGAAATACTTTTTGTTCTTCAGCAAGTCTAGTCATCAAACCCATATCTTTGTCAAACAAAACACATTCTAGTTAGAGCAATTAAAAGATCATTAGTTTGATAACATCTTTACTTAGTGAGATCAAACTAATTAAGAGTAGGGGCAGATATAAGACTTAGTGGATTCTTCTTATTTTTGGAATTTAGATAGATAATATACCAATTAAAGGAAAAGTTTGACATTGGTTATTATAACTTATCTACCCTTAGAACAAGGTTCAAATGACTGAAAAAATATTATAGGGGTCATATGATTAATGACTCTTGGATCTAAGATCAATCTATCTTTATCTCTAAAATTATGTTTGTGGAGTATGGGAAATAGTAATTTAATGAAATGGTGGTGTATAAATATGAGGAAATTACTAAAGGAGGCTACTAATGATGTGAATGACTCAAATTCAAGGGTTACATCATTCTCTCAATCTCTTTGAGTCTTTCTATTTTTCATATTTGGAAGCACTTGACTCCAGTTGAGGAATAACGTTCAAATTCACTTTCCCTTTAGAAGAACTTACAATGTTGTTTTCTTACACGTTCTTCTATTGTGTTGGGAAAGGTGCCATAGTCATATATCTCTGCCCTATTATTGGAGGTTTGTCACGTAACTTTTAGTAATTGTCTCTTGTATGTTGTCTTTTTTGACAATAAGAATATCATAAATTCACATTGAGGTCAGCTCTATGCTTCAAGTTTTGACCCTATTTGCTTTTGTTGAGAGTATAAGAGCATGTCACATTCTTCAAGTCTTAAATTTGATTAGGTAATAAGTCTTTAGTATCATAAATTAATCATTAATTAATAATATTATTTTGTTAATTTAAGTCAAAAAAATATGAATATAAAAATTTTATAAATTCACATAAAATTATATAATTAACCAAAAAATCATATTAATAATCTAGAAACTCATTTTATAAGTTTAACATAAATGCCGAGACTTGACATAAATGCCGAGACTTGACATTTGACCTAGAGTGCGGTGCATGTAGGCTGAAGGCACGAGTTGGGGGAGCCAGGAGCTGGGGGGGCTCAATTGGCTAAACCTGACTCTTGGAAATACTTTAGGCATTTGAAACCCTTCTTATCAACCTACCGTTCGACCAGTAACCTTGGTTTCATTCATTTCTTTCCCCTTCTAAAACCAGGTGGCTATGACAGGTCGGTGAATTCTTCTGTGATGATGACCAATTTACAGGAAACAATGGTTTCTCGAATAAAGCATATAATACTTCAATCAGTCGCAAGATACTTACATAGAAATGACGCCTCTAGTTTCAGCATTCAAGTGCCAAAATGAGTACTGCCTGTTGACACAGGGGGACCGTGTGAATATCTCCATTGCCCACATGCCAAACACTTGTCCAATTTTGTGTTATTTTCTAGTGTGCAGAACTTGCAAGACCAAATCCTGAACTTGCTGGCGGTTTCTTTAGGTTTGGGGTTGCCACAGGCTTCACAAACGAGAAACAATCTCTGCGGTAGGTCACCATCATTAATAAGAAACAATTTTGAGAATGTTTTTTTTTTTTCAAGTGTTAGTTCATCTTAACTTTGATGCCAATATGGTTTGATTTATAACATACATGCATGCTAATGTTATGAAGATCATCATCAAAAGAAAGCAAGACATGTTGATGAATGGAAACATATTTCTCGCGAGATCTCAAAAATCAGCACCAATGTTCTTAAAGATTTTTAATGTTTAGGCAAGCTATCAGACTTAGCGAAAGATTCTCAGTATAAATATGCATAAAGGTCCTTTCTGGGTATTGGAAGCTACAAGACGAGGGGGGGGGGGTGTGAATTATCTTGATTTTAAATGACAGTGCTGTAGGAAAATTCTATGGAAAAAAAATAAATTATGTACACATGAGACAGTATGGTGTCCATCCCAATACCAACTCCACTCCCTAAGAACCGATCTTCTTGGGTATTCCATTATGGTAAGCCCTAACTTCATATTACAAGGTGGCTTCCCAAGATGTAAACTGTATCTTTACAACACTGCAAGCCTTACTCAATATTGTGCCTTTTCAAATACCATGTAAAGTCAAATTTAATAATTTCATAAAATATTCGATACACTGGAAGACTTTAATACGACTCCAGGGGCCTCATGTGAATCTTGGTGAATTGCTCGAGAGCTTGAAAAATGAAAGGCTTAAGACCATCTCTTTTAAATTTTTGAAACACCATCAAAATGAAAGGGATTTTTATAGCTTGAGCGGTAGACTGTTCATTGTAAAAAAGTTCCCTCTCAACAGCTAAAAGATGGTTATTTTTTCTTCTTTCCTTAATTACTATTTCAAGAAAACCAGCTATTTTGACTTTTCAAGTGTCTACTCTTAGGAGTTGGGTACCAATCCGTACATCTAATAGAGTTTTTTGGGGTCGAACTTGGTACCTTACAAGTGTTGACCCTCGAGCTAGAAGATTGTGTTCAACCCACAGTCACCTGTCAACAGAAGGCATCACCTGCCGATTGACGGGTGTTGACTTCTGTGAAGACAGCTGTTTGGTTTTGCTATAAGCATTGACCTTATTCCTTCAATTCAGAAACTTGTGCAACCTTCTCTTTTGCTTTCGTCACAATTGTTGACCATTGTATCTTTGTTCTCTGTTTTGCTTCCAATGTCAACTGAGGAACATCAAGTGTAGCCACTTCCCATCACTTGAATTACTTAAGTTTTGACACGATTCAATTTATAAACCTTCTTTTCTCGTAATAAAATAAAATAAAATATAGTATTTAAAAATCGGCAAAACAGAATGTGGTATATAAGATACAGGTGGTTCCTTTTTGGTTATGGGATGCCACTTATTCGACTTTGACATTGAATTATTTAATAAATCTTAGAGCATTCTAAACTAAAAGCAGCTTTAAAGAAGAATTCCAGCCATCATGAGCTAGATGAAGCACTAATAAGGAAACTGATGAAGCAGAGCAAGAAAAAGAAATTTAAGATTAAATAGATTATTTCAGCAAAACGATAGAACGAATCAACGCAGAGAGCAACAAGAATCATTGACCCAACATCAGAGTAAGGCCGAATATTGAATGCCGCTTTATTTTTTAAAGCAAGAGAAAGTTCACCTTGTTCAATAAGCTGCAGACGTTGCATTCCCACCATACTTCATCGGAAGCTGACATGCTTATTGATGCAGATTCACCAGGAGACTGGAGGGAGGCAAGAGGAGCGGCGTCAGGACGCTTACCTCCTCCCTGTGTGATCACATTGGAGTCGTCCTCCCCTTTCAGACCATATTGACGCACAGAGCTTTCCCCATAAGACGACGACCTGGAAGTACACCACTGATCGTCATGCATCCTCCTCTCGGCCGCCATCGCAGCAGCCTGAATCGGGCTTAGTCCGGTCATGATGTCCCCATCCCCACCCAGCCGCCGCGGTCCCGACGGCAAGATAGGGGCGCCACGCGCGCGTCTCTCCGCGGCAACTAGAGCGGCCTGTCGGAGGGGCGGCGGAGAAGGATAGCGAGTAAATCCACCCAGTCGCCTTCCCGGCAGGTCGAACCCCTTCCCAGTGCCGTTGATCCCCTTTGCGATCAGGTCTTCGCACTCCTCCCTGACCTCATCCCAGAGTCTGTAGAAGTCGGCGTTGTGAGGGCCGTGCTCGATGTGGGAGAGCTCGTGAAGCATCGTGTCGAGAACGTGCTCGAAGGGGAAGAAATCCCAGTCTCGGCCTGGTCGCCGTAAACGGAGCTTCACATGAGCACCGCCGCCCTCGTTCAGCCCCATCAGAGAGGGATTGTCTGGGCTGCGAGGAAGGAAGAGGAAGAGGAAAAGGAGGAGGAGAGATTCGAATCAACAACGACCACATCGAGAATTTTTTTTTGGCAACGAACAAATCGTGTACCGGAACTCGGAAAGGATCGGGACCTTCCATCCGCGCTTCCGCATGATCGGCTGCACCTGCTTCGCCACCTTCTCCAGCATCCGACGAGCCTCGTCCTCCCCGGGCATCTTCAGCGGCCTCACCTCCCACACCTTGTTCAGGTCCCCCAGATCCATGGCCGCAAGAGAAGCAGGAATGGCCGATTTCCACGGATTGCAGGAGAAGGCATTCGACCGAGGCCACAGTAATTTCGTCGTTGACTACCAAACTGCCAATGACCAACTAACACGTGGAAACTACCCGCCACCAATCAGCTGGGTTCTGCCTGGCGGGTTTTTTCCGGGCTCCGGGCTTCAAGCTTAGGCCCGAAAAAATGGTCCAAGCTCGGCTCGAGCCCGGATTCTAGCGGGGCCCACTATTGCCTGGGCCACTGGGCTGGTCAAGGATTGGGCCCCGGAGGAATATCTGGTCCAGGACCCAAGCGAGCCACTCACTTATCACCAGCTGGTTAGGTGTTGTCGATGATTGATGGATAAACTAACTATAAATAATCTCCACTAGCTAATTGTATAATCTCCACTTACTAATTGCATAATCAACACCCCTCTCTCTCCTCTCTCTCTCTCTGCCTTTCTCTCTCTAGACTTTATTGAGAAGGTTTGACCGGAATTGATAGTGTTTCTCTTCGTCAGGGCTCAAAGAGTCGCATTGCTGGTAGGTATGATGGAGCAGGCCGCCGTTGCCCTCGCGGATAGGAGAATAAAGGTGACATTTTTTAGCCACGTGTACGCTACAGGGGAAAGAAACAAGGAAGATACCCCGGAAATCCGGAGTTTGAAGGTCGGAGTTGACCCGGAGCGGCGGAGGAAGAGGGACGTCGGCGACGACCGGCGGCGCCGTCGGAGAGACAACGGGCGCACGCGGCGAACGTTTAAAGTGACGTCCGCGTAGAAAGCGAAGGCAGAGTGAGTTTCAGGGAAACTTTCTCGTGTTTCGTAGCAGAGGCGTCGATTTGCAGGAAGAAGGCGGCTCCCAGGCTTCTTCGTGGAGCTTTCCATGACGGCCGTCTCTTCTCGCTCCGTAACGGAACCTGAACTTGGGATCGCCGCCTAGTCGGTCTTCATCCTTGGCGCCGCCAGTCGACGTTCTGCAGAAGCCGACAAACCGGGGCCTGGGGGGCCGCCGATACCCCCAGAGAGGAGAGGAGAGGAGAGAGATTACGTTGCCGGAGTCCGGTCACCGTGCTGAGTCGATAAGAACGGCCGGCGTGGGACTCGCCTCCATATGATTCACAATGTCGAAGGAATCGAGTCACTAGTGGTGAAACTAAGAGGAATGACCGGGGGGGCACCAGGTCAAAATGGTAAAAAAACTGCCACCTCCGAATGGGTAGGCCCCACGACGGCGGAGGTCTCGATCCAGCTTCGCATCTTCCACGAGAGAGGGAGAGAGAGAGAGGCGCAGGGGACTGTTCCTCGCTTATTTTGGGATTTAGCCGCCTGGAGCAGTGGAACGATATAGTAGAGCGAGCTCTCCTCCACACAGGCGACGCCCAATCCCTGACGCCAATTCCTGTTGCTGCTCTGCAGCTTGCGGCTTGTTTCTTCTGGCAGAGAAGAGAAAGGTGGGAGGAAGAAGACGCCGCAGCGGCTCGTAATCATCTCACGCCGCTTTCTGCGAATCTGCCGAAGTTCCACGCCCCCCGGTCCCAGTTGCTGTCGCCTCGGTATATACAGGGATTTGTTGTTGGTGGTAGTACCGTTGTGGCCAGGGTGAGTGGATTTAGGGTTTTTTGCGGGAGAGGCCCGTTGGCGCTGGATTTTTTCGAGTTCAGATCTAGAGGTCGTGTCCCAGACACCGAGGGGCTCTCCGCATGCAGCGCCAGAATAGGTACCCGGAGAGATCGGGGGCGATGACGAGAGAGAAGCGAGGGCTGGATCAGGTTGATGCGGAGGAAAGGCAGCAGGATGCGAAACGGTCAAAGGTTCCGGCTCTCGCAAGGTTTGCCTCGGTGCTTGGTACACCTATTATGTCGCTGTCCTTTAATTTCGCCTTCTTTCTAATTTGACTTGTGACTTTCTTGTGAGCGCAATGGTCTCCTCAGAAGAAATTTCTGAGAATATTCTTCGATTACAAAGTAGAAGAGGGGATATACAATTTGTTCGTTCTAAATCTGTCTTTTTTTTCTCCTGCTAAAGAGTAATGTGTTCCACAACATGCTCCAAGGAAGGGGCATTGTGTATTTCAAGAAATGGGTGTAGTTAACTATCGAGGAAGCCAATAACGTTTATTTATCTTTAGTAAACTCATGGCTTGAAGAGGGACAGTGTTTCTTCGAGAATGCTGTCTCGGGTACTTGTTCTATGTTACCGGTCTAAGATTGGGGTTTTGCTTTGTCAGGACTATTTTGACCACTTTAGACTCATACGATGCCCTTCTTTTGGTTCTCTTTTATTCCTACTCTCCCTTCTCCAAGATAAACTAGGTGCTGCGCTCGTATATTTATATTATCCTGAACAGATGAAAATTACAGGAAGAAACGTTTATCTCATACTGTTAACCGAACATGAGTTCTTTTTGAGTATGTTCGAAGTGAAAGTATCGTACTTTGTGGCTCTGAAGTTCTTAAAAATGTTGCCCATCGCTCATTGGCTGCGACTGCGTTTTTCCTGGTTCGGTTCAAGATTTTTACCCGATCAGTCATCTTTGCCTTTTCCATGTTGATTATCCTTTTTCGTCCTGACTTAGTTTACTTACAAGTTTTCTAAACGATCTGTTGTTGAGTGAATTTTTTTCCCACCTATTTCGCTGTATCATGGCTTTGATTTCTCTCCCTATTTCGAGCTGTGAAAGATGGTGTTACTTGGGAGAATATTTTCTTCATTCTTTAATTCTTGTCCCTATCGACGAATCCTATTCTGATTGTGATAGTACGTAGTTGCCCACTGGTTTCAGTTTTCCTTTTGCTTCTTCCCCTTAGTATTACCTCCTTATCATGCCAATATTAAGATATGCGTTATTGGCAGTGTCATTGTGGAAGCACTGAAGGTTGATAGCCTGCAAAAGCTTTGCTCATCTTTGGAGCCTGTACTTCGCAGAGTGGTATGATGATCTCTCGTTAATGATCATTGTTGTATTGTTAATATTGCATCTAGACTATCAACCTTGTTTGGCAATTTACTTTCCCCACTTCTTACGTCAGCTGATGGCATTGCTTTCTAGCTCATACAAATTAGTGGTATCTACCTAGTGTGTGAGACAGTCTAAGGTTGTATCAATGCATGAGATTGTTTTTAACTGTTGGGATTACAGAGTGTTATATTAGAGTTTTAATTTTTTATCCATGGTCTTTATTTATTCAATCTAATGCCAAGTAGGTCAGTGAAGAAGTGGAGCGTGCTCTGGCAAAACTAGGCCCTGCCAGACTCAATGGAAGGTGAAGCGTCGTTTCTCGATTTTCCTGTAGTCAAATACTTTCAGATAAATTTTCTGTTTTTTCTTCGTTTAAAGAGTTAAATCTAAGAGAAATTTGGTGGCTTCAATTTTAAATGATGACTTTTCTCTGACTTTTTATACGTCGGATGATTTATAGATCTTAATACCTTTTTAATTTTTGTCGATGGAGTAAAAAGGGAATCCTGTCCATTAGCCCCTGGAAATGATCACAAAAACAGGAAAATGTTTTGCATGGATAAGTGAAATTTTCGGTGAATGGCATCTTTACGTTTCCTTTTGGACTGTGAATCTTAAATGTCAGAAACATCATGGATCATTTAGTGGACTCTAGTTTTTTCCCTTTTGCCATCGCTTAATGCTGCGATTTGTTTCGGTGAATGACATCTTCCTGCCTATAATTTTTTCTTCACTTCTTTATTCTTTATTTCGATTTGTATCATTTCGTGTCCTTCCCTTTTTTTTCCCCAGCTTTGTTTCACGGCTCTTGTATGTGCTTTATCGTGTACTGCAGATTAGCATTGCACAGAGAAGTTAGGACGGTTTATTTCTTTTTCGTTCATTGTGGGACTTTAGATTGTATTCTTGATTCATGTTCTGAGTGACTAGTCTATTTGTATGGTGGGTAAATTTTTTTCAAATTTGGGCTTCAGTATTCTCTCATTCTTTTGCACGTTTTGGTTGGCCATTCAGGCGTTAAAGTGATGTGTATTTGAATTTTATTAGTTTCAAGTCACTCTATAGGAATTATAATTCTGTGTGGGAATGATCTAATTCCTTCTGTGCATCTCAACATCTTACTGGATGCGTCTTTTTGTTATTTCTTCATTAATCTGAAGGAGGCTTCTTCAGTGTTATGTAAGCATGGGCGATCTCCCTGATTAATTGAGTTAACATTGTATGCATACTAGGATTACCGAAGGACTAAAATCCATGTTGACTTTGAAATCAAGTGCTCTGGGAACCTTTGGTTTTTCTTTGGCATCATAAACTCTTATCAAGCTGTACCCATCTGACTGTCTGCATCGTGTTTATGTAATGCAGGGCTTCTCCGAAAAGAATTGAAGGGCCCGATGGCAGGAATCTACAGCTTCATTTCAGGACTCGGTTGTCTCTACCCTTATTCACAGGAGGAAAAGTAGAAGGGGAACAGGGAGCCGCAATCCATGTTGTCCTGCTCGATGCAAGCACCGGGCGTGTTGTAACGTCAGGAAATGAATCATCCGCAAAATTGGACGTTGTTGTGCTCGAGGGGGATTTTAACAACGAAGATGATGACGACTGGACAGAGGAAGACTTTGAAAGTCATGTTGTCAAAGAGCGTGAAGGGAAAAGACCTCTTCTGACCGGAGATCTGCAAGTTTCCTTGAAGGAAGGTGTAGGAACGATTGGAGATCTCACATTTACCGACAATTCGAGCTGGATACGAAGCAGGAAATTCAGGCTAGGATTGAAAATCGCGTCAGGCTTCTGCGAAGGCATTCGCATTCGTGAGGCAAAAACAGAAGCATTCACTGTCAAGGATCACCGTGGAGAATGTATGCCTTCTGCGCGTGGTTTTTCATTTTCATACGAAATTTCTTTGTTCTATGGACCATAAAAGATGTTATTATTCCTCTTTGCAGTGTATAAGAAGCACTATCCACCCGCACTGAAGGATGAGGTCTGGAGATTGGAGAAGATTGGGAAAGATGGGTCATTTCACCGGAGGTTGAATAAGGCTGAAATCTACACAGTCGAGGATTTTCTACGCTACGTAGTTAAAGATTCACAAAAATTGCGGAATGTATGATTCTTGGATTTCTTTATTAGATAACGCAGTAATTCACCTTTTTTTTGTTTTTATTGCTCTAATTTCCTTTTTTATTTTGATTTTTGACTGATTGTAGATACTCGGAAGCGGCATGTCAAATAAAATGTGGGACAGTCTTGTCGAGCACGCCAAGACTTGCGTCTTGAGTGGAAAGCTTTATGTCTATTATCCTGACGATTCGAGGAACGTCGGTGTTGTTTTCAACAACATATATGAATTTAGTGGATTGATTGCTAGCGGCCAGTATCATTCCGCAGAAAGTCTTCCCGACACTCAAAAGGTCAGTTTTTCATCCTTTTTGATGTGAATTACAGTCCTTGCATACATGGTCGGATTTACGACGCTCTATATTTATTTTAAGAATCATCAGAAGAGATGATCCTCTGCTTCAGACCACGATTACTGAGAAATGTTGCATGCGTTCTTGTGCTTATCATGCGAGCAGATCCGACCCAGATCTGGGTCGACGCTGAATTTTGATGTCAATGTGGTTCGATCAGTGGGGATTCTGATGCAAACTGAGCATGCTAAAATTTAATGAATGAGGCTTCTCGTTCTTGCTCTGTTCATGATTCGAATCAGAAGGGGGGACTAATCATACTATCAGCAGAATTATTTCCCTTTGGTTCTGCTCTTTTGGCCTACTGATCAAGAAAAGGAATGTTTATTGGTTTGCCCAGATGATTATTTACCCTGCAATTTTTATTTTATTTCGGATTTCGGGTTTAGGGTTTCTACCCATGTTCTTGCTGAAAGGATTGCACTCTTGAGAAGGATGGGGTCGACCTCCTTTTAACCATTTTCTTCTCCGCCCACTCCCTTTTTATGCTACCAGATTTTCGTGGATTCACTCGTGAAGAAGGCGTATGAGAACTGGATGCACGTCATAGAATACGACGGCAAGGCGCTGCTGAACAGCAAGCAGAGCAAGAGGGCGGCCACTTCCCGATTAGTGGAAGCTCCCGCTGCACCGTCTATGAATTATCCATCCTATGATCAGCAGGTTTCTCTTCCAGTTCCTGTCCCACCTCCCCAGCATCCTCCCATGGACCCCGCCCTGGGCGTTGGAGGTAATCCTACCACCCCTCCCTCTCTCTCTCTCTCTCTCTCTCTCTCTCTCTCTCTCTCTCTCTCTACTGCGTCACTGTAGAACAGACCCAGAAAAGAAGACAGGGAGAGGGAGGATGAACTGGTCTAATTGGCGGCGATCTGGCGTGGTTTGTTTTGCAGTCGGGATGTCTGCGGCTTATGGTGAGGAGGATCTAAGGGGATACGCCGGGGGGCACCAAGAACAGATGGCGCCGCCCGAGTCGGCCGCCCACCAATTCGACGACGGCGGCGGCGAGTTCAGCGCGCAGGGCCTCCACCTGGCGGGTTCCTCCCACCATGCCCCGCATTTTCGGAGGGACGACGGCGGCGGCGGGTTTTTGATGGGCCAGCACGTGGCGCCGTCCCTGCAGGCCCCGAGCGCCAGCGCCGGTGCCTTCGACGGCTGGGCCTCCCGCCGCGACAGCCACGGCGGCGTGGAGGACATCTTCTCCTCCGAGGAGGAGATCCGGATGAGGAGCCACGAGATGCTGGAGAACGAGGACATGCAGAACCTGCTGCGGGTCTTCAGCATGGGCGGCGGCGGCGGCGCAGGCGGCGGTTCCCTGGTGGAGGACGGCTACTACTCATTCGCGCCGCCGTCTCCGCTGCAGAATTACAGCTTCGACGAGGACCGCGGCCGCTCCTCCGGGAAGGCCGTCGTCGGGTGGCTCAAGATCAAGGCGGCGATGCGGTGGGGCATCTTCATCCGCAAGAAGGCCGCTGAGAAGAGGAGGGCCCAGCTGGTCGAGCTGGAGGATTGACCGCCTGATGGGGGCTGTAGGCCCCACTTCCTCCCCGATTGCTTGACAACCCCCGGCCGCCTTCCCAAGGAGCATGAATGCGGCGGAGGAACGGCCGCGCCGGCGGCCTGTACAGCTACAAGTGCTTCTCGGCGGCTGCGACCCTTACGTGATATTATTCTCTGTTTAATAAGCTTGCGACGTCTCACGGGGTCATTTACCAGGTTTTCTTCTATCTCCGCCGCCGCCGCCGCCGCCGCTCTTTTCATCCCTGTAAGATTTGGTCTCCCACCTTGTGGGCTTCTACGGATGTTTTTATTGTTGCTGTTGGTCTCCTACGCCACTGATCTATATATCTTGGGTAGATGGAACCCTAGATGACGGCGTAGTGGACGCGTCGTCAACCCGTTGACTACCTTCATTAGGTGTAAGGATGAAATTAAAATAATAATAATAATAATTTCAAGCCTGGGAAAATTTAGAAAATATCGACCTTATTTTTTGGTTTTTGCGAGTATATAAAAATTGACGGCGGCCGGGGGAGGTTATTCTTGGCTTAGGTTCACCGACAGTGAGGGTAGTCAGGCGTTGGCGCACTGCGCCCGGCGCCCCCACGTTATCCGTAGGGAGTTGCCCTTCCATCCTCCTCTCGCCGGGCGATGGACTGGCGCCTTCCCGCGATCTGCTCCAGCGACGGCAACGATGCAGGAGCACCGTCTCGCGCTGGGGCCGTCGTCTTGCCCCCAGGGAGCCCTGATTGTGCGAAGTTGCTGTTCGCGAGCCTGCGCGGGCGTGCGGGCCCGTTTCTTCGCCGCACGGACGGCCCCATTCTCTCGTCTCTCCACTCGCCAGCGTCTTGTGAAGAGCTCCCCAAAGCCTCCGAGCCAGCCTTCCAATCTTCCTCTCCGGAGGCTGACGTCGAGGATTGCCGAACTCACCCGCAGGAGGCAGCTGCATCAGGTTAGTTTTCCTCCCGTTCGGCCATGCTTGTCGCTGTCACGTCCGTCGTCCGACTTTAATGGTTCTGTAAGGGAAGTGGTTTATTTTGGCAGATTTTCGAGGAAGTGAAGGTGGCGAAGAAACGACACGGCAAGCTGAACACGATCGTGATGAACGCGGTTATGGAAGCCTGCGTTCACTGTGGGAATGTGGACGCGGCCTTAGGGCTCTTTGCGGAGATGGCCAAACCAGATGGCTGCGGGGTGGATAACATCACCTTTGCAACGTTGCTCAAGGTATTTTTGGGATCGGAATGTAGTTTCCTCGGCGCCTCTCTTCTTTTCCTTCTTAACGAGGAATTGTTTATTGATGAGCACGGGGTCAGAATCGCCGATGCTAATTTTTTTCAATTTCTTGGTTAGGGTTTGGGCAAAGCAGGGAGAATTGACGAAGCGTTTCAAATACTTGAATCTATAGAGCGGGGTACTGCTTCAGGGAGGCCAAAGTTGTCCTCACATCTTATCTATGGCCTGCTGAATGCTTTGCTTGAATCAGGTTGGTTCAAAGAATATATGTTATCATTTCCCATTCTCAGGACTGAAACCATTCATCTTAATGTGTTCTTGCTTTAATCATGAAAGTTGACTTTTAATCCTCTGAATACAATAGTGGTTCTATTCTTTTTTTTGGAGAATGGTGATGCTTTGCCATCGATACCCCATATAGTTTTATTTCTCAGGCCATATCGTTTCATGTGATTGAACTCAAAGAAAGTAAACCTCAAGAATGGATTTAACCAATTTTCGATCACTCACCTTCTCAGAGTAAATCGACTATGGACCCATCAAGGTTTTTCTTTGACAAGAACATAAAAAACTTGGCCTGCTTGCATTGCCTCAGGGTGACTGGAGGAACTCATCCAGATATAAATAAAATCTGCAAAAACAGGAGGATACACAACAAAGTTCTATAGCGATCAAAATAATCTACGCAAGATTCGTACCCTCTGATAAACATATCTGCTTTTTTTTTGGAAGCTCCTTGATTTTTGTTTGAACATATGCACATAAACTTTAATTTGTGACATAATAGGAAAACCCCACCTACTTCTATGGCGAGACCTCATATAATTCATGGACCTTCTTCAGCCTGAGGTCACTCTCTTGCATGCCCACAAAGCTTAGCACAATGTTCTCCATCTTATTGTTTATAGATAAAAAATGGAAAGCTCAAATCAAGAAATATTCTTTGCCTTCGTAAAATTTGGTTGCTTGTGTTTGCTCTCCTCTCCTCTACTTAGCAAAATGTTCTCTTTCTTTACGTTATCCTGTGAAACTTTTACCGTTTCATTAAGTCACTAATGGATCAACGTAGGCTGCTATTCGTATTTTAATTGTTCAGGAAGCCACAAACGAATCTATACAAGTAGGTCAAACAGTTTGGATTTGCAACATTTAGCCAGGGGCATATATTTTTGAACGACGACATTCTGTCCAAACCAAATGTGGATGCACTCTGGCTGGGTTCACCTACCAGATGCCTTCTTTTTATTCCGACTGTTCTGTAATGCTAAGTTTCACTGTTTAGTGCAGGGGATATGCGTCGTGCCAATGGTCTTCTTGCACGTTACAGAGTTGTCCTCCGTGAAGAGGGTCACTCAATATTCTTGTACAACTTATTAATTAAGGTTTAATATCTCTCACCTCATATTAACCACAGCAAGCATTTCTGTTTTCCTTGTTCCCTGTTCTGTGGTGCGTCTTCTGGTATATAACTCGTCAGATTGCAGTAGCGATCATGGATTATTTACAGCTTCATCAATGGTGATCTTTCAAATAATTTTTTTCTCAGGGTTACACAAACACCGACTTTCCTCTCGGAGCATTGGCTGTACGTGATGAGATATTGCGTCAAGGGTTGAAGCCTGACAAGCTAACCTACAACACACTTATACTTTCGTGCGTCAAGTCCAGAAGAATGGACGTGGCAATGGGATTGCTGGCGGAAATGAAGGTCAAGAAAATGCTTTCCTTAGAAATATACCCGTTTAACCGTATAATTTGTGCTTTGAAGAAAGAAATTCTGTGGAAATAGTTTGTGAATCGATGGTCTTGAGTTCTTTCAGGAAGAAGGAGAGAAAGCTAATAATACGGATCTCTTTCCAGACACAGTCACTTACACCACATTGCTTCAGGTATACTCTGTCATGAATTTGAGGACTTTTCCTCTTCTCATATGTATCATTGTTGTTAGCGAATTTGAGGACTTTGAAGAAAGAAAATGGCTCAGTAGGGATAGAACGTAAGAGAACTGCAGACCTGGATAATAATATCTCTCAATCCATTTTTCTGGGTTTGATCCTGATATATGTGGTTGTCTATTTAACAAGTAGAATTTCATATTCGATATCACGGTTTAGTTGCTTCACTGAATCCTAATTTTTAGCTTAACGTTTTTTAGGGCTTTGGGAGCATGAAGGACCTACTTTCAGTTCAGGAAATTGTGATGGAAATGAAGTCGTCACCTAAAGTTGTCTTTGATAGAGTTGCATACACTGCAATTGTTGATGCTTTCTTGGGTTGCGGATCAACAAAGGGTGTGCTTTCTGATATTTTCTTAATCTTACTGTGGTGCTTTTGTTATTTACAGTCCCATTTGATGTCCATTCATTTTCGGCAGTTTCGTGCGTAACGTCATATGAAAAGTCACGGAGATCAGATGTAGAATCATTTTCTTCATAGAATTTCATAAATTTATGAGATTCCCTTGTTTATCCTGACTTGTTTATGTATCTTGGTATAAGATATTATTTATGGCCATCTCTTTTCTGAGAGAGCCCGTAATGGGTTAAGTCGCATCAAAGAGATGGCCTTCAGTTTAAAGTTTAGATCAAGAAAACCTTGATATGTATGGAATTACCCTGGTGTTGTGTGGGTTTTTTTTTCCTGCAAACTTGGCACATAGATTTGCGTCCTCAACAATGTGAAAAGTTTCATGCGCTTGCATTGAGAATTAAAACAGGTTCTTCCAATGTTAATCTTTGCCGTTTATGGGCTTTTGGCTAATTGAAGCGTATGCTATAATTCTTCATGAAAGAAGATTTCATAGTTGTAATTTTTAAAATAGATTGTGGGGGCATGTTGTCAAGGTGTAAAACGTTTATTATCAGAGTATATTAAACTCAGAACTGTAGGGATTGTAAAAGTTATGTTGGACAATTTTCTATATGTTTCATGATTCCACAGAATTCAACAAAAATACCTAGAATATTGAGATCTCGAGAACTTTCAAATCCAGTGGAGCATCAAACTCAGCCCTTCCTGCCCATTTTTCCTCGGAAAATACAGGAATTGTCACAAGTTCCTGATCTGTCCAATTATTATTTTTTCGCTTTAAAACTCATCTCTTGTGCGTTAACTGTTGAATTTCTCATTATTTTCTTCTTGATGTGCCCTTATCCATTATTAGAATATTTTTCAATACTAGCTGCTTATGCCAGATTGTTTTCTGTCCCCATAGATGCCCTGTGCATATTCGGGGAAATTCTCAAGCTGGCCGGAGAGAACGCAGGCCTGAGGCCAAAGCCGCACCTCTTCCTCTCTATGATGCGCGAATTTGCAGCGGAAGGGGATTTCCACATGGTCCAAGGCTTACGTGGTCGCATGTGGTCAGACTCAGTTGGGTTCATCTCTCCTGTTGCCCAGGGAGAAGCTGATGAGCTTCTAATGGAAGCAGCGATGAACAGCCACCGGGTACCAGTTTTTCTTCCAGAACCTCCGGCCTATCACTGGTTCATAAAAAAAATTCAATATATATATATATATATATATATATCAGTCCATACAGTTTCCTTGATTCATCGTCGTCCCTGCCCTGAGAGCCAATTCTTAAACAATATCAAGAGAATACCCACAAATATAGTGTCGTACACTTGTTCTTCATGCATGCCAATCCCTCCTTATTTATTCATATATCTGTATGATTGACACCCGCCGCTTTCTCCTTTGCATGGCATTTTATTTCCCTTGATGAATCCCAGATCAATTCCTTGTTCAGGTTGATATCGCCAGGCAGATTCTCTCAAGCATTCTCAGGAGGGGGAAGTGGAGCTCTTGGACCAGCAGGGGAGGCATGGTACAGAAATGGAGACCTTCCTTGATACGTCTGCTTATCCAGAAGCAGAGAAACAAAAGCTGAAACGATCTGCTCCTTCTGGTCTGCAGGTTGCTCTTCGCCTCGAGGCCCTGTCCGGCTTCACGGGTTCTCTGTTCAACCCCTGCATCCTCGCCGAGGTTCGTCAGTCTCATCTTCCTCGGTCTTCTTCTTCTTGGAAAGCCCGACCGATTTCCCGACGATCCGCAGGTTTCGCTGGACGATCCCATCGAGAAGTACATGACCCCGTTCGAGGAAGCGAACCCTCTGCGCACCGGCTTGATCTTGAAGAAGGTCGCCATGCGTTTCTACAGAGACGCCGCCGTCCCCATCGTCGACGACTGGGGCACCTGCGTGGGGATCGTCCACAGGGAAGACTGCCGCGAGGTACCCACCTACCGTCTTCGTCTTCCTCTCCCTCCGACGAGATTCGATCGGCGTGGTTTCTCAGCGCTTGGCGGCGATGGTACAGATCGATGCGCCGCTCTCGGCGGCGATGAGGGCGCCGCCGCCGTGCGTGACCACGTCGACGTCCACCGGGCGAGTCATCGAGCTCCTCATCCAGAAGAGGTACGAGATGGTCGTCGTCGTGAGGTCCGGCAGCATCTTCGACGCCGGCCACAGCGCTGGCTCGAGGCCAGTAGGCGTCTTCACCCGCCGCCAGCTGCTCCGGTCGACGGCGGAGGAACAGGTACCGCCACATCCTGTATGCAGAATCTTCGGGTATTCCTGAATCCATTTTTTTTGTTCCCGCCTTCCTCACCTTTCTTACTCCGCGGCGCACCGTACCGTCGGAATTAAAATCCCTCATGATCTCGGTCGGGGGCGCAGTAGCACCGTTGATCTCTCATCGGACGGACGGCGCTTAACGCGGGGATTCCTCGGAGAGTGGCGGTGCATGGCTTTAAATACGCCTCGAGAAGTCGAAGAGGATGCCCTTTCCTTTTTAAGATAGCGGCGACGATGCCCTTTCCGCCGCGCGCCGCCGCCGTCTTCCTCCTCCTCCTAGCTTCCCTCCGCCTATCGCCGGCGGAGGAGAGGATCACCTTCATAGTCCTGGTCGACCCCTCCTCGAAGCCCTCCCTCTTCCCAGCTCACCTCAGCTGGTACTCCTCCATTCTCTCTTCTTCTTCTTCTTCTTCCTCTCCTCCTTCGCTCCATATCCACGTCTACAGTACCATCCTGCATGGGTTTTCCGCGAGGCTCACGCCGGCGGAGGCCCGCGGGGTGCGGGCCTCTGCCGGCGTCCTGGCGGTGCGGCCCGACGCTTTACTTCGCCCACTCACTACGCGGTCTCCGACATTCCTCGGCCTCGACTCCCCTTGGTCGTCCATCTCCCAGCTCTCCGACCTCGCCTCCGACTCTGTCGTCGGCGTAATCGACACCGGAATCTGGCCGGAGAGTCCCAGCTTCGCCGACTCCGGCGACCTCGGCCCCGCGCCGCACCGGTGGAAGGGGGAGTGCGAAGACGGCCCCGGGTTCAACCGCTCCTCCTGCAGCGGCAAGCTCGTTGGCGCTCGGTCCTTCTACGCCGGCTACCTCGCGGCATCCCTCCCGGCGCTCTCCTCCGGTGACTTCCTGTCCGCGAGAGACGCCGACGGGCACGGCACGCACGTCGCGTCCATTGCCGCCGGCGGGCCGGTGGGCGGCGCCGGATTCCAGGGATTCGCCCGCGGGGTCGCTAGGGGGATGGCCCCCAAGGCGAGGATCGCCGTCTACAAGGTCTGCTGGCCCGCCGGCTGCCTCGTTTCTGACATCGTGGCGGCGATCGACAGGGCCGTGGCCGACGGCGTCGACATTCTCTCCATGTCGTTGGGGTCGTCCTCGCCAGTGCCGGCGTACCACCTCGACGCCCTCTCCGTCGCCACCTTCCGCGCCACCATGGCCGGCGTCCTCGTCGTCTCCTCCGCCGGCAACGGCGGCCCGCGGCCGAGGAGCATATCCAACGCCCCACCGTGGGTCCTCACCGTCGGCGCCGGCACCATGGATCGTAGTTTCCCGGCTGTCGTCGTCCTCGGCGAGGGCGAGAGGAGAGTTGAAGGGACGTCGATAACTTTCCCGTACCCCCGCCGGCGGCGGAGTCAGCGCCTCCGCCTCTTCTCCGCCGCAACGGCCACCCCGCGGGAGGTGGAAGGGAGCGCCGTATTCTTTCGCGCCGCCGCCCGAAACACTTCCAGGCTCGGGACCGGCGCCGCCTTCCGCCGCGCCGGCGCGGCAGCGATGGTGATCGCCCACGGAGACGTAGACCCCGCGGGGATGATCGCAGAGCCCCACGTGATCCCCACCGTCGCCGTCGGTGAGTCTCAGGCGAGGTCCATCGAGAGGTACATCGCGAGCAGCAGGGATCCGACGGCGGTGATCTTCTCAGAAGGGACGGATCTGGGCCGTCCAGCGCCCGCAGTGGCGTCGTTCTCTTCCCGCGGGCCCAACGCGGCGGTCGCGCGGGTCCTGAAGCCCGATCTCCTCGCCCCCGGGGTCAACGTGCTGGCCGCGTGGACCGGCTCGACCGGCCCGTCCTGTCTCCGGTCCGACCCCCGCCGGACCGGGTTCAACGTAATGTCGGGTACCTCCATGGCTTGCCCCCACGTGTCCGGGGTGGCGGCGCTGGTGAAGGCGGCGCACCCCAGCTGGGCTCCCGGGGAGATGAAGTCCGCGCTGATGACGACGGCTTCGGCGGCGGCGGCGATCCAAGACGAGTCTACCCGGCGCGCGGCGGGGCCCTTCGACATGGGCGCCGGGCACGTGCGGCCGGAGGCGGCGTTGGACCCGGGGTTGGTCTACCCCGCCGAGCTGGAGGACTACGTTGACTTGTTCGTCTGCGAGTTGAACTACACGGAGGAGGAGGTGAGGGTGATGACCGGGGGGAGGAGGACGGCCCCGGTCAGCGCTTCCATTGAGAGGTGTCGGCGGAGGAAGGCCGACGGGGGAGCGAACTACCCGGGCTTCGTGGTGGAGGAAGAGGCGGCGGCGGCGGCCATGAACGGGGAGGTGGCCTTCTACAGGCGACTGAGGAGGGTCGACGGCGGGGCGGCGGCGGTTTACTTTGCGGAGGTGGCAGCGCCGGAGGGCTACACGGCCGCCGTCGAGCCAGTGAAGCTGAGATTCGACGGGAGGGTCGGAGAGACGGCGGAGTTCAAGTTGACCGTCAGATTTGTCGGAAAAACAGCGGTGGCGGAGGCTAGAAGGCGAGGGTCGGTGAGCGGCCATTTAACTTGGAAGGAGGACGGCGGCAATCGCACCGTGAGGACGCCCATCGCCGCCTTCTCCGCCCGGCTGCTCCTCCCGGCCCGCTTTTAGAGGCAGGAGGAGCCCGTCGCCGGCGTTTTCGTGGCCGGCGGCCGGCCCGAAAGCTCTGACCGTCTCTGCCGTGTCTGAAAGGGCATCCGAGGCGGCGGCGCTAATACCGCCGGAACCTTTCCCAGGAGCATCATTAGTGTAGTGCGCTCAGGCTGCAGAAGGCGTTTATTTTACTATATTTATATATTTAATATCTAGTACCCGCACCTGATGACTCCCTCTGCACCAAGCATTCAACTTAGAACACTTTCCCTTTTGCCCTGTCCTTCATTCACGCCAGGCGTTGACCCCCCTTAAGAAAATAAGCTCCTTGGGTGAAAAATCTCATACATTTCCTCGGTCGTCCTGTGATGGACGGCCCAATGCCCGGCCGAAATTGTTAGTCAGTTCAGAAGGTGGTAGAACTTGGAGGGCTTCAGCCCTCGGGTGGCGTTGAAGTAGCGCAGCGTCGTCGCCCACTTCTTCCGGTCCTTGAGCCGGTGGACGGCGATGGTGTTGGGCACAAAAGTCCACGGCGGGTAGGGGAAGTCGTACATCACCGGCTTCGTGTCGTCGTAGTTGAGGCGGGCTCCCTGGGTGCTGTAGACGTTCTTCCCCCGCCCTCCGGCGCGCAGCCACTCGCCGACGAGGGCGTCCTCCGGGCCGGCGGTGTTGTTGCGGGTGACGTTGGTCGACGCGATCCACCGCACCAGGTCCCAGGAGAGAACGTAGCCCATCCCCCTCATGAAGAGGGGGTTCTTCTCGCCGGCGGGATGCTCGTGGCCCCAGTACAGGTCCTCCCTCGGCTGCCGCCGGAGGGACTCCACCAGCTCCGGGAACCGGAAGTAGGTGTCGTCGTCCGTCTTCATGACGAAGTCGTAGGGGGCCTCTTGCTCGCCGGAGAGGAGCTCCGGCAGGGCAGAGAAGTAGGCGTAGGTCTTGCCGCTGTTCATGTTCTCCGAGCAGTTGAGGACGATGATGTCGTGGTAGAGCATGATCTCGAGGGCCACCAGAATTCTGTGCTCGTCGCCGGTGACGTTGCAGAGGACGAACCTGGCGTCGATCTGGGCCGGAACGGGGGGCTGCAGGGCGTGGAGGAGGCGGAGCCGGTCGCGGGCTTCGTAGCGGTCGGCAACCGTCAGGATCCCCATGAGCAACCGGAACTCCGGCGTGTGCGCGGAGGTCGCCCCGTCGCCGGCGTGCGGAGAAATATTGGATCCTCTGCTAATTAGCCTCTCGATCCGGAACTGGTCTGGTAAGTTGAAGGCGCAGATGAAGGCGACCAAGGTCAGCGGTAGCAGAACCAGAGCGATCTTCTCCACCGTAGCCAGCGTTGAATTCGGTGAAGAAGAAGAAGGCTTCATCCCCGGCGAGGCGATATTGATACCTGCAAGTCGAGCATATAGATGCTCTCTCCTCCGGTGGACTCTTGGCCAGATGAAGATCGAGGAAGAGGATGACGGAAAACCAAGGTTAGGCACCGGCATCCATCCGACCGGAGTCGACGAGGGGTCGACGAGGACTGGTGGAAGGATCTTGACCCACCACCCCACCCCCCCCCCCCCCCCACCCCAACCGGCAACCGGTCAACTCTACCTAACACGATGAGTCAGCGTTCCCACTCGCCGGAAGTGCTCGTGGGAATTCCACCCCCGAAAGTCCAATCGTTCACGCAACGCCGGCGGGGAAAGAGAGAGGAGAGGTCAGCTCTCCGACCCAAGTGCCGCAATGGCCGTCGGGACCGCCGAGGGACGCCGCGGCGGCTTTAAGAGAGAACCACAGGTTCAAGCGCCGCCCCGTACCGCGTCGGCTGCGGCCCAGATTTGGGAATCTCGTGCGGGGTGGGGTCCGGCTGGTCTTCTTCTCCGTGCTTTTCTTTCGTCTCCTCCATGCCGAATTGACAATAAAATGAAGAAAATATGATGGGAAATATATGACTGGAGTAAATGAATAATAGGAGGAGAGAGAAGAAGATTCCACGAATATATTTTTTAATAAAGATAAAAAAATCATAAAGGGGATAAAAGAGAAAGGGATGGTTGCGAAACGAAAGGGTATAATAAAAAATAAGTTTAAAGTGGGCCAGCTCACTTATGTGGGAAAAAATTAATCTATACCACACTTAGTTGTTAGCTCTAAATTTAGTAGTGTAGCACCGACATTCAACGCCTCTTGACGTAAAGCTGGTGATACCAAATGATTCACATAATTTGATAAAATTAAGATAATATAAGGTTTTTGAAATATAATATCAACTTAACTCTTTTTTTTAGCAAAGCTTCATCTAGAATAAAACGATAGTGATTCTAAGTCATTAATATGATTGATTTATATCATAATAATTTTTGTTAGATTTGACTATGCTGAGTTTGTTTTCCAAAATTAATGATACAATATATAAATGATAACCCTTACTCTCATCACCAAAATTAATAAAAATATATTTTCACTTTTCTTATTTATTTTGATACAATCATTAGAATCAATCAAAACATAAGTCATACAACTAGATATTTTCAAATCAATTATGCTTAGTTTTTATGATACTCTATTTCATAAAAAGTCATATTCATCGTTGACTTTATTAGAGAAATGTTAATAAGATAGTTTGACATTGCTATTATTTTAGTCCAAAAATAAGTTGAAAGATACCTCTAATTAAGGATATTTCACACCATTGCAGTTATCTCATTATGTTCTAGACCTTTAATAACCATAATTTATCTTTAAATATCATGTTTTTCAGAAGAAAAATATCATATGATAAAAATTATCTCTACATCTATATGGAGGGTTTCAATAACACAATTATTAATGATTTCAACCATTGCCTTAAACTTGACAAATTTATCAAATGATTGTAACTCAATAACTATATCAAATGATAAAATCATTGTCAAGGTATGCGCCATTAAATTGACAACCTTGATATGAATGTTGTCCTGTGATACCTCCACTATCTATCATGATGGAAGTGGGCATGTTGTTGATTTTTAGTTTGAGGATGAACCAATCTCTTTTTATGCCACCATTCTTGTAACCTATTACAAGCACCAAATAATTGAAGATGGTTTAAGAAAATAAGTATCATTTGATACTTTATGCATGATAAAGATAGCTTTTGGTCATTTTCATTCAATTTAATTGTGTTACATTAAACATTCCACATCTTTGCAAATTAAGTACTCATCATAAACGAAACTAGAAAGAGCTATCTTATCTCCCAGAGTTTTATTTATCTTGAGCCTCTCTTAGGTGTCCTATAGTCATCACCTTTGATGCAACGATTGTTGATTTATTGGTCATTGCTTACTCTTACTTTTTTGCTTGTCATTGCCCCTATTGTTAGCAAGGTTGGTCTTATAATCAATTATTGCGTCAAGTGATGCTATTGTCAATCATATATCATCTATATCTTGGTGACAAATCTCCACATATGTCTAAACCTAGAGATCAGTTATAAAGTCAAAATAATTTGTCTTCCTTGAACATATTTTTTTATTTTTATGAACAGTAAAACATTTTTTTTCGCATTCTCATTGGGTCAGCATGATAAATCCAGAAAATTACAGCATTTATCAATTACATGTTCCTCATTAGAAGAAATTGTTCCTTCAACCCCATAATGAACTCATCTCAAGTGATGATATGAGTCTTGGTTCAAGCAAGGATTGAATCTTACACCATAACTTAGCATATGTCATTAGATGTATGCTAGCAAGTACTACTTTCTCCTCCTCAAATTAAGGTTTTGGTTGATATCTTAAAGAAAAATTTCAATTTTCTAAGTGTTGCAAGTCCCCACATACACTTCAGGATGTAGTAATTTGACACGGCTTAGAATATTAATTACTTATGTATTATTTGTTAGGTGGTTCAATAACATCACATCCACTATGAGGGGCTCAAGTGCTTCTTAAAGGGAAACAACATTCAAAACTTAGCCTCAATCAGTGATGATGACCTTCATTGTCACTACTTGCACATGTTCAAACTATTCCTCCCAAGACCGAACCTCCTCAACAGTGACAAGTTAATCTTTGTACCAAGTTTCTCTCTCCTTGACTACCATTTCTTGATCTAATCCAAGTTGTCACTAAAACACTCCCTTAGTTTGTATGTGTTGTTTACTCAGTGCAACTGGAGTTGACTATCTTCTATGATACCTAACATAAACATAAAGTAATAACCTTTCTATAAGGACACAAAAACCTCTAAGATATCAACATATGGCACCTTGCTCTAGAAAGGCCATGTTTCACTTGAATACTTAGTTGGGCTGTGGTTCCTATGATGTCATATTCCTTTCTAATGGCATAAGGCTCTTGCATAATTAGTTAATACTGATGGGTACGTTGCTCTTGGTACATATGTGATAGTTCAAGCCTTTGCATACTCTGTGTACATTGTGCATGTCCCAAGTATTTTGTAGACATTGAGTAGGATTATCTCCTAGATGAATGTTAGTTTTCCTACATAATTTACATATATGCCCAGTATAATCGTTAATATACTTTTTAAATATGATGTAAAAAGGTATATACGTAAAATACAATCATTACAAGTACCATTCCATTTTTTTAGGGGCATTAATTTCATTATCTCCCGTGGAATCCCAGTCCGAGTCAACTCGGTCATCACGCCTCACGAACGATCCGACGACTCTGCGGTCTGGCCTTTAAATTTCGCACCGGAGGTTGCGCCAGGTTGCGGCCTGCGATGCATGTGAGGAAACTTCTCTCGCGGATCGGGAAATCGCTCCCTCGCCCTTTCCTCTCCTCGGCCACCCTGAAAGTCCGCCCTTGCTCAGCCGCCGCGATATCCCCGCCGTCCGCCGCCGTCTCCTACCACGCCTCCGCCGCCCCCCCGCCTCGACTCTCCCTTCCACAGAGAGATGTCAGTGAAGACCAGAGCGTGGCGCGATCGAACTGGTGGATCACGCAGCTCACCAGAGAAGGGAAGCCCGCCGAAGCACGCCGGATGTTCGACGGAATGTCCAAGCACGACGTCGTCTCGTGGACCGCCATGGTTTCCGGCTACATCAGGTGCGGGATGATCCGAGAGGCCCGCCTCCTGTTTGAAAACCCTCGGGCGAAGAAGAACGTCGTCACCTGGACGGCGATGCTGTCCGGATACGTCCAGTCGAAGAGGATAAAAGAGGCCGAGGAGCTCTTCGAGAAGATGCCCGAGAAGAACGTCGTCTCCTGGAACACCATGATCGCAGGGTACGCGGAGAACGGGCTCCTCGAGGCGGCGTACGAGTTGTTCGAAAGAGCGCCCCTCAGAAATGTGGTCTCGTGGAACACGATGCTGACGGCGCTGGCTCAGAGAGGGAAGATCGACGAGGCCAAGGAGCTCTTCCGACGGATGCCGGAGAAGGATACTATCTCTTGGACGGCGATGCTCGCGGGGCTCGCCCAGAACGGGCGGGTGGATCAGGCTCGCTTGCTGTTCGACCAAATGCCCGAAAAAAATGTCGTCTCGTGGAACGCTATGGTCTCCGGGTACGCGCAGAATCTGAGGCTCGACGAGGCGCTCCACCTGTTCGAGATGATACCGGAGCCAGATCTTCCCTCTTGGAACGCCATGATCACAGGGTTCATACAGAATGGGGAACTGAGAAAAGCGCGAGATTTGTTCGACAAAATGAAGCAGAGGAATGTCGTCACCTGGACAACCCTAATCACTGGGTACGTCCAGGATGGGCTCGGGGAGGACGCGCTGAAGGTGTTCTCGCAGATGCAGAGCGATGGAGTCAAGCCCAACCAGGCGAGCTTTGTGAGCCTTCTCGCCGCCGTCAGTGACCTAGCCGGCCTCGGCGAAGGAAAGCAAATCCATCAGATCATCTGCAAGACCATCTTCCAGTTCAGTCCCTTCGTACTGTCGGCCCTCATCAGCATGTACTCCAAGTGCGGCGATATCGCCACAGCCCGAGCCGTGTTTGATCTGACGGAGCACAAGGACTCGGTCATATGGAACGGGATAATCGCCGCCCACGCCTACCACGGCTGCGGCAGAGAAGCCATAGCGCTGTTTGAAAACATGAGGAGGAGTGGGTTCGCCCCCGACGGCGCCACCTATGTGGGAATACTGTCGGCGTGTAGCCACTCTGGCCTGGTCGGAGAAGGGCTCAAGCTTTTCAGAGTGTTGTTGGAAGAAGAATCAATTGACGTGAGGGAGGATCACTATGCTTGCCTGGTTGATCTCTGCGGGCGGGCTGGTCGGCTGGAGGACGCTGCTACGCTCCTGGAAAGGCTCAACGTTGGCTCCTCCTCCGCCACCGCCTGGGGGGCTCTTCTTGCAGGCTGCAACGTTTATGGGAACGTGAGAGTTGGGAAGATGGCGGCAAAAAAACTGCTGCAGGTGGAGCCTGGCAACGCAGGCACCTATCTGTTGATGTCAAATATATATGCTTCCGCGGGGAGTTGGAAGGAAGCAGCAAGGGTGAGGTTGAAGATGAAGGACAAGGGTCTGAAGAAGCAGCCAGGGTGCAGTTGGATTGAGGTGGGCCGCAGGGTTCACGTGTTCGTCGTGCGGGACAAGTCTCACTGCGAAAGAGATGCGATCTATAGCTTGATCCAGGAGCTTCATCACTGGATGAGGCTGTCGGGTTATGTAACGCTTACGGAATGTACGCCTGAGTGAACACTGGCCGCCTCTATTTTTGCGGGAGAGAAGCCTGAGCATTCTACAAACAATCTGTATAGACTAGTGCGTACACATAAACAACTTTGCCAGATCGATACAAAATCTTGAACAATGATTGCCCATACATTTCTGCGGGTAGGGCTACTTCTTCCTTTAAATTTATGATATATTTTTTAAGTCATGTTTGTGTCATTTCGGAAACACCAGAGTTGACACTTAGATTAGTGCTCATACGCAAGAATCAGGCAATCGATAAGATGTAGATTAGCTGTCACGTAAGGCATCCAGAACAGATTAAATCGACAGTAAAGTGAACGGTAGGGTAGAAACTATCAGATCAATGAAATTAGCCGTGGCTTCGATTGATAAGGAGTCGACGGACATCAACATCCAACATTCCTATGTAAATACAATTCGAGTGATTCCGCAGCCTCCATTGTTTAGCTTCGAAGCACCTAACCACCGAAGCCGTAGAGAGTGCGGCCCTGGCGCTTGAGAGCATACACAACATCCATGGCAGTCACGGTCTTCCGCCGAGCGTGCTCCGTGTAGGTGACCGCGTCGCGGATGACGTTCTCCAGGAAGATCTTGAGAACGCCCCTGGTTTCTTCGTAGATGAGGCCGCTGATACGCTTCACTCCGCCGCGGCGGGCCAGGCGGCGGATGGCCGGCTTGGTGATGCCCTGGATGTTGTCCCGGAGGACCTTGCGGTGGCGCTTTGCCCCGCCTTTCCCCAAACCCTTGCCTCCCTTCCCGCGGCCCGACATGGCAACTCTACAAGCTTCGTCTCAGAAACTCTCAGATCCACCTCCAACGACGAACGCTCTCCCAGAAATAGGACAAAGGGGATATTTATATTTAGTTTCCTCTCCTAGAACTCGCTTAGGGATCGAATTTCCACCGTCAGATGTACTGCTGATCCGCGTGTGCAGATCCTGCGACGCTATTGGCTGGAAATCTTTCGTATTTTTCGACTTTCGAATCTGTTTCCCGCTCGTCTTCGAGTCGTGGCCCGCGCCACGTAGGATGTATTTTTCGTGGGCCTTCTGTGAACGCCCCATGAGGCCCATTAGAAGTGATGTAATGCTGACGGCATTAATGGGCCCTCCCTCATTGAGCACCCCATTTACTCACCCTAGACCTCGGCCCCGGCCCAACAACATCGCCTCCCCTGTGCGCCCCCCTTCCTCCAGCCCACCGAATCTTGTGGGCCATAGGCCCTGCGTCATAGATCGCCACCAGCTAATGGGTCCAGGACGAACTAAATATGGGCCCCTTAAAGGCCCGCAATATTCGGTGGGCCGGAGGAGTGGGACACTGGATGTTGTTGGATCGGGGTCGAGACAATTAAATTGGACCAGTCTTGATTGTCCCCGGCCAGGAAAAAGAATTGAAGTTCCTTTTATTTAATAAATTTTACAGCATTACCATTTATCGCTCTTGAAATCCCAGTGGGAATAATGGTGCCGGTTGCTCTCTCTCTCTCTCTCTCTCTCTCTCTCTCTCTCTCTCTCTCTCTCTCTCTCTCTCTCTCTCCCTCTCTTTCTCCCTCTCTCTATCACTCCCCCCCCCCTCTATCTTCATCTCCATCTCAATCTCAATCGCTATCTCGGCGCAAGTTGATTGCTGCAACAGAGAGGAGAACCCCATCCGTCTGATCTCGGGGAGCTCGTTTAAATTAATTAAAGAAGTCGCAGACAAAATTTATTGTAATGTTGGGGGGCCGGCTTGACGACGGCAGCCATTATTCCCGTGCCCGTGCCCATGCCCATGCGTCTCTCTCTCTCTCTCTCTCTCTCTCTCTCTCTCTCTCTCTATAATTCTAAAACGTTGTGAACGAGACGTCCGGCGACCGTAGCGCGATCGTTCCTTCCTTCTAGCCGGAGACGAGCATTGACTTTCCATCCACATCTATCTCTTTCTCTCTCTCTCAGTGGGTCTGCAATCCCGAGGAGGCAGAACAAGGAAATTATGAGCAACTTAATTCGACGAGTACGGCCCTTTCCCCCATCCAACACCACAGAGAATGCCAGGGTTGCAGACGGGGATTTAGAGAGAGAAACGCTGAAAGCAAGTCGGTCCCTGAGCTTCTCATTTGCGGGGAGAGCACTGCAAGAAGACGACTTTTCCTCTCCCTACTCTCCCTTCGACCCTCCTTCCTCTACCTAGCCCTAACCTCCACCTGTGCCCTCACCCCGACACCCTCCCCCCAAGAATCCGGGCCAACGAATAGCTACCGTGCGACCGACAGTCAACCACATCTGCTTATTCATCTTACAGATCTCTCTCTTCTTTCTCTCTCTGTTTGTCTGTCTCTCTCTCTCGGCGCCATGAACGGCGTGTACAGACACCAGGATTGCGTGAAGAGGAGATGGGGGGGTGAAGAGGGAGAAGAGAGAAGAGAGACGTTGCCGCAGCCGGCGGCGCCCCCCTCCGGCGGGCTGCTAGGGTTTTCTCGGTTGGACGATGCGGCGGCCTCCTCCGCCGCGGCTGTCGTCCCGCCGGTGACTGTGGTGTTCGAGGGTAGCGCCATCTGCCACCGCATCCACCTCCACAGCCTCCCCAACTACGAGAGCCTCGCGCTGGCTCTCCGCCGCCTGTTCGTCGACAGCTCCGGCGACGACGTGCCCACCCCGGTGGCCCTCACCAATGCCGTCCCCGGCCACATCGTCGCCTACGAGGACCTCGAAGACGACCTCCTCCTCGCCGGTGACCTCAACTGGAAGTAAGTTCCTCTCTCTCTCCCTCTGTCTCTCTCTCTCTCTCTCCCCCCATCTGTATCTCTTGCTCAGGGCTTGGTCTTTTCTCCGGCGAAGGGATTTCGTGCGCGTGGCGAAGAGGATCCGGATCCTGCCGGCGAAGGCCAGCCGCCGGAAGCTCTGCGGCACCTGGGGGGTCGTCTGAGGAAGAGCAGACAGAGAGACCGCTGTTTCTGGATCGGGCCCATTATGCCCGATTTGGGACCCTGGTCAGCCCAATTATAGTCAAAGCTACGCCCTTTTCCTGTGTGTTTTTCTCTTTTTTGGATAGCCGAACACTTTCCGTAATTGGAATATGGTTTGGGCCGGGCCTCTTGTCTGTTAGCCTAATATGGCATTGACCCTAACAGGCCCGATAAAGGAGAATGTAGGGTGGGCTCGGGCCCATTTTACACCACATAATATGGACCCAGCGTTTTATGTGCCCGTGCCGACGAGAAGAACTCCGGATGGGCCGGGCCCATTTATATCCCTAATTAGACGAACTAATGGGCCAATCCACCCTTTATTGGTTTGGGTGCAAGCTCAGTAGTGAAACTGTAATCTGCCTGACAAGCCCAGCGGACGCACACGTACTTAAGCGTGGTCTTTGGGCCTAACGGTACCATCGGTTGGTACCGGCCCACTACTGAGGATAGTCATTGGGCCGGTCTGACACAGCAGATTAAAGTGGCCCGAATAATGACGCATAGATCGACATATTTCATCAAAATGGGCCGACAACGGGGGCCCACGAAAAGGAGGAGGAAAGCAAGGCGGCACGCCTTCAGCTTTTCCGTACCACCTCTCAGGACCACATGTCGACAGCGAGGGCCACTAGCCTGCTTTTTCCTATGACGTCATCATTATGCGCCTTCCACATCAGTAAGGTGACGCACGTGGACGCCAACTGCTGGCTTTCTCACCCTTCAGACGTCTTAAAAACCAGCTTATTTCTTAAAATTCCCGGAAAAGGCTTTTAGCTCGTTCGAATGGGCGGTCAACGGTGCGGGATAATATTTCGGATAATTTCATCTCGTTAATTACCCTGTGACTCCTTCGGTTCCCGAAACCCTTTCAACTCCCGATCTTCACCCCCCCCCCCTCATGGTTGACTTTACTCATGGATAACTGGGACCATAGTCGCTGAGGCTGGCTCTCTCTCTCTCTCTCAAGAACGAACGGACAGAGTCATAGGAGTCAAATGGGCCGTCAAATGATCTCTCCGACCTCTACTGCGGAGCTCATGGGCATCAGTGATCTTGATCGTGCATCAGAATCGAGTGCTTCTTGTTCGACGGCCATTACCAAGGATATCAAGCAAAACTCTAGCCAACGCCCTGGCGAAAATTGCTAGAGACCCCAACACAGAGAGAGAGAGAGAGAGAGAGAGAGAAGGGGGGGGGGGGCTGTAGATACAGACAGATAGGAAGTTATAGTCAGATGAATGGCAGAGAGAGAAACAGTGGGTGTAGATATTTATAGATATAAGGAAGGTCAAAGATAGGGAGTAATTTTCAGAGGGTTACAGGGAGAAAGATAGGAGCAAGGGGGGCAGCTAGAGGGTCGTCGTTAGATAGAAACTAGGGGAGGCTCTGGGTGTAGATAAATAGACAGACTTATCGTTAAATAGGGGGCTGGAGAGAAAGCTAGAATGTGGTTTATGTGTAGATAAAAGGGTTAGAAAGAGACTGGTCGACAGAAGGATCATTGTTTGATAGAGGGATTGAGAGAGGGATAGAGAGAGTTTTTAGAGTTAGCTACAGGATTAGAGAAAGATAGGGAGGGAGAGAGAGAGAGGCTGTAGATAGATACGGGGTTATAATTCATAGATAGAGAGAGGGTGGGTTTTTGTTAGATAGAGGGTTAGAGAGAGGTAGATAGAGAGGTTTATAGTTAGATACAGGGTTAGAGAGAGAATTTGAGTTTGGCAGAAGGTTTTGGTTAGATAAGTAAAGGGAGGGTCACAGTGAATCTAGGTAGATACAGTTAAAGGGTAGTTAAAGATAGATGGTGACAAGGCTCCACACACATATGCTAGAAGGAAGAAGGCCCAAAGCGCAATAAGTCAGTAACGGTTAGCATTATTGAGGGAAGGCACAGTCACGGCAATGAGCAATATAACAAGGAGTAGTTATGGCAAAGAATAGTTATGACAAGAGAGGAAAAGGAGAAGATATAAAGAGGGGCGGATCAGGAAGGAGAGGAGGGAGGAGAAATCGGAGTTAGTATCTCGTGCATGTACGAGAAGAGTTGGAGGGTTGTATGCAACCCTCCATCAATTCTGGGTTCTAGGGTTGTATGCGACCCTTTATCTGTTCTGGGTTCTTTTACTGTGTTTTATTTTCGGTATTTCTGTTCTAGAGATTGTTTCTTTCATCTAATATGAATTATTCGTAGTTCTTTTATCTGGGTTCTTATGAGATGGATGGATAGATAGAGAATATATTTATAGAGAGAGAGGGTTAGAGACAGAAGTTATTCTATAGATAAAAAGAGACGGAGAAAGTAAGGGAAAGAGACAATAAGACGGTGTACTGCCAGTACTAGAGCATAGAAATTCAGCTAGATGGAAAAGCGGAAGCAGTAAGTGAAGGACGGGAATTTCTTACACAACCATTTGTCTCGGAGGCTCAACCAGTTACTTTCCACTTCTTGGCCAGGGGAAATGAACGGGGGACAAGCGATATTGGAGTGTACCTTTATCTTATATGGATACCGTCTCCATCCGAAGACATCTTGACGAAAGCGACGGTCAATGCCTCTGGCTCGACGTGTTTTTTAATGTTTTAGTGGCCTTTCCCCCGCGACAACCGCCGTTCCCAAAGACTGAACTGTGAGCTGAGAGGAGGAGCGGGCGTCACCATGTTCAAGCCCTCTGGGCGAAGATTTACACCGTGTCTTGGTCTAGAAGATGGAGAACATGCGGCAGATCGAGACACACAGAGAGAGAGAGAGAGAGAGAGAGAGAGAGAGAGAGAGAGAGATGGATGGACGGCGAGAGTGAGAGCTAGAAGGAAACAGATAGATTGATAGATAGGGTGAGAGAGAAAGAGAGAGAGAGAGAGAGAGAGAGAGAGAGAGAGAGAGAGCAGGAGTTCGGACGGCCCTCTCAGGCGTTGCGCACCTCGAAGATATTCCGGGTCTTGACGACGATGTCGTACATGTGCATGGTTTTAAGCTTGGAGAAGTCCCGGGGGACGGAGATGAGATGCACCGAGGAGCGCTGGTGGAACTGAAGAAGGTGGGGGTCGAAGAGGTAGCGCTCCCACCCCAGCGCCGCCAGCTTCTCCTCCAGTGCCTCATACGACGTTATCACCTCGTTGGTCGGCACATGCACCAGAACCTTCCGCCGCCGCCCGTCGGCGGCCTCCCCCGCCGGGTTCTCCCGGCGGTACACCCCGTTCTTGAACACCCACACCACAGACATCTCTCTGTGCGTGTTCTGGAATGTTCGAGGACGGCGTTAAAGATGTGGTGGAGGAGGAAGAGGAGGATAGAGGGCAGTTTGTCCTGTGGCCGTCGGGAAGGGCCCCCTTTTATGGACGATCCATCTGCTAATGGACAAAGGACAAGAGGCCGGGCATCTTTCTTCTCGAGGGCTGTCCTTTGCAATGGCTGTGGGCCGTCTCTCCGTTGGCTTAGACTTTGACGTGAGCTCCGATCACCCGGGCCATTTCATCGGCGGTACGCTCTCCGGCAGCCTGATCCCGGCTGTCTGCCGCTTATCATTATTGCACCCTAAACCTGTTGCACAGGTTTATTGTGCCCCCGTCTCTTCTTCTTCTTCCTCTTCCTCTTTTTCTTCCTCTTTCTCTTCCTCTTTCTCCGTGTGATCGAATCGGACAAGATATTTTGCTCTCTTCCTGCCAGACAGCCGCTCACCTCCCCCGCCGGCGGCCCTTCCGACGGGACCGGTCATCCATGTGCCGCCGTCTCTGCTGAGCCGAGCTTTTGACAAAACAGAAATGGCGGCGCCATCTGATCCTCCATGAGCGTAAGGCCAAACCGTAAAGGAGAAAGCTCGTTCCCACCCCAAGAACCAGCAGCGCCGCCACCCCTCCGTCATCGGCCGCCGCCGGAGGATCCAAGGAGCCCAGTGCCAGCCGAGAAAATGACAAGAAACTGTCCTTGAGGAATCTCTCTGGTAAATAGAGCACCCAAAGATTCCTTGGCTCCGGACGCGGAGTGGCCGCGTCGGCGATCCCCGCCAAAAGGTCGGTGAATACTAGAAAGCTGACGTGGTAAAATGATAACATCCGACGCGGGGGAATCTCTTTAGGTCTAGAAAAGTCCCACACACGGTCGGAAAACCCCCCAGCTCGTATGCGGGACTTTTGGGAGGTAACCATACCGGATGGTCGTTGTCTCAATCGCCCACGCAACCACGGGCTCCGATTTGTCTTAATCGGGTGGCCCACACCACGAGGCTAATTAAGCCCACCCAACCGCGACCAGAGACCCCACGTCGTGTCACTCAAATCCAAAATAATAAGAGCGGTAGAAACTGCTGCCAATATGTCCCGCGGTCTAACTGGGCCGATAGAATAAGGCCCAAAAAGGCTAAGCTCACCTGTGTCCGTTAGTGGGAATAACCTCTCTGAAATCCATTCAGAAAATGCAATCTCACGATGTGGTCATCTCTGAAGTGGACCCCACCTCCCCCGCTAGAGCTATCTAATATTCATCTGAATGATATTCATTATACGTAGCTTTCGAGGGAGATGGGGTCACTGCGGCCTTCCTCTCTCTCTCTCTCTCTCTCTCTCTCTACTTCATTCAAGCTACTCTCAACAAGCAAGTCTGTTTCTACCCACTTTAATGACTCGGTTGCATTTGACTAACTTCATCAAGTGCCAATTGTCTTGTGATATAAATATTTAATGGGTATTTATTAATATTCATCCTATGATGGACCGCATGGTTATGGCAGAAGAAGCGATTTATTAATGAAAATATTGACCCATATATTACTAAATATAAAATGACAAAAAGTGCCAGAATATTCAGAAATGATGATTTTTTAAGATAATTTATTCGTTAAAGTATTTATTTCGTAACGGTAAAATGCATCTGAGTAAATAAAAATATATAATTTTCCATATTTATACCTGGAATGATATAAATGAGATCTCCTGCTGGGTGGGTCAAAGGGCCAAGTCTCCACTGTTCCCCATCCGTGGGGAATTCGTCGCGTTGCAGCGGCTTGATGATGGCCCAGTTAGGCAAGGTGGCACGTGGAGTAGTTGGACCTAATGGGCCATTTTGGACTCAATGGGAGGAAAAAGCCCAAGCCCAAGCCCATCACGTGGTCTCTATCATCTCTCCACGTGAGTTATCGCCCGGCCCCCCCTCTTTAGTACGTGCATGTATGTATGCATGAAATTTCGTCGTCAACGCGACGCTTTGATGGGGACTGGTCAACGGAAAGCCCTGTTTTGCATCCAAACCTCCTCCACAATTTCGCATACGCAAAAGTCCGCAAAGCGAAGGGGAAAAGGAACAAAAACATACATTAAAATAATAAGGGGGTTGTAGTATAGTTTACCATGTATAGGTAGGGAAATGTGAAAAATCACTCCCCATCGCCATTAATTTCTGACCCCCTTCGGGCGTGTAGTCAAAGGGAGGGGCTCATGCAGGCGCCGTCAACCTTCTCCAGAGGACATGGCCACCACCTCTGTAGAATACGGCGGCCGGTCCAATCTTCGCCAGGAGGAGGCGGAGACCAGACAGCGACGTTCCTCGGCGACAGCGCAGGGTATTCGACCCTCCTCACCATCGACCCAACTTCCCTCCCACCTTCCCTCTCTCACATCGTATTTTATTAGATCTTTGCCCTAATTCTGAAACTGGGTTCCTTCATCGCCCCATCCTCTCCGACTTTCTCTCTCTTGTTCCGTCGCCGCCGAGACCCTGACGGTGGTAGGTCCGGAGGCGGAGGTCAAGGGAGGGGGGCCGGTGTCTCGTCGTGCTTCGATTCCCACTTTGCATCCTCGTGGATTTTTTTCCTGTGCGCGTAGAATATTTGCCGGGCAGAGGTAGGTACTGAGCTTTTGGGGGACTCGAAGGCCGCCTCAGCTTCTGTTGGCTGCTTCCAGGGGGATGTATGGCGGCCGCAGAGGGGGCAGAGATGTCGCGGTTGTGAGGGCCGGTGTGGGAATGCTGTGGGGGAAGAGGATGAGATCGGCGGGCTTGGATCCTTCGTCAGCTGGTGGGTTTTCGTCTCCTTGCTCTTCCCCGTCTCGTATAGCGGATCTTGGCCCCTGAGAATGTTCCTGATCTGTGGGTGCTGTGGTCCGGCGTGCTCGGAGAAGATGGATTGCGCCACGAAGGATGCTCTTCATCTCAGTTTTTCTTCCGATAGGTTCCTCATTTTCCATTGATTAAATCTGTAATGAGTTCATGAATCTTCCCATCTACGGTCATACGATGCTCGTGAACGCCTTGCGGCTAATCATTTCATTCCATTCTGTCCTCTCGTTCCCCTGCCCTCCGGGGAATCTCACGTTGGATTTCTAGGGTTCGTCTACGCTCCTCTATTGTGACTACGGCTCTCTCTCTCTCTCTCTCTCTCTCTCTCTCGTGGAGTAGGATCTTCGCCTCTGTTGTCATTGGGGACTGGCGGAGTTCAGATTTTGGCTGTGATTTCGTTTCTTGCGCTCGCATTTGCTCTACTTCCGAGTCTGGCTGGAGGATCGACTGGTGATATTCTGACTGTGGCAGGGCTGGAGCTGAACCCACCGAAATGCAGCGAGATGAGCATGGAGGAGAGGAGAAGCCTTGTCCGGGAGTTATCTCAGTGGGCTCGGGGTGCCCCCGAACTGCTGCAGTCATGGAGCCGCAGGGATCTCCTGGAGCTCCTCTGCCTGGAGATGGGTAAGGAGCGCAAGTACACTGGTCTTACCAAATTCAACATCATAGAGAACCTTCTAAGGATTGTCTCCGGGAAGAAGAAGCCTGGGAAGTCGGTGGAGGACGCCATGGACGCCGCCCATCCTTCCCTGTCGAACCCTCCGCCGCCTGCTAAGAGACAGCGTAAGAACGCTCATCCGCGTCGCCTCCCTCTGGAGGCAAGCCGCTCCATGGAGAGGATTGCAGGGGAATCCGTCGAGGCGTCCAAACTCTGCAAGAACGCGGCATGCAGGGCGAGCATGGGCCCCGAAGAGCCCTTCTGCCGCCGGTGTTCTTGCTGTAGTTGCCACAAGTTCGACGAAAATAAGGACCCGAGCTTGTGGCTGGTCTGCGGCTCAGAGGCTCCGTCTGAGGGAGATTCCTGCGGCGCTTCTTATCATTTAGAGTGCGTTCTAAAGCAGGAAAAGGGGGGTGTTGCCAGAACTGAGCTTGGAGAGGGGCTGGACGGAAGCTTCTACTGCGTTCATTGTGGGAAAGTCAACGACTTGCTGGGGTAATTTCTCCTTCCTGCTCTGAGCTTGGTGGCCATGCTTTATTTTTTCATGGGACCTCTTCATGGGTTTTGATGTCCTAATCTTTTTATTGAAATTCTGCTTTTGATCTACGATTACGGGCTGATGCAGAATGAATCAGACGGTTCGTTCGACCCTGTTCATGATCAAAAGTCAACTTAGTAGAACTGCCTCACTGGATGGAGTGGGAAGCTTTTATTGCTAGATCTTGAGAATCCCGATCCGCGTTTCTCTCCAGTTCTTTTGACGGGGAGGAGGAGGGGGGGTGTCTTCGTGGTCCTGGGGACGTATAGCTTCCGTGTTCATTGTTGCGATATGTCCGGCAGGTGCCTGAGGAAGCAGCTTTCTACTGCGAGGAAGGCTCGGCGCGTTGACACCCTCTGCTACAGGCTGTCTCTGAGCCGGAGGATTCTCAACGGTAACCCGAGGGTCAAGAATCTGCACGGCGTCGTGGATTCGGCAGCGAGGAAGCTGGAAGCGGAAGTTGGAACTCTGGACGGCTTGCCGGCGAAGATGGGCCGGGGCATCGTCAACAGGCTGTCTTCCGGCGCCGAAGTCCAGAGCCTCTGCGCCGCCGCCATTGCGACGGTTGATTCCATGCTCTCGTCTTCGTCTCCTTCCCTGACGAACCAGGGTAAGCCCCCTCGTCCTCAGATCGAAACCCTATATTTCCCGGTTGGCGTTGGCTTGATCATTGCTTTGTTTGGATGGGACGTATTATCTGCAGACTTGGGCCCCCCTTCTATCTCCGTTGACTTCGAAGATGTGTCTCCGACGAGCCTGACGGTGGTTGTGGGTCTGCGGGAAGAAGCGCCACAGCTTCCGGCGACGGGCTACTCCCTGTGGTGTCGGAAGGTGGAGGCGGCCAAGTATCCGGTGGAGCCCGTCGCTATGTTGGCGGAACCGGAGAGGAGGTTCTCGGTTTCCGGCCTCGAGCCGTCAACTGGGTACGTGTTCAAGGTCGTCGGACTTGCCAGCTCCGGCGAGTTTGGGAAGCGGGAGCTCTGGTTCACCACCCCTGGTTCTCGGAAGGACGCCGCCATAGAAGTAGAAGGAGACTCCTCGAAGAAGAAGAGTCAGAGCCCCTCGGAAGACTGCGGTGAATCCTTCAACACGTTGCCGGAGTCGTCCTCCGGCAGCCTCCAGAAGAAGAAACCGGAGATTCCCGACTTGGAGGAGGAAGCCTCGGTTCACGGCAGCGATGGAGCCGCCGCCGAGCAGGAGATACCCGGGTCCACCGTCCATGGGGGCTCCCACTGGGATTCCTCAAACTCCACCGAGCTCGACCTAAACCAGGCTCTGGAGCCGCCGAGATCCGAGGAGGAGTCCAACGAGCCGCCGCCTCCCGAAGGGCAGGCGGCGCCGCCGCCGTACGGATGCTCCGAGGCCATCATCCTCCCCTTCACACCGTCCAAACTGGAGACCACCGTGAAGACCGGTGGCGGCGGAGAGGGCGCCTGGTTCGCGGAGCAGGGAAAGGAACCGTGCCCGGGGAGCTCGTCAAAGAAGAAGAAGAAGAGGGCGGCGCCGCCGCCGCGGGAGGGAGGCGCATTGGCGGCGGACTATGAGTATTGCGTGAAGACGATAAGGAGGCTGGAGTGCGAGGGGTACATCGAGACGAGCTTCCGTGTGAAGTTCCTGACCTGGTTCAGCCTGCGGGCGAGCCCACAGGAGCGGAGGGTGGTCAGCGTGTTCGTCGACGCCATGGCCGACGATCCTCCCAGCCTCGCCGGGCAGCTCGTTGACACCTTCTCCGAGGGCATCCGGAGGAAGCCGCCGCCGCCATTGCCGACCGGGTTCTGCACCAAGCTCTGGCATTGACTCTCTCTTTCTCTCTCTAGGGCTGGAATTCTTTTGATGCAATTACATCAGATTCATTGGGGATCTCTCATTCTCGGGCCGGCACGGTCCTATTTAAACTCGCATTATCTAGTAGTAAGTGTACTTCTTTCGCATTGCAAGTCCGCACGCGTCCTCTCTGGCTTCCGGGCAAGTTGCACCGGGTCTACCCCACTCTCTCTCTATCTCTCTCATCGTGTGCTCGGTTGCTTCGTCCGTCTCTCTTAAATGGATCATCGAGTGCCTGAGCGAGGAAGAGTCATCTGCATGCCCACCGAACACGCAATTCCAAGGGAGAGAGAGGGTCGGGCATGGAGTGTCTCGACCCATCAGGTCCCTGTGGAACTGCTATTAAGACCGAGAGAGGTCGAGTAATGGCGACGGCATCACGACCCTGCGCAATGCTCCTCCTCTCCTCTTCCTCTCCGCGATCCGTTTCTTAGCTCTCTGTCTCTCTCTCTACCTCTTCTGTGCGTTCTTGGAGTTGCAGGAACAAGGCAGTATCGGTACAGAGGAGGAATGCGCCGGCTGTTTCCGAAGAAGGGAGTCATAAAACGGCTTCTCACGATAGCCCGGAGGAGAAACGGGGAGGAGGAGGAGGGCCTCCCCGGCAATGGCGTGAGCCTTCCTCCGGACGGCCACTCTCCCGAGAAGCCCACATGGCGCTGCTTCTCTTACGAGGAGATTCTCCATTCCACGAGAGGGTTCCACCAAGGTCTGCCTGATTTTCGCCATGGCTTCTTCTTTCTCGGTGTGTCTCCTCTCTTTTCTCTTCAATGACGGGCACGATCTCCGGGTAGATAATCTGGTGGGAAGAGGCGGCTACGCAGAGGTTTACCGGGGAATTCTACAAGACGGGAGGGAGATCGCCGTGAAGCGGCTGACCAGAGCCTCACCGGAGGGCCAGAAGCAGAAGGACTTCCTCGTTGAGCTGGGTACCGTCGCTCACGTCTGCCACCCCAACGTCTCCACCCTCGTCGGCTGCTGCATCGACTGCGGGCTCTACCTCGTCTTCCAGTTCTCCTCCCATGGCTCCCTCTCCTCCCTTCTCCACGGTAGGAAAGCTCCAATGGTTTTCTCCCCGTAGGAAGGAGGAGGAAGAAGAAGGAGAAGAAGAAGAAGGCTCATTCATCGCTTTTCTTTCAGACGAGCGTGCCCATCCGCCGCCATGGGAGCTCCGGTACAAGATCGCCGTCGGTGTCGCCGCCGGGCTCCGGTATCTGCATGAGGGCTGCCGGAGGAGGATCATCCACCGCGACATCAAGGCCTCCAATGTGCTCTTGACGGCGGATTTCACACCTCAGGTCACTAGTCATCTTCAACCTCGGGAATACCTGAAGATCCAGGCTCTAATTTCAGCTCTCCCTGGCGGCTCGCAGATATCCGACTTCGGACTGGCCAGTTGGCTTCCCTCGCAGTGGACCCACCGCACGGCGGCGGCCATCGAGGGGACTCCAGGGTTCGTTCTGCAACTTTCGAGAGGGAAGAGGGGAGGAGAGGAGAAGAGAGTCGCAGTTGCAGAGTTGTCATTGCCGGGGAATTTCCTTCATTTGCAGGTACCTGGCGCCGGAGTACTTCACCCGCGGGGTGGTGGACGAGAAGACCGACGTGTTCGCCTTCGGCGTGCTCCTCCTGGAGATCCTCTCGGGGAAGAAGCCGGTGGACGGGGCCCACCGGAGCTTGCTCAGCTGGGTAATGATGGCCTTCTTCTTCCTTCCTCTCTCTCTCTCTCTCTCTCTCTCCCTCTCTCTTTTTCTCTCTTCACTTGGCTGTGGATTGAGGATAATTGTGGGGTTTCTGTTGTCGCACCAGGCGAGGCCCCTCCTCAGGGAAGGCGCCACCGCGGAGCTGGTCGATTCCCGACTGGCCGACGGCAGCTACGACAAGGATCAGCTCTACAGGCTGGCATTCGCCTCATCTCTCTGCATCAGAGCCAGAGCGGCGCGGCGCCCTTCAATGAGTGAGGTCCGGCCCCCACCCACCAACTCTCTCTCTGTCTCTTAGGCGTCTGAAGAGGAAATAATTAGCCATTGACTTTTAATCCCTGGCGATAGTTTATAGAAAAATTAGGAAAACAGATAGCTGGGTTTAAGAATGAGCCGCTGTTTCATGCCACTGTATGGGTTTTAAGAATTGAAAAACACGTTTCAAGATGCTGGAATTTAGTGGGTTGTCCTCAGCGCGTCTGATCTTAGTCGGTATTACTCGGCCCCGCCTGCCCACCGGGGAAGCAGGCCTAGAGGTGGCCCTCCGACCCAGTGGGGTCAGAGCAAGAGAAACGAAGAGAGAGAGAGAGAGAGAGAGATCATCATCGTCGTCGTCGCCGCAGGAGATTCATTAAAGCGTGGATTTTGGTGGCAGGTGCTGGACTTGCTGGCTGGCGGCGAGGCCTCCCTAGAACGCTGGAAGCCGCCGGCGGAGGAAGACGACGAGGAAGAAGATGGCGACGAAGAGGATGAGCTGTGGGAGCTGGACGAACACGAGGACTGCGATTCCCCCGTCTTCTCTCTTTCGTCAGCGGCCAGCTCCTGACAAAACCCCCCCCGCCCGGGTCGTTGACCAGCTGGTGCAGAACGGGATCAAAGTAAGCTATGACATGGGGAATTGGTCAATGCCAGATAGGCAACGGCTTTCAGGGTCAACCTGCACCCGAATTCATACCACAAATCTGCGCTACTAAAATATTATTAAATACAGTCACGCGGGGAAGGCAGGTGGCTCAATAGGGAACGTTCTTGGGGAGGTTCCTGATGACATTGCTCTTCATCCCGATCTTAGAGCGCATGGTCTCGACTCCTGATCGGCTCAGCTCCCGCTGGATCTTCTTCCTCAGTATCTGCTCCCTCGACTGCACCGTCACCAGGCCCATGCTCTTATACCTGACGATCATTCAGAATACAGGATTGTGATCGCATGTTTACGTATTGATCTTCAGATAATAGTGAGTGAAATAGTCAACCATGACGAATAAAAAAGTCGTGAGCCCAAAACCCCAAGATCTTAAACCCTAAAATACCAAATATAGAACACTAAGAGAGCCCAAGGGCCAGATAATAAAATCTTAAACCTCATAGATCAAACATGGTGAAATAAGAAAAGTCTTAGGGCCAAACCCTAAGAAAGTCTTAAACCCTAGATACCAAGCACGATGTGGGAAAGCTCAAAGGCCAAAATGTACCTTGAAGCTAGTGAGATAGCCAGGGCCACATCCCTCGAGACGGATGGGCGGGGTTTCTGCCGGTAGTACCGCAAAAACTCACGAGAACCGAACGTCTTTACAGATACCCCATTCTCACTTCTCTTGGTTATTATGAGCTCGGAGCCGCCATATCCGAGTTCAACATTCTGATTTTCGTCGTCTGCAACCACAAGTTGACTTCCATCCATGCCCTCATAGCTGAAGAGAAAAAAACACAACCCCTTTAGTCAACTAAATTTGACGAAAAATAGTTCATAAAAAACCAAAGAAAATAAATAAATGAGATGACACCTGCTGCTGTAATCGTAGAACTCTTCCAACTCCGCTTCTTCGTCGTCTTCACCATCACCATAACGAACCCGGCAGTGGCCTTTTGCTATCATATGCTTCCTCACTGCTTCCAGGCTTTGGAAAGGACGGCATCTATCATTACAGTAAAAGCACTTGAAGTCTCTCATGACCTAAGAAACGGAAAGAGACATGAGCTTTGGCATGAAAGTTTTCGTTACACAACACAGAGTAACATCGAAATGGGACATAGACCCACCTTGAGACCCAGAAAGGTGAGGAATCCATTAGCGTCCTTCAAATATTCAATGTCAGGAATGAAGAACCCATGCTGTTTGTGCATGTGAACCGTGCAGCTTTCTACTGTTTCATGCTTCATATCACAAATAAAACAACAAGTAGTATCCAAATCTATCTCCATTTCCTTTTCTTCCTCATCAACGACATGCTGATCTACGTCCAGATTCATTAAAGACTCATCAGCCGAGTCAACCTCAACCCATTCGTCTTCACTCTCTTCGTTGTCATCAAGTTCTACCCTTCTTTCAAGAGCGGGGTTTCCTGTACGACTATGCCCGCTGGATGAACGGGTCGTAAGAGGTTTAACGGCTGTCATCTCAGAGTCTGGCATCGGTCCTTGAGAAGCTTTCACGATATGAGCTTTCGATTTGAGATGTTGATCAAGAGCCTTAGAACTTCGGTACTCTTTTCCACAGAGTACACAAATATATGACATGGGGGTTGCATTTGACCTGTTTTTTTCTTCAGCCAGAGCTAACTGCCTAGCTTGGAACAACGTCTCGGTCACTCCTGGTAGTTCTGCAATCTGATGAGGAGAAAAAAATGATAATACGAGCTTAGAAAAAACAATAATTTACAGAATTCAAGATTAAGGTAACAACAGCAAGAAACAATAAACCGGAAAAAATAAACACAAGCACCCAAGTGTTTCCGTCTACTTCATAGACAGCATCAAGGATTGGATCCTGGATGGAGCAGATTCATTCCTAATCCAGATCGGATTAGATCTCCTCCTTATCAGCCAGTGCAAGAATACATTTTAAAAATAAAAAATACGATAATCTTGAACTAAAGTAAATTATTTTTTATGACACGAAAGCTGTGATGCTTTCCCATCACCTTTAATTGATATGTATGAAAGTAATCATCGACAAAAATCACGAAAAAAAATTAAAATAAAGTGAACGCCTTGGGCGTTGGACAACGGGAGTAGTCAAAGAAACATTATAAGAAAACTGCCCTCCTGTTTGCCAAAGTCATTGACTAGAGGCAAAAATGATGTTCAGTCAGTCAGGCAACAAAAATATAATTCTCACAGCGGGATAGACTCCTTAGCAGATTGTATCTGTAGCCTTCGTATTTTACCAATGAAGTGAGGAATGCATAGGATGTTCAAACAAGAAAAAAAAATCTTCACGGAAATATTGAACCGTAACCCTAACCCTTTCAGCAGATTTTACCAAGGAGGTGCATAGAATTTTCCAGGATAACCTACCACTAAAAAACTTTAAGATAAGGGAAGACGCTGGACAGCCTGGAAAGCACAAATGCTCAGTTATCCGTTCAATCTGGTTTAAAGAAGTAAAAAATCATAGCAGCATAGGCAAAACATCCAGAATGTTATCGAATGGTGACAAGAGCCTAACTAAGATCTTCATTAAATTTTCTGATTTCTTATGACTATCCCGCTGTTTAGTCTGGGGCTGCGTCAAGTTCTTCCGCATGGTCATTTACCACAGTGGGCCTTTTTTATATCTCAAACACCCATTATAATGCCGTTTATCCTTATAAATTTAACTCGCAATACGAAAATCTGAATAGGAGGATTCATGCTTCATGTGCATGATTTATAGGAAAATCTAAATCCAACAACTCATATACAGATTAAAGCCATATTCATAAAAATTCTACTGAGAATAGAAAAGGTGAATAAGAAAACTGAAATTTCAACAGAAGAGGAGAGAAAATCAGCATCAGAAACCGCGTAAATTTTCAAGAAAGAAATCAAACCACATTATGATTAATTTTCTTTCGAAGGACAAGGAGCAGATACAGCGTCAAGCCCCAAATCATCGGTTCTTCGTTGAATTAGGTTTTGCAAAAACAAAGATAATTGTAGTACAGACGGACAACTAGAGCCCTAGAAAAATCTAAAAGAGCCTAATAGACATACCCCTACCCCAAAATTTCTTACGCAAGTGTGGAGATTACCTTCCGCTTAAGATTGTACCGGTGCCAATCGGACTTGTAATGGAGCTTCTGTTCCACCTCGTCCTCGAACTCCTTGTTGCAAGCGTTGCACGTCAATACTCCCGGCATCTCCATGCTCGCTATCAACCCACTGTCCGATCAAAGGGAAAATCTCGCTCTCCTCTCTCCCCTAGTCTCCTACCCTTCGAGAAGCGGCGCGGCGGAACCGACGTGGGAGAAATGGGCAAGGCTGGGTTTATATAGAACCCAGGGAGCCCAAGTATTGGGCCTTCTTTGTCAACTAAAGGCCCGAATTATTGTGATGGGGAAGGCCCACTGGGCCCACCAGAACCCAATAATAATTATATATAGATAATAGAGATGTCCATGAGCCGAGGTAGGCCCATTGGGTCTGGTCAATAGCCCGAAAGCAGCCTCTATACCAGACCCTTTTGAAATCCAGGCCCGTATGGCCGTCCAAGAGGGAGAGGATGACAGGCTGCCACGTGCTAGGTAAATGGCCAGACACGTGGCCCGGATATTAACTGGATTCCGTGTAAGCCTCACGCCTATTTTAATGGGTGGAGTTTAAGGCCCATTATAAACTGGGCCTGTATGGGCCGAGTAGTGGCTAATCGACGGGGAAAAAACTAGAATTCAGACTGAAGAAACGGAGGGTTCTGACGTGGCTAGTTGACGTTCCTCATACAAGCCCAATACGGCCTACATCCGCACGGCCCAAAGTTGAGCGTTTGAGCTTCATCTGTTGCACCATGGCCATCGCCATCATCTTATAGCATTGGGGCTGAGAGTTATAATAACTCTGAGAGGAGACCAAATCAGATTCCCGAGATAGAAAGTGTCAACGGCTGGCTCTCCCAAGTCCACTGATTTTAAAGTCAACGGGGGCAAAAGGGTATTTTCCTGCTCCCTCAAATTTTCAGTTTGTGTACAGAACCTTGTGTTCGCAAGGAAGAAGAAGGCTTTGACCAGACATCCCTGAGCCCTAAATAGTGCTCCAAGAACAGCGGGATGTGAGAGGCAAGCCGCCAAAATCCATGGAGCTACTACTCGTCACAGCATGGCACAACAAAGGGCTTTTTTTTTTATGGCCCAGATCGAGGGGAGAAGAACCCAATTCATTGATGAAGAAAAAAGATCTGATCTTGGTGCCAAGGGCCGATCAAGCTTCAACCATGGGTTCTGGGTCGGGGGAGCTCGTTGAGTTTGGATTGGTTACAGTGGGCTTCAATGGAGAATTGAAGAGAATGTCCTTGATGACCTGAAAAGGAGATTGGAACATGCTAAGTGAAGAATGCTGATCATGAGCAGAGATTTAGCTGTGAAGAGGGAAACCCACCTGTGACATGAGCCCATGAACTTGCTCTACGGTGATCTTCGAACTATCTCTCGTTATCTTTGCCAGTTGGGATTCTTCCTGCAAGGAACGAAACGTCAGAAAGAAAAAGAAAGGCCCCAGAGAATGAACAATGAGATGGTCTCATTAAGATGTAGGAGAGAGAAAAGTCATAGAAATGTAGACATTTTTTTTTAAGAAGAAAATAACACTGAAGACTGATTTCGGGCCTACCTGATGTCCTACTAAATCCCCCCCCCCCCCCACTTCTATGGCAACTAACTGACATAGAATATTTAGGAAGGAAGTAGCAAACTAAAACAGAAAAAGGAAAATGACAGAGGACCAATTATTCGGTGAAGTTTGTAATGTTATAAACCTAAAATTATTGTGAGATAAGAACCGAAATATACGACCAAGATCATGGAGCAAATAGATAGTTCATGGGCTGCAGAGAATGAGCCTACATCCTTCTTCTTCTGAGAAGACATGACCAAAAAACCGAGGCGGGTGTGAGCTAGCTGATTCTCTACTTGCTCCAGTTTTTCCGCTGCAAATTGAACACTTCAAGCATCAGTTCGGTAGTTTTACAGGAATAAAATCCTTAGCGTACTGTACCAGCATATAATAAGTTAAGAGCAGGTTTCATAGAATAAAATAAAATAATCCCAAATTAAAAATCATACAACTACCTTAAGACTTACCCAAATCGGAAATCTGCCCTGCTACATAGTCTCTATTCCCCAGGAGCGGCGAGGAGGACAGTGTGTTCACCCAGTACTTGTTCCACAGCAGATCCAGGAGATGGCAGTCCAGAGAAGACTTGAAATATGTAATGTCCAATGCATAATACTGAATTGAAGTATCATTAAGTTAAAAACACGCATTTCAGAAAAAAAAACCCACATAGGAAATCGCAGGTAGCAGATTACTTGTTTGCAATGAACGCCGAAGTCTTCGATTTTATTAAGTGGAATAGTTTGGTATTCAGAAACAGGCTCATCGGGTGGTTTATATCCCTGTGGATATGTCCTGAATGCTCCAATATCAACCTTTCCTGCCGAAACTGTTCTTGTAGGATCTATCACAAGGGCGAAAAATGGATCCTGGTACTGCTGGTTAAGCATCTGAGTTGACACATCGATGCCAGATAGCCAACAGCCATAGCCAGGGTGCGAATGGTACCAACCGACCACATTCTCCGGTCTTCCAGCCTATTTTCCAGGGCAGAACCCAGATAAAATGCACCATTAATATGACAACCCAACTCCGTGAGGTGAATTTTAGATGCTGAGTCAAAATGATAAAATAAAATAAAAATAAAAAATTAGGGAAAATAATATGCCAAGATATATGGCAAAGATCAATAATACAAACTAATATAAACAAGAGGAATATTATACCAAGATATATGGCAATGACGTCAAGATCGATAAGACAAAAGTAAGACAAACATGAGAGTACGCATCAAGTTGGATACACTTTCTGCAAGACTAGACTGAACGGTTGATCTCTGATGTTTACAGGAGAATAAATGTCAATGCTTACATGAAATGGAAATGCCCTCTATGATGTTCGCTAATTCCTTAGGAGTGACAAACAGAGAAATTAAAATATTATTTTCACTTTATGAAAGTAGCAAATGGCATGGACTTTCATTCAACATGGAAACGAAGCGTTTTACACTTTAGAGGATTAACATATAGTTATGATGCTCATTCATGAATAAACACTCTTTAGCTTGCTCCACTTCTGTCTTTGGAACAGACATCAGGAAGAAAAGCATATCTCTGATACTTCCAAAGCACATAATCCTCTTCCAATGCTGCCAATTCAAATTCATCTCCAAATGTTTTAAGGTATCGAGATGACTCCGAAGTTTTTGTAGCAATTAAAATTTCATAAATGCTGCTTTCCTCAATATCATTCGACCAAATATGTTAGATCGGGCAACGACAAATAAACATGGGCAACGTTAATTCATCTACACAAGCATTACTACCAATCCCTGCGTGACCTTTTTTTTTTCTAAAAAAGTATAGTAAAACTTAGGAGAATGTGAATGTAGAGTTTTAGGACGTGGGTCTGGGCTTCTTATGCATGGCATCACAAGCTGTTGACACAATGTACACCATATCAGTTCGCAACCGAGAAGAAGACAGCATGAGCTGAAGATAATCTCGAGAAAAATCCCATTTTGATGAACCCTTCATCACCTTTGAATAAGGTGAAGCCGTACATGTAGGAATTATAATACTGATAATATTTACCTCCAAGATACCCTCAATTTTCAATGTCACGCGATGAGAAAAATCAAGTGAACAGAATTCTATACGACCCAGGATATCTTCCCTATGTAAATATCTTCGTCCAAGAACAGCATTCAAGATGTAAGCCTCCATAATTGTCTGGAAATGGGTAATTGTGCGCCAGACTTGGCAAACAGATGACCTAAGAAATGACTCCTAGGAGTGTTCAAGCTAGGGTTTTTCCGATGAGTTTTTCGATTTTTTCTGCTTCTTGGGCAACCACTTTTCTTCTTCAAACAGAAAACTCCATTTCAGAAAACCAGAGTCCCGGACCCCCACCATTCAATAGCCCAAGTTCCTTAATTCGGAAAAAAAAAACTTACCAGGTCTTGGTTGCTAAAACATTATCTGCAGGGAGTGAAACCACCAAGGCAGGAGAGGCTCGTATCATATTTCTTTCTCATTTTTAACTGTTTAAAGGATCCTTACCTGCTTGTTGGTCTGGGAGTAGTCGACCATGTACTCGTAGGCGTCGGCCTGGGCGTTGACACGGGTCTCAGTGCCTTCGACCGGTAGGGCAAAGGCGTCCATGACGATGAAGGTGTCACCGTCTGTCTTCCCCTGCATCACACCCATCACCTCAATCGTCCCACCGGAGCGAGCATGGACGACCATCTTCAGCAGCGCGAGGGCGGATATTTTCACGCGGCGGAAGAAGTGAGGATCATTGGTCCACGGCTTCTCCTGCTGCATCTTGCTCTGCGTGGCCTCGTCGTAGAAGTAGATCAAGTCCACGTCCGCCCCTTCCACGGCGACCACATTGTTCTCCAGCTCCCACGTCCTCTGGGCGATCACCGCCGTGGAGGATGGCTCCATCGATCCAGCACAAGCCTCGCCTGGAGGCGGATTATCCCTGTTCTCGCCGCCTTCTCTAGGCTTGGCTTCGCATCGAAATGGAACGGAACAGCAGCCAAAAACCCTCCCTTTTGACTTCCGACGAAATTGAGTACCTGTAAAAAATACTTTAGTAATTAGCCCTCATTAGTTTAATAACTACATATTAAACATGAAACATTATTTATTGTCTTAAGTACTCTCATGGCGATTATTGAGCCAACCCGACCCAACAAGGTAACTGTCAATGTTGGGAATTTTGGGCTTGATTATGGACCCAGATCCCGGGCCAGACTTATTTTGGGCCTACTTTATTTGACCCATCATGCCCCAACTAATGTGAGCTTTGTTGGGCCTAATTGGACCGCTCGACTGAACCGAGTTACCACCGAGTCGCGGCGGGGGGAGGTGAACTCGGTCTCTTCCCGCGACTCGGCCCCGGCTTCAGGGCGGTTCTCAGTTTCCGTTTTCCAGCGTCATCAACCGACTCGGGCGAGTCGACGCCCAACTCGGGCCGGGACGATCCTGTGAATTTAATAAGAGTTCTTTTCTTTATTTGGGCCGGGCCGCTTTAGAGCCTCACCGGCTCAAGTTGGAACGGAAAGGCCGTCCCCGTGACGTGGACTTCATGGGCCCCACTGACAGTGTCCACCAATCGGAAGCCGATGACGTGGCATATCGTGGACGCCTCTATCCACACCATAGGACAAAGAGAGAAGCTCCCGCCGTCTCCCTTCTCGTGGCGGAGAGAAGTCCTCCACAGACGCCCTCTCACCCTCATCTCCGGCGGCGAGGTCGCCCGCCACCCTCGGCTCACGGCGGTGCCGCCGTAGGTGGTCTCCTCCCTCTCCCATGGCCTTTCTCCAGTAGAGCGGAGCGAGGGAAGGACGGGTGGAGAAGATGGGGTTGCTGACGACACAAGCGCAGGCCCTGAGGGCTTCAACTGCGGCCGCCGGCGCCGGGAGAAGCCCTTCCTCTTCTTCTTCTTCCTCTTCTTCTTCCTCCTCGATCTGTCTGTTCATCCGAGAATCTCGTTCGCCGCGCGTCTCCAAGGTACGGCGTTCTGATTCGTTTTGTCATGTGGCTATTTCTCCATCTTCTCTTGCTCAGATCGGTGGAGGTTATCAGGTCGATTGGAGCCGAAACACCATTGGGAGGGGCCACTTAGACGGCAGGCGCTTCTTCCTGCGTGCTCCAGATCTGTGGACAAGAAGCCGAACAGGTTGACTGAAGAGAATGAGTCGTCCTCTGAATTCGGGGTCGAGATTAGGGTTTACTTTCTAAAACTGTTGCCATCGGCGACTGCAGTCTCGCCGGTGTACGTTCTTCCGCTGACCGAAGAGAATGTCGAGCTGGTTCTGGATGAAGTACGGCCAAGCCTCATGGCGGACGGCGGAAACGTGGCCCTGCACGAGATCGACGGCCTCGTCGTGGTTCTGAAGCTGCAGGGCGCCTGCGGATCGTGCCCGAGCTCGACAATGACGCTGAAGATGGGCATCGAGACTCGGCTCAGAGATAAGATCCCGGAGATCATGGCGGTCGAGCAGATCCTGGACACCGAGACAGGCCTCGAACTGAACGAGGAGAATGTCGAGAAGGTAAGCGAATTCCAGACCATGTCAACTGCTTTACATATCTGGTAGATCCGTCGGCCTCATCTTGTTCTATGGAGTTCTGTGTATCTTCTCATCAGTTCCTCAGATTCTCAAACGTCTGAATCATTCATCGACATGATCCGACGATTGAATCGTTCATCCGTGATTGGGAAATCTAGAAAGGGTTTTGGGCATATTCTGAGAAATCCCATGTTACATGCTCGATAAAATGCTTGATTCGGTACCCATCCTCACCATTCCTCTGATGGATATCATCCTCTGCATCGTCTGTGATTCAGAATCTATCAAGAGGGCTTCAGAATCTCTCTCTCTCTCTCTCTCTCTCTAAGACTGGTTTTGTTGCAGGTTCTGTCGGAGATACGGCCGTACCTGGTCGGCACCGGAGGCGGGGCACTGGAGCTCCTTCAGATCAGCGACTTCGCGGTGAAGGTCCGGCTGAGCGGGCCGGCGGCCGGCGTGATGACGGTCCGCGTCGCCCTGACGCAGAAGCTGAGAGAGAAGATCCCTTCCATTGCGGCTGTCCAGCTGGTGGATTAGAGAGAGAAAGAGAGAGAGAGAGAGAGAGAGAGAGAGAGAGAGAGAGAGTGGAATCCCCACGGTTTCCCATTTTTTCCCCCCCCCTTCATCTTCGTCTTCTGTTCATTCTCCATGAAAAGGCGTGTTTTTTCGATGGCCCAGACGTTGGAATCTCAGCAGATGGATGTGAGTCAAAAAAGTCAACTCTGGCAGCGCTCTTCTCCCCGCGCATATACGTTGTGGGGTCAAACGGCAGCGGGGTAGTTAACGGGCCGGATAAGCCCGAAGCCTTCCTCGGTTTCCGGGCTTATTTCTAGAAAGAGGCCTTTTGGGAAGAGGGCTTAAGGGTGTGGGCCGCCCGGTCCGGGTCGAAACGGGCCGGGTCAGGATTTCGGCGAATCGGACCGGGAAGCCCTGAAGACTTAACAGAGATGGGAGAAAGGCCCCGACTTCAGAGTCTCATTTCCCGTCTCTGCGAAACCCTAGCCCTCCACACCCCCCCCCCTCGCTTCCTGTGCCCTCTCCGCCGCCTGTCCACCGCCGGCCCGCAGGCCCGGTCTCTCCGGCGGCCCATCAGCCCGTCGCCGGCCCGTCAGCCCGGTCACCCTCGCCGGCGTAGCGCCGCCCCTGTGCTCCGCCGGTGAGAAGCCTCCGGTGGCCGTGGGAGGCTGCCATCCGGCCGCCGTCGCTTCCTCTTCATCCCGTGCGCGAGATCCCGCCGGAGCAGTTGACCCGTGACGTTGCCGTCGCTCCTCTTTGATTTGCCTCAGCAGATCGTCAGATCCGGAGGTCCTTGCTCCATCCAATTTCCGTCTGTCCGTACGGCTTTCAGCCCATCACCATCGTCCCTGTTGGTGTACTCGGGCCTTTCTTTTCTCTCTCTTAACCTATTTTAGCATATGAAAATTGTTGAGTCGTTTATACCATTTTCTGATTCTGAGAGATGCAGTTTTTGTTCTTGTTCATTTTTATTTTTTATTTTTTATTTTTATTTTTTATTTTGCTTAATATTTAGATACGATCAGGAATGGATGGCAATGTCAGTATCTTCGGTGATGCTGAGCGACTAGCTCCGGGAAAAGTCAAGCCCATCAGGAAGCTGAAATCACCTCATTGGCAGCATTTCACGATAAAAACTCTCGAAGATGGATCTCTGCGGGCCTTCTGTAAGTACTGCACAAAATCTCTCACCTGCGGGCCGAAAGCTGGAACCAGCCACATTGCCCGGCATGCCAGGAACTGCCGTAAGCTACTCACATCATCTGGCGGGAGCGACGGCCCGAGCCACGTTCCTCGGCCTATGAAGAATCGTGAGAAGCTCCAGTGGAAGAGGAAGACCCAGAAGCCACTGCCCATCGTCCCCAGCTTCTGCGGAAGCATCAGCGGTGGTAACTTCGTTCTTGACGAGAGCGTCTGCCGCCTGGAGCTTGCTAAGATGTTCATCCTCCACGAGCTGCCCTTCAAGATCGTGGAACACGAAGGGTTCAGGAGGTTCGTGAAAAGTCTCAACCCAGAGTTCGGGACGGTTCAGAGGGACGCGATTGCAGGCGACTGCAAGACGCTCTACGAGATGGGGAAGATGGATCTCAAGGAAGCTCTGAAATCATGCGAGAGGATCAGTCTCGCCACCAGCATGTGGACTTCGGATCAAAATCTGGGCTACATGTGCCTCACAGCTCACTACATCGACGACGGCTGGAGGATACACAAGAAGATGCTCACATTCTGCGTGGTCAAGACGCCGCACGACGGGATCACAAAGGCCGGCATCGTCGCGAAGTCACTCGCGCAGTGGGACATCGACAGAAAGATCTCCAGCATAACCTGTGACAACAGCTCGCTGAATGACGCCATGTATGACTCGGTGAAGGCCAATCTCCTGGAGAACAAAGCTCTGCCGCCGAGCGGCCACTTGTACCATGTGCGCTGCTGTGCCCACATACTGAACGAAATCGTCAGGTATGCTCTCGAGGTGCTGCACGATGTGGTTGGAAATATCCGGGAAAGGGTCAGATATGTGAAGAGCGCGGCTTCTCGAGAGGAGATATTCGATGAAGCGGTGGGTCAGATGGGTTTGCCCAAGAAGAAGAGCCTCAGCTTGGACGTTGCGGGCAGGTGGGACACCACGTATCTCATGCTGGACAGCGCCATATACTATAAAAAGGTCTTCTTGGTGCTCGGGCAGTGGGACAACGAGTACACTCTCGCATCGACAGCGGAGGAGTGGAAGGAAGCAGAGTTCTTGTGCAAGTTCCTGAAGATATGTTACAATGCTGCGAATGTGCTGTCGACAACCAGGGGCTCCACCTCCAACATGTGCCTGCACGAAATCTGTGCAATCCACAACTTTCTGCACCAGGAGATTGACTTCTCAGAGACCACGGTCCACGACATGCTGCGCGTGATGCAGGCGAAGTTCGACGAGTACTGGGGGGAGAGCACTCTGCTGTATGCGATCAGCACGGTGCTGGATCCTCGCTTCAAGATGCTGTTCCTCAAGTACGCCTTCGAGCAGATATATGGGCTCGACTATGCGCCGTATGTGGACGAGGTGAGCAGGACCATCTACGCCATATTCTACGAGTACAAGGACCAGTCTGCTCAGAGTGAGGCCAACAAGCACGGCCATGAGAGCAAGGAGGGGGAAACAGGCGAGGACGACGACATGAATGAGGAGACCGAGGTCTTTGTTGGGTACAATCAGTTTCTCAGCCAGCAGAGCTTGAAGGAAGCGAAGTCGGATTTGGATCGGTACCTGGGCGAGAGCGTTGTGCCGCTGAACCAGAAGAGCTTCGACGTTCTGAAATGGTGGCATGATAATTCTCTGGTGTACCCCGTGCTCTCCAAGATGGCTCGCACCTATTTATCGATCCCGGCGTCGACCGTCCTGTCCGAGGCCGCGTTCAGCACCAGTGGAACGGGGCTCGATCGATTCCGCAGCAGATTGAGCCCTGATGTCATTGAGGCCCTGGTCTGTTCACAAGATTGGCTCAGAGATGAATACACCGAAGGTGGGTTCCTTCTTCTTCTTCTTCTTCTTCTTCTTCCTCTTCTTCCTCTAACTATCTCCTTCCTTGCAGTGCCGGATGATCCGCCAGCTTTGTAACCGTAGCTTTGTGTTCTTCAATCAACCGTATAAAATAATCTACCTTGACTCGCTGGAGCACTGAGCTTCTGGCCTGTGATGCAGATCGTAGTAGAAGCGCAATGAAGCTATTGTCTCTTACTATGCTAATTGGAACGATGATACTCCACTCTGAGGGGGTTTAAGTTGCTTTAGTGTAGGCACTCGCTGGTCAACGGTAGTCTCTTGGTAAGGGGGGGAGGGGAGGGGGGGAGGGGGTGTTTCTTTTTCTGTGGCTGCTTCTGTCTGTTCGGTGGGTGAAGCTTCTTCTTTGCCTGCTGATTCTGATCTCCGGGGAGGAAGAAGCTGAAGAAAACATATGTTTATGTTGAAATTCTGATGACATCGAAGTAATCTCTCTCCCTCTCTCTCTCTCTCCCCCCTGGAAGCAATGGAAGAAGAACGGGTTGGTTCAGGGAGGCGGAACGGGTTGCAGGAGCGTCTTGGGCAGGTTGAGAAGGACCTCTGCGAATGCTGGGGAAGAAGCAACGGGGGACCTGAGAGACGGTGAGGAGGAAGGGGAAGAAAAAAACAAAGGAGCAGATGAATATATGGAACCGACCTTCCGGGAGGCTCGCCGCCCTCAGCGCCTCCTCAGCGAAGGAGAGGCGGGTCGGCCCCGGCGGAGCCGATGACGACGCGGCGGCGGCGCCCCTCCCCTCCGCCGCCGAGCCCCTGGGGGAGGAGCTGACCGGCCACACCAGCACCCTGATTCTGCTCGGCGTGGTGGAGCCGAGGTCCCCGTATCTAAGGCTGAAGGTCACTCTGCCGCTGCCGAAATGAGAGACCAACAACGGATCAGATCTAAGATCTTATCAAGAAATATGATGATGGAGAGCCTTCCCCTAGGTCAACCCAGTTTCTAGTTTCCTGGGTCAAAGAGGAACTCACCAGCTGGGATGTTCAACCACGAATTCGATCAGATTGCAGGAAAGGCTGTGGTACAGCTCCTTGATTTGGTTGCCATACAACTCCTTGAGGACGCGAATCTGGATGAGGCAGAAAAAGTCAGCGGCATGAGGGCCCTGGTTACCTCCATTAGAATGAGCAGAAAACGGTGGAGAAAAAAATTAGGGCAGACGACGTGTGGGTCTGATGAAGCAGACAGGAGATAATGATGCAGGAGAAGGGAAGACCTGCTCCCTTCGGTCAACGTAGGCCTGAAGAATGTCTCCAATGTAATCGATGAATTTCTGGGAATAAACAACCACATTGGAAAAATGAGCTCCCGTTGAAAAATGAGTGGGATACCAGACGAACCAAATAGTGGAGAGGGATCCTCACAATCGCATTAGAGAAGAGAAGATCATTCTCGACTTCTCTCACAGGGAGGAAAAAGGGGATTGTGTGCTCAGCGACAGTCATTTTCTCCAGAAATGATTTGCTTTCAAGAACACAATGATAGATTTCACAGGGCTCTCCTGTAGAACATAAATGTAGATTATGAAAGTTAGAAACCTTAGAAACCTTGTTCAATAAATAATTCCACTATATGAAATAAAAATATATTCACAGTCCAAATCGGCTTTCTAATAAAAACATAACCAAGTCAGCCTCTGGCACATAGAGCTCTGATCTGTTGCACGGTGGGGTGGGAGAAAAGGAGGAAGAACAGGAAGAACAGGAAGAACTGGGGCTGTACGTAATGCAACCCCTGATGTTGTGTCCACAGATGCTTCAGCTGGCTGCCGAATCGTTTTCCAATTAGGGTTTTAATTAATGGAAGAGGTTTTTGGAAATTGCAAACAATACTGGGTAAATCAGAGAGTCGTAATCTCTAATAATAGTCCAAAAGTGATCGGTTGACCAACGTTATTTTGGTGTATTGACCTAATAATTCATTTTCTCCAAAACATAGATGACTGCTCTATCAAATCGTCTAATGTCCGGAAACATTTAAAACAGATTATTATAAATGTTACATCAGACCTTATAAAATCGAGTCCCAAGAGACACAGCATGATTACCAGCAAAGGACGTCTCGTACTGAATCCCAATCCTCGCACCCTCCAGGCAACAGATTACCTGGTCAGAAGAACCAATTAAAGAAAAATGAAGAGGAAAAGATAGGCTCCTCCTTTGATGATACTAAATAAAAAAATAAAAAAAATCTACATAAAATATAAAATTCTTTTTTTTTTTTTTTTTTGCCAGACCACAATGACTGCCGTCACTGGAGTTAAGAAATACAGAAAAAAAAAAAAAAAACAGTTTGCCAAGTTCCATCTGGTTATAAACTTTACTAAAATCATTGCACAGCTTCAGACCTAATATCATGATGAGAAAAAAAACATGAGAGTCTACTTGGCATCATAATCATCTAGTCCCCTTGCCCATCAGAATGCGCAAACCAGTTTCATACGCTATACGTGATTCTTGGAAGTTCAGAGCATTAAGAAACTTCAAGATACATCCAATAGTGACAAAAAGAACATCATAACTGGCAACCTGAATATCTGGAATGCTGGGGAGTTCAAGATGCTGAACAACAAAGTTTAATTTTGGAAAAACACCATCATTATTGAAATGTACATGCGGTAGAAAAATTATGTCAATCCATTGAAATATGGCATATATAAACTTTGAGCAGTGGACAGTAGAACATTAAACTCGTTGAAAATTTATAACCTTGAAAATAGGAGCTGTTTCGTCAAGCTTATGACTCCCAGTATGAACTAGATAGTACCACCATGAGTCGGAAAAACATTCTAGAGGTTTCAAAGAAAAAAGAAAAGGAGAAGGGACCATGCTCTACATATCAACCAAGAATGAGTTAAGGAACTACAGTTTCTCAAGGACCAAAACAAGTCGGTTTATTTTTTTTGCTCGAACTTTGTAGCTATGTTTTCCCCTAAAGCTAACAGACGCAACATGTAAAGTGTCAACGAAGATAGCATGACTCATACCTTGTGAATCTACAACAATAGAGGCATGGTAATATTTTACCTTATTTCCAACTCTGTATGTAATTTTCCCTAGGAAATGAGGATCTGGTGGCATGCTTTCTTGACCTGGCATTGCTTTCCGATCAGCTTCCATGTGAACCTGGTCTACAAAAAACAAACTATTCAGCAGCAAGCTCTTCCACAACTCCAACTGTGAGAATAAAACCAAGTAGAGAAATAAAATCAGCCAGCTTTCTGGCACCATTTTCAAGCGGACGACACACTAGAAATGACCTTTGCTGACAGCGTTGAAATAAAGAAATCCAGTACCCTAAAACAATCTCTGATGCAATCGAGACGATTTCACCCAGAAGAAATAAGAAACTGCTTCTCAGTGAACAGGAAGGGAAACATGAGAATGAAATTGAGATAAGATGAGGCAAATGAATGTTGCTAAAATATATCAAATTCAAAAGGTCCATGATGCACAAGGAGGCACAATATTGAAATGCACAAACAAAACTGGATCATATGAGATACAAATAAATATGTGTACCCTTTCCCGAATCGTGGCAAGTAGCCCATCATTCCATTGTTCTCCCTCGAGAAATATCTCTGCAGATTAAAGATTTCATGTCAAGAGACTACTGATGATGCTAATTAAATCATTACTAACTATAGCACAGGACGAGAAAGTATGATCATTTAATGTTCGCTGAGTTGATGAATGCTTGCAGGAAAATTAATTTTATAAACTTTGAGCTGTCAAGGCTAGGGAAATGAATGCAATCTTGATTGGGAAAATAAAACTAAATAATGGATGCATAATAACGAGTCTATTGACTAAAATAAGAGACATACATATATGAATGAAAAGAACAAAGCATACACTCCACATACAAAAAAAAACTCAGATAAAATAATAAAGCCGGTGTTGTCTATTTCAAAATCCACATTCCCGATTGAGGCTTAAAAGAATTGCTGGAGGTATTACCATTTAGGGATCAAACTTATCTTCTGGTCGTGGTTGACCATGGGCAAGATATCCTCATCCAGCTAGATCCAGCCTGCCTCCTTAACCACTCCCAACCCATCATCCAGACAAATGCTTACTCTCACACTCTATTTAGCATGTCTGTATTTCTTAAATCTTGAAAATATGTATTTTCCTAAATTGGCAACAGTCTATCCCATATATTCATGTACACTTGAGCTCTACCAAATTAAGTTAGGTCTCCACAACACAGTAAAAATTAAATCCATTGAATTTAGGGTGGATTTAAGCAAACTATGTTCCAGTCTAACAATGCTGATTCAAACTAAGGACGGTATATTTTCAGTGTAGCCTAGACTCCCAATGATTCTTAGCGCAATCAAATGGTCCCAATCAGACCAAACTGTACCCAAATACCACTCTAACAACATCAATGAATGAATTCTCAAGCATGCTCAATAGATAAACCCAAGCAATGACGCGTCCAGATTAGCACATAGTAGTAAAACCATCCTCTTCAAACCGAGGAAACAGAAAATGCAGAGGATAGAATATATAAATCAGCAACGACAAAGCTCCAAATGTGGAAGATTTCTTGTGAAAGTTGTACGAAACAAATACAACATGATAGAAAAAGGGAGAAACCGACTCTCAGTTTATTTTGCTCACAAGGATGCCCCCCGGATTAGAGTTCAGAATTCCAAAAGACAACAAATATATGTAATCAAGTAAAAACACTAGAAAACAAAAGAGTACACCATGTTACTTAAAAAATGAAACTTGTTCCTCTGTGCTGCCTCTTTCTAGAACACACTCTTTCTAGAACAAACTACTCAACCCAAATATGGAGGGAGCCAAAAGCCAAACATCATATTTTTCTCCCTTCTTTAAGGAAATGTCACGGACGTCCATGGATGCTGAGGAGAAAAAACAAGGAAAATCATTGATGTCTCCACAACATACTCATACAGCCCGGGAAAGTCAATCAACAATATGACCACAAGACAGTGGCATGTCTATGAATACTCCATTTTGTCCTATTATGGCTACTTTGTGAGGGTAAAAACACATTGATCAAGAAAGCACATCTATAAACATCACGTATTATTCTTCCAACATATTATATGCTTTTATTTTTAGCACACCCTTTCTAATGAGGTCCCATTTTTTCTCACAACTGAGAACGATGTACAAAACTTCAAAAGAAAACTTTAAATCCAGAGTTATTTCAGGGAACGAGAAGTGGGGAAACAAGCCAGCCTTATTGGGATGCAGAAGGTACTACAATTTAAGATCCAAGATGATACATTCTTTGGAAGGAGAGGCGGTAGACTTGTGATGATTCACCGGCTAACCTCCTTCTTTACTAATAAATAATCGTCGGAAAAAATATGCCCCTTTGACGATCTGTTTCTCTGCTTTCACAAGCTCGTGTAAGTCAATCAGCACATCATTGTTTTCTTCCGGCAGCAATGAAAAGATGACTAAAGCCACCACAGTGACGTCTAATATTTCATATGATGGTAACCAGCCAAAGGTAAAGACATAAACTCCATATATTACATCAGACGTGAAATAAGTTCCTCATGTCCAAAGACATCAAAATATAAAAACTAATTGGGATGCTTAGAATAAACAAACTCAGTAGGGTGACCTTCAGTCTGAGAAGCTCGTGCAACTTCAAATTCCTTTTGCAGACGATCAAATATCATCTTGTCAGTATCCCTAGTAAAATAAACAGAAGTCCTCCGATCACATTCAAAGATTTCATTCTAGACACATTGGCGAGAACCTTCAACTCTCCAAAATAGTATGCATAGTCAACAGGCTGGCATAAATGGGAGAAGTAGTCTGACCAAATATCTACGAATTCAACTCCCTTCGATTAGACCTGATTTTTATAAAAAAAGTTTCCCCGAGTTGACCAAGGCTCTCACATTGAGCACAAGATTCTATAAATTCCTTCGCATAGAAATTACCTTGAAAGACGTTCCTTCAATTCTTCGTGCCTTTTAAGCACATTTGATACTGTAAAAGAAAAAACAAGGTGCCTAAAAAACCAGAACCAAATATGTGAAATGAATAAGAAGACAGTACTGCTCACATCTTGCTCGTGTGGTCTCTAACCGGGTGTCTTCCTCCGGCATGAAATTCTGAAAAGTAAACAATGTGCATTATTAGGTACGGCCTTCGACATCCACCTATGGCGACATTAAGGACTGCAGGAATCAGCTTAAAAGGTACTCGAGGGGAATATTTATGACATGTAAGCAGCGCGCAAGGGAAGCTAAACTCTTCGATGTTTTCACGGGACCTAGCAACTTCATTGTAATAAGTAACGAAAGGGCCAACAAGCTTCCTACCACTTCCCCAGCAAAAGCACGAGGCCTTCCTCTGTACTGCTCCAGTTGCTGAGAAGAAGAGAACAACAATGCCATGAATGAAACAATGGACAATATCGCAAAAACGGGTACTAAATCGTGGAACGAAACATATATAAACTCATTCAAGGTAGCCATTTAGATCCCCGGAAGCCCTTATTCGTGTTCGAAACAACAGCAGGGACGAGGATGGGCCTACTCTGTAAAGAATATCTCCAGGTACCGACCGCTTCCTCCCGCTGCTGCTCTTCCTCCGAAAGTGCTCGTCCATGTCACTGTCCATTGCTCTACGGAAAGGACGACCGGACGGGTCAGAGGGCGATCCGCTGTACTAGTACGTCGCGATCAAACGGAAAGGCGTACAAAATCCACGAGGAGGGAAACGAAAAGCAGAATAAGAGGAAAAACGGAGGAATCGGTGGAGATTTCTACGCTTTTCACATCGTGACGAAGATACCTCGGCCGTCTGCCCCGAGATGCCGGAGGAACGGTGAAGACCGAGAAGGATTGCCGACGATTTGTTTCCCTTCCCGAAAGCTCGCGCTCCTCGTCCCACGATTGAAAGTAGAGTAACACCGAGAGAGAGAGAGAGAGAGAGAGAGAGAGAGAGAGAGGCAGAGAGGGAGAGAGAGGAATCGGAGTACGAGTTCGAATCTTCTCGGCTTGTTCTCAACGACTTGGGGGTGACTCGCCTTTCCTCAGTATCAACGCCCCAGGCCGGGCCGGACTCGGCCCTCGAATCGTTTCATACACCAAGAGATTACGCGACACTATTTTCCAGGGTAAAAAAATAAAAAGTTGGGTTTATCAGCAAACATTTTTGGGTTTATCAGCAAAATAAATCGTTTCATACGAATCTTTCATGATTTCATCCTCAATAAGATCTTAAAAGTTGGGTTTATCAGCAAACATTGCTCATCCAAGGTGGTAACAGACAATAATACAGCGACAATTGCATAAATAAAAAGATTTAGGGGCATATCAGCCGACATTAAATTGACTCTACTCCTATTGACTATATTCTCACACCTCTCCGATATGCCCTTATTAGTTAGTTATTTATATACTTTTTTATTAATGGTAAGTAATATTTACTTTTTGTCATATTAACGTCATCTAATTTAAATATATATTTTTTAAAATCACGTAAGTACAAGTGCAATGATTGATAATAATATTTCAAACAAGCTCAAATGGTGACGATCATTTTTATAGGTATATTGTATATTATACATATATATTTAAAAATAGGTGCTTAATTATTCACTGTATTAGTGACGTCATTACAAAGATAACGAGAAGCTAATTACGTCTAATGATGGAAAAACCATCATTTACTCACTTCTTTTCGGTGACTTTGGATTTTGAGCACGTGAAAAACGTGGAGACCAGCACGTGTGGTAACTAAAGAGCGCGGGGTGTGAAATTTTTCGTTAAATCCTCACCCGATAAGGCAAATCCGAATCTGACAACGCGGGTGGGCGAGTCCGAGAGGGGAAGACGAGGGGGAACTGGAAGGGAGGGCGGGGTGGAAGAGGGGGGAAAAGGGTGAAATTGGAGCTCTCTAGCGAGGGGCCGGAGCGGACGAGAGAGAGAGGAGAGAGAGAGAGCTGGTGCAGCAGCAATAGCAGCAGCGATCGAGAGCAATTGGGAGAAGACGAAGAGGAGGGCGATCCGGGGCGGGAGGAGGAAGAACGGGGGCGGGGAAGAGGGAGAGCGCGGTTGGGGACTCCTCTCTGGGGGTAGTGTACGAGGTTTGTGGTCTTGGTCGCCTCTCGCCCCTGCGCGAACTCCAGGAGGTGAGCTCTACCTTCTGCACGCGTCGTTCCCTTCGGTTGCCTCACAAATTTTGGCTTCGTTGGCCGTCCAAGTAACCCGTCTCTATTTCTCTGCGGTTTCGGGCTCTCATGTTCGTCGGTTTAATTCAAATCATTGTTTTCGCCCTTGTTGCTTGAATACTTGCGCGATCCGGTTTTCTAAAGTGTATTCGTTGGATCGCAGAGTCCGTAGCTGATCCTCTCGCACGGAATTCCTGGAAAACGGCGACATAGCTTGCAAGCTCGAGCGGGCTTTATATTGCCGCGGTCCTGACTGCTAGGGTTTTGATTCGTTCTCATCCTAATTCAAATTCAGAAAGAGAGAATCTCAGTGATTTGAGCAGGAGATCTCAGTCGACAAGCTCTTCCGCCTATCTCGAACTTTGGGGTTTGTCTATTCGACGATACATTTCAATCGACATTGTCGTGGACAGGCGTTAGGAATTTGTTTCTGATGTTTAATTATGCTGAGAAATGAGTTAACTCATCTCCCTGAACGGAACTGAAAGTCGGGGACGGAGGAACCCTAATTCTGCGCGCCTGGTTACATACATGGCCTCCGTGCATTGAAAGATGTCACCGCCACCTCACCACTCCCGCACGGATCTGTCTGACTTGAAGTCCCAGATAACGAGGAGACTTGGACCCGAGAGAGCCCGGCGCTACTTCGGCTTTTTGAACAGGTTGCTGCGCCAGAAGCTGAGCAAGTGTGAATTCGACAAACTATGTTTTGCGACTATTGGGTCGGAGAATATTCCTCTACACAACCAATTGATCCGCTCAATCCTCAGAAATGCCCATCAGGCCAGGACTCCACCTCCAACAGTCCATGACAAGAATATACTGAAGCTCGACGGAGCTGCTGTGAAGAAATCCATTTCAGTAAACGATGGGTCCCATCCATCTCCAGTCAGTACACCAATCCCCCCTGTTTGGTCCAATGGGGACATATTGGCACCTTCTCCTCGGAAGAGCAGATCAACAAATCGTAGAACCAAAGATAGGCCAAGCCCACTGGGACCAAATGGAAAGATGGATGCTATTGCTCGTCTCCCAATGCCATCTGACGAAGCAAATATCAGGGAGAATGGGCATTTGAAAAAACCAGTGAATCGTCTGATAGTAGGACTCACAGAATTGCCCATGAAGATTCAGCGAGTTGAGAAGCCATCACCACGTGACAAATCTTCTGTACAGAATAAAGATTCCGTTGATGTTGCAGTTGTGGAAGACGGACAAGAGGTGGAGAAAACAGAGGTTATACAATATGACAGAGGTTCAATTAGGGCTCCACTTGGAATCCCGTTCTGCCCAGCCAGCATTGGTGGTGCACGCCACCTGGCTCCCTCCCCCCCTTGTGCTAGTACTAGCTTTGCTAGTAATCGTTGTAGTGGTGAGTTGTGCCATACAGAGGCTTTGAAGAAGCGCATGGAGCAGATAGCAGAAGCACAGGGCTTGGGAGGTGTATCAATGGATTGTGCTAATCTGCTGAATAATGGTCTGGATGCATATTTGAAACGGTTAATCAGGTCTTGTGTTGATCTAGTTGGGACAAGATCAGGAAATGAAGCAATGAAGCAGCCAGCCTTCAAACAGCAAGCTCATGTAAGGAACCCCAGTGGCATCTGGCAGGGAAATCAGGCACATGTACAAAATGGTGTTGGATCCTTGGAAGGAATGCAGGAGTCAAGAAGTAATCATTCAGTGTCTGTGCTGGATTTTAGGGTAGCTATGGAGTTGAACCCACAGCAACTTGGTGAAGATTGGCCATTGCTGTTGGAGAAAGTATGCCATCGTTCATTTGAAGAATAAGTATCTGAATAAATATTCATCTCTTTGAATCTGTTGTTGAAAGGAGCCTTGATCCTTCGGGGGTCATTCTTCCCAAGATTGGGCTTTTGGGTCTCTTTGACAGAAGATGCCCTTCTTGGCGCATTCGAGTGCAGATATTGGAATGGAAAACATCTTTACATTCCAAATCTGTATTTCCTCCTGATAAACACAATTTCTAAGCACCATCCAGCTCCATGGAGTCTGGTAACTCCCTCCTATTTGATTCAGTGTTGTAAAATTTCATTTTACACCGGGAGGCTTCAACCACAGCCGCAGTTGCGTTTGGCAATTTACCCCTAATGCAGGAGAGGTTCCGAAGACAATTTTGTCAAGATACATTACTTTTCGATAACTTAGTATAGGGATGATCATGATCTGCAAGGTGCACGGCATTGCCATGTATGTAATTATCAGATCTCAGAATTGCTTGGGTTGTTTCATTAGTTACAGGCACGTAATATTCCTTGTATCGGTTTCTGATTATTCAATTTGAATTTCCCATATTATTGATAACTGACGAATTGGATATCACTTTGATGTATTCGATTTCATCACAAATCTCCATGTTTACTGACACGTGAATTGGATGTGCGGCATTAATTTACTTTTAATCGATCATTAAAATGGGTAGAAATATCAAATTGTTTGAGAAGGTTCCACTTTGCATGCGGTTGTTGTGAAAGTTGCCTGTGAGATATCGGTATTAAAAAAGAAGAAGTCATCCCTGATGATCAGGTGCCTACATTCCAAGGTCTCAACTTCGTTTATTTATACAAAATCTATTGCCAAAAGCAGGGTCAATATTTGCCATCCTTTCTGGTGGGCGCTGCCTCCAAAGGTTGGGAGATTTTATGTTGCACTGAAATTAATAATGCAAAAAAATAACATAGTTGGATTGCACTGAAACGGTACAAATTGAACTAGCTCGATCTGACAATGTTCCAATTTTTGCAATTTCATGCGCGTTAATTTGAAAATACTATATTCTGAATGATGATCATTAGCTGCCAATGGACGATTCTATAGCTTGAAAACTTTTTCCAGATCATACGAATTGGTCTGGGTCAGTTTGAGTCGGCAAACAGTTTTATGAATAGACAAGATCTTGCTGTCTTTGGGGGGTAATGACATCTTGGTAAATGTAAAAAATAGTCATTATCAACAACTATCTTGTTACACATCCGTAAAAAACCATGGTTCTGTTCGCCTTTATACTGAGTTTTACTTGATATGGCATCACATATAACAGCTGGCTAGTAAGTTTGTGGAAAGTTGAAAAGTTTCCGGGTGTGAGTGACATCCTTGTTTTTTTTTTTTCCTTTATAAATAGTTCAGGATAGCATAACTGGTCAAGTTAGCCAAAGAATGAGGAAATTCAGTGCAAATGGGAAAGAAGGGAAAGATATGTGACTAGATGGTTTTATTTAATCTGACTCATCTGGCTGAATATAGTTTTTTCCCGTACCTGGAGGCCCCATATATTCTAATAATTTCTATTGATTGGACGTTAATATTGGATTGTGTACTGTTTGTTTTCTAGCCATTTGACAAATATATTCGGTATTATTTTATTTCAGTTTTAGAGTAATGCAGAAATTATGATCGTTTTCCTCTATTCCTATTTATTCCCCAATGATGAATCTCTGGCCAGTACTGTATCATCTGAAAGCCCAGGAACAGAAACAATCAAGTGTGGTGATCTTGTCTCTGGACTGTGAGACAATATGTGATGAAAAGATGGGTTATCGAGTTCAACTTCGCACATTTTGCTTCCATGTAAGAGTATCCGGTAACAGTAATGAGTCAGGTTATTTCTGGATATTTTTTTCTGCTCAAACAATTTTTACCATGAAATGCAAATAATTTCTGGCCAGATTCTAACACAGTAGTTCCATAATGGAAATAAAATGAGAAAAAACCCGAGCTTATAATTGATTTTGGGTCTGATGACCGAATACTTTCTACGAATCTCATTGCCACTCCCTTGAAATGATCAGCAGCTAGCTACCAGTGCTGATGCTCACAGCCCATTTATTTCCCCACGAACAAACAGCAATATATATATAGATATAGTGCCCTGTGATAAACGGGCTGCTATTGTTTACTAGCTTTTTCTTTTTTTTCAGGCTTTTGCTGATCCTATTTTTTACAGAAACATGAGTTTTATTAATGAATTGTTTGGAGAACAAAAAGGAATTGTTACATATACGAGTTAATAGATTAACCTTGAAACAGCTAGAGATCAGCTACTATCGCTGCAGAACAAGGTGTGCTGTTTAATGAATGCATATATATATATATTTTGCCTTTTGTTTTTGGTGCCCTGTGAAAAACGGGCGCTAGCATCCTTATACAGAATGGGCTGCTATTGTTAACTTGCTTTTTTTTTTTTTTCTGGCTTTAGCTGATCCTATTTTTTACAGAAGCATGAGTTTTATTATTCAATAATTTGGTGAAAAATAATAATAATTAGCTATACGAGTGAACAGATTAACCTTGAAACAGCTAGAGATCAGCTACTATCGCTGCAGAACAAGATGTGCTGTTTAATGAATGCTCTAGCCCTGAAAACAAGGTGGCTGGCTACTCTTATGGTTCAGAAGGACGAGACCGTAGATTGCAAGAGTTTGAAGTGACAAGAGAGAGTCTGCCTGATTCTCTGCTGCTGTCAATATCCATAGATAGATATTAGATATTGAATATGTGGTTGGTGATTTCTATCATCTTATTTTGTCCGGTCATGAATTTATTTTCTTTTAATTTAAGCAAATATGCTCTTCCCAGTTGATTTATGGGAGTTGTGTCCAGTATGCATGCTAACGTTGTTAATCTGGCTTGCCAGGCCTTGAAATCATTGCTTTGGGCTATGGAAATGATCAATTAGCAACTCGAACAGTCCTACAATTTTTTTTTGTAAAGAAAAAGGAAAATCATTGTTTAAAATATATGGGCCTATTTGATTTGCTGATTGCTTAACGTGGGTTTAGTTTATTTGTTATTATTGCTAAAAATTGCAAAATGGTTTAATGTGGCCTTCAATAAGCGCTGTACAATAATATCTATTTCTCATTTTCCCTTTGATTTTGCTGGATTCTTGGGTCTTTAAAATACTTAAATCGATTATCAGACCCCTGAAAAATAAAAGGTAAGATTTATTCCTTTCATTATTTTTTTTTTCAAGTAAAGATTCCAGTTTTGTGTTCAGTGATGAACTCGTTCTCTTAGTGATTCCACTTCTGAATTCCCAAATGGCCAAAAAGAGGCCCGAAATTGATGAAGAAGTGATTTTCTCATGAACAGTATAGTAATACTTAGCTTCTGGGCTATCTCATGAACAATATACATGTATATATAGGAATTAGCCTGATAATAAATAAGTAATATATATATATATATATATATGAGAATGCATGAATTCCATGAAGTATAGTTTCATCTATGGGAAGTCGTTCCCTTTGGATAGTTCATCAAATTTACCTCTTTTTTTTAGGGTTCTTGTAGATAATATATCATTTTAATCTTTATTGGATCTGATTTCTGACTCTTTTGGGCAGCTGGGCAGTATGAGCTTATTCTTTTGGGGGATTGGCTTTACTGAACTGACGATAATTCTCAAGCACAGTGATCAAAGGTGTTTGGAAAGCTTCTGGGACAGAGTCAACGGACCAGGCCCAGCCGGCCCGCCCTGGTGGAGGGCTGCCACAGGTTAGCCGCCTTCTGGGAGGTAGCGCCGCCAGGGGAAGTGGGATTCACTGGGTGAACTTGATTGGATCGGGTGTCTGGAGAAGAACAGGAAGAATAATAGATTGGTGAATTTTTACAAGTGGGCATGTACTGGCATACCTCCGCTGGAGCTCCGTCACTTTGGTTCTTCGTGCCAGGGACTCGCCGGCGGGTGCTTCCGATCAGCAACGTTGATGGCGCTCCACCCCCCCTGATCGGCGGGACCAGGGGAGCGCCCTCCAGCAGATCCTCTTACGCCTCGTCGCGTGGGAGATCTCCATCTCCGACCGCAGCATCTCCCACATCACCTGCACGTCCCCGTACCCGCAGGTCCGCACGTCGTCGTGAAGCTTCAGGATCCCCGTGCCTGCAGAGAAGATCGCAGAAATGCAGAAGCGAGGATTTGAAGAATACGCTGCATCGGACGACAGGAAGGACTTGCTCAGGCGATGTAAAACAGGAGATCTCTAGTTGTGTGCACAGATGTTAACTGAACTGCAGGAGACTGAATAATTTCAGGCGACGAAGAAGAGCTGGTAGAGAGGTGAGATCAAAAAGGCATGCCGGTCCAATCGCCGGCCGCATCGCGAGATTGGACGAGAAGCAGGGATTGCAGAGGAGAACATGACGCGAGCTTCAATCGGATGCAACCGGCCGGAGGCGAGGGAGAAAGAAACCGCAGAGGGGAGCTTCGGGAACTCACCGGTTTTCCTGCTCGCCTCAATGCGAGCGGCGACGGCCTCCCAAGCTCGCCTCAACGGGAACACCACTTTTCCCCACCAATCCATCACTCTGATTCTGATCTTCCTCCTCCTAGAAGTTCGATTCCTCGCCAGACCTGCGGACTACACTTCACCACCACCGCCACCACCACCGCCACCGCCGCCGTTGCCGTCGTCGCCGTCGCCTTGGTCCAGCACGACAGTGCTCTGGAACGAGATAAAACGCAGAGCCTGCAGCGGGTGGGGTGGAGGGGGAAGCTAACTGAGAAATAGTAAAATGCTCCGCGGCTCTGCGGACTCTTACGCTGACACCCCAGATTCGCAGTAGCATAAATGGCCGAGAGCGGCGGAGGACGGGGGAAAATCGAATGCAGTAAATTGTGCCGCGATTCCGCGGACACTTCCCCCCGCCTCGACTTTAAATCTCAGCTTTTCTCGGTGCTCGTGTCCAACCGGCTTTCCGTCTTTATGTCTCTCTTTCTCTCTCATTCTCCCTGTCTCTCTCATTCTTTCTCCCTGATTCTCCCTCTCTCTGTCTCTCTCGTTCTCCCTCCTCTCCCTCCCTCCCTCTCCCTCTCTCATTCTTTCTCGCTCTCTCTCATTCTCCCTCTCTCTCTCTCTCTCTCTCTCTATCTTGAACGGGTCGGAATTCTTAGGGTCCAATAAAAGACAATAAAGGCCCATTAAGAGCAGGCGTCTGTTCAGTCTGTACAGCGGATGCGAGGAAGGTTGGCTCCTCGGGGCAGTGACAGTCTCGGTGTCCGTCTCGTTGTCTCTCCCTCCCTCACCTCCCTCCTGCAGGAGGGTTTACCAAGGTTTTAGGTCTTCTCTGATTCTCTCTCCGTCTCATCGGAACTCCTCCGACAGTCTCGCCGTCATGCAGCTCTCTCGGAGACTCGCTGGTTTCCTCTCTTCGTCCTCCTCGCAGGCTAGCAGATGGGAGACTCTGTGGACGATGTGTCCCCGGCAGTCCTATATGTCGACGGACTCTACGCCGAAGGCGACTTCCAAAAGGAATACCAGGGCCTCGAGTGCACATCCTAGGGGTTCCAAGGCGTCAGCAGAACCCGCTTCTTCCGAGAAGACGGGAGAAAACCAAGGGGATCCACTGCAGGCTCCTGTGAAGCCAGCGGAGGACGCCCCTGAGCTGCCTAAACCGAGTCAGATACCTTGGCAAACGAAGGTTGCCAATTCTGTCAACTTGATCGGGTACCTTGGGGCGCCTATGCAGCTAGGCGTCTCTCCAGATGGTGCCTACACGGCCGTCTCCATCCTTATTCACAAGAAGACTAATGACCTTCCGCAGTTCTGGTTAGATATGCCCCTTTGATTTTTTACGTCACTTTAAATCGTTTTCTTTTTTTCGTAAAACTTGGTGTTCCTCTGTTCATCTGCATTCTGATTTGGAGACCACACTCCGGAGCCTTTTTTTCAGTTCTTCTGTGCCTTCGAATTAAATTTCCCTGATGCAATTACTTTGTGGTGAACATGATTATAGTTTGGACTTGGAGAAAGAAGAATTTCAAAGGTTAGAGTAATTGTGGAGTTTCTTTTGGTTAGAGTTGCCTGTTGATTGTCTGGCTTATTTTTTAGATTTTTGAGCTAGATGATTGCCATGGGTTTTTCTTCCAAATGAAGTCTATCCGTCTCACTCATATTTATGATTCGTTCATGTCAGTGTTGGATTCTGGAAATCAATCCAATTAGTGATAAGTTGCCTAAGACAAAGATCAAGTCCACGACCTAAATTTCACGTGCTACTTAAATTTTATTATGCTCGGAATAAAATCTATTATTATTATTATTTATGGCATCGCAGTCGGAAGTTGGTGAAAAAGGCTGATTATCTATTTCGTTAGTTGGTGATTTATTGATTACATTTAGTTGTGAGAGGTTTCATTATTTAAATCATGAACTCAGGTAGGGATGACTTTTGTTAAGTTGATAATCTTTTGTAGGAACGGTTGTTGTTTTCTTTTCTTTTCAGGTTTTTGTTTATGTGTATGTCTTTGGGGCTAGAATCCCTGTCTTAGAATTATGCCGCCTGTGGAGGCATTTCTATTTTTAAACAAGTGCTCGGAATTGGATTTAAAATGTATTCTGATAATTATTTAATTAAATTATCCATGCCTCTGTGTGCTTGTTGGTTTGCACATGTTTGTGTATTGAGCATTGGGGGATTTGACAATTACTTGCCTTGTCCATATTGTCAGCCTCTTCTTGCTTGTTTCATCATCTGGTTGGTCTTCCATTTTTGCTGCCATATAACTGGTCTGGATTAATATTGTTCTAGGATTCCGATAGTCTTTCGAGGTGATTTGGCTCAAATTGCTGCATGCAACTTGAGGGAAAAGGATTACGTTTATGTGACAGGACAGTTGACCGGACAACCAGAACCTGCGGATAATGACGCTGAAAGTAAAATTCAGGTATATTTTTTTCTTCCATATGATTCCCGTATTCTATTGTGTTTTTTGTACCAGCGTTTACAGAAATCGTGACACGTATTGATATTCAATTTGCAACTACCATAATGACAAGTGAAACCCTTAAAAAATCCATTTTTCTCTTGTTCATATTTCTAGCATCGTGCAAAGGCATGATGTGTTATCGGATTTTGAAACGCTGTTTGAACTAAATATTAGATTTGTGTGCTCATTTTAACTTAAATATTTGAAATTGATATTTTACCCGTTAAAAAATGTAAGATCTCCTGGAGTACCAATTAATTTCGGTTCATACCTTAAAGGTCATCCAAGAAATTCCGTATCTTTTAATCTCCAGTGGACACCTATATGATTATAAACAATCTACAGATCCTTTGCATCTTGGACTTGCCAAGGGTCGAGGTGGATAGCCTCATTTTTTTTTTTACGAAGGCCTTTTTCATTCATTTTGAATGTATACTAAGAATAGTTATATTTTTTTTCTATATAGCTTTATTTTGTGAGCTAAAGCGAACTTTTTTATATTTTCTGTTGACAGTAACTTTTTACTGTAGGTTATGGTTAACAGCATCAGTTATGTTCTTGAATTACGCCCCGAGAAGAAACGTGATAGTAGCAGTGAAGCCCCTGATAGTTCTTTGGGTTTGTATCGTACTTTCCCTTCTGTCTTACAGCAATCTCATTCTTTGTTATGTGATGATTTCTGCTTTATTTCTTGAAAGCAGCAGTATATGTTTCTTTACATGCAAGAATTATTTTGATTTTTTTCTTATTAACCAGATGGGAATTCATGATAAATGGGGAAATTAGTGGAGATATATTCATACATACAAAAATTAAGTAATTGCGTCATCAATGGTCTTATGAACAAGAGATCAAGAAGACAGAAGAAAATGGAGGTGTAGTGCAGAAGGAATGTTCAGTGCTAGCTTTTTTGGGTGATTGCACTAATTCTGGCCAGTAAATGGAATTCTGAAAATTGGTAAATAAAAAAGAATTCTGGCCTTAAATGGAATTCTGGCCAGTAAAATTGGTAAAGCAAGAGGACGGAGGAACCGTTTATTGCAGGAGGCCATTAATGGATTCATCAACAAAGGAGATTAGCTCGGGCAGGTAAGGCAGTCTTTAGAGGGTCCTTCTCACGAATCGTAAGCCACTTTTTCCGTTTCACCCTAAAGGATTCCGATCTTTCTGTTTGGTGAGCATTCCTATGTTATTGTATTGCTGCATAGTTGTTGTCATACTACATTCCCCAAGGATCAGTGATTCAGATCTTTGAAAGTCAGCTGTTATCAGTATGGCCTGTATGACGAAATTCCAGCAAAGTTTCAAAAATTTGCAACACTTGTCCAATTATTATATCTTTCATTGATCTACCAGCTTTAATCTGAGAAAATCAGTGGATGTCCTATTTTTGCTATATTTCTTTGTTGGTATATTCCTAAACCCATCTCCTCTCAATCATACAGCAGAATGCTCTTGTGAATTATGGCCAATAAAAGGTACGTAAGTATTGATTTCAGATCCAGAGGTTAATCGTACTCTGGTAATGATATCATATATGAAATGATAATATTAGCGACTACTACTTTTAGATCCATCATTCAAAAAACTCGAATTCAGGTAACTAGAAAAAGAAAATAGATTTTTATGTGACTAATGTGAATTTTCGGATAATTGTGTGATTTGATGTGAATTTATATAATTTTTAGATTCATGTTTTTGAGATAAAATGAAGAAATTCATTTATAAAATCACTATCACTGTCAATCTCAAATATTCTCATTTTCATTTCAAAAATATTGGAAAGACTGCCCCAATTACTAAAATGAGGCGCACTTATTGCTTCACAGTAGCTCTCATCTCCTTGGATTATGGAACGGTCTCATTAGATATTGGAGATATTTCTTTCTGTCCTAGGCACTTCCTTTTTTCTTGGACTTGCGTTTATAACTGCTTCCTTGGAGGTTAAACCTCATCTGGTTCATGTTTTCCATTGCAGCTGAAGCAAAGGAGGATCCCTCTGTGGCGCAACTATGGAACGACCTTTTTGACAACCCGCATAAATGGTGGGACAACAGGCCAAAGGTTCCCACTGGTTCACTAACCTCTTCTTCTTGGGCTCCCCATGGCGGTCCTCTTGCATGATCAGGCGCTCTCTTGCCCTTCTAATGCTCGCAGGATAACAAAAAGACTGGGAGATTTAAACACAAAGAGAGCGGTCAATCACTGGAGATAAACCAATCCACTCCTGCATGGGTCTTACAGAAACTGGATTCCCTCGTCTTCAGCCAGAGTGGGTGACTAGAAATCCCGAGCTTTGCCGCCATGGCTTCCCACTGAGTCCTCTGTCTCATGTTCTCCAGCTGGTCGGAAGCAGTCGGGTGACTCTCTGGCGACGATTTACTGGACCGACCTCGTGGAGAATCCCCAGCAATGGCGGGACAACAGAGAGGGTAAGCGGAGTGGGAAGGTGAGCCCCCTCCCCCCCCCCCCAGCTTGCCTCGGAAGTGGCAATCATTTGGCTGCTCCTAGTCTCACGGGTTGACTGACTCCACGCAGCTGAAGCCAAAGTTCCCTGACTTCTCTCACAAGGGCACGAAACATGGGCTGTGGCTCAACTCGGCCCCGGATTGGGTCTTGCCAAAACTGGAAGCTGCCGAGGCAAGCCCGAGAGGTCATGGGCAGATTGAAGGCAAGAAGGTCCGTACAGCTCCTGCTAAAAAAGGTGAGCCAATTGCAATTAAATATAGAAATAAATATATATTTGTACCTGATGGACTTCGGATTTCAAAGAAATCATGCAGAAAATTGAGTTATCTCGTTTATAATTTGTCCCCCCTTATGAGTTCCTTTCTTGGTAAAAACTGATTTCCAAAAATAACAGCTGGCATATTAGTCAACGCGAAGATCATGAAAAGTCAATGAGCTGACTGTATCACACTCCAATCTCTGCCATTACTAGCTTCTGATATTCATCATCAGGTGCAGAATCGGAAGAAACCTGGAAGGACTTGGTGGAAAACCCGAAAAAATGGTGGGACAATAGATCGACCAAGGTGATCCTTCTAGTTCTCTTTTCCTCTTCTGGGTCATCGTTCATGATCATCATGGCAAATCTTGTGGCTCTAATCATCTTTAATTTTATATCATCATTACAGATCTTGTTGCTCAAATTAATTTCAATTAATTGGATTATTTATCAATGCAATTTTTTCTCCTCCAACTAGCTTAACTTCGTCGGATCAAGATCTTATGATTCTACTCTACTTAATGACGCTTCATATGATCATTGAAAATCTTGCCGTTCTGATTCACATACACGGACGACGTGGCATAAAAGGTTGACCTTTTTATCTGACATGGCTCGTAAACCTTTGACACATCCCCCTGCTGATGTGGCCATGAATCGTTGACATTTTCTGCCAATTATTTTGATAATTTCTAAGTTACTCGAGAAATACAGAGAAATCTCTTCATAAATTTATTGAAAAAATCTAAGAAAAATATGGTTTTCAAATTTAAACCTCAAGATTAATTTCCTGTTATTGGATCATCGCGAATCTTGTGGCTCTAATTAAGTAGAGCTTTTAATCTTTTCAGATTATGCTTCGGATTATGATTAAAAATCCTGTGGGTGCAGCTGAAACCAAACATGCCGGACTTCAAGCACAAGGAGACCGGCGTAGCCTTGTGGCTCGGTTCCTCTACCCCCACATGGGTTCGTGCCAAGCTTCCCTCCCCCATGAGCTGAGCTGCCCTCGAACAGAGGATCCTAGCCGTCCATGCGGGAATGGACGGTTTTGATCTCGGAAATGATGGTATTCATAGGCTGTAATTATTCACACACAGACAGTTAGGAATCCGTTTACCCTTCTCTACTCTTAGATGGAGATGATGGGCCGAGTTCCTCTCTGGGCCCAACATGACGCCCGTGCTGCGTAATATCGGGCCCCGGTTTCAAAGGGCCCGGCCCGGAGCCTCATATCTAGCACTTTTTCCCTGGGCCCGTGTTTTTCTACTTTCTCCTTTTTTATGTTATGTTGAACGTTTAATTGTGAACTATTAAGTTAACTAATTAAGCTAATACAAAATTATTCATTTTTTTTTCTAAATATGGATGTTCTTGGACGTACGGGTAGAGCTGGTCAACGAGTGGCGTGGTTGACTCGTGTCTTGGCGGGAGGGGACGGGGGAAGTGGGGCCCGCGGCGTTTGTTAGTCTCGTTGCAATCACCGGCTGGCGGGAGAAGACTCGGATAACGAGCCAACGGCGGGGAGAATTTAGATGGCTGCGGGAGTGGGCGAGCGGAGGCGACGGCGAAGCAGGGGAGATGGCGGCATGTTGTTCCTACTTCGGCGGGGAGCTCCTGCGCCTGCGCCGGTCGCCGCTTCTCCGTACGAAGCATGCCCCACGGACGCAGCAGCTACGGCGGACGGTGGGGATCGCGATGGCGGCGTCGGGGGTTCCCTCGGGTGGATCGGACGGAACCGAGGGGGAGAATTTGTCGCCGTCGCCGCCGGATTCCTCGAGCGGCGGCGGCGGCGGCGGCAACGCTGATCGTCGTCAAAGCAAGAGGATCTCCGAGCAGTCGTCATGGGAGGCGAAGGATTCGGAGGGAAAGGACTACCTGTACCGGCTGGGGCAGGAGGCCGATAATATGAACATCGCGGTCGGGGCGAGACAAGGCGTCATTGACGACCTCTTCGTGGGAAATTTCCTCGGAAGGGACTGTGAGTCGCTCGACAGCTTCTTTTCCTTCTTGGTTTTATTCCGGCGAAATAGTTTAGTTACAATGAGAGAGTTTAGTCTTCTGGTTTATTTGGCAGCGGATATCGTCTTTGATTACCGGCAGAAGGCAACGAGGTCGTTTCAATATCTCCAGGGAGATTACTACATCGCACCAGCATTTATGGTCCGTCTGAAATTTTGTTTCCTTCCGTTGCAACAGTTATTTCTACCCATGCCGATCGCCTTCTGTACATAGTCTATAGATGAAAACTTACTGAGCTTCTATGAATAAATTTTGTTAATATTCTGGCATTTATTAACACCACCAGACACAAGCAAGCAATCACGCTAAAGATGGTATAGCATTGTCAGTCTTACATCTCCTACGAGACTTAATCATAGGAGGTTTCTTCACTAGGTGTGTAACGTCAAAGGATACTTGCCTTCTCAAGTGGGAAATAAATTCTTTAGAGTTCATAATCAAAGTCATTCACCATTTTATCCGTGCCACTTTCCATTTTAATTTGTTGAAAATTTGTCCTCCAGACATTTATAACTGTTAAATTATAGTGTTAAAGAATGAAGGAACATAAAGTTGTTCATTTTAACGCCAGGTTGAAAGTGCCTCAGTGGCCTTGTAGATTTTAGAGTAGTAACGGTTGCAAATGTGCTCACAAATATTCGCATTCACCACTTGAAGTGCTTGTTTTGATTTAGTATTGCTCCTATTTTTTCAAACCTACTGATATTTTTGCTCAGGCTACAGCTATTATTGACCATTTATGTTCGTAAATTTATTTATATTCTTAATTGGTTATGGCTTTACCCGATTTCTGGGCAAAGGAGCCTATGAGATTGGAACTGGTTATTATGCTCGAGTTAAGGCTGATTATACTTTGTGCAATTGACCTCCTTCATTCTTGTCATGAGTTACGTCTGTTTACCAATTAATGTCGTTACTAAAAAATAGTCAGCTTTGTCTCAATATACATCCACTGGTGTTTAACATTTTTTTCTTATTCTGCAGGATAAAGTAGGTAAGCTCCAGATCTTATGGAAATGATATTATTTTGCGTAGATGCTCTGTGATCAGAAAGAAATTATGTTTATATTCAATCATTCAGCATATGCTTCAAGGTTCATTTCCCTCTTATATTATTTTTTTGAAGACCTTTCGACAAAAACAAATTTGACCATGATTCACTGTGCGTGTGAAAGTGTTCATTTGATGGTAATGGAGACCACTTTCAACAGTCGTCATATTGTTTTACGTTAATATAAATTAATTTTGAAAATAATCTGTCTTTTAAAACTCTAAGGGGCTTGTGGTCCATGTTCTCAGATGATTCATACTTTCCGTTTTGCTTGTGTGCTTGCGTACGTAATGTTTTCTCTAATTATTTGCATTGAAATTATATTTCACAATGTTTTAAGTTTAACCATTGTTGAACGTTAAGATTTAATTTTCCAGCACTTGGATGCTGGTAAAAATGACCCAGGGACCCTAAGAAATGTAAATACTTTCTTAGAATTCAAGAGATACCTGTGTGATTTAGAGACTGTGGCCAAGTCAATCAAATCATTATGTAGAACCATGGCAGGGGGATCGGTGGTGTATTTATCTCGTTTTTAATATCGTACATGAAAAGTTTGAGGTTTCATTTTCCAAAAGTCACAGAATGCACTATTTTTCGGAAACGTTGATAATAATCATGAACTTACTGAAAGGAGAGAAGGGATGACATACTTGTGGACCAAGATTATCTACTTGTCAAAAAGCAAAGTCAAAATTATGACCGATGTTGAAAACGATAGTTTTGTCGATAAAAATTATAACTAGTATATATGGTTAATTTTTTAATTTCCTGAAATAACTTTGTGAGTATAGGCCATATAAATATACTATTCATGCACTGACTTTTCCTTGTACGATTTGAGTCAGAAAACAGTGTAACTGACGAGGATAGTACATGTCACAGTTCATTTTTTAATGTCTCATTTTCTACAACTTTGTTAGAATCACTTCTATGTTTCAATACTACATGCACTCGATTGTTTTCTTTGGCAGCATGCCACATTGTGAAGAACTACCTTGTAGACCATCTCGACATCAAAGTTCCCTTAATCCTTGGTAAGTCTCGAAATATTCTTCATTTGCTAGAGTTTCTCGCACATCTTTATACAACATGTAAATTTTCGAATAATATTCATATAATTAAAATATATCTCATTTAAATAAATTAAATAATCGTAAAATAGGCATACGTCAATGTGGGAATCTGAAATTCAAATGTATGGTGCATATACCTCAAGGTATAGATTTTACAGAACACATTACAGATTATGAAAGTCTATGAGTAGTATAAATATTTTAAAACGTACCGACATACACTAGAAAGACATGGAAATATGTGGTTGTCGAACCTCAAGTGGATCTCTCTTGATTATATTTTGCAGAAAATATTTTATTTTATTTATTTAAATATCTTATCTTTTGACTACTTTCAGATAATAGTCAGAGCTAATGGAACCACACATGCAACTAAGTTTTGGATTGTCATTTGTAGGTGTATGGGGTGGAAAGGGTCAAGGGAAGACCTTTCAGACAGAGCTTATTTTCCGAGCAATGGGAGTTGAGCCAATTATAATGTCTTCTGGCGAACTGGAATCAGAGAATGCAGGTGGATGAAACTTTAATGCTAAGAAAAAAGAGAAAAAGATTGTATGATGATTACATCATGTATGCATGCACCATTCTATTATAATTGTTTATTCTTATTGACATGAAAACATGAAGAAGAATAATGAAATATGAACTGACTAGGGAAAGTTGTATCTATAATCCATGACATATCCTAGAGTCAACCTCTCTCATGAAAAAAAGTTGTGCATCTGGGAGTTGGGGTCTAATTAATAGATGGTGTTTATCGACAAAGTCCACCACCCAAATTGATTTGATAGACTTCTATCTACCGTCTCAATTTATTTAGCTAATATAGTGAATTCACTTCTCTAAAGAATTACATTACCGAATTAGATGCTTCTCTCTATTAAAATCTTGAGTATAACTCTAAATTGATTCGATAGAATTCTGTTCCTAACGCCAATTTGTTCATCGAATATCGTGAATTGATTATTCTGAAGAGTTATATTATCAAGTTAGAAGATTCTCTCTACTAGATCCTTGTTGGGCTTTGCGTTGTGTTCCATGCTTGGCCTCCAACAATTATTTGTAAAATCATGGCCCGACATGACATTTTCCTAACTTTTGTTAAGAGAAAAGGCAAAACATAGGATTTGATATGGTGTATAGTATGATCTGTTCTGTGCAATTGAGTATGATATAGTAATTATTCTAACAGTAGGATTTTATTTTTTCAGTTGACACCGTGGGCGTTGTCTTTTTTTAAAAACAATTTAGATTTACTAATGCATTGGATATTTTGTAGATGATGGATTCTGTGCATCTATCTGTGCTTTTTGAATCAATGAATCAGACATTTCTTTCGACTCAACTCACAAGTTATGTACTCGAGTTGTAAGTTATATTTGTTTTCTACGTTGCCTTTTCAGGAGAACCAGGTAGACTCATACGTCAGCGTTATAGGACATCTTCCCAAGTGGTTCAAAACCAAGTTAGAAGCATTTTGCCTTTTACCATTGAAATGTGCGCTTTTTTAATTGTGATTTGAAACCCAAATGGCCTTTGGATTCTTGCTTACCTTGGATTTAGCCTCCATTTATTTTTTGCATATAGTTCATCTTTCGTACTCGGACTATCTTATGTTTGCATCATTATTTTAAGTATATTGGTAACTGAGTTTTTAATATTGTGGGATATTTTCTTCATTCGATTTTCAAGATCTAGATTGATTTTACTCATAGTGGTTGTCAGATTGATCTTGATCTTGTTCAACTGATCTAGGGTAAAATGAGCTGCTTGATGATCAATGATATTGATGCTGGCCTGGGAAGATTCGGTACGAGGTTTTCATTCATTGCAGTCTGTTATAAATATTTCAAGATCTCAAAGTGGATGATTTGACATCCAAGGGGAACTTATCGTAATACAAAATCTTTATTCCCCGACAAGGATCACAACTTGATAATTGTCTTTTTGGTTATCAGGAAACACACAAGTGACGGTCAACAACCAGATAGTGGTTGGAACTCTGATGAACTTAGCAGATAATCCTACAAGAGTGAGCATCGGGCAGAGGTGGAGAGACTCTGATGTTACCCATAGGATCCCCGTGATTGTCACGGGGAATGACCTCACCACGATCTATGCTCCTCTGATTCGTGACGGCAGGATGGACAAATTCTATTGGTGCGTGGTTGGGCTCTTCCTCGTTTTTTTCAACCAGAGATACGAGTTCTTCCTGCTTTCATACACGTTATAACTATTTTAGAAATCACTAGGTTTCTTTCTTTCCAACAAGAAACAAATTATAATAAATGAGGATCATTGAAACAAGTTGTGACATCAGCCCATCAAATAAGTTGTTTAATATGTTCATTCTTTTGGGGTATTAAACCATCGATTTAACAGTGACTTTGACATTTCTTATGGGCTTTAGCTGATTTGCATTACCAATCACATTGTGACTCTCTCTCTTCTTCTATTTTTCTTTTTTTTTCTTTTTTTCTTTTTTTCTTTTTTTTATATATAAAAAAAATCGCCCATTTTTCGTTTCCCAAGCACTCAAGCTGAAGCATAGTCAGGGTTCAGTGTACTCTTTCAAGGAAACATCCCCAACTTGTTCTTCCTTTATTTATTTATTTTGTTTGGTCGCAGGCAGCCTACCCGTGAAGATATCGTAAATATCGTCCACAGAATGTACGAAAAGGATGGGATTTCCCGTGGCGGGGTCGAGACCATTGTCAACTTATTTCCCAACCAAGGTAGGCCCTTTTCTAGCCCCTGAATAATCTACATATATCTGAGGATTGCAAGGATGGTGAGCAATTCTTCAAGATTTTTCAGGCACCATGAGACTTTTATCTCTCGGTCTCATTTTCCATGTCTCGAAGACTGACTCTATATATATATATATATATATATATTCTTTTTAATGGACCAAGAACACAACTTTATACGATTATCTTGATATGCACATCCGCTCACGCTTTCTGATCTGCAGCGTTGGATTTCTACGGAGCTCTGAGATCCCGAACATACGATCTATCAATACTAAAGGTATCAATTCATGAATTCATAAAGGTATCTGATCCGCACGATTTTTCCTAATTGGTCGTCTGATGCCGATCTTCTTGTTGGGTTGTTGTGTTTACTTCGGAAAGTGGATTGATGAGATCGGTGGCTACGAAGACCTCTCCAGGAAGCTTCTCAAGGACTACAAAGCTGGCAAACTTCCGACGTTTATTCCCCCCGAGGTCAGTACATGACTCATAAGTCAGTGGGCCTAATAAGTCAAGCCCCCTCTCGGCAAGTCAACGCCCAAGTCGGTAGTGAAACTACTGAGTCCCTGTTTCGGACTGGTGAAAAACAGCAAACAGTGGAAGCACTGGTGGAGTCGGGCCATTCGCTCGTCAAAGAGCAAGAACTGATCACGAACACCAGACTCTCCAAGGAGTACATGAAGAACCTGGACGGCTAGATCCCCGCGGTTCTGCTGCTCGGAGGCCCTGTGAATACATCTCGCGGATCTTCATTGACAGTACGTGCTCGCCACCTTCTCTTCTGATACTTTCCGTTCTCTCTCTCTCTCTCTCTGACGAAACTCAAAATCATTTGACTATGAGTAGACTAGTTCCATCCCCATAATCATTTGAGGGGTTTACTCTTATAATCATTTACTCTACGTCTGTGGAGAGAGAGAGAAAGAGAGAGATGTGGAGCTGTTGGGTCACATGAAAGTAGGGAGGCATTAATGAGCCCGTCATATCGCAGGAGGCACGAGCCGGGGAGGCCCGCCACCATTAACATCGTAAGTGCCTCCTCTGACGAAAGGGGGGAGTAGAAGCTGGGGGAGCTGGAAAAAGGGCTGCGTTTCTCGCATGAGCCCAGTCACACACGTCAGCGACAGCTGGCTTCGGAAATTTAATGCCACGTTTCTCGAGACCCCGCTCGCTCCTACGGTAGTCGCCCTATTTACTCCCGGCCAATCACGTGCCCGTAATTCCACGTACCCCCCCCCCCCTCCCCCAACCCGGGCTCTCCCAATAATAATAATAATACTCGTAAAGTAATAAATAGATTACGCGACGACGCTCTCGGCAGCTGTTTAAATGAAATGTATGGGGGAAGAGAATAAGTGGATTTCCCAATACTACCCCTTCAAGATAATTCAGATCCATGTGGAGCCGTCCGATCGATCTCTCTCTCTCGATCATCATCGCAACTTCCCATACCCGCTATTGGCGCGGCAGTTTGGGTGGGGAGAGGGGGGGCGTAGCCGCCATCTCCGGCACGTTGGAGGCGGCGGCGCCGCCACCTCCGACCGTACTGTAGGGACTGGACTGATGATGTATAATGGCACTTACTAGTCTGGCAGGGCCATGCCCACATTATCCGGGGGCGTTGGCTTCTCCGCGGCAGGGCCACCCGCCGCCGGTGAGGATCATCTCCCGCCGGAGGAACAGCAGCTCCTGCGGCCTCACGTCGCTCCACCGCCGCTGCCGGTGGCTGATCTCGCCGCCGCTGCCGTCCTCCGGGTCGCCGTCGCTGGCGACGACGATCTGGTGCCCCAGCAGCAGCCCGTCCTTCCTTCCCGCCGGCGGCGCCGCCGTTGCGCCGCTGCGCTTCTCCCCCGCAGAGGAGTGCCTCCCAGGGGCCCTGAACAGGGACCCCACGGCGGCGGCGGCGGCGGTGCCGCCGCCGCTCGCGAGCTCGTGGCGGCGGAAGGGGAGGAGGACGTCTTCCGGGTCGACTCGGAAGCGGCAGAGAGGGCAGCTGCCGTGGGCGTCGAGCCAAGTGTCGATGCAGTCGACGTGGAAGGCGTGCTTGCACTTGGGGAGCAGCCGGAGAAGCTCCGATTCCTCGAATCGGCAGAGACAGACTGCGCAATCTAGGCCCTCCTCCTTCTTCGGCCCCCGCAAAGACCCGAACCGGAACAACGGCAGGGACTCCACCACCGCCCTCCCCACCCCCGAGTTCCTCCTCCGCCCCCCCACGGTGGCGGCGCCGCCGCCGTAGGGTCGCCCTCCGCCGGTGGAGCGCCGGCAGTGCCTGGCGTAGAGGAGGGCGAGGCAGACCACGGACAGAATCGTCGTGATGATCCCGATGGCGAGGGCGAGGGCGGGTCGGATCGGTGACCCCGCCGGCGGCAGCGGAACCGGCGGCGGCGCTGAGGCGGGGCTGGCGGTGGCGCCGCCCACATGTTGCAGGCGATCTCCCATCGCCCACCTCCTTCTCCCCCAGCTGTGGGTTAAGAAAAACTCTGAGACCAGCGATTCATCATCATAAACTCTGAGAGCTTTTCAGGGGAGAAGGCCAACTGTCAGCCTGTTCTTGCCTCTTCCCTGTTCTCCTCTCCTTTCTCCTCCCTAACCCACCCGGGCCCCCTTCTGCATTACCCCACTCTCTCTCTCTCTATCTCTATCTTCTCTCTCTTCCTGTGTTCCCCCGGAGGGCGGAATTACCTCCACCTCAGGAAACAGAGGTCCCCTGTTTCAGGCGCCTGAAACAGGGGAGGAAGGAGCAAAGGGAGCTGGCGCGCTTTATTTTTATGATAAATATTTTTTATTTAGATACCTCTTCGGCTGAGTTGAAGATACCTGTTCAACTCAGCCGTCTGACCAATGGGCCGTTAGGCGGGCCAACAGAAGACGGAGCGGACCGTGGGGCGGCCCGGCCCGGCTTGTTGTCGCCGAGGTGGCGGCTGAGGAATGACGACATAATGATGAGGTGGCCGTACGCGAGTAACTGGCGGCGGAAAGCCACGACCACGTGGCACAATCGCCGCCGAGGCAATGGCGGCGCTGCTTTGGACTGGATGACAGTAAATGGGCCTACTTGTGGGCCCGGTTGCCCCAGGGACTAGTCCACTAAGGTCTCTTCAAAGTCAGGTGATCCGATGGCCCACCGGATGGTACCCTCAGTAAGAAGTCAACGGGGAAAATGAGAGCCTATAGACCTGATATTTTTAAAATAATATTTATTAAAAAAATATTATTAGCAACTTACGCTCCCGTCCTAGGTGAGTTGATAGTTTTTTGTTGTCTAGAAGGGAAAAAATAAAAAGGAATATGTGGAATTTTGTGGCGTCGCCCGGACTTGAACCGGAGACCTTCAGTGTGTTAGACTGACGTGATAACCAACTACACCACGACACCTTGATATTTATTTCCAAAATAAAATAAAATTCTGTTCAAAAAACAGCAGCCCAGCTGTTGCTGCCCCTCGCGCCTCTTTTCACGGGCTCTTCCCCACATCTTCAATTCGCCCGACGCTCCGCCAACCTCCTCTCTCTCTCTCTTCCTTCTGTTTCATTCCATACAAGTAGACACCCCCATTGACAGAACCCCGAGAGTCGGGCTTTTCATTTCTCTTTCTCTGTCTCCCTTCCTACAGCATGCGTTTAGCAGTGGTGATCTCCCTGACGACAGCCTGCATGCTGATTGCCGTCGAAGCCGGCAACTTCTACCAGGACGTTGACCTCACCTGGGGTGCCGACCGGGCCAAGATCCTCGACCAGGGCCGCCTCCTCACCCTGTCCCTGGACCGCTCCTCCGGCTCCGGCTTCCAGTCCAAGAAGGAGTTTCTCTTCTCCAAGATCGACATCCAGCTCAAGCTCGTCCCCGGCAACTCCGCCGGCACCGTCACCACCTTCTACGTGAACCCTAACCCCCTTCTCTCTCTCTCTCTCTCTTCCCCCCCTTCTTTCTCTCTCTTACCGGGGACCCGTCTTGCAGCTGTCGTCGCCGGGGCCGGCCCACGACGAGATCGACTTCGAGTTCCTGGGGAACGTTTCTGGGGAGCCGTACACGCTCCACACCAACGTCTTCGTGGACGGGGAAGGGAACCGAGAGCAGCAGTTCCACCTCTGGTTCGACCCCAGCAAAGACTTCCACACCTACTCCATTCTCTGGACCCCTCGCCGCATCATGTAAGTCACCATCCGCGAGGAGAAAGACGCAATCCCCGTTCTTCAATATACTCCTGGTTTTGATTTTCATCCGATCTTCTTCTTCTTCTGCTTCTTCTTCTTCCCGCCGCAGATTCACCGTCGACGGCGTCCCCGTCAGGGACTTCAAGAACTTGGCAAAAGCCAGAGTAGCCTTCCCGACGAAGCGGCCGATGAGGCTCTACTCGAGCCTGTGGAACGCCGACGACTGGGCCACGCGGGGAGGGCTCGTGAAGGCCGACTGGTCGAAGGCGCCGTTTGTGGCCTCGTTCAGGAACTTCTCCGGCGAGGGCTGCCCGCCGGGGCCGCCGCGGCCAGCGGCGCAATGCGGCGGCACGGCTGCAGCGTGGATGAACCAGGCGCTGAACGCCGCCAGCCGGAGGCGGATGAGCTGGGTGCGGCGGAGATACATGATCTACGACTACTGCGCCGACCGGCGGCGCTTCCCCGGGGGTCTCCCGCCGGAGTGCAACCGCACCGCGCACCACCGCGGCGGCGCCGCCCGCTGAGGAACTCGAAGGCGGCGCGGGTCGTCGGAGAAATCGATCGTGATAACGAAATAATGAATCTAGGAAGCTGTTTTCCAAGGAAAATACCATCCAAAGGACTGTCTTTGTAGGTCGAGGGTGGATCAGAAGGCAGGGGAAGGGACAATGCGACACGTGGCTGGTACCCATTGGTCTTTCACTCACTGACGTGGCACATCAGAATGTCGAGGTGGGTCACACGTGGCGTGTTGCCCACTCGAATGACGTATACTTCTAGGATAGTCGGATCGGTTAATTGTTTTCTTAAAATATGCTGCTGAGACTAATTATTTCTTATTAAGAGTATACGGTTTATTTATCAAAATTTTATACAAATTATTTAATTTAATAATATTAATTTTTAGAGCGTACGCAATTTATTTATGGTCAAATTTAGGATATATAGTACTTTTAATATTTACTTTTAAAATTTAGGTTATATTTACTTTTAATATTACTACGATGAAGAAGTGCGTTAAAAATATAATTTAATAATGCGGATTAGTCTGGCAAATGAGCCGTCTGATCACAACTTCGAAGGGGGGGGGGGGGGCGGGGGCGGGGGCGGATGCTCTCTGTGTGTCACCGACGTCGTCTTCATCGGCGGCGCTAATGGCTGTCGGCGCCGCCCGGCTGCTCTGTGAACGTGATTCCAGGGCCGGGTCGTTCTGCGTTCTATTCTCGCTCTCCCTGCTCGGCATTCTGCTCTTCAGTAAGCGGTCTCTGGAGCCAGCCGTCTCTTCCTTCACGGATAAATTCCTCTTGAGTACTCTACCCCAGCAGCAGCCGCCGCCGCCGGCGCTTCCAATCCTGAACCAAGCTCCGGAGATCCAGTACGATGGTGCAGATTCCCCTCCAGAAACTCCATCGACGGATGGCGATAGATCATTGCCGTCGCCGCCAACTGAAGTGCACGGGCATAATGAATCTTCGCTGCCGAGAATTCAGATCGTTAGTAAGGAAGAGAAAAATCAAGAGGTAGAAGAGGGTGGAGGGAGTGAGCCTGTGGAGACTCTCGGGAGGGAGGGTAAGTGCGATTTGTTTCATGGGAGTTGGGTGGAGGACGAGGAGGGGAGGTACCCGCTGTACCGCCCGGGGTCTTGCCCTTACGTTGACGATGCCTTCACATGCCAGGAGAACGGCAGGCCGGACAATGCCTACCTCAAGTGGAGGTGGAAGCCTCACGGCTGTGATCTTCCCAGGTAGATATCATCTAGCACTTTGTGATTATTATTTGTTGTCACTTTATGAAACGCAAACATGGGAATCATGAATGATGAATCAATCGATTCCTTCTTTATCATTCAGCTCGCTGAAAAACTACCAGAATTTAAGGCTGCCTCCTTCCGTCGCTAAAGTCGCAAACCTGCTGGATCCGTCACCATGGGATCGATCATATGACTGCTCTAATTATATTCTTCCCATCTATAAAAGTTCATTTCATGGAATTTCCTAGCATGAAATGTTCCATTTATTATTTAATGAAGAATCGGTACCAAAAATTCAGTGGGATGCTGCAGAAAGTCAATTCTCGATCGTGAGAAACTTGTGGCCATCGGATGTATTTACTTCTAGGTTTTCTTCTGTGATTCATCCAATGAAGAAACTGGAACTGGAGATTGATTCTCTGTGCCTTGCCTCTGCGTGTGACATTCATCCAACCATTTTTAATCCTCCAAAACCTCAGATGCTTTTATGTCGGCCTTTGCCAGGAGGTATGCAACTGAAGGGGGGCGAATGATTTGTTAATACTTCCCATGGAGAAATAATTTGTTAACAACCTACTCTGCGCCTAAATTGTACCTTGGGATTTTCAGTAATTTACACGATGCACAAGTTAGCTTACTCGACTTTGTGAACCAGATGTTTGCAGCGAAATGTGATGAGAACGAGCTTGATAGTAAGCTTGCTCTTAGATTGCAAGGAGTGATGAGAACGAAATGTACAAATTATAAAGCCATCCGGAAAAAGATGGGTTTTCTTTTCTGTGCGCTCGAGTTCTGATGTTCTTCCTGGATTTTTCTAATCGCGCTGTCTAATTTATGAGCTGAAAAAGAGGATTTGGTGGTGGCCTTTGGAAAACCCCGGTCAGTTCCTCAAATAACCGTGAATCTCTTCATTTTTTACTTCTGGTTTTGGCTTCACATGTTGCAGCTATCAGCGATCGTCGGAAGATTGTTGATTCCTATGATGGCCGTATACAATTTTTGTTTCTATGTTGAGCTCAATATGTTGGTCCCCGGGGTGAATTTCTATGCGCAGTATAATTTTATTTTATTTTATTTTTTGCGTGGGTTTGACCTGTCACATATAGGGTTCAAGCAGCTTTGCACATTTTGACCTTTCAAAGCCATGCATTTCCTGCCCTGAAACCCTGACTTAAAGTCAGTACAGGTTAGTATAAAAATTGTTGTTTTGTTATCATCAGGATCCATCTGTCGGATTCTATAAGATTTACTGGAGGACAGAGAGTGTCGTGCTCTTCCCCACAAGATGCAGTTCAATGGCCCCAACGAGCTTTGATGACTTTGGCCCGGTTTTTCTATGATTCACCTCCTAATCCATCGAGTGATCACTCTCCTGCCAAGCCTCAATCTCCCATCTCTCTTTCGCCCCACCTTACCCGCAGTGATCCAGCTGCCTGTTCTTCACAACTATTCATCCGTATGAGAAAATAAATGGGCTTATAAAGCAGTCGTCAGCAAGATACGATCAATGGTGCGAGATATGGGTAGGAAGCCTGCGATTCTTTCTACTTTTGGAACGACCTTTGCACCCGATTGCTAGTCTCAGCGGCGACTGAGGCCTCTTTTATGCATTTATATGGGTAGGCAGACTGAAATTCTTGGATGACATGGGAATTGTCCGCTTGTTCCACACCACTCTTGATCTTTTTTCTTTTTTTCTTCCTATTTCTGTGTGATTTAATGCATAAATGTCCTCTCCTTCTTCTCGTTGATCGAGTAGGTTCAATGGAACAGACATGCTGGAGAGGCTGAGGGGTAGAAGGCTGATGCTCGTCGGTGACTCCATGAACCGTAACCAGTTCGAGTCTCTGCTGTGCCTTCTCCATGGATCCTTGCCAAATAAGAGCAGAATGTACGAGACCAGGGGCTACCCAGTATCAAAGGGCCGAGGCTACTTCATTTTCCGATTCCTGGTAAGAACTCGCCCCCTTCTCTCTCTCTCTCTCTCTCTCTCTATCTCTCTATCACTTGAGAGATGAAGGAATATGGTTGGCATTATCCAGTAATGAATGCTTGTTTCCGAAAGGCTCGAGGCTACTTCTCTCTTTCTCTCTCTAGAGATGATGGAGTATGGTGGGATTGTTTAGTGATAAACGCTGGTTTTCTGATGGTCGAACCAGTTTGGGCGAGAGAAGAAAGAAATCTGATTGGTTTTTCTTCTTTCTTCTGGGGCGTGGATGGATCTGTTTTCTTGGGCTTCTGTGGAATTTCCTGATTTGGTGCGAATTGCAGGACTACAACTGCACCGTAGAATTCAGCCGCTCCCATTTCCTGGTGAGGGAAGGGAGGCACCGCACCTCCCTTGGAAAATCTCGGCCGTCGCTTCTGATCGATCGCATCGACAGGACCTCTCCCCGGTGGAAGCGTGCCGACGTTCTGATCTTCAACACTGGCCACTGGTGGGCCCATGGGAAGACCTCCAAAGGGTAATCTCTCTCTCTCTTTCTCTCTCTCTCTCTCTCTCACTCTCACTTTCCATGTATGTCTCTTTCCATCTAGATCTCAAAGGAGCAACTCTCTCTCTCTCTCTCTCTCTCTCTTGTTTCTCTTTCCACGGCCATTCTTGCTTGACAGAAAGTCTCTATGGGCAGGAGGGACTACTACCAGGAAGGCACAGTGGTGTACCCTAAATTTGACCCCACGGAGGCTTTCAGGAGGGCCATGAGAACGTGGGCCCAGTGGGTTGACCAGAACATGGTTCCCGGAAAGAGTCTCGTTTTCTACCGCGGCTACTCCACGGCCCATTTCAGGTGAGATCATTCGGATCCTAATCATGCTGTTAAATCCAATGGTTTTGACCGAGCTCATTCTAGTCATCGTATCGTGCCTTCTATCGTACCGTCTGATGAATTTTGACCGAGCCTGATTATAGTCAACTCATCATGTTGACCAGGGGGGGAGACTGGGACTCCGGTGGCACCTGCAACGGCGAGACCCAGCCAATCCCTGGCGGCGGCGGCGCTTTTCCCGGCGGCTACCCTCCAAAGATGCGCATAATCGAGGAGGTCATCGGCGGGATGGAGTTCCCGGTGGTCCTGCTGAACGTGACGAGGTTGACCAGCCTCCGCAAGGACGGGCACCCGTCGGTTTACCGGGTCAACGGGGGGATGAGAACCTCCACAAGGCGGCAGGACTGCAGCCACTGGTGCCTCCCTGGAGTTCCCGACGCCTGGAACGAACTGATCTACGCCGCCCTCACTGCGTGGAACGGTCACGGGAGAAGAACAGCAGTCAACCCGGTTGACCTCGGAGGGGAGCGATTAGATTAAGGTCAGCGGCCCACGCGAGCTGGGGTAATGTGCTTCGGCTCTGGGATTGAAACGGACTCTTCGTGATCCTCGAGGAAGAGGGGCTATGCGTTTAGTCGTGTCTCCTGGGACGAAATGCTTTCTTTACCCCTGATCGAGAGAGAGAGAGAGAGACCCTTTCTATCAAAGCAACCATGAATGAGAGTAGAGATTTGACGGCGTACCCATTTCGGAACTCGCTAAGTTTATCGCGCCGGAGAACAAGGTGGGAGGAGATTTCAAAGCGCCTTGGAAAACCCCCAGTTTCCGGTGTTCAGCCCTCGCCTCCTCCTCTGCGACACAGTGGAGGGGAGAGAGGGAGAGAGAGGAGAGAGAGAGGAGAGAGAGAGCGATCCCCTGCCCATCTCTCTCAAGAATCACGGAGACTCTTTCTCTCTCCTCCTTTGACCCGGCTCAGCCGCGCGTCTCCTTCTCGTTTCCCTATAAGCCTAAGCGAAAAAGGGGCCACAGAATCTATCATTTGGATCGCTATCCATCATCTTCGAGACGTGCCAAACGGGAAACGTAGACCCCGTCCGTTTATTACACTAGAGAGAGAGAGAGAGAGAGGTTCTTTCCTTTGACTTGGATACGTCCAAGATAGAAGTTCAAACGGCGAGTCTGAATTTGTCAGCAAGTGATCGGGAAAGAACCATCTCTGTTCATACGAAGAAAGTACGCTCATACTGTCGATAAGTATGAAATTTGATGATTTATCGAGGAAAATATATGGTTCTATGAACATGTTTCTCCCTCTACTTCTATCGTCCTCTGTCAATCGTGATCTCTATACAGGTGATTGATTCCCACGGGGATCATCCCTAACAGGCCATGGAGGAGTCCTTGACGGCGCAGCCGTATAACCTGGCCCTCACCGGGCCGGCCCCGACTGCTCTGGCGCCCTCCCCGGCGGCGATCCTCTGACAGGAGGGGCACACGGTCAGCGCTGCCGCCTTAGGGAGGACCTTCATGGACCTCAGCTCCTGGAGCTCCTTCCTGAGCCGGCGGTTCTCATCGCTCAGGCTCTCGCAATACTTCTTCAGGAACTCGCAGTCCACCTCCGTCTGCTTCAGCTTGGTCCTAAACCCAATTACATGTTGGTATGAAATCTCTGATAATATTGTTCCAGGGATTTTGGATCTGAGTTAGTCGAAATCGAACCTTGCTCTTCGGTTCTGGAACCAGACTTCCACTTGTCTCGGACGAAGATTGAGACGGTCGGCGATCTCCTGCTTCTGAACCTGTTGGTTACATCTGGTCGGATTAATCTTCGCTGATGAAATCGCAGATTATTCAAGCAGATATGGAGGGGAGGAACCATTCCTCGGCAGACGACGACGACGACGATTTTACTTACATGGGTGAGGGTGTTGCGTTCTCGGAAGCTGTTCTCGAGCAAGGTGGACTGCTCCTTGGTGAGACGGAGCTTCTTCCTGGCGCCGCTCTCGTTGGGTCCTCCCTTGTCCACCGCTTCTTCCTCCGCCTTCCTCGGATACAGCTTGGTCGCTCCCTTCTCCTCGTAGGTCAACGAGGCTGTCACCTGGTCCTCCTTCTCCTCCTCCACCACATCCCCCACCGCCTCTCCCTTGGGGCGCGTCGGAAACAGGTGGTGGAAGTGCACCGGCGGTGTCTCTCCTCCGGCGAGCCTCCACTTAGCGGCGCCGCCGAACCCGAGGGTGAGGTTGGTGTTGCATGGTACCTCCATGGCTGAGAACCGAGAGAGAACCCTCCGCCAGGATGAGCACGTGCGATCTCCTATGAGGAGCGGAGCTAGCAGGAGGCGAGGAAATGAGTAATTTATAGAGAGAGAAAGAGAGATGGGATTTAAGCAGGACGAAATTCTACGTCTTAAATTCTCTGGGGTATTATGGGTTTCGAAATGTTTCAAGCCGGGGAAGTAAAGACAAGAACAGCCCGGTGAACGCCCACCTCACCCCGTTACAGCCAAGAAGCCTTTGCAACGTGTTGAACAAGAAATCTTGCCCTTCCTCTCTCTCTCTCTCTCTCTCTCCCTCTCTCGATCTGTATACGTATGCCCCCGCTTTTTCTATCTGATAATGGAAGTTAATATTTCCACGGCAGTTTCTTGGTGGGCATGGACGTCTCGAGAGGAGTTAATGAGATGATAACAGTCTCGGCATTCAAAGCCCCCAGCTTTCTTCCACTTCTTGGGGGAACGCTCTCTCTCTCTCTCTGTCTCTCTCTCTTTCTCTCTCTCTCTGTCTCTCTCTCTCTGTCTCTCTCTCTTTCTAAAGAGAGAGACAGAGAGGAGAAATCAAGGCCATTAGTTTCGAGTTTTGACCGTTGCGGTGGCTTGGCCTTCAGCGCCTCGTCATCATCAATGAGACATCCTCCGGCAAGCTCGTCAGGAGATGATTAGACGGAGCGGACCATCAACGCAACGCGTCCTGGGATGGGCGGACGGCTGGGCCCCACCGAGCGGTCTCCTCCACCCCGGGCAAGACTCTCGGTCCTCCCTCCCCCTTGAAACTGTCCGCCTACTTTAATGGGGAGAAAATGGTAGTTATTTATTAAATGGGCCCCTTTGACCCGACGGAGAGTTTCGGATTCCGCGAGAAGGTGCGGGTCCCCATGGGGGGCGTGGGGTCCCACACTTGGTTTGACCCCCTCCTCATCCGATGATTGACCCTGCCCACACCCCGTCCCGCTGGACCCACCTGGCCCCGTCCCCTCCCCTCCTCTCCCCAAGTCTCACGCATCACTGTGATAGTAACTAACTAAATATAGTAAATAAATTCATGGAACTTAGCTTCAATAGTTAGTTTCTTTCCACGTGGGGCAGCATAATCAACTGAAATATTATTTATATCTCCAATTAAATATAACAATAAAAAATGCAATGATATATTATTTATTCCATTCCAATTGAAAGGAAGGGATCGTGCAAATCTTGTGATGACTTGATGAACCATCAAGTCAACTGGTTGATCAAGATTCAGCATAGATATCATGCATCACCCTCGTTCTCTTGTTATGGTTGACTTTTTCGTGACATGAGTTGACTATCTGAAAAAAATTAGAACCTAATGATATACATTTAAGTTTGAAAAAAAGTTTTATAATGTTTTCAAATGAATTCAGAGAAAAGTAAAAAAAAAAATTGGGTCAACGCCTGCAGGTTTTTAAAACTCGAGCATTGCATGGAAGCTTGAGAAGGGGTTTGTGGAAGCGTCGTGTGTCCATGGTTTATCTGATAATTTCGTCAATATTTCCCATGGTGTAAATCTAATGAGAAAGCGAATCTAAAGGAAGGAACTCGAGGAATAATGCCTAGTGTTTGCTAATAACTCGAGACTTATCACACAAGAGTTTAGAGAGAGAGAGAGAGAGAGGAAGAGAGGGATAGATAGATAGAGAGAAAGAGAGAGAGAGGGAGAGAGAGGGAGAGAGAGAAGGAGAGAGGGATAGATAGATAGATAGATAGATAGATAGATAGATAGATAGAGAGAGAGAGAGAGAGAGAGAGGGATAGATAGATAGAGAGAGAGAGGGAGAGAGGGATAGATAGATAGAGAGAGAGAGGGAGAGAGGGATAGATACATAAATAGGTAGAGAGAGAGAGATGGATAGATAGATAGATAGACTGAGATAGGGAGAGGGAGAGAGAGAGAGAGAGAGGGAGGGAGATAGAGAGAGAGAGAGAGAGAGAGAGAGAGAGAGAGAGAGAGAGAGAGAGAGAGAGAGAGAGAGAGAGAGAGAGAGAGAGAGAGAGAGAGAGAGAGAGAGAGAGAGAGAGAGAGAGAGAGAGAGAGAGAGAGAGAGAGAGAGAGAGAGAGGGAGGGAGGAGATAGAGAGAGGGAGGGAGATAGATAGATAGAGAGAGAGAGAGAGAGAGGGGAGAGAGAGAGAGGGGAGAGAGAGAGAGAGGGAGAGAGAGGGCCATATTGGACTCTCTCTCTCTCTCTCCTCTCTCAAAAACTACGTCCAGTAAGGCAAGACGTAAGCCAGGTGGGCCTTCCCTTACGAGGGCAAGGCCCAGAAATCGGCCTCTCTCTCCAAAACTCCGCATATCCATGTCATAGAGTATCCAACACGTTAGTAAGTTGCTAAAGTCAACGGGGTCTTCTTGGGACTTCTAGATGATGACCAACGGTCATAACGATCTCCTACAAATAGGCCCAAACGGAGACTCCAACGGAACCAGCTGGGCGGCCTTTCTATGTAGAGCCAGAATGCAGCGCCAGCATGCCATTCGTGTACTGACTCCTTGTCTTCCTGTACCCCCTCTGCAGCAGCTCGAAGCTCCTTCTGGCGTCCTCAAACGCCGCAAATCTGCAGAATTTGCGCTTCGTCTCTGCAAACATGGCCTCCACGGGCCCGATCTGACCGCGGGTCAACGGGAGAAGCTCGTCGAATGCCTCCAGAAGATCGTCAAAGTCAAACCTCCCGGCTGGGCGCCGCTCCCTGGGGAGGAGGAGCCGCAGCCACCGGAGCCGGTGGAGGAAGAGGCCGTCCTTCCGGCTCACGGCGTCCTCCGTCTTCTCCAAAGCTTCTGAGAAGTCGGACTGCGCGTCGATGCAGGCGATCATGTTGCCGAAAATGGAGGCGAGGTTGAAGACGCTGCTGGGATTTCTTCCACCGCTTGAATGCAAAGAAGCAGAGAGGACCATGCAGGCCTTGCGGAAGATGGGATTCCGATCTCCAATCAGCCCGATTGCGACATGCAGCAGGTTGACCACCAGGGAGCTCAGTGTCATGGCGGCGGAGTCGACAGGGCGATGCTCTTCTTCTCTCTGGTTCTCACTCCAGCAGTGCAGAGCCACGTGTGCAAATCCTTCCCACCTGTGAATATCGATAGATGGACAGTCAACTAGAGAGAGAGAGAGAGAGAGAGAGAGAGAGAGAGAGACGGTTGACTTACTCGAATGGGGGCTCAACCTCGATCCCGAGGGTGAGGTGGAGGGAGAAGGTTGACATTCCGAGCTGAGATTCTGGGTCATTAGTAGCAGGTGTAAAAGCCTCATGAGGGCAGCCTCTGGGGATGTACAGGATGTCCCCTTGGCGAAGAAAAAATTCCATGGCTTCACCATGGCCGCCGCCAGATTCTGAGCAAAAGGAGCTACCCAGTGGCTCATAGAGTCGAGGCAGCAGAGGAGTTGACCGGGGGGAGACGACCCATCTCTTCATCCCCAGTAGTTGATAAACAAAGACACAGTGGTCGTCATAGTGTCGAGAGAGGCCCTGAGATCCGGGAGGCGTGAGGTATATATTGGCGCCCACCGACGGTTGACCAAAGAGAGCCGCCATGCCATCGCAAAGTTCGGCTATCCCCTTTGACCGGAACTCCAGTCCTCGCAGGGCCACGGTGTAGCCATCTTCCACTGCTTTCCGGCACTTCAGAACATGGTCGCCTGTCAACGCCGAGTCGTCAACGCTGGTCAAACCCGAAAGCTTACCGAAAAAATGCACTTCCCCTTTGCACCCTGAGTCCAGCTCCTGCGTTCTGACCACTCTTATGTCTTGCCCATACCGCAAGTCAACGCCCAGCGAACCCCGGGCCTCTTCCAGGAAGCTGAGGATGTCCAGTTCATCCGAGCTGACTGGCGGGCAGGAAACAGAGCCCCGTAGAATGGATTCCAGGGCGGCATCCATGGATCCAGAGCTGAAATCACAGCAATTGGAGATGGCATCGTCGTCCCCCGACCCGCTCCTCAGCAAAACAGGCGAGTTCTCCCAGTGGGCGAGGATGAAATTCTCAAAACCAGATTCTTCTCTGCCGAAAATGCAGGTTCTGAGCAGATCGGGTGGGCAACTGGTGAAGCCATCTTGGTTCATAGAAAGCCTGAAGATGGTCTCCGCCAGGTCTTGCCTGGAAGGAGACACACTTCCTCTCTGAACCCTCCTGCATCCGAGCCATAATTCTTTCGCGAGGAGAAGGAATTCTCTGGTAGCCTCGCCGGGAATGCTCTCCAGGAAGTCATTGTTGCAGGTGTTGATGAGAACCACGGCTGCTTCGAGGAACGACGATGGGAGTAGGCCGCCTTCCATGGTAGCTGCCATTTTGAAGTGGTAGCTGCCTCCGTCAGAAGCGGGCTTGTTTACGACCTGATGGAGCACAGATCTATCAGAAGTCAGTCGAGGGGCCCTGAGCAGAGTCGCCGTACCTCGGAATAACGAAGAACAGGTGATGCTGATGGAGGTTTCGGGATCAGAAGATTTACGGAGATCGCACAGCCAGAATGTCCCTCTCTGCCGGTTGAAGACATCACTCTCTGGACTAGCCGGCAGGGTAGATCGTAAAGAGAAGGGATCTGTGAAGAAACGTGGGCAAAAGGTAGCGGAGAATGTCGAGGAATCTATTGTTCTATCCGCAGATCTCGGAAGAAAAGCATAGCCTACGGACTCGTTCCACATTGTTCTATAAATATTTACATCTCCTAAGATTAGATGTTGCTCGAGTGGGGAGGCGGCAGAAAAAAAAATTAAACCGAGTAAAGACGAGATGAAGTACAGAGGCACTCACAACAATTTCTCGACAGCCAAGGATTTCCTCAACTGCTCTCTGGCAAGAGGCGCCGCCGATAGATCTAGAATCGCGTTGCAGGCTGCCGTCGCCACCGCCGTAGAGCGATTGCCCAAGGCCGCGACCAACGCTCTCACCGTTGCTCCATCCGAAACAATTTCCTCATTCGATTCTAAAGAGCAGAGCGCCATGGCTCCCACCATCTCCGCGGCCAGCACAGCAACATCGCGGCTCCTGCAAACAACCAAAACGAAGGTAGAAGCAATCATCCCACTGGCGATGAGAAGAGAGAGAAAGAGCGAGGAGGTGGAGGACATGGCGAAGATGAAAACAAACAAGGTTGGGGATTATATTACCTTTTCTGATTCAGAAGTAGAGGGAGAAGAGAGAGGAGGCCAGGTGGGAGAGCGCCACTCCTTCCTCCGGCTCTGACGAACGCGAGATGACTGCGCAGAAGACGGTCGACCATTCGCCGGCAGCAGGGGGGATCCAAATTGCAGCAGCAAGCCATCAGAATCGGGAAGAAGTAGGTATCATCGGGAGATGCGTCGGAGGCCGAACGCGGAGGGCTCTCTCTCCCCCTCTTCCTCTTCTTCGTCCTCTTCCTCCGGCTGCTGCTCCTGGTTCCTCCTTCCATGCCGCCGTCTGGGGAGGCTTCGGACCCGGAGAGACCGCCGTCAGTAGTGGCGTCCATCTCGATAAATGATGATCGTGGAATACTAATCGGGCCCAGAAGCCCAATTAGCTCGAGGTCGAATACCTGGCCAACTAACCAGTTTCCAAATAGAGGCCCATTAGTGTTTCACAAGTAGTGCTGCCAATGGCCCAATGGGCTCACGCCCATATAGTTATTTCACCTATTAGGCTCATATGGGCAGTAATGGGCCGGATATACCAAAATGCACAGGCCCACCCCATTTATACGCCCTAGTTATATAATATATAAATATATATATTATATCAATAATTTAATATATCTGAAATCACTGAGAGTGATGTAATGCCCATATTATCTTCAACAATTCAAATAGTCTGCACCGAGCTTGATATGCTCTGATCAAGCAAAAAGATCGGACGGTGGATGCGAGGCAAGAGCTGCTTGATTCAGAGATCACTGTCTCTCGAGTCCGCGCCCAGCAGCTTCGCCAGGGAGCCATTCTCATAAGCTTCAACAGTGTCTGAGTCATGCAGAGGCTTCTTGGGTCAGAAATCAGAGAGGAAAGAGAAATACAAAATAAAAAATTAAAAAATTAAAAAAATATATATTTTTATTTTTTATTTTTTTTGAATCAGAGGGATGGGAGTACCGTCGGAGCCACCGAGATGCTTTCCATTGATGAAGACCTGAGGGACCGTCCTTCTCCCCACGATTGTGCTCAGGGCGTGCTGTATGTCCCCTCCATCCTCTGAGAGCACGATTCAGCCTCATAATCAGCATCGTTCTAGTAAATAAATATGGCATTTTTTTTAATCCTTTTTTGGGGGAAAAAAGGGGATCCCTGATTGCTGCTCAGTAATCGTCATGCTCGCTCCTTTTAGTTTATAGTTATTCAATAGTTTGGATGTGAAAATAATACTAAAAATAAATCGAAGAATATTGATAAAATTCATCGAAGAATGAGAAAATAATACTAAAATGGGTTTTTTTTTCATGGAAAAAGCCAGTGACGATTGAAACCCATCGATTTATTAAAGACGGAGGCGAATCTCTCCAAGTTCCCTGCTGAACAGACATTAATTTGACATGGATGCCAAATAAATAATAACCTAAATAAGCAGTTGCATGGAAAAAACTATGATGAGCATACATGCATATAAAGATAGACCATATGCTGAGATATGGCGGAGTCGTCAGATGATCTGACCGAGTTCCCAGATGAACAGATAAATCAGCAAATATAAATAACCTAATTAAGCAAACAAGCATGCATATATATATATATATATATGTATATGCTTGCATATATATATATGTAAATGGCGGTGATCAAAGACCGACCATATGCTGAAAAAAGCCATTAATTCAACAGCTCATTCCAATGTGCTTGATCTATGAATAATATAAAAATCCTATTATCGATTAAACTATATTATTTCTAGCTGAATGGAATTTTTTTTCAAGCTCAGATTAATCCTCACATTCTATTTGTTTTCAACAACTGTTCTCTATGCTGCTTACCCATTGTTGGAGAGCAATTACATGGTGGGCCTTAATCACTGTTTGTCATATATGGCCAGTGGAATGAGAAAATAAGAGCAGAAAAGAATCGCACTGTATGAGGAACGTCAGAAGCGAACCTCTCTGGTCCAGCTCGACAACATAGGGAACCTTGCTCAGCTCCTTGAAAACAGCCTTCGCCCTTCTGCAGTATCTGAGCATTTACAAGAAAAAAAAAATCGTTCCTAAATTCATAATCAACGAGGATGAATCAAAGAAAATATGAACTAAGAGGAGAAAATAGGGACCAAACGATGAATATCATATGCATGCTTACCATCTTCACAAATGATGAAGAACTATCTAACGAATGATGAAGAACACGAGGAATTCGAATCAGGAAAGAACTGTGCTCCACCCTCGCTCCTCTAAGAAGCGGCTCATAAGGTTTTCCACCCACAAACTCCACAACGGATGCTAAATCACGTTCCAAGCAATGAAAGAGGAGATGAACGCTTGGGATCTTGCTCCCCTTCGACAATGCCCAATAGCACCATAGATCCCTAGAGATGGGATCTGGCTTGCACAGATTTTCGTTATCATCACGATAGGCCACCACGAGACCCAGACATTTCCCCCAAATTCATGCCGGCAACGGACTTGTGACGGGGAGCGATCACGGAACCCCCGGCCTTACGAAATGACAAGTTCTCAGGAGGGAAACAGATGGAAGAGGAGATCATACGGGCAGTAGGACTTGGAGAAGATCACGATCTCGTGAGACGACACGGTCTTCCTCACGAACTTCTCTTCGGGAGATGAAAACACCGGAGAGGCGGCAAGAGCGCACAGCGTCACCATGAGGCCCACCAACACGCTTCCGCGCCTGCCTAGAGCCATCGGATCGGCACTCCTCTCGTGGATAATAGATCTCGGCCTACGCACACCAGACCAAGAAGCAGGGAAACGTGAGGAGAAGGATCGTCAGAGATATGGCGGCCGGGAGAGGAATCGACTCACCTCTGAGAAAATTTCCCCGCGTTGGAGAGGGAGAATGCCGCCGGCCGAGCGAGTACCTTCAGGATAGGTTGGCGCCTTCTGGGAATGGCGGAGTTGACGAAGCTGACTACTCCTGCCGCGACGGTGCACATCCCTGGGATCTGCTATTCTCACTCCTGATATCTTTCCTTAAATCAAGATCGCCCCTCTGCTATTCTCACCCTTCTAATTTTTTGACCAATCAACACCTGGCGTTGACTGGTCAACACCTTCAAAGCGCGTCGCACGGAGCTATCAGAGAATTCCAGCCCCCGATGGGCCCAGCCGTAATGGGCCTCTTCGCATACTTTTCGTCCAGATATATAGATCTTATAGCTAGATAAATTATGGAGGGAGAGAGAGAGAGAGAGAGAGAGAGGAATATAATAAAAAGAATAATAGTGAGAAGAAAAAGTGGACTGTCAGATATTCTCTTTGACTTTGTGAAGGAGCCGGGACAGAAAGAGCCAGAAAGTTTCCGGTATCTTTTTCCAGGAATGCATTACCAAGGCCGAGACGACGTCAACGATGAACTGGTGAAGCTCAGCCCGCAGGGACACTCGGAGCAGCATGGCAGCCCACACCTCGGGCGCTGACCTGACCGCTATCCTCAGCGACAGCAACCCGTTGACCACCCTCTTGGTCACCGAATCTCCCTGCACAGGAGCACAAATATGCATGCATGCATAAATAAATAAATAAATAAATATTTATTTATAGAGCCAAAAAGGGGAAAAAAAATTCTAAGATTTCCAAAGTCTTCTAACAGTTGGGGGCTGTTGTCAACGAAGAGAATCCATTCTGGGAAATAAACGGACCTCAGAAAGAGATTTCTCCTCCCTCAGGAATGCGTCAACGGCCTCGATGATGTCCCGGACGAGGAAGATACGGACCCTCCGGCCCTTCTCAGAGAGGATGAAGAGGAGGAGGTCTTCGGTGGCAGAGACGACCGCCCGCATGTCAAAGGACCGCCAGCTTGGGGCATTCACTGGGTTGCCGCTCTCCTCGCCGGTCGTCTGAGAGGCTTCTTCAAAGATCGCCGTAATCTGTGCAGGAGAAATCTCTTCATGTCCCGGAAGAGCAACGGGTGGGAAAAAAAAAAGACGGCTTCTTTTTTTCCCTGGATTATTCAAGACAATTTCTACTAGCCTATATTTTATTTCCCCATCCAGGATACACAGAAAAGGAAAAAGTCAACTCTGCCAGAAACCATCCTAAGGAACCAATTTCTTTTCTTTAGGCTGAACTTCATGGATATACAGAAAAGGAAAAAGTCAACTCCGCCAGATACAATCCTAAAGAACCATTTTTTTTAATTTTTTTATTTAGGCGAGGGGAGGAGGGTTGAGAGAAGTAGGCGAAATGATTCCACAGAAATCATTAAAAAATCACTTAATTTAGGAAAATATGCCTTTTTTCAGGGAGAAGATGCCTGAGAGATGAGGTGAGCAGATGTCATACCAGGCGTTCGAGCCGATTCCACCGGGTGGAACCATCATTGCGTATGAGGAGCTCCCTCAGTATCTTCCGCATGTCAGGGCTCGGATCAGAGAGAAGCCTCCCGATGACAAATGGGTAGGCGCTCTCGACGACCTTGAAATCAGGGTCCAGAGCCTTGGCCGTCCCCTCCAATGATCCGAGAGCTCTCACGACCAATGCGTAGTCAGGGGGCAGGGAGAAGTTGAACTCATACATGACGTCATATAACTGGTTCATTATGCTCTGAAATAATCGCACAGCACACAGAAAATGTTAGGATATGTTCACCTCTCGATGCTTCCATGCTAGTCACGAGGAAAGTCAACGACAATTGGAAGAAGATGTCAAGAAAGAGACCCCATCTGTATACCAATCACAGACGTGTGAAAATAATCTAGAAATATGTATGAGAAAAAATACACGGAAACTGAGGTTGACCCAAGAAAAATCCGTGCCATTTTGACCAGTACCTTGACCGCAACAGAAGACTTTTTTTATGAAAGAATTATTATATTTAACTGTTTGTGATTTTATTTTCAACCCACATATTTTTTTCCCTCTTTTTTTTTTTCACCTGAGAAATCTGGAGAAGAATGAGGTCTCATGCATACACCCCAAGAAAAAAAAGAGAATAAGGGGACCGAATTAAACTACTATTTCAGGGAATCCAAAAAAAATCTCTGATCTGATGAACAGACTCGGAGACTCGGAGCTGAAAGAAGCTCCAAATGTCTGGGAAGGGATGATTATATAAACCTGGAAATCAGTCAACTGTCTGGTGCTGTCACCAAACGATGTTTGCAAGGCATCTGCAATAGTCTTCAGATCAGTGCCATCAGGAACGAACCCCAATGAGAGGAAGTCATTTGCCAAACCCCAGGGATCACGGTTGACAAAATGTACAAGCTGGAAGATAAATTCAGTCAGCAGAACGACAATGTCAACGCAATGCATGGATGAAATTATGCAGAAAAGAATTAAAAAATTTCAAGAGGAGAAAAATGAGTAAATGTCGCAGGGTATAATACTCTACGGATCTGGGAATTAGCATGGGAAAAAGAACTGGCAACGTTGACAAACAATTACATCAAAGGAAATGAAAAGATAAAAATTCATTTTCTAAGAAATTAAAAGGAACCATTATAATCCTAAAATAGAAATATTTATATACATTCCGAGCATGTAACATATTTAAATGATGTGATGACTATACCCCAATAATGACAATTGTGATTGATAAATAAAAGGTAACTGACGCTGAAACCACCAATTATATCGCATAATGACTCGAATTCTCAAAGATGTTCAAGAGAGATTGGATAAATTTCATGGCGAGAAAGACACTAACCATCTGGATAAGTCCTACACGATAGTGGCGTGGAATATCTCCCATCATACCAAAATCAAAATATGCAAGAGATCCATCAGTAGTAGCAACGAGATTTCCAGGATGAGGATCAGCATGGAAGAAACCCTCCTCCAGAAGTTGCCTTAGTGAGCAGTACATGCCCTATAAACCAAAAAGATTGACAGAAGGACTCAGATTATGCTACATTCTATACGCATATGTATCTATCTATATATATATATAGACAGACACTTCCATCATAAATCAAGGAGATACACAGCCCAGAATAATCATCAATAAGATATAAACAGAAAACAAGAAGACTATACACAAAAGTTTTGAGGTATGTCTATATTCAGTCACAAAGAAGTGGCATGATGTGATAAGCTTCGGCTAGGTCTGTCCGCTGTGGGACATTGGCAGTATCAGTGCCATAATGGAGAAGCCATGAGCATCATATGACTAGAAGATTAAGAATATGGAATGTTAACGGGTATAAGAATGCTTAACGCATTGTATGCTCCCACTTCGTGCAATTCTCCAAGATTAAAGCATGAGAAAAAAGTGTCTCAGAGCAGATGAACATTTTTTGAGCTTAAACTATATACAGTCGACCACTTTTCCACATGCCCTTGAACGAATTTTTTGCGCTAACAATCATACAGAGATATAAAATCTAAAATGAACTGTATCCACCAATACCGACGCCAAGGATGTCTGACTTGGGTAGATTGAGACTCGGAAAACTAAAAAAGTGAGTTGGATTACACTGAGTTTATTGGAACTAATAATAACTTGAACCCAATTCAGCACTGAATTATTTAAATCTATGTTCATAACTTGCTTAGAGGGGCAAAATCTCCATGGAAAGTAATGCAACTTGCTTGAGACTAATGCATATTATGTACAGATGAGTTGGTATGACTGGACCAAATTTAAATGTAACATAACATGAGAAATTTAAACCGACAATTTATTGGCAAAATAAGAATCATCCGAAATACTTATCTACAGAAGCGCTCATGAAGATTAATATTTCTCATCAGATGACCTACTTCTGGGGAAACCTTTCTATTTCTTTCCTTAATAGTGACTCCCACCATGAAGGTGAAAATCAACATCCACCAAATGAAGAAAGCCAGCGCAGATATCAACATTAACAGGAAGCACTGAGAAAGACCTGATCAATTAAATCTTTCTTGTTTAGAGAAGCTTCATTAATGCGGTGGCTATCTGTGAGCTTGATCCCATCGATCCATTCCATAGTAAGGACTGCTTTGCGAGTAAATTCCCAATATATCTTGGGTACCTTGATTGTAGTGCCTCTTCTGTGACCATTCTCACCATTGCCTACCCAAAATTAAACAGTAGTAACAACTGATCCAATGCTTTCAAGATCGCGATACAAAAAAAATTATGCCATGAATAACAATTCAGAAAATAGAAAATAGAAATAATTGGGGTTTCCATGAATTGTACTGTTAGAGCAGAAAAGGGCGTTTACTGAAGTACTGTGAAAGAAGACTGGAGGGCTTGAAAGGAGATTGAATATGTTGCATAGTTTTAACAACAAAAATTATTGTCATTGGCGTTATGCGGAATGCTATCTGACATTCCAAGATTTCGGTTACAAGGACTACAACTCTTACCGCCTCACAAAATTTCTAGCTCTTGTGATAGTAGCATCAAAATCTGATGCCCTGAGGTTAGGTCATCATGGGCACAGAGGGATGACAAAAGACTAGCATTTCCAGAAGAATAACAGTAGCGTATAATAAGAATTATCTCTAAAACTAAATCAGGACCTATAGGACAGCGATGATTCTCATGGCAGAGAAACAACATGTCAAGGGGACAGCTAGTAAGATGCGGTGGAGTTGCAGGTGTCTGTATCCTTGTACCAAAAGGCTAAATGTGACTGCTGGTATTACAGAGATGTCAAGAGAATAACCAAGACAGTTAAAACTATTAGGTGATTGACAACATCAAAACTTCCCTAGCACCTTATCGTTCATATGAAGAACAGAGAACCTTGGGTTCGTAAAAAAAGTAAAACCCAGAGGAAAAAGTTAAGCTAACAATAGTCAAGAAAATAGACTGGCATCATTTTACCAGGGAGCACAGGAACCAAACTAGATGGAAGCTGCTGCATGTTAAAACAACACTCAGAACTAAGTTTTTAAACCTTTCTAATGCTGCTAAGGCTCTATATTATAAAATAATTTTGTAAAAGTACATTTGAACATATATCTATATATATTATATAGCTCTCACCGGAAAATGATGACAGGAAAATGTTTAAAAAGTACATGGAGGACATCAGGGCTTACTCTAAGGTTTTTCACAAAGAAGAGAGAAATATAACGGGACAACTATTTTTGATGTTTGGTCAGGAACAACATTTGCAAAAAAAGAGAAGAAAAACTAGTTTCCAAGAGTGTTACTTGCAAACAGAGAAGAAAAGCGCTCAGCATTTTGTGCCTCCAGTATGTAATCAATTTCTTCAAACATATGCCTAACCTGTAAGTTTTTAAAGGTTATACTATGCCAAAGCATGTGCAGCGCGCAAAATATCTTATCTGATTGAAATATTGTAACACATGTCATTCAGGAAAATAAAGAAAATAACTAATGAATGCACGCTTACTATATCCCTCATATAAGCAAAAACATTGGCACGGCCTCTACATTGGTGATCTCATGATAATACCTACAATGAACTTGCGGATGGGAAACTATGACGAGTACCAAATTTAACAGTTCAAGAATTTATTCATCAGATGTAACTACAAACTACAGGCAACTACCATTTATTGTGCATGCCCATGTTGCACCTTCTCCACCGCTTAGGCACATAAACCAAAGACCATTCTTTCTTCGGCCATTCATAACTGTGTCTCAAAAATAAGATACATCTAAAGAAAATCAAGATATACAAGTTATCATTGTCTTAACATAAAAATAAAACATGGAAATCGGAATGTGAATACTGTTGGTTCTGGCTCATACGGAGAATCATTATGACAATCTTCAACAACACGACTACTTAAGTCACGAGAAAGGCATGACAACCTCACCATCTCATTTACTGCTACCAATAAATCTTTCTGAGCTTTAGCAAATCGCTTCAGTTGCCCACCAATCATATCAAACAGTAGTGCATCCAGAGTCAGCAAGAGTGGCATTCCAGGTCTCTGTACCTTGACAGCTACAGTCTCCCCGGAATGCAAATGAGCTGCGTGACTTGGAAGAACACGGGATAACAATTATGAATCAGTTGCACACTCTTTACATAAATTTTAATACCAAAGACTCCTTTAACAAATATTAACCCAATTAAAATAAAGATTAAGAAATATTTTCTAACACGTGGAAAACAGCATACTTTTATGACTGACTGTGCAACATGGTAAGGTTAAGAGAATGAGTGAAACGAAGGAGAGAGACCAGAATGGAAAGAGGAGAAAAAGCAAAGAAGAATATGCAGCCTCTTCGTTTCGGGAAAAGTATGGTTTCCATGAACTTCTGGGAAGGGGAAAAGGCATCCTTCTGATGGTTAAATTTTCAAGGGGGTGAAAAAATTCCAAGTATAATATTTATTTCTCGCTCTTAAAAAAAAGGATCAAAACATAGACATAAAAATCGTAGCTAGTTTAGAGAGGAAAAATATAATACAAAGAAAATTTATAAATAAATAATCATGGCATGAAATAAATTCACACAAAAGTTATCCATTTACTAACAACAGTAAATTAGCTAACCTTTATAAACCTGCCCCAGGGATGCAGATGCCACAGGATTCAGACTAATGTCAGCAAATACTTTTTTGATTGGAGCACCCAATTGAGACTCCATCAGCTTAATGGCAACATGCGTCGGGAAGGGTGGTATTTGGTCCTACACGAGAGAGAAGTCCAGAGGAAAAAGTAAGATTCACCTAAAATGTAAGTTTAAAGCATATCAACATCGTATTTCTACAGAAAATCAATACATTACCATAAAAACAGGACTAGATGCCAATTTATGAAACTGCTCTTGTACTATTTTTTTTTAAACCAGAGGCTCTTTTTCATCTATTCTGACTTGTTTTATCAAGGTTGCAGACTGATATTGTTGCCGAATCGTAGGGATCGAAGGACGGAATAACTCTCAATACATTGCTCTCCTCTTTATCCATCCGGCTGGGAAAAAGGCAAACCATGTATTCGCCATGCAACTTCTGTCATTTTCAAAAGGAAGATGCCTGATTCACAATAGAAAATAGTTCTCCTATCCTTCATTTACGTCTTTGCCGATATGGTGAGTTAACTCCTGGCAGTATCAACAGAAGGCTTTATAGAAGTGGATCACATAAAATTTTGAGTCACCCGATGTTTATCCTCATTTAAACTATCAAAAACGGGGGAACTTGCATGACCTTCTATAAACCACTAGGTTTGTCTCTAAAAAGACGCATAAGTGCCCTAGCATGGTGAAAGGACTCGTTCCCTAAAAAGTACTTATGATATGCGCCTAGGTGCTATATTTGCATTCAGAATTGACAGAATTTGACAGCATTTTTACTGTGGCCCTTCGGGGCTGTGAGTGACGAAATAGAGTGACAGCATTCCATCGGGCATTACAGATATCCCTGACACGATGTCACATATACTCTATAATATTCGATCTAACTAATTATAAAGCATTGTAATGACAAAACGTTGACAGTACATCTCAAGTAAATGAATCTCATTTGTAGCTGAGCATCATACATGATCGAAATACACGATAATGATTTTGAGGCGAACATCTGCTAATGTAGCATGTTCTTCTATAATCCTATTGCAAAACTTTAGGCATAGATTAGAATCGAGTCTGGAAAGAATCAAGAGGAAAAAAAGAAATTAACCTTACTCCAGTTAGTTCAAGAACTCATCTATACATGTTCATCTCCATTTATGCCCTCAACCTCTTAATTCCCCCTCTCCTCTCTTCGTGCCTCAATAAGACTTGCCAACATCAAACATCCGGATTTTAAATTTGTCAACTGAGTTGTTAAGATTATCCCACCCTCAGTTGCCTAATCTATTTTTATTTTTTCTAATTTCGTTTTCAAGATTTCTAATCCAATTCTGTTCCTCTTCATATGAAAACCTAGTTCCACTAAAAAGCCTTCATGGAATCGCAAACAAAAAATCAATCCAACTTTCATTTTTTTTAGATATTAATTTCTCAACATATGATTCTCCAATAGGGGAAAAAAAGGATCGTTCATTAAGATCAATAAATATTCACAGCATGCCATGAATAAATGTGCTTCAGATGTAACCAATAGATTGACCAAAAAAAGGAAATCATTTGGTTATATTTTCTATAACAACTTAAACTATTGATATATAAATATATATAAATATATATAAATATATAAGTAAAAACTTAATCATAAAATTGCAATATGGATACTCTCGAGATAGTTATGTACAAAAATTAAATGCGCAAGATCCATATATGAAAGAGCCAACACAAATAAGGAAAAAAACCTGCAACTTAGAGAGCTCCTGACAGTATGCTTTGGGTAATATATCTGGTCGAGTACTCAAAGCCTGCCCAAGCTGTGAATAAATAGAAGGAAACATTATAAATTTGCGGAAATTGAAGAAGTTGTACCAGATTGAACTAGTTCTAACGATACATGATATCTAGAAACAAAAGAAAAGTTCTAACGATAAAAATAATGACAGGCCCATCCACATCAGCAAGTCTATGAACATTAAACAAAATTATGATTCTACAGTGGGGCCAGAATTTTCCATATTACACTCAAGTTTCTAAAGTTTTCCATGGTGAGTATCCACAAACCAATGCTTCCATGAAAGCCTCTGATATGATGAGGATTACTTCTTTTATGATGACTTAACTTAAAAGGAATCTCCTCAAGAAAAATATCATATTTCCCATGAAAGCAAACCATCGAGAGGCAATTCATTTCCCCTCTAAATGTTCCCACTGTGGAATTCAAATGGTTTTTCTCTTTTGAAATGTTGTTTAAATAAGCTAGTCATTATTATCCAGACTAAACATCAGAAATGTTCTATCAACATTGGAAATTCTTAAGGCATAATGAAACCGCATTCATCATATGAGATGAATTGAGGTTCTTGATTAAGTGTCAAGAAGGTGCTATCATCACCAGGAACTTTAAGATCTTCCTAGTGAGATTATCATTTTTACCATCTATTGTCCTAAATAGAAATAGTCATATTTAATCCGGGATAATATTAATGAAGGACATAACACGTAAAAGGAAGAACCAAAAGAAAGTAGGTGGCATTCTCAGAGAAATGCTTTTGCAAGCACCTGATGAGACTCAGAATCAGGGTCATCATTGCTAACATGTCATGTTTTCTATGAAAGAAACTATAATCCCAATGAATAGAAACACAGGTCGATTGGTGGATACCACAGATGGGGGGGAAATTAGAGTGGCAAAGAGTGGCTAGTAACAAACAGAGGCAGAAAAAAACTACCTGATGGTGCAAAGACTAAGCGACCAACCCAGCAGCACAGTTCAACAAAACTCGATTCATCTAGAAAAATGTTAAATAGGATAAAAACAAAGGCAAAATTAAATGAATTTCTTAATTTACCCTGATCACTAGAATCAGATCAAAATTGTTCCTGATCTCTATTCTTTTTGAGGCATTAATAACTAGGCAAAATGCCATGCAACTCTCGTAATTTTAACATAAATCTTCTGTTATCCTCCTCCCACGCCCCCTCAGGAAATTGGGAGACACACTACACTGCTACCACTCAAGCTCAGAGAGGAAGGTACAAAGATCATTCATCTATTAAAAATAAATATCCACAGGTGCCTGGTCTAAATTTAGAGAGTGCCAAGAATGGCCTGTCCGACATTTTTTTTTCCTTCACAAAGAAAAATACTAGTGCCGTAGAACTTTCTGGGAGAGAAATCTAAATGGAAGTGGATAAAAAGGTCCACTTGATGAAATTTGAAAAGGCAAACAAAACCATAATGAATATTATTCTTGAAAAAAGTAAAAGCAGCTGGCAGTGAATTCCAAAGCAGATAATGATGTGTATAGTAGAGTTTCAGTGCGTGTACCTTGATATAAAAAGGCCCCAAGCGAACCAGAGTTTCCCGAAACTGAAAAACAGGAAAAAACTCATAAAAGAAATATAACGCAAAGAAACTTACAAGAACACGACATGAGAAAATGAAAACCATAGAATTATCGAAACATCCACACCCGTGTCGGGCATTTGCCAGTCCTTGACACTCGAACACATTTGCATCTCCGATAATAACAAACGTCATGAAGGGAACGGGATGATAGACACATCGTAAAAGTTATTACCTTCACTGCACGTTTGTGAATGTCCTGAAGAAAGAAATGCCATATGGTCAACTTTCCCACCTGAAAAGAAATTATTGCAGCTCTGTACAAGGCCAAGAATGGACCAAAGCGGTAGTAAGCAAATAAGGTTTTTGAGCTGTAAGTTCCAAGTGTGGCTCCAAATTCAGTCTCTAGCGACTCCTTCCTAAGTTTTGCATACTCTGCTGACGGTCCTTCACCATGAACGCTTGTGAAGCCAGTAGAGTAACTGCATAAATCGCATACAGAAAAATCTGGGAAGTCATAAAGAAGAAATAAGAGGTGCACTCAACTCAAAAGAGAGTTGTGCATCAGTGTCACCGGGAAAAAGAACAATGCAACCAGTAATGCAATTGATTGTGCTTTATTGACTAGTTCCAGAGAAAAAGTAGAAATGATGGGTGATATTTGGGTTAGTTTCCTCATTAACAATATGAATAATAGCATCTAGTGACGAGAAGCAGTTTTTCTGTTTTTTTTTTTTGTTTCAAACTTTTCCAAAACTCTGCTCGATTGTTTCGTTTCATCATGTAACTATTCAAATACAAAAATTGGTTCATGCTCCTCACCACTTTGTGGAAGTTATAAGCCTGACCTCTCAAAGTTCAAAAATCTGGAAAAAGGGCAAAAAATAGACATCCTCAAATTGAGTCACCAATGCACCTCAAACTGCCCACCTACGCAGTATGGTGCATGGCCATCTTGTGTGCAAGGGGATATTTACAACTTTGTGCGTTAATTACAGAAACTGAAAAAAAATCATACAAAGATAGAGCAAGTAACGAGGAAAAACATAGATAAAAAAAGATCGAGCAGCAGAAAGAACTAAGTTCGAAACGTTGGCACATAAGATATGTGGGTAGAGAAGATTAAAAATCTGAATTCAAATGCACAAAAATCACAAATCAGCACTAGAAAATGAGCCAAGAGAACTCAATACTTAAGTGAGTGGGAGAAGAAATATAGATTAAGAAGTGCAGTGATAATAGTGCAGTTCTTAATTACTCCAATGTCAATTTTAAGAATTAAAAGATAACAATGCCTATCCTTATCGTAAGGATCAATTAGATTTATTAAGTGCAGTGGTAATTTAAGTAGGACGATAAAAATCCTCTCATCAGGAGGAAGATCGATTATGTCTCACTTAGACATACCAAATCAACCAATTTTCTAGCTTTCTACGAACTTCTCTATCTTCCAGATACCATGGTTGGCAAGAAATATAGTTAAGGCGATGAGAAGCAACTCTAAGGGAAGAGATCAAGAAGTTCGGGTTTTTTTTAGAAAATATATCAATATTGTTAGCTGTTCATTTGGTGCCAAGATTATTGGTCATGCAATAATTTTTTAATACAGAGAACATGATGCATTTCGACCCCGTCGTACACAGTCATAGACAATCAACTGGCAAAGACTCAGTTTGAAAAAATGGACGAGAGAACATGTGAAATTACTGCATTTTCGGGTCATAGATACACCACCATTAAGGAATTAACAATGGAAATTAGGGAGGGAGAATAAGTATCCCATCAGACAAGGACAACAACTTCTCCCCAGGCACAGAATGGGAGATGGAACCAACTTGCTAGACTGATCTTCTCCGATTCGGAAGGCTAGACTAGCTTAGATAGACGCTTTATTGCTTAACAGCGGAAAGGATTCTTAGTGACCAAAAAATTCTTTTTTCGGAAGATATGTGGAATAGATCGTTTCCTCCTGCCAAAAGAAAAGATTTTTACAGTACATAGGAGTGTTTGTCCCAAGTAATGAAAGGTAACAACACTAGGGGCAGGTAACGGAAGGAGATCTAAAGATAAGGAATAAGTGATTTCGAGAAACACATTTCATTGCTAGAACTACCTATCATCAATTTTAACACGGGCAACACAGTTGGAGGTGGAAACCAAATTCTTGCACGGAGAAAAGGAGCATAGTTCCATTCTGCCATCTTTGTACAGTGCAGGGCCGTAAATCTGGATGAGAGATGTGATTTACTGTGCAATATTTTGCATGCTCTTAAATGAAAATGTACCTACGCCCACCATAACTCTCTCCTACCCATCCCAGAGAAAAAAGCGATATCTAGTATAATAAAGCATGAAAAAAAGAAGGAAAGCACCTCAGAGATATCATTGACATACCGTTGCTGCAAAAATCGATCTTTTGAGATCAGTCTAATTTTTTCGTAACTTCTAGTTTCAATATTTCTTTGCCCTCCAACACTTTGAGTATCTTGTAAAGCTGCACAATTATGAAATTGAGTAATAAGGGAAGTGATTGATTGATCATTTTTATTTTTCTTTACACAAAAATCATATGCTTCTCATGTAGATAGATACCGGGAACTCTCCAAACAGTAATCAGAATCAAACCAGAAAAATCCAAGAGTAATAATTCAAACTCGCCAGAAAATCGGAAAAAGAAATGACTCTCAATTGCATCAATTTAAATACGAGTTGTCAGACTAGATTTAAATTTTCGAGAATAAGACAACAAGAGAATGCAGAAATCGAGATAAGCAAAACGCGCACAAGCACGCAAATCCCATACCGTGTCTCACATGAACTAAGAATATATATGCGAGAGCAACGATTCACTCACTGAAGCAATGCACTAAGAATATATATCAATTCATAATCAAAGACCGAAGCAACGACACTGGGAAATAGCTACTAAAACGGAGAATAAAAAAATACACAGACTTGCTCCCGATCGTTCCCAGAAAGATTACGATGTCATCATCTAGCTGATAATTACTTCTATAGGTGCGAGGTAGCGAGCAGGAGGGAGACGAGGAACGCCTTGACGCATCGAGGAGGAACCTCGGCAACGCATTCCTCATGGACCACGCCTCTCTCTCGCGATGGATAGAATCATCTGTTGCCTCTTCAATCACGTCCCCAAAAGACTAAACCTCCCGTTCGATGACGCCGCATCATGCAATGTCCGCTGAATCATGTTCTCCGAGGGGTGGTTTGTCCTCCTCCCAACCGGTCGATGTGGTAGGGCCTCACGGCAGAACCCCCCGCAGAGGCGGACCCTCCGAACAAGCTAGGTAACACCAAGCACCAGAGGCTTCTAGTGATAGAGAAAAGAGCGGGGAATCGCGTGAGAGAGAGAGAGAGAGGGCGGTACCGCAGGGTGGATGGGCACGTCAGCTGCGTCCCCCCGAGCAACGGACACAACGCCGCTGCCTATTGAGGCAGGCAGCGTTCCTACGAGGGACTAAATTGTAATTTATCAGGGTAATCTTGAAGAGTACTTGCACAATTAAAACTTTTCACCGTTAAACAAATAGTATACCAAACAGAGTGGAGTGCAAACCAGGTGGAGGATGGGGGCTTGTAACATAATTATTTAATAAAAGAGATTTAAATGAAAATGATTATTTATTTTGGGTATATGTAAGTATTTGGGTGATTTCGGACTCTACCATCCTTCGCCGAAACCCTTCTCCAATGGGAGCGGGACGCGGAGCGATCGATCCTCAGTGCTTCTGCTTTGCTATCTCGTCTCTCTGTGGGTAGAGGAGCCGGTGAATTTCACGAGGAGAAGCCATCCATTTGTAGTTGCTACGATCTACTGTGTGAGATGTCGGGCAGTCAGGAGCAGCAGCCGGCGACGGCTCGGCCTTCGCTGCTGGATGTCGTTCCTATTCTGGTCGTCGTCCTCATCGCCGCTCACGTCCTCGCATTGGTAATCTTGCTCCCTCGCATCCGGAAATTCTCCTTCATGTTCGAGTGTTGGAGGCGATCATGTTCTCGCAGGTTGGAAGGTGTCTTCTGATCGGAATGTCTTTACTTCTCCCTTTCGGATCGTAGGTTTACTGGATCTACAGGCTGGCTACCGACAATCAAGCTCAGAAGGTTATTGACAAGCAGCCTCAGCGCAGGAAGGCTCACTAGCTAATCACGCGAGCTGCCTCATGGTTCTCCCCTGCGTCTCTTATCCTTCAACTTGCTTCTCGGCGTCGGCTTTTGACGTTGCTGAATCCGTCTTCAACTCGATCAATACCAGTAAATTTGTATTTTCTCGTTGTTTGCTTTGGTTGGAGAGCGGAGTGAGAAGGGGAACAGAAAGTTTGTCGACGCAGGTCTCGGAATGGGCGTGATTACCACTTTGTGCCAAGATTTATGGAAGATTCTCCGCTATTTCATGGTGTTTGTGCTTTAGATTTGTACACAAGATATTCCCAGAGTCATCACAAAATGTCGTCATTGGGCTTTGGCTAGAGAAATCAACGTATATTAGCATCTGATGCTTGATAACAAGAGCCTTTGAAGGAGCGATGGTTGTGGGAAGCCGACAGAAAAACCGATCTGACGGATGATTGTTGTGGCCTGTTTCAGAAAATAGGAATGGGACCGTCGAGATTCAAGAAGACATCTCAATCAATATCAAGGAGGACCGTAACTATATTGGAAATGTCATGCCTTACACCTTTCGACAGTTCTAGCAGACAATCTTAGCTGTGTCTCTTCTTCCTTTTTTCTGAACGACTCACCACCCATTACTATGATTTTGGTGGGCATTCATACGGCTCTCTAGGAAGCTCTCTCTCTCTCTCCTTCTCTCTTTCTCTCTCCTCCATACTGTGACACTTTCCATTTTTAAAAGTCTAGGCAGATGATTAATGGGTCTGATCGTCACCAACTGGTAGGAAGCTCCTTCTCCAGAAGACGAAGCCTGGCGTCACTGCTCGTAAAATCCCGCAGAACTAGCTTTCCATCTCCAGGTTCAATTCCTCGACCAGTCATCTCATTCTTTTCCCCCTGTCTCGATCCCTCGCCGCCTTCTGCTTCCGTTTCCCCAATCCTCCGCCTTCTCCCTCCCGTCCCCTCCTTAGTTCACAGACATTACATTAGGAGCCTCTCCACCTCTGCTACCAATAATTTTCATGACTGCGGAGACCTCTCTGGCCTTCGTCAATGCCCGACATGGAATATAGTCCTGAAAAACCTCGCCAATTCTGGCCTGTATGAGAGGGTTCTTTCCATCTTCTACCTCATGAGGCAGTCCGGGGTTCAGCCGGACCATCACACCTTCCCTGCGATAAACAGGGCCGTGGCTTCTCTCCCCGGCCATATCCATTTCGGAGAGGCAGTCCATTCTCTGTGTGTGAAGATGGGTCTTGGTCTGGACCTCTACTTCTGCAACACCATGATCGAGGTGTACGCCAGACAAGGTCGAATAGGCGCTGCTCGCCTTCTGTTTGATGAAATGCCCGTGAGGGACGTCGTCTCCTGGACATCCCTGATCTCTGGGCTCTCCCGATCAGGTAAGGCCTTCGATTCTCTCATCCTGTTTCAGGAGATGCTGATGGCCGGGTTTCGGCCCAACTCGGTGACGATGCTGGTTCTTCTGCGAGCATGCTCAGTGGCGGACCACATTCTTCTGGTGAAGCAGCTACATGGTTTTTCCATCAAGGGAGGTCTCTTCAACACCGAGTCAGTGCAGAACTCGGTAATGGCGGCATTGGGGAGGATTGGCCTTCTGGAAGAGGTGGAGCTAGTCTTCAACACAGTCGGCGAGAGGAGCCTTCTCGCCTGGAATACAATGATTTCTGGGTATTCTTCCGCAGGAGATGCACCCAAGGTCGCAGAAGCCTTCAACAAGATGAGGACCGAGCTGGTTCCTTCCCCAGAAACCTTCACTCTGGTCGTCTCTGCCTGCACAAAGAACAGGGAGATGCTCCTGGGGGAGGCGATCCATGGCTATGCCCTGAAACTTGCCCCCATTGATGACATCCTACAAGCTTGCCTCCTCGATCTTTACATCAAGTGCGGAGAATCTGTAGCTGCTGTGCGTTTATTTGAAGAGGCCAGAGAGAAGAACTTCGACCTCTGGAGCACCATGATCTCCGGGCTAGTACACAACGGGCGTTCCAACGAGGCGGCGGACTTGTTCCGGGAAATGCAGATCTGCGGCGCTGAGCTCGGCGCCGACATTCTGGGGAGCATCCTCCATGTCTGTTCTAACGTGGGTTCTTTGCGATCCGGCAGGGAAGTGCATGGATTCCTAATGAGAAACAGCTGGTGCGGCGCTGCTGATCAAACGATCTTGGAGACCTCGATTCTATCCATGTACGCAAGATGCGGAAGCCTCAACCTTGCAGAGAGGTGCTTCGATCAAATCCTTGTCAAGGATCTGGTGGCGTGGAGCTCCATGATTGAGGGATACGCAGTCCATGGACTTGGCCACCTCGCTCTGAATCTCTTCCACCGGATGATCAGCGAGGGAGGAGTTCGGCCAAACGGCATCACCTTCCTCAGTGTTCTATCTGCCTGCAGCCACGCGGGCTTGGTCGCTGACGGATGCCAGGTCTTCCTCTCCATGGCCGGAGAATTTGGTGTCGAGCCCGAGCTGGCTCACTACACCTGCGTGGTTGATCTTCTCGGCAGGGCCGGCAGGCTTCAGGAGGCTCTCGGCGTGATCAGAGGCATGAAGGTACCAGTGGGCGATGGCCGGATTTGGGGGTCCCTTCTGTCTTCCTGCAGAACGCACCGTGCTGCCAATCTCGCTGCCTATGCTGCGCAAAAGGTTCTCGAGTTCGAACCAGATAATGCCGGGTACGAGGTGGCGCTCTGCAACATCTATGCCGCAGCCGGCAGGTGGGGTGAGGCGGCGGAGGCGAGGAAGGCCTCGGTGAAGGAACCCGGGTGGAGCTCCGTTGAGGTCGGCAGCCGGCAGCGGAGATTCGTCGCCGGAATCGCTGCTTTGGAATGAAGGATGAGAGCAGCACCTAATGTTATTATTCTGAATCGTAAACGTTTGATTCATCGTAGCTTGGTACATAAAATGGGCTCGGTATCTTCTTCTTCTTCTTCTTCTTGACGAAGAAGGATTGTAGCTAAGAGGCTGCAGAGCAGGGAGATTGCTGGGCCTCCTCGAGGAGGAGGGCTTCCATGGCGGAGCTTCCATCGGCGGTCAACGCTGAATTGTCCTTGGCCTTCGCCCAGAGGAGAAGGTACATCCCCGCCACCACCATCGCCGTGCCCACCAGGCTGCCGGCGACGGAGAAGATGAGGAGATGGCGGCGCAAAAGAGAGGAGAGCAGCTTCTGCAGAAATGTTTGATTAACTAACCTCCAGCGGCGGACGGTGGCGCCGAAGAAGACCATCTCCAAGACCAGGGAGAAGACAACCAACAGCGGGGAGAAGGATCCGACGAATACTGGACCCGCCTTGCGGATGCACCACGTGTACACGTAGTAGAAAATCCCCGTCACAAAAATTCCCTGCAGAGAAGAGAAGCAGTTATGTTACCAACCGGTATTCCCGTTGGGTTGACTTGTAGCTGGGTCAACTACTACCCCGTAGAGCACGCCGAGGAGCTGGTAGCTGCCCCTCCAGTTGAGCCGCCATGCCGATGGGCTTCTCTCCGTGACGGCGGCGTAGGCGGCGATCTGGAGCGTTCCAAAGACGGTCATCATCGCCGACAGGGTCATGTCCGCCGAGTACTCCTTAGCTACCACTTCCTGCAATCAGACGAAACATCAACGGATCCCGTAGTAAACGGTAGAGGCTCCACTCGTGCCACGTCGTGCTGAACGTACCAGGAGGAGGCTGAAGAGGGCCATGGCGAGGACCGCCGCCGCCGTCATCAAGGAGCCGACGACCCATCCGCCGGCGCAGGCCGGCGACGACGCGGCGGCGCCGCCAACGGCGGCGGCGGTGGTGCCCTTGGAGAGAACCACCACGGTGGCGCCGGAGACGGAGAGGAGGGTCCCCCAAAGCTTGGCCTGGCCGGAGGCGTGGCAGATCGAGAAGCTCTCCCTCCCGGAAGCCACCGCGAGGAGGAAGATGACGGCGGGGAGTGTGCTGCTCAGGGAGGACTGGAAGGACGCCGTTATGCAGCGGAGGCTAGCCGTCAGCAACAGCTGGCCTAACGTAATCCTGGAGAAGACGAAGACGGCGCCTAGTAAGCAGATCTGAGCTAGAGAGAGAGAGAGAGAGAGAGAGAGGTGTGTACCTACTCAAGAAAGCCGAGGAGGAAGGCCCAGCAAACGAATCGGATGGAGAAGGAGGGCTTCTTCAGTCTGCAAGATCGTAAGAACAAGGGTCAGAAGAGGTCACGCTGGAGGGGATTCCCCATTTTTTGAGGGGGTTCTTCTCACTTGTCAAGGAAGTAGGCGAGGGAAGTGAGGAGCAGGGAGGCGACGGTCTGCTCGTAGACGACGAAGACGGTGGAATTGACCCCCTCCGAGGTCAGCATGGAATGCACAATCACCAGGAACACGGCCAGCTCGAGCTCGGACAGCACCATTAGGATCCCCGCCTTCCAGATCCCCTCCGCTCCCGACCTCTTCTTCTCTCCTTCTGCTGCCATTGTGTTCTGCCACCGACGGACAACTCTCTCTCTCTCTCTCTCTCTCTCTCCTCCAGATATCACTCCATTTCTCTCTCGGCAGGAGGAGATATTATTATGTGAAAGAGCGAGCAAGGAAGTTAAATTAAGAAATTTAATATTGGTTTAACTATAGCTTAGTTTTTGATTAATTTATTGAGCTGCTCCTAACCGACCACGTGGACCATTAGAGGAGTCGGGCAGTCAGGAGCAGCAGCCGGCGACGGCTCGGCCTTCGCTGCTGGATGTCGTTCCTATTCTGGTCGTCGTCCTCATCGCCGCTCACGTCCTCGCATTGGTAATCTTGCTCCCTCGCATCCGGAAATTCTCCTTCATGTTCGAGTGTTGGAGGCGATCATGTTCTCGCAGGTTGGAAGGTGTCTTCTGATCGGAATGTCTTTACTCCTCCCTTTCGGATCGTAGGTTTACTGGATCTACAGGCTGGCTACCGACAATCAAGCTCAGAAGGTTATTGACAAGCAGCCTCAGCGCAGGAAGGCTCACTAGCTAATCACGCGAGCTGCCTCATGGTTCTCCCCTGCGTCTCTTATCCTTCAACTTGCTTCTCGGCGTCGGCTTTTGACGTTGCTGAATCCGTCTTCAACTCGATCAATACCAGTAAATTTGTATTTTCTCGTTGTTTGCTTTGGTTGGAGAGCGGAGTGAGAAGGGGAACAGAAAGTTTGTCGACGCAGGTCTCGGAATGGGCGTGATTACCACTTTGTGCCAAGATTTATGGAAGATTCTCCGCTATTTCATGGTGTTTGTGCATTAGATTTGTACACAAGATATTCCCAGAGTCATCACAAAATGCCGTCGTTGGGCTTTGGCTAGAAAAACCAACGTCTATTAGCATCTGATGCTTGATAACAAGAGCCTTTGATGGAGCCATGGCTGTGGGAAGCCGACAGAAAAAACCAATCTGACGGGTGATTGTTGTGGCCTGTTTCAGAAAATAGGAATGAGAACGTGGAGATTCAAGAAGAAATCTGATGGAGATGCCGGAAGGGGTGGGACGTTACCCGTTTGCGGACGATAGCCGCTGCAGCGAGAGGGAGAGAGAGAATGCTGGGTTGGCTGGTGTCGTCATTAGGATGTCACGAACTGTAGATGGGAGAAAGAGGTTTATACACCGTCCGATCCAGATTGAGGGGGAGGGAATTGTGTCATGGTTGGGTAAGAGCACCGTAGATCACAATGACTCATAAAAGACAAAGGAAGTCAAAGGAGAGAGGAGTTACAAAGATGGAGAGTGAGAGAGAGAGGAGGGTCAAGAGGGCCTCGGGAAGGGCATAGTAACACGGGAGAATAAGGAGAGGGGAAGACAACGACCCTTGGAGTGGGTAAGACTCTCAAGACCGCCCTTAGAGCGGGTGAGTCTCCAGTACTTATTTCCTGCCTATCCTGCTTGACCCATAGAGTTTTATAGACTCTCAGACTCTGGAATGGAGTTCATGGAGTACTGAAACCATCTCTGTTTACTGTTGGCTCAACTTCTGGGTAGTTGAGGTGGGTGACGGTAAGCTTCATGGCCTACGTGGTGTGGATGATGAGGTGAGGACCTCGTCAATACTCCCCCCTAATTCCTTACCCTGTTCGCAAGGTAAAAGTTGGGAAAAGCTCAGAGTATACTGTGAGCTAGTTCCTAAGTGGACTCTGTTGACGGTAGGTCCTTCCATTAAACTAGGACTTTCAAGCTATGAGGGGAGTGTGGAGGGCAGATACCGTGGCAGTGAAGACATCCCACTAGTTGTCAGAGTTGAGGAGAAGAGATTGAGGGTGTTGCTGCTATTGGCTGCCCCTCGCCAGCTTCAACTATGAGATGTGAAAAACTGAATGAATCCATATTGAGGGAGGGAGTTGCAGCTGAGAGGTGGTGTCCCATATGCGTCCCACGATCTGGAAGGACTCGAAGAACTGAGGGGCGAGTTTCTCTTAGAGCTGCCGTGCTAAAGACTTAAGATGATATAGACGTAGGTGGATGTAGGCCCAATCACTCGGTGAATATTTCACATCTTGACACTTACGGTCAGTGATGACCTTCATTCTAACTTGAGCTGCTTACAGATGTGACTTGAGTTGAGAAATAAGCTTGTCTCGTTCTTGAAAGAGCTGATCTACTCCATCAGTGTATGTCGCCGTGGTTTCGTGTGAGATGATAGCAGGGGGATCTCCCCCATAGACCAGGTTGAATGGCGTGGATCCCGTAGAGGTGTTGAAGGTGGCGTTGCACCACATCTGCCCATGCAAACCATCTATGCCACTAACGAGGATGGTCTCCCACAAACACCGAAGGTAAGTTTCCAAATCTCTGTTGACGACCTCTCTCTAGCCGTCTATCTGGGGATGGCAAGAGCTGTTGTGACGCAAGGTGGTTCCTTATAGGCAGAATAGCTCTCGCGATAATAAGTTCAAGAATATTTGATCTTGATATGAGAATAGGAAGTTCCGAATGTCATATTGTTTTACCACATCGCGGATGAATACTCTACATCTGCTGCCTAGAAGGGGTTTTTGAGTGGCGAAAAGGGAACATATTCACTTAGGTGATTGATGATTACGAGGCCATGTTGTATCCGTCAAGGGAGGAAAGGTCTTCGATGAAGTCTATGGGGAGATAACCTCATATGTTGTTTGGGATAGGAATTGGTTGAAGGAAGCCAGTTGGGGAGAGATCTTCTGCCTGGTTATGTTGACAGACGGAGTAGTTGCTCACATACTCCTTGACACATGCTTTCATCCTGTGTAATAACATATTTTGTTTGAGTTTGTTGTAGGTCCAAAGGAAATTGGAGTGCCCCCTTATCATGGAGTTGGTCTGGATGTAGTGACATGTTGGCGATGATGGTGTTGAGAGCCCTGTTGTCTACAAACTCTCATTTAATTTGATCAAAGTCGAGGAAGGTGTTGTGGGAGAGTTCCATGCATAAAGACTGCGCTGACTCCCCATCTCAACGCATCGACTTTCAGCTGAAAGAAATGTGAGAAATCAAGGAGAGTCAACACTAATTTCAGCCACTATAAGGCTTCCTCCACTTCTGACATCTAGTGGAAGGTGTCATGCTTGGGAACGGAAAGAATGAAAGTACCTCAACCCCCATCATGGTGAACCTCTCCTTGTGATCGGGATGAGGTAGATGCCTCCCAGCTAGGGAGCGGATCGTATATGTAATAACCGTATGACATCCTCTGAGCTCTTTGAGAGTCTTCAGTGCAGACCAACTACGTACTACGTCAATTTTTCTTGGGGTCCATGGTGACTCCAAAGTAAGTGATCATGTGGCTAGGTAGATGAGGCTTTATTGGCCAAAAGAGCATTTCTTAGGGTTGACTTGTAATTGGTGATGTGAGAATTTGGCAAGGACTAGCTCTAGATGATGACAATGTGCCGTGGCTATGGTGTTGTAGATGAGGATGTCATTAAAGAACAATCACAAATCTCCTCAAATAAGCTTAGATGCCCTACTTCATGAGTGCTTGGAATGTCACTGGAGTGTTGGTAACACCGAACAACATGATTAGAAACTTGTAGTGCTCCTCAAGGGTTCAGAATGCCATTTTGGGAATGTCTTATTGGTGATTTTTGATTTGATGTAACTAGAGTGAAGGTCAAGCTTAGAGAAGATATTGGTGCCATGAAGTTCATCGAGGAGCTCGTCAATGATGGGATTGGGGCAATGGTCATGAATAGTGATCTTATTTTACTGCATGATAATCGATGAAAAAACACCACTCGCTCACCTTTTTCTTGACTAAGAGTGCCAAGTTGGAGAAAGTGCTGACCGACAATTAAATGATGTCTAGTTGTAGCATCTCACCCATCAATTGCTCGATTTCTATCTTCTGGTAGTGAGGATATCTAAACGGTTTTGTATTGACTAGTCTAACATCAAGCACAAGGGTGATGGCATGCTCAACATCGTGTTCTAGAGGACGGCCTAGTCCTCTAGACCTGGGAATTGAGAGTGAATGACTAAAAGGAAACCCAAGGGGTCAAGAGAAGGAGAGACCTAGGGCTGATGGTTGCTTGTTCCTGACCTGTCAAGAAAAGAGCTCCTATGTGATGAAGTCCACTTCAATTTTCTCTTAGGACTACATCAAGCAGATGTTAAGGATGTTGTCTTTGGGGGTGTGTGAAAGTGCAAGCAAGTCCTCAATAATGGCAATGTCTTGGATCTACACTATAGCCTTGCAGCATTTGTTGATCCTAATGGTCTTTTCTCCTTTGTTGGTGGTGACCATGAAACTCGTTGTGGGCAAAATGTGTAACTCAGGCCATTGTGTGACCAAAAGGGTTATGAAATTGTGGGAGGCACCTGTGTTCACAAATGTAGAGGCAGGGGTGGTTTTGGATCGCTTTGGCAAATTTGAGGGCACTAGTGGGTGTGTTATTAGTAAGTGAGTTGAGGGTGACCTCTAAGCTGGCCAATGCCTCATCTTCTTTAGCTATTGCCTCGTCAGTTGCTAGGGTTATGTCTTTGATGGGGTCCTTCTGAACTAATAGCACTTGTAACTCCTAAAATTAGTGTCTAGGAGTGTATTTTTCATTGCAAGCAAAGCATAATCTTTTGGCTAACCAGACTTCATATTCAAATAGATTCAAGGTAAACCCATCGTTGTGCAGGAGGGATATCTTTGCAGAGAGGAGTGGTTCTGATTGCAACCATGTCAGCCGACGTGGCGGTCGGTGCCCTCAACTATTGCCATAAAGTTAACTTCTCATTGGATGGATGTAATCCTTGAGCCCATTGAAGATTGTGTCTTTGAGAACTTGTTCTAGGAGATCTCTAACGAGTGAGGCCATGAGTTCCAAAGCATTGTGGTAATCAGTGACTAAGCCTTCTTGTTTGATTTTTAGGAAACACCAATGCAGTGACCTCAAGTTGTTTGGTTCCAAATAGGTGAGGTGTTGGCAATGTCAGTCCATCATAGTTGGCCCATTCGGGAGATTTGCAAGGAGCCACCTCCCATCTCAACTGTCCAAGAGACGTGCGAGAGAGCCTCTTCTTGTCTTACTCACTTAGGAGACGTGCAAAGAGTGAGGGATAATGACGCAGTTGTCACCTCATCCTATCTGTCCTAGTCAGAGGTTATGTAGAGAGAGAGAGAGAGAGAGAGAGAGAGAGAGAGAGAGAGTTGTCACCTCATCCCTTTTGACTTATTTGAGGGTCATGAGGGAGGTTAAAGTTGTCACCTCCGACATATATGTGTTCACTGGCATGTAGATCAAGATACTTCCTTTTAGGGGCTGATTGTCTTTTCTTGTTTTCTTAAAATAGAGCATGTATTTCTTCTTTTTTGATAATGACATACGGTGAGATTTCTCTCTCTCTTGATTTTACTATTTCTCTCTATCAACTCTATTTCTATTTCTTAGTCTCCTATCTTTCTTCCATTGAAGGTGAAGTTTTCATAGAAGAAGATAAGAATCTATTATTGACTCTCCAATGTGTGAGTTGTCTCAAGAGTGTTGAGATGTGAATTAGAGGTGTATGATCGAAGTCTGTTCTCATTAGAGTTTCTGATAACTTGGTGATTTCTCATCTATTTGTTCTCACTGATATTCAGAAATTGAGTTCCTTGTTGTTATTGTGATCATGTGCTTGTATATTTATTTCTGCATGAGAAGTTGCTAGGGAAGGTCCTCCCAAATGTGGTTTAGTTGCCATTGATGTGCCTATCGAAAACAAGAGAGGGCTTTGACTTCAAGATAAACTCCGATAGCTTGAAGTTTGGCAGCTAGAGTAGCCCTATAGATAGAGAAAAAATGTACATCTCTAAATACCCTCACTGCTGGGTCTTCACCATCGAAGAGAGGAAACTCAAGTAGGCGTGTGCCCTGCCAGTGATCCAGCCCATTCTCGAGATGGAAGGGTTTGCCTCAAAAGACGTTGGCCCCGTTTAGAAGGTTGAGAGTCTTCACTGCCGCCTAGGGGAGAAAAAAGGAGGGGCTTGGTTGGTGTCCATGGGGGTGGGAGCATAGTGCATCTCATTCATTTCCCCTCGGAGCCACCATTCAGACGCTCAACCAGCTTTCTCCAACGATCTCGGAAACTCACTTGCGGGTTCCGAGGAGCCTCCAAGTTCTGCATAAGTAGGGCGAGTTGGTGGCGGAGCTCGTGTCAGAGTGAGTCAATATCTTGACAGGTGGAGGTGATCTCCTGTCTGTTGGCGGCTATCTCTTGTCAGGGGAAGGGTATCTCATGTCGGGTGGAGTCCGTGGAGGGTAGCAATATTATAGCGCAGGTCGCTGAGGTCGGCTTCAAGAGTATCCATGGATGCGTCCGATGGTTTTCGCCCCATGTTTGCTCTGATAATACGCCGGAGGGGATGGGACGATACCCGTTCGCCGCTGCAGCGAGAGGGAGAGAGAGAGAGAGAGAGAGAGAGAGAGAGAGATAGAGAGAGAGAGAAGACTGGGTTGGCTGGTTAAGTCGTTAACATGTCACGACATTTGTAGAAGGGAGAGTAGGTCAGACTCTCAACACCCTTAGAGCTGGTGAGACTCCATTACTTATTTCCCGCCTCTCCCGCTTGGCCCATAGGGAGTTTTAGGCTCCTAGGAATGGAGACCAGTCTGACTTCTGCAGGTGTCTCGCGTTCTGCTCCGTTCCGGAACCGTCTATTCTGCTTACCGCTGGTTCAGCTCCGGTTGAGGTGAGCGACAGTTGAGGTGGGCGACAGTTAGCTTCGTCGCCTACGTGGTGTGGATGATGTCATGATGATCTCATCGAAAACTCAATTAATATTGAGGACCATGACTGGATTGGATATCTGTGGCCATTCATACATCTCTCTAGTTCATCCTATACACTCTCCTCCTTAAATGTCTAGGCAGATGATAGATGGGTCTGATCGTCACCGACTGTTTGGAAGCTCTTTCTCCACAGGACGAAGCCTGGTGTCGCTGCTCGTGAAATCCCGCAGAACCATTTCCATCTCCAGGTTCAATTCCTCGACTAGTCATCTCATTTTTTTCCCCCTGTCTCGATCCCTCCCCGCCTTCTGCTTCCTTTTCCCCAATCCTCCGCCTTCTCCCTCCCGCCCCCTCCTCGGTTCACAGACATTACCTGAGGAGCCTTTCCACCTATGCTACCAAGAATTTTCATGACTGTGGAGACCTCTCCGGCCTTCGCGAATGCCCGCCATGGAATCTTAGACCTGAAAAACCTCGCCAACTCTGGCCTGTACGAGAGGGTTCTCTTCATCTTCTTCCTCATGAGGCGGTCCGGGGTTCAGCCGGACCATCGCACCTTCCCTGAGATAAACAGGGCCGTGGCTTCTCTCCCCGGCCATATCCATCTCGGAGAGGCAGTCCATTCTGTGTGTGAAGATGGGGCTTGGTCTGAACCTCTACTTCCGCAACACCATGATCGAGGTGTACGCCAGGCACGGCCGAGTAGGTCCTGCTCGCCTTCTGTTTGATGAAATGCCCGTGAGGGACGTCGTCTCCTGGACATCACTGATCTCTGGGCTCTCCCGATCAGGTAAGGCCTTCGATTCTCTCATCCTGTTTCAGGAGATGCTGATGGCCGGGTTTCGGCCCAACTCGGTGACGATGCTGGTTCTTCTGCGAGCATGCTCAGTGGCGGACCACATTCTTCTTGTGAAGCAGCTACATGGTTTTTCCATCAAGGGAGGCCTCTTCAACACCGAGTCAGTGCAGAACTCCGTAATGGCGGCATTCGGGAGGATTGGCCTTCTGGAAGAGGTGGAGCGAGTCTTCAACACAGTCGGCGAGAGGAGCCTTCTCTCCTGGAATACAATGATTTCTGGGTATTCTTCCGCAGGAGATGCACCCAAGGTCGCAGAAGCCTTCAACAAGATGAGAACCGAGCTGGTTCCTTCCCCAGAAACCTTCACTCTGGTCGTCTCTGCCTGCACAAAGAACAGGGAGGTGCTCCTGGGGGAGGCGATCCATGGCTATGCCCTGAAACTTGCCCCCATTGATGACATCCTACAAGCTTGCCTCCTCGATCTTTACATCAAGTGCGGAGAATCTGCAGCTGCTGTGCGTTTATTTGAAGAGGCCAGAGAGAAGAACTTCGACCTCTAGAGCACCATGATCTCCGGGCTAGAGCACAGAAGGCGTTTCAGCGAGGCGGCAGACTTGTTCCGGGAAATGCAGATCTCCGGTGCCGACATTCTGGGGAGCATCCTCCATGTCTGTTCTAACGTGGGTTCTCTGCGATCCGTCAGGGAAGTCCATGGATGCCTTGTGAAAAACAGCTGGTGCGGCGCTGCGGATCAAACGATCTTGGAGACCTCAATTCTATCCATGTACGCCAGATGTGGAAGTCTCCATGACGCAGGACAGGGGCCCAACCTTGACTCAGTTGGCCCCCTAGAGGACTCAAGCTCGGCCCAAACAATTTTGGTCCCATAAGGCGTTCGGAGATCTCGACGCCAACATATCCGGCCAGAAGGTGAAGAATTTTGCTTATTGTTAGTTTGTTCAGAAGACGAGAAGGTAACGCACATGAAACCAGTAGATTTGTAGAATATGAGAAGATGTACAGAACACGAAGAGACGAGCGGCATGCGAAAGGACGCCTTCTTAAACTTTTCATTATTTCACTTGATTAGCTTTGTTTTGTAAGGCCTTTAAAAAAGGACCAGTCTCGTCTCCGTGGGGGGCAGTTTTTTTAGTATCATTTTCTTCTTGCTTTTTGCGGCAGTTTCACTGTCTGTTGCTGGTTGTGAAACCCAGTTGCCCCAGCAGGATTGGTCGTGAGGACCCCATGCTCCCACCGCCGTTGTTTGTCGCCCTTTTCGACGGCTCTGCCTGCGCCACCACCGATGAATCTCCTTCTGTCCTCCACAATCCTCATCTTTGCTCTCCTCCCCTAACGCCCGATGCTCTGGCTTCCCGTCACTCTGGTTCGCCTGCCACCCCTCCTCGGTGACTTTTCTCCTTCACTAAATATCTCATTTTCTTATGCCTAGTTTTCCCTGCTCTTTTAATACATCCTTATTGTCATCGTCGCCGTGAGTGATTGTGTAGGATAACCACTACTCCTTACATTGGGTGGTCCCTCCTCCTTGATAAGTTAGATCTGCTTGGTTAACTACGAGCACCCTACGACTGGCGGTTTACCTAAATCGCCCAGTCCTAGCCCTGTTTCCCTGACCATGGATGATTTTTGAGTAGACTTGGTTTTATCCGTCATCTATTCCTTCTAGCATATGTGTTTTCTGCATCGTTTATTTGATCTCTTCTACGCCCGCATAATCATCCCCATCACTCCACCTTGCAGAGAGGTGCTTCGATAAAGTCCTTGTCAAGGATTTGGTGGCCTGGAGCTCCATGATTGAGGGCTACGTGGTCCATGGACTTGGCCACCTCACTCTGAATCCCTTCCACCGGATGATCAGCGAGGAGGAATTCGGCCAAATGGCATTACCTTCCTCAGTGTTCCATCTGCCTGCAGCCACGTGGGCTTGGTCGCTGACGGATGCTGGGTCTTCCTCTCCATGGTCGGAGAATTTGGCGTCGACCCCGAGCTGGCTCACTACACCTCCATGGTGGATCTTCTCGGCAGGGCTGGCAGGCTTCAGGAGGTTCTCGGCGTGATCAGAGGCAGGAAGGTAGCAGAGGTCGATGGTCGGATTTGGGGGTCCCTTCTGTCTTCTTGCAGAACGCGCCGTGCTGCCAATCTCGCCGCCTATTCTGCGCAGAAGGTCCTCGAGCTCGAGCCGGACAATGCCGGGTATGAGGGGGCGTTCTGCAACGTGTATGTCGCTGCTGGCAGGTAGGACGAGTCGGCGGAGGCGAGGAAGGTCTCAGCGAAGGAACCTGCGTGGGGCTCCGTCGAGGCCGGCAGCCGGCAGCGGAGAGTTGTCGCCGGACTTGTTGCTTTGGAATAAAGACCGAGAGCAGCATCTAATGTAATTATTATGAATCATAAACGTTTGATTCATCGTAGCTTGGTACATAAAATGGGCTCGGTATCTTCTTCTTCTTGACGAAGAAGGATTGTAGCTAAGAGGCTGCAGAGCAGGGAGATTGCTGAGCCTCCTCGAGGAGGAGGGCTTCCATGGCGGAGCTTCCATCGGCGGTCAACGCTGAATTGTCCTTGGCCTTCGCCCAGAGGAGAAGGTACATCCCCGCCACCACTATCGCCGTGCCCACCAGGCTGCCGGCGACGGAGAAGATGAGGAGATGGCGGCGCAAAAGAGAGGAGAGCAGCTTCTGCAGAAATGTTTGATTAACTAACCTCCAGCGGCGGACGGTGGCGCCGAAGAAGACCATCTCCAAGACCAGGGAGAAGACGACCAACAGCGGGGAGAAGGATCCGACGAATACTGGACCCGCCTTGCGGATGCACCACGTGTACACGTAGTAGAAAATCCCCGTCACAAAAATTCCCTGCAGAGAAGAGAAGCAGTTATGTTACCAACCGGTATTCCCGTTGGGTTGACTTGTAGCTGGGTCAACTACTACCCCGTAGAGCACGCCGAGGAGCTGGTGGCTGCCCCTCCAGTTGAGCCGCCATGCCGACGGGCTTCTCTCCGTGACAGCGGCGTAGGCGGTGATCTGGAGCGTTCCAAAGACGGTCATCATCGCCGACAGGGTCATGTCCGCCGAGTACTCCTTAGCTACCACTTCCTGCAATCAGACGAAACGTCAACGGATCCCGTAGTAAACGGTAGAGGCTCCACTCGTGCCACGTCGTGCTGAACGTACCAGGAGGAGGCTGAAGAGGGCCATGGCGAGGACCGCCACCGCCGTCATCAAGGAGCCGACGACCCATCCGCCGGCGCAGGCCGGCGACGACGCGGCGGCGCCGCCAACGGCGGCGGCGGTGGTGCCCTTGGAGAGAACCACCACGATGGCGCCGGAGACGGAGAGGAGGGTCCCCCAAAGCTTGGCCTGGCCGGAGGCGTGGCAGATCGAGAAGCTCTCCCTCCCGGAAGCCACCGCGAGGAGGAAGATGACGGCGGGGAGTGTGTTGCTCAGGGAGGACTGGAAGGACGCCGTTATGCAGCGGAGGCTCGCCGTCAGCAGCAGGTGGCCTAACGTAATCCTGGAGAAGACGAAGACGGCGCCTAGTTAGCAGATCTGAGCTAGAGAGAGAGAGAGAGAGGTGTGTACCTACTCAAGAAAGCCGAGGAGGAAGGCCCAGCAGACGAATCGGATGGAGAAGGAGGGCTTCTTCAGTCTGCAAGATCGTAAGAACAAGGGTCAGAAGAGGTCACGCTGGAGGGGATTCCCCATTTTTTGAGGGGGTTCTTCTCACTTGTCAAGGAAGTAGGCGAGGGAAGTGAGGAGCAGGGAGGCGACGGCCTGCTCGTAGACGACGAAGACGGTGGAGTTGACCCCCTCCGAGGTCAGCATGGACTGTACCATCACTAGGAACGCGGCCAGCGAGAGCTCGGACAGCACCATTAGGATCCCCGCCTTCCAGATCCCCTCCGCTCCCGACCTCTTCTTCTCTCCTTCTCCTGCTGCCATTGTGTGCCGCTACCGAAGACCTCTCTCTCTCTCTCTCTCTCTCTCTCTCTCTCTCTCTCTCTCTCTCTCTCTCTCCAGATATCACTCCATTTCTCGCTCGGATCAATCAGCAGGGAAGAGAGGGGGGATTGTCGGAGAGGCTACGGCAGGTGTGGAAGAGCTCGGGGTGTCCGCCCTTGGGCAGGAGGAGATATTATTGTGTGAAAGAGCGAGCTAGGAAATAGAGGTTGATCTGTAATAAATTAATAAATTCTATATTGGTTAATATTCATTTATTGAGCTTCTCCCAACCGACGACGTGGACCATTTGGAGAGTCTTTTCATGAGCGCCGAGGCCATCGGTGCCGCTGAGTCTGCCCATCCGGAGTAAAGACAGCTAGTGTCCACGTGGCATGCTGGCATAGACCGATGTGGTCCTCGCCGTGATTTCCCAGATATTCTCACGTGATAAAAAACTTGCCTAGTTGAATTTTTCCTTTTCTTTCTACTGTCAAAGCTATGTGCTTATCAAAGTCATAGCTACTGTTTTTATTTCTTCTAATTGCGATTCTACCTTACAACAATACAGACTCTTTTTTGTTCTTTATGCATTTTGATTATACTTTTAAGAGGCTGTAATCCAAGGAGAATATTTTCTAGTTGACTTTTTTGCATAAGTGGAACTGTTTGAATCATCCTATTGACGTTAAAGGAGAATAAATAATGCGTTATTTAGTTATTTAAAATGCTTTATTTGGTTTTTGAATAATGATCTATAATTTTAACTCTAAAAAATAGAATTTAAATGTAGTTTAATGTTTTGATATGTCTATCTTAAGCTTTAACGTGAGCCCATCTACACTTAATAGATTTGTCCCTATATCTAGATGCTCTCTCTCTCTCTCTCTCTCTCTCTCTCTCTCTCTCTCTCTCTCTCTCCCTCCCTCCCTCTCTCCCTCTCTCCCCCTCTCTTCCACTTTTAATGAAAACTAAATCATCTTGCATGCTGATCCCACATTACCTTTTTTGAGTTGCAAATACAATGAAGATATAAAAAGTATCAATTAAACTCCCTCATTATTTGTTGACTTTGAATCCAAGAGGCATATGACCTTGTTTGAAGATTCCCCTTTTAAACAAAACAATGAAAAGTTAAATTTCTTGTGTGTGTGTGTTTTGGTGGCCTTAATTTTTTCTACCATGTGGTTGTCGATTTGTTGATGATCAAGGTCTAGGTGGCAAAGCTTCTGATGGCCCTACTCCCAGCCTCCCTCATAAGAGAGAGAGAGAGAGAGGGGGGGGGGGAGGGAGGGGGGAGTAAGAGTGGGGTGTATTAATTAGTAAGTATAGCCAAGGAGGAGAGCCTGGTAGAAGATTCGGAAGGAGAGGGGTAGCCTTTTCTCTCTGCAAGATGTTAAAACTACGATGAGAAGAGTTTGGTTCTCATTGTACGAGCTCCTCTCCTAAGAGGCAAGTGACGTGACAATAAAGGAGATGGCCTACTTGTGGATAACATAGATTGTGTCCCTCTCAACACACCACAGACTATAAGAGGAGAAGGAACCATAATGGAGAAGTTAGATGGTGGCATGATGATTGCCACCTTCCAGGTCCATAGCAAGAATTCAAAGTTCTTGGTTCCATCAAACATGTGTTATCAACTAGGAATGCACCAAGTGGACATGTATCTTGAACATGTGCAACCAAATGCTTAGGCGCATGCCCAAGTTATAAATAAAAGCTATGTTATGAGAAAATAAAATTGTAAATAAATTGAGATAAGCAATGGGCTTGTCAATTTGGCATCTTTGTCCCCACCATAATGGTGGGCCTACTACTTGACACTTTGTGTGAGTTCAGAATAATTCTAGGTTAATGTGTACCTAAAACATGCTACAAATAATAAATCCTCAATCACTAGAATCCTATACAAAATTCTATCAGAATAATCTTAAAAATTTAAAAGGAAGAGCTTCATTGGACGTCAAAATGCAGGCCTTATATGGAAGAAGCATTGACATTTTTCTAACAATAGATTTTAGAATATTTTCTTTAGATGACAGAAAAGCTTTCTTGTTGATGAAACACCCTCTTGAATATTATACTTTTGAATTTTCTATTGATAAAAAATAGTCAATTTGATGTACAAGATTACTTTTGTAGTCAATAAGTAGTCTGCCTTTTAGCTTATGGTGATTAGATCATACAAGGTGCATCAACTTCTTTTCCTCAAACATATAATGAAATAAAATGACTTTTATTCACCCCATAATGTGCTTACGAATCTTTCAAAGATCGGTAATAAATACTATCATCATAAAAACATTAAATCAATAATGATGAGATGGTGTAAAAGGATTAGTTTTCCCTCTAGATATATTTTTCTTTACAAATGATTATTGAATCATAGTCAACACTAATATCTTCATATCTTCTTACTTTTCTCTAATTTTTTTTCCATTTCCATCACTTATGTTGCTTAGAATGTGGGTTTGAAGAGGCAACAAATGACATTTATTTTTTTAGTTTCATCTAGTCTTCATCTTTGTCATTTTATCCATCTCCATATGTTGTAGTTTCTATGGGATGACAGAAGAAATAGTTGTTGAGTTATGGATTAACTTATTATTATTTTGATAGTTTTTTAGATGAGACATAAATTTAATTAGAGATTGATGTATTATATGATATTCAAGAGTAAATATTAATAATACATATTTTGAAGGAAATTTCAATAAATAACTGTGGTGGAGACAATATAAAATATCTCATTTTATTTTGCATTCTCGTCATGAATATAATTGTTAGACTGTGGGTATAAAGACAATACAAAAGTATGTGTGAGGTAAATATGTTATAATCTTATGTGTAAGCTTTAATATTTAGATTCTATATACCAAATATTTTTACTAATATATGCAATAATTAATCAATAAAAAGGTATTTAAATGAGGATTCAAATATAATTAAATTTTAAAATACTAATCAAAGTATTGAATTATTATTTATTTTACAGTATTACTAATTTAATATGTTTGCATAGGGGTAAAATAGTCTAGAAGTTTAACCATTTTTACTTAAATATCTTTTATATCAAAAGATAGGTGACAGATATTGTCATGTGATAGTTAATAAAAGCTGATCCAAAGAGGAACCCACAACTAAAAATCGTGCATCAAAACTTAAAAGTATTAAAAGAGAGTTATAAAATTCTCAATCTTTATGATGGTTTTTCTATATTTTTCAAAACTTGTGTGTGACCCTTTAAGGCTTGCTTAAACCCACCTATTTTACCTAATAAGGGCCAAAAAGGGGTGGTCCAAAGTGTTTCATAAAATGAGACATTTCACCCAAATTAAGGTCAGGATAAAATACACAATTTGTGTACAATAATAGTATTTCAATGAACATACTATCATTAGGGTCAGGACAAATTGTGTACACAGTTTTTCATCTCCATCACCTCTTTTTAAATTTACAAGATTCAAGGGTAAGGTTTGATGATTTCAAGAGAGTTGTGGATATCATTTCAAGTCTCAAGCTCTTATTTTCAAGGTATAATATCGTTGGGTTCTATGTGATTAAGTGAAGTACCATGAGGGGGGGTGAATTAGTATTTTATGTTTTCTTCTGGTTTTCTATATATGTATATATGTGTTGAAACATGTTCCAGCACAATTTATCTAATCTATATGAGACTTAAAATTATTTCTTTTACTATGGTGTCACTCATGTTTTTTTCTCTCTTGCACGACAATAATGGATATAGAGATTTTATATTGATTCATCATTCCTTAAGTTATGTCTAATACTAGATTATCCCTCTACTATCTTCATTATTTTCTAAGAAAAATATATTTAATTTTATGGGGTTAGTTTTCTCAAACAATATTTTTCAATATCCATGAAAATCTTACCCCTCACAAGCAAGTTTTGACTCACAACACCATGTACTCAATATACAATTCCCCTCAAAAAATAATACCCTCCATAGGTGAATTCTAACTTGTGGCACCTCTTGCTTTAGTTTTACCGTTTCTCTACTCATCACCTAAGTTACCTTACCTTAGGGCCTGATGGAGAAAGACAACCTTTAGCCCAATTGTTCAATTCATAAGTTGTCATAGAATATAATGTAGTATGAAATTTTGTTTCTTTTTTTTGTGATACATAGTCACTTTGCTACAAAGAGTTGAGTAAATCTTCTTCTTGAGTTAATGTGAGTGATGTAGATGTTTGTTCAACATTAATCTTGTCTATCTTCAGCTCACTCTCATTACTTCAATGGATCTATATCATTTTAGCATCCGAAAACGGTAATATTAATTTGAATATTCTCTCGTTACTCTATTAGTGTTCTAGTGACCTTTAGCTGCTTTTTATTTATAAGCTTTCTTATTTGGTGATCGTTGTTCACAATATCTTATTTGAAGATTTTTACTTGATCGGTGAACACTTCTTATTTCAAGGTCTTACTCAAATAAGATCATTTGGCTTACTTTTAGTCCACATCTTCTATTGATGAATTATTATCCATAATCCACACTTTTGTCCTTTCATCATACTTTTACTTAGATCTTTCAGTTCATACATATGTCATATTTGATATTGTGTTTAGAAATCATCAGCTAGTCAACAGATGTATTTGTCTTCAAGGTTGAGCTATGATAATGTTGTTGAACTTACTATTTTACCCACAAACTCTAATGACATGTTACCGTTCAAAGTGTGAGGTTGACTTTGAGTCTTTGTTTATTTCAAAATAAGTATGTCTCTCACAAGTGGTCTTTGAAGCTTCTAGATAAAGATTCATTCTACTTCAATGGATGATCGTAATTTTAATATTATGTTACAATTATGTCATTTTTATTTCATCATTTTCTCCACATAAGACTCTAATGTGTCATCATGTAGGTTATGTGGTGATAAATTCTTCGTTAATTCTTTGCTTAGTGCAAATGGTCCAACTCAACTACCATATTAGTCATGAGTTTAAGTTTTACTTCCATCACTGATCATGTATTTTCGCTCTAAATATTTTGACCAGCATTTCACATTGTCATTAGAATACTCTTGATTTTAGATTCTAACCACTCCAAGGTTTGAATATTTCAACCGTAATTTCCTCACTTTTACAAAGCTTATTCCTTGAGTTTGAATCGTATGTATGTCATTTTCGTGTCTTTGATTTTCATATATTTTCAGTATTGGTGCTCCTATCTCCACAATGCTCATGCTGCATTTGAATCTTACTAGTGACTTTGATTTTCAAGAATATATGAGAAACGTTTGTCACATGTATTGAAACACATTATTTTACACATATTTTAAGAATGGTGTGTTACATTATTGATATATATATATAGATATCTCAAGGGTGTAACTCCTTAAATTTTTATTAGCGATACGATGCATATAGAATAGTTGTCTTATGATGAACAATCATGATACATAGAAATAATTTCCTGAATTATGTCATAACTAATTTAAAAATAAATTATAAATAAATTTTCTATTATATGTGTCAATACCTACTATGTGTCAAACCAAGGGCACCTACAAATACTTCTCAATTTCTTGATCAATTTTCGATAGACTAAAACAACATTAGAATGCTACAATATTTTTAAAAATATCTATTAATAGATTGTGTGTTAGGATGCCCACCTTGAACATGTGGTGTGTTTTAGTGGAAGACCAACACTTATAATATGCAGAGCGACCAAACAAGTGCATGTAATGTATTTGGTTCATCAAACAAGTACATGTGGTGTGCTTGATTAGTTAGTTTAAATCTTATGGTGAAATTTAGTCCTTCTCAATACATGTAGTTTATTGAATATAAAGTGAGACATGCATTATACTCACATCTAGGTGAAAGACTAATAGAAGTGCAGCTTCTAACATAGAGACATGGACCTTATGAGTACATAGTGTAAAGAAAAGTTATACCCATAAGTCAATTGTAATCACAAGGGTGTGGTTAGTGAAAAGTAGATGTAGGACTTTCAAGTCAAACTGCTCTAAAAAAAAATTGTTGATCAATAAACTGTCATTATTTTTGTAAGTTATATGTGAGTCACCCTTAATTCAAGAAAACAAATTAAAGAGATAATAATAACATAATAATTAAATAAAATTAAAAATAAATTCACCCCTCTTCTTGATTTAGCCATTTATCTAGAAAACAACAATAACCAAAGGTCATTTCATGTTCTCACTTATCTCTTCCACACAATAGCTATCACACAATTCTGGTAGTGATAAACTTGGTGAAGAACTTTTTAAAGAATTTCAACTACATTTTTGATATCCCATCCCTAAAGATAATGCAGATTTGATATAGCAACAATCACATAAGATGATAACTGTGTACTAATAAAATAATTTAGCTCCACACAAATTAGTATACTACATATTACAAACCTATGAACTAATTTTAATCAATCATTTAGATAAGTTATTGCTGTCTTTCTTTGCTTATGATAACATCTATTTACTATGATGCATCATTTTTTTCATATAAGCTATTGGAAATGTTTCAGGTATACTTATATCCAAATAAAATCCCCACGAACTTGTATCTAAAAAAGTACTTGCAAGTTTTGAAATATATTTTATTTTAATCCTAATAAATTTTTAATCTCAAAATCTATTTAATGATCAAATTTTTCTAATGTGAAATGGATGATAATTTATCTTTTAAATTACTCGATGCCAAAAATGATACTACTTCTACTAAGCATAGATTGGAGTGTGTGTTTATATGTCATTAGATAATCCATTTTGATAGTAAAAGAGTTCATTGCTAATTGCGTATGTTTTTTATAATTATAAAATTGATCACAATATTACAAATTTCTTCATATATGTCAGTCAAAATTATTATTAAAGGGTTGTAATTATGAATTCATTGATGATTCATGCACCAAAATCAGTTATTCAAGTACTAAAATCACTTGCTATAATGAAAATTTCATTCTAGCTTTCAAATATGTGTAATTTGTGACATTAAATAGGGGATGTCTTTGAGTAGAGTGCCGTGCATTGATATGAAATTAGATTATTTTTTTATGTGACATATTTTATCATCTATATGTATTATTAATTAAAAATACATATTTTAAGATATTATGTTATATTCCTTTTAGGGATATTATCGTCATTTTATAAAAACTAAATTATTCACTTGCCAAGATGATATTTTCAGAGTATTCCTTCTGCGTAGCATTAAAATAAGAGGTGACCGATTTGTAGGGACCCAAAAAAGTATAAATAAAACGTAGAGGTAAAAATTGAAAACAACAAATGTTTAGGGTCCTAAAATAAAATAAATAGGCTCCGTTCATTCTCTTCGGTCGCGAATTTCTGTGCGCCGGGATGTCGCTAGTTGGGCTGGTACTAGTACCATGGGCTTCGCCGTCGGCGGAGCGCCGCCTGACTAGTTGCGCCGCTCCGGCAATCGCCGGCGGCGGAGGCCGTGGCGGCGTCGGGAGGAAGCACGTCGAGCGCCTCCTCTCGTCCCTCCATTCCATCCCGGGCGACGAGGACTCGCCGGCGGCGGTGGACCGCCTGGTGCGCAAGTTCCTACTCTCGTGCTCCAAGCCCGCCGCCGTCGGCGCCCTCTCCTTTCTCCTATCCGATGTTTCCTCCTCTTTCTCACAGCGCGTTGCGCTGTCCATGTACAGGAGAATCACCGGGGCCTCGTGGTTTAGATGGAACGCCAAGATCGCCGCGAGCGTTGTTCCACTGCTGGATGCGATGGGCCTCTACGCCGAGGCAGAAGGCCTGATGTGCGAGGCTGATTCGAGACTGAAAGTCCGGGAACTTGTCGTCTTTTACTGTGATCTGATCGAGGCGTACGCCAAGCGTGGAATGAGGGAGAAGGTGTTCGAGGTCCGCGCGCGTCTTCTCGTACGCGGGATACCCGCGGGGAAGGGGGCGTATGAATCTACGGTAAAGGCACTGTGCCTTCTAGGTTTTCCGGGCGAAGCGGAGGTGATTCTGAGAGATATGGAGGCTTCAGGATTGCGGGCGTCGCCTTTCGACTACAGATTGATCGTGCAGTCCTATGGAAGGTTGGGGATGCTATCTGAGATGAGAAGGGTTGTGGGGTTTATGCTTGACTCTGGACTCTCAGTCGATACAATTTGTGCAAATATGATTCTTTCGTGCTACGGAGATGGCGGGCAGCTGACGGAGATGGTCACGTGGCTCAGGCAGATGAGAGATTCTAACGTCCCGTTTTCTATCCGCACCTGCAATTCAGTCCTGAATTCATGTCCGGGACTCTCCTCGATGCTTCGAGACCATCAAACGCGTCCTCTCACCCTCAAGAAACTGATGGAGATGCTCGAGGAGGAAGGCTGCGGCAATGAAGAAACATCACTGGTTCAGGAATTGGTGAGTTCAAATGTGCTGTTGCAGACATTGGATTGGTCTCCTTCAGAAGGGAAGCTCGATCTTCATGGCTATCACTTGTGTTCGGCTTTCCTGGCCGTTTTGCTGTGGATTGAGGAGCTGAAGGCTAGACTTCTTGACAGAGGAGCGGAAGGGAAAGTCATCCCTCGGCAAATTTCTATTATCTGTGGATCGGGAAAGCATAGTAATACCATGGGGGAGTCTCCAGTAAAGAGATTGGTATCCGTGTCATTGTTCCACCTGGGGAGTCCTCTGAGAATAGACAGGAAGAATGTGGGCAGACTGATTGCGGGAGGAACAGCAGTGAGAGACTGGTTACTAAAGATGGAAGGATCTTAAACTGTGTCAAAGGTGAATTTACCCACTCTTCTTGTTCGTCAAAGAGGTACCCAGCATGCATCAGAACAGTATTGGCATAGTTCTCGCTTAGAAAAACTTGTGCAGATACAACCATAAACCGCTGTTCACATAATGCTCCTACTTTGCGTTTGTTCACAAACCATTTACTTCAGAGACGTGTCAGCTGGAGATGCTGGTCTTCCCCTTTTTTCTCAAGTCAAGTTGTCTCGTTTACAGTCGTTATCTCTTCTCAAGCCTGTTTAGTTGATGTTCATGTTGTTTCCGATTTTTGCAGATGTAGATAGCTGTCAGTAGATTCTGACCCATTTTACAGGGTAGAATTTTTGCCCGCTCATACCCGCAAGTGAGCCAATGGAAAAGATAGCGTGGTTTGCCGAAGTGGTCCATTCTTAGCCAGTCTTGGGGAGTCAACCAATCCCTACAGCATTTGGAGGCTAAGCTAGAATCTACTTTTTCAAAGTTGGATATGTGAAGACGTCAAATTTTAAGTTATCTTTTATTTGCCAGAATTAAAATTTTAAAATAATTGTGTTCTCAGTTTTTTAGACCACAATTACTGCATTCCCTTGTCTACTGCGTCTAGTTGTGCCTATGGGCCTTGGCCTTTGTGCGCTATCTACTGCCATTTTTAAGTGACAGTGGCATCCGATTTTCATCGTATTGTGAGTACTATGCTTCTGTTCTACTTCTGGATTTTTTCCAGTACTACTTCTGTTCTGCCCCTTGGATGCAGAAATTAGCTAACTTATTGTGAAGATGCCAGCAGCTTATCCGTAAAATTTAGATTTTATACGTCCTCTGATTTTCTAACAGAGTTTTATGGGGGTGGGGTCAGCTTCCTGTTGATACCCCAAATTTATATGGCAATTTTTTAAGAAAAATGAGGCATTTTTTCTCAGAAATTTGATTGAAACTATGGTTTTTTTAGACCCTATTTTAAAGTGCCATCAGCTTATAAATTTGGGGTCCTACTCTACATGACTACTGTCATTTTCTGCTTTGGCACAGTAAGATCTTCAAAAATAGCGAGCCAAATATTCAGAACAAATAGCTTGATACCTGAGGTTTGACAGAATAGGAAAAGAGGGCCTCTACAAACTTCTGCAAATCCAGGGATCCTTAGAAGTTACTTGTCCTTGAACTCTCAAAATGACTATGCTTTGGTATTGTATTTTGAATTAGCTCACAACTTGGGCAAGATGTCAAGATTTAATTTTGCCCTTAGAAAAACTATCTTTGTATAAAGTTATAATTTCTACCTTAAGAAACCTAGTCTAGAACAGGTTTGAGAGAAGTCCAATGTGAGGCTTATGGAGTGGAATAGATTTCTAGAGTTTATCAAATCTGGCATAAAATTTCATGTCTCACCTTTACTTGTGTAAAACTTTTATGACTAGAACACTTCACATTGCTGCACAAACAATTTATACCAAATCTTGAGTTGGAAATTGATGTTCCTTTGCTGCCTGGTCATTTCCAACTAGTAGAAAAACTTTCACACATATTAAGGAAATCATTGGAAAAATAGTTCATCCCAACCCCATAAAACCCTCTAACATTGTACAACAAATTACTATTGTTATGAGATACAGCAGAAGCAGGAAAACTGACTTAGCCCTTCTTAGGGCAGTACATCAGTGTTTATATTGGCGTCTAATAAATCTTTCTAGTATTACAGAAAGGTTTAATAACAGAAACATGAAAAAGGAAATACATCTAATAATAGGAAGGAAAGAAAAAATAGAAGGAAAGCCTAATATAGCAAAAAGCTTGTTCTGTGTAACACTCCCCCTCAAGTTGGTGCGTGGATATCATTCATGCCCAGCTTGCTCCTTTGTTTGCAGAACTTTATTACAGAAATGCCCTTAGTTAATATATCAGCCAACTGATTTGTAGATGAGACATATTCTGTGCAAAACATTCTTGATTTGAGTTTCTCTTTAATAAAATATCTATCTACTTCAATGTGTTTGGTCTTGTTATGCTGAATAGGATCATGTGCAATACTTATTGTGGACTAATTGTCACAAAATAAGGTAATCAAACCTTCCATGGGTATTTGTAAGTCATCTAGTATATTATTTATCCAAATGCCTTCACAAATCCCAAGGGCCATAGCCTGAAATTCTACTTTAGCACTTGATCGAGCCACAACTCTCTATTTTTGGCTTCGCCAAGTGACCAAATTTCTTCCAATGAGACAACAATAGCTAGTAGTAGAGCGCCTATCATCAACTAAACCAGCATAATCAGCATTGGTATAGATGCTTACTATAAGAGAATCTCTCCTTTTAAATAGGATTCCCATGTCAATTGTTCCTTTTAGATAGGCTAGGACCCGTCGAGCAGCTTGATGATGTACCTTCCTAGGGTCTTGCATATATTGGCTTAACACTCCAACTAAGTAATATCTGGTCTAGTATGGGATAGATAAATTAATTTTCCCACTAGTCGTTGATAAGAGCCCTTATCTACTTGATCACTTTCCTTTTGAAGTCTCAATACAATGCTTTACTTCAATTGGTGTACATGCTGGTTTAGAGTTACTCATGCTCGTATATTTGAGTAAATCCGTAATATACTTTCTTTGAGATAGGAATAAATTTCTACGAGAGTAGGCGACCTCAATTCTCAAGAAGTATTTTAGTTGTCCCAACACTTTGATATCAAAAACAACCGTTAGTTGTTTTTGAAGAGAAGTGATTTATTACATATCATCCCTTGTGACAATCATGTCATCGACATATACTAGTAAGATCATCATTTTTCTTGAACTCAATCATTTATAAAATAAGGTATGATCTCCATTGGCTTGTTTGACCCCCAAAGCTCTCATTATTTTGGTTAAGTGGCCAAACCAGGCTCTTGGTGATTGTTTTAAGCCATATAATGCCTTCTTAAGTTTGCATACCTTTAGAGTATCATTTGGGTCTTTGTATCTTGGTAGAAGCTCCATATATATTTTTTCTGAGATTTCTCCATGTAAGAATGTATTTTTCACATCACATTGTAATAAGGATCATCCATAATGCACAACCAAAAATATTAATAACGGAATTGTTCCCATCTTCGCAACTAGAGCAAATGTCTCCATGTAATCAATACCATAGCATTAGGTGAAGCCTTTTGCCACCAGGTGAGCTTTAAAATGTTCAACAGTCTCATCAAATTTATATTTAATAGTGTATATCCATCTGTACCCACGATTTTCTTCCCTTTAGATAGTAGCATAGGTTCCCAAGTTTGATTCTTTTGTAGAGCTAGCATCTCCTCATCCATTGCTTTTTTCTATAGAGGGCTTCTTAAAGCTTCTTCAGTGTTTTGCGAAGTATTGTGTTTGTCAATAGCTAACAGAAATGACATGTACTATGGAGATAGGCAATGATAAGATACATAATTGTAGGATAGATATACATTTTTCTTTATACATTCTCTAATTCCTTTGCAGATAGCAATATGGCAGATTTCATTCCCTTCATTTCCTTGAGTAATAAGAAGGTTCTGTTGATCAATCAGTGAATTGTCACATTCAATAATAGAATCATGTGCACCTACTACGTCAGGCAGATTTTGTTCATGGGTATTTGCTACTTCAAGTTGTTCATGAGCATTTGCTGAGTCAGGTTGTTCATGGGCATTTGTTGGGTCCAACAGATCCTATTCATGGGTATCTTTCATTATCTTTGGCTTTCTTTGATAATAACCTTGGCCAAATCGATTTGGTGGAGGTGGAGGTGTTGAAAAATTTACTAGTAACATTTTAGGAGCTTCATTTTCCTTGAGAATCTCAATGTGTAAATCGTGTTTTTCTAGCACAAGAATATCAAGCTAGATACTTGAGTTGTTGTCTGTTAGAAATACATGTTGCTTTCATCAAATGTGACATTAATTGTTACAATAAATGTTTGATATCTTGGGTATAAAATTTATACCCTTTTTATGTATTGGAATATCCCACAAAGATTACCTTTATGGCTCTAGGGGCAACTTTAGACAGTCCATTTTGAGATTGATAGATGTATGCAATACTCTCAAATATTGTATAGTCAGATAGTAACCCTACAATAAGTCTTTGAGAGTCTTAAAAAATAATTTTTCTGATGAGAGACAGATTAATAAGATGAGTGGCCATTAGTATTGCCTCACTCCATAAGTACTTCGACACTTGGGCTTTAAACATGACAGCCCTTATTATTTCCAGCCGTTGCCCAATCTTTCTTTCAGCTACCCCATTTTGCTAAGGTGTATAGGGGCAAGAAGATTCATGAACAATATCCTCTTCAACAAAGAAATTGGAGATAATAGAATTAAACAATCCTTAGCAATGTTTGATTGAAATTTCTTAGGAGTTATCCTAAATTGATTTTGAATTAGCTTCATAAGCCTTTGAATGACACTACTAGCTTATGATTTTACTTTAATTAGGTAAATCTATTGGAACTTAGTACAGTCATCTACAAAGATGATAAACCATCTGAAGTCCCTAACACCCACTAGATGAAGATGAACCCCATATATCAGAATGTATTCTGTAAAAAGGGGATTCACTTTTATTTCTAGTAGAGGGAAATGAAATTCGTCACTGGTTAGCCATTTGACAGGGTTCACATATGAAAGTAGATTCACCAATTGCACGACATAGTTTTGGAAATAAGTATTTAAATCCTTTTATGGACGGATATCCTTAATGATAGCATAGTAACAATAATTTGTTCAAGGAAGAAGTAGAAGCAAAAGTGGAAATATTTAGACTGAAATTCATCAACAATGTCTTGTCCATTCGCCATGTGTAATAGAGTCCATCCTGTGCTCTAACATGCCCAATCCTCTTGCCAGAGGTCTTGTCATAGAAGAAACATAAATCGTCATCAAATAATAGTAAATAATTCAAGTCTTTACCCAATTTCCTTAGTGACAATAGATGTGCATTTAATCTTGGAGTATGAAGAACATATCTTAATGACTCTAATTATCAAGAT